CTCCCTACATATTTGAAAAACGTGCAAGAAAAATAGTTAGTCTCCCGCGCCTCCCGCTCTCCCGTCTCGGAAACTGATTACTATCTAGATTTGTTTCAAGTAACATTTCCGGCCCTTGGTCAGTGAATAATTATTATTTCCCAGCTCTCAACTACTAGTGATTCTCCATCTTGTCCGTTGCCCTGTCATGATGCCTTATATGTTCCATCTCAGTCTGCGTCTTAAATATATAATTATTACTAGTGTCGTCTCCCCGTTCGTCAGCGTAAAAAAATATATATAATTAGTCTTGATCTTGTTGTTAGATTTGTCTCTGTCAGAATAAATAATCAGTATTAAGAAGAACAACCGACGCGCATACCCACGAAAAGCTACCAGCTACAGGTCGTATCTAGCTAATTACCATTACCAACACGAAAGTTATTACTCATTTTCCACGGCAAGACGTTGCTTTTATATTTATTTATTTTACTATTCATCGCATCTTCCAGATTCATTGCCAGTGATTATTACTACTACCTAGATGTAAGAACTAGTTGTGTAACTGCACCTTCCAGCTTTTAGATCATATAAGAACTAGATAAGAAAGATCGTCCCTACGGCTGCTCGCGCGGTCTGGCGATCAAATAGTCAAGTGATGCGAGTAGGTAAATAGGAAAAGACGTCTTGCAGGTCTCACACGCGACCGAAGACCCTCTAGACAATAAGGCGCGGCCGCCCTATGTAACGTGATCTGCTTTTGAAAGAAAAATTTTGGATGTTCTGGCTTTGTGTTTAGCAGTTGAAGATGATCGCGCCGCCATTAACGAAAAGAAAAGAAGACTGTAACTACCCTGTCCCCGCACTGCTGAGTAAGTTGAGATCCTAGTCTTGTTGTCGTCCTGGTCGTGTCTCTGCTCGAAGAATTGGCATCTTGATCGCTGTTGAATAAAATTGAAAATAAAAATAAAATAAAAATAAAATAAAAATAGCATAACAAAAATAAAAAGAATAAAATGACTGCTGATGGGTGTGCTGGGCCGAATGTGAATTGGTGGTGGCGTTGATGAAAGGATGGTTGAAAAAGGTCAGAATTATCTGCGGTTGTCTAGGTCGAATCTTATCGGAAATCTTGTGCTGAATGATTAAGAAAAATTGAATGCTGCGATGGACCTTCTCGCCCTGCTTTCTAATATTTATAATCCTCCTTGTCTCTTCTTCTTCTACCTTTTCGAGCTAGTAACATGTAGGTTAGTCCATCACTTTGCGTAGGCCAACCAAGCATTTTGATTAAAGGTAGAGTAGTGTGCTTTCATCTTCCCATGTTGTAGTTAGAAAGAAAAATTAGAAATAGTCCATCATCTTGCGCAGATCAATCAAGCATTGCTTGGCATTACTTGAGGAACGAACGGGAACTAAAGCTCCGCGGAGAAAATTCCTCGCGTAATTGAGTTGATAGCGAACTCCTAGCCATCGACTCCAAAAACCGTTGTCCCCTCACCCTTATCATCATCCACACCAAAACGTAGACGTTGGTAAGTTTAAAGGTTACATCCGCACGAGGAAGCAGTAAGCCGAGCGCTGGAAGCACTGGCATAAGCACATAATTAATTTGGAGGTTGTGTTCCAGAAAAAGAAGAATAACAGGATAAGCTTCAACATAAGCATCAAGAAGCTTGATCCGATCATTATTTGATGGTAACTAAGGTGGTAACTCCGTGTGTTATCTCACAACAGAGAACGTTAACAAAATAAAAACGACAACACCTACTATAGTGAAGAGGAGGACTATGGAGGCGCGGGCCGTCGGATAGCGAAGGACGCGTGAAGAAAAACGACTGAAGAATAGCAGACTAGCGACTGGAAAAAGCGCCGAGAACTACAACTACAACAACTTCGATGAAATTACTATTCTTATTAGTTTAGATCAAGGCTATTGTGAACGGTGAAACAACAAGAACGAGAAATAAGGTAACTGCGCCCACGACTAAGGAGTAGTAGTGGAAGAATTCCTCAAGGATGATACCTGGAACATACGTGCCGCAGGCACAGCGCCAGCAAATGCAACCAACGCACAACTACAACACACGCGCGGCGGCTAGCTTCAACAACAATCAAGGGGGTGGTGGATTTGGGAACTTTGGTGGTGGTGGATTTGGAGGTGGTGGTGGTGGTTTTGGAGGTGGAGGATTCCAACAGCGAGAGAGGATCCATCTGGGGCAAGGAGTGAACGACAAGAACTCGAAAGCAGTGGTGGATCGGGACATCTTATATGCGGACCACTACGCATACGGAACATCGAACCACGCAACAACGAAGTACCACCTCCCACAAGCACTAGACCAGCAAGTGAAAAAGTGTGAACCTCTGGGAGAATGCCCCTGCATGGTGTTGGTCCCGCAAGTAGATCCAGTCATTGTCCCGCGCACCTTCTCATTATACTACTACAGGCTGGCCGCGCTCTTCTCCAGATTGACGAAGCCAGAAATGGAGACGCTGTTGAAGCTGATGGAAAAGGAGGCTGAGAAGGTGGAGAAGGCTGCTAAGGGAAGAGAGAAGACGGAACGCGAGAAACAACTCATCAAGATCAGCGTGCCCTTGGACATCGACTTTGAAACCGCCATGATGTCGGGCCTGGACTACTACAAAATGAGGGTGGAACCGTCTTCGGAGGCTGAGCCGGATACGCCAAAGTCGGAGCAGGAATTCGACCCAGAAGACAAGGAACGAAGACGGGAGAGGCGACTCAAAAATGAGGAGAAGGATGCCAGAGTCGAGATGGTGAAGCAAGTGGAGAGCACCCTGAAAGGAGTCAAGGCTACCAAGAAGACCACCAAGAAGACCAATGAGAAGGGAAAAGGAGGAAGGGACGCGAACGATGAAAAGCTAAGAAATGAAATGGCGGCGAAGGAGGCTGACCTGCTGGAGAAGACGCGCATCTTGTCCCTGAAGACAGCGGAGATGGAACAAAAAGCACGTGAGCAGCAGGAGGAGATGTTGAAGAAGCAAGAGGAGACGATGAAGATGAACCAGAAGGCGATGGAGGAACAACAAAAACAGACGATGCTCCAAATGACGAACATGATGAGAAATATGACGATGCCAAGTCAGGCCATCGTCCCGATCAGTGAGGTCAAGGACAAGCGCAAGCTGCAAAGTCATCCATCGGACGCGGCACCGGATGAAAGATGTGGCAAGAACAAGAAGAAGCAGAACACTAGTGGTGAGGTTGTCGATCTTGACGCTGATGAGTACAGCCCGATGCAAGCTGGGACCGACAGGAGCGCACCATGGCCAACAGTCCACCAGCAGACAAATGCTGGACAGAACAACACGAGCAACAACACGACCGCTGCTACATCTACCACTTCGGCCTTGACTTCGAACATCAATCAGAATCACCATCAGCAACCACCACCAAGTCACGGCGTGTCGATGTCGAGCTCGTCGTCCTTTTCTACATCTTCTGGCCCCAACTTGTCTACTTCCTCTGGCCCCAGCATGACGTCTGCTCCAAGTGCACCGGCACCAAACAACAGCTTCAACTTCGAGCCGAGCATCTTGAGCATGGACGCAGGAATGCCGAACGCGGCTGCAAACATGATGGCGCAGTTCTTGAACATGGGAACAAATGCAGGACCACTGAGAGCAGCAGCAGGACTTGGAAGCCCAGGCATGAGCCAAGAAGGACCTCCGGGGGCGCCGCCCCAAATGCAATGAAGGGCACTCTAGGTGATGAAGTAGTGGTGGAGAGGAAATATGTGGAGGTGGTAAAAAGTATCAGGAGGCTCAGTGAGGAGACACTGGAAGAACATGGTGCGAGGACACCAGTGGGGAGGCGGATTTGGTTTGGCAGCAGAACAATTACGAGCAGACCAAAATCACAGCTAGTTTTTGCCATTGTGCTTCGACTCGCGGTGGATTTGGCACGAGAAATAAAGTTTGGTGGTACTTCTAACAACTTCGCCTTGCTTGTAAGATCACCGAATGCACTATATGGACTGGCCAAACAACTCCAAGAACTACTATACAGAACTATGGACGAGAAGTGTGTCTTTTGCTCGTTACCTCCCGATGCCCATTGTAGATGCAAAATAAAAATAAACAACCAGGGCATTTGGAGATGTGGTCGGTACGTTGAAAACGAAGACGAGGGCTTGGACTCTGATATAGACGGTTGTTTGGCAACAAGAACGCCAGAAGGTTGGTGCAGAAAGCGCGCATGCATCATGTTGTTTAAGATAGTAGAAGTAGTGGGCCTTCTCCAGCTATTCCAGATGAAAACGAAGTACTCGAAGAACTTACTAAGAAAAGTTGAATTATGCAAAAGACATCTAGTAGAAGAAGAAGCCGTAGGCCAAGACACAAACGCCTGGTATCTCGCAACGATACTAGAACAGAAGACGAGATATGTTGGAGAAACAACAGTTGGCCTGACGGAAAGAGCGTACAAGCACTGGTATGATCAAGTGAGATGTAACACCGGCAAGAGGTTCTTTGCTGATGCGAGCTTCATGCGCAACATGTTCATCACGCTAGGAGAGATCAAGAACGTCACCCCCGCCCACATCCTAGCACAGAGGAGGAGGAGGAGAGGAAGACCAAAGGACATGGCCGCGAAGTATTTGCTAAAAGCGGTGGAATCATACTTGATCGCGTTTTTTGGTGTAAATAGAAATACACAACTAGCAGCACACAGCAGGAAGTTAAAAACAAGAGAAGTGCTTCTAGTAGGAAAAAGGAAGAAGATTTTTAAGACGACAAGACTAAGAAGGAACAACAACTACTACCCCCCGAGCAGTGAAGAATACCAGGATAACCTCTTGGAGAACGGTCTCATGACGAAGTTGAAAAGGGTGATAATAACGGAAGGAGAAGAAGCATCGAGGAGCATGGGCATGATCTTAAGATGCTCCGCCAGACTGTCGCCGCCTCTTTATGTGAAGAAATACTTTACCACATTGTCGGAAGTAATGCGCGAGAAGGCGAGGAAGCTAGCAAAACAAATCCTGGATGGGGATCCTTATATCATCTTCATTAAAAACCTAGAGGAGATGCGTGGAAAGAGGAGCACGAAGTGTGTTACAATTGCGGCGCCATCGTATCTACGTGAGGAGATCGTAAAGCAGTCTGCGCTCCTTTTTGGACTGCATGGACAAAGGAAGGAGGTAGCAATCCTGAGGATCAAGGACGCCAAGACGGAGACCTTTTTGACATACATGTCGCGGACTGGGTTGCAAATGCATGAGATGATGAGGCGGGTCACCTCAAATACCTGTCCGTGCTTAAGAACAAGACTACCGCTGGAGAGGCTAGAAGGTCACGTCTTCCACAAGATCGACGACGGCTTGGATTTCGTCAGGGGATGCGACGACTGGAATGCGAAGTCGACCTTTTGTCCATCTGAGGAGAAGGCCAAGAAGATGACGGAGAATGCCCTAGTAAAGATCGCCAGGAGACTAGAACTAGAAGGAGCCACCAGGATACAACTGCAGGCAGCATGCAAGAACATCATCAAAGGCAGTAGGCGGCCGAAGAACCCGATCACCACCAATGATGTCTATGAGGTCTGGAAGGAAGCATATGACGAAGGGCGCATCTGTGAAGAGGTTGACAAAGGGCCTGGTGAAGCGTACATTGCCTGCCCCTTCATACAGAAGACCATGACGGAGAGACACCTGGCTGCAACTTATGATAGACTAGGGGACAGAGCGAGATCGACTATTTTAAAAACGTTGGACAAGGAGGATGAGTTCTTCAATGCCATCGACTACACCTCGGAGAGCCCAAGGAAGATGACGAATGTTGGCCATGCCAGAAAGAGGTCGCATAGGTGGCCGCTCCTCCGCGTTTTTGCCAAAAAGAAGAACTGGAACAACACGAAGGGACTCAAAATCCGTGGAATCAAGTTCAGGCCGATAACGAGCTACGCGGCGCACTACCTGAGGAAGCCACTCAAGGTAGCATCAGCAGTGTTGGAGAAGTTGATCGAACCAATGAAGAAGGAGGGCTACTTTTTCCGGTCTCCTCTAAAGTTCGTGGACAAGGTGAACAAGATAAATAGGCAACAGCGAGCGCGTGGTGGTCGTCGAATGTGGGTAAGAACATATGACCTAGACAACTTCTTCACCCAGTGCAGAGCAAGTCAAAGCATCGGACTCTTCAGGAGGTTGGCGTTAAAGAAAAAGCGAGAAGGGTATCCCATTGCGATGATTGAGGAGAACACATCACTGGAGAAAAGAGTAGAGCACCACAGGAAAAGGAACAAGCCCAAGATCAAACAAGGAACGAAGATTCACTACGCGAGGAGACAAAAGCCAGGGCGTGGAGTTTTGTTTGTGCGGACGTTTGACCTAGAAGAAATGAAGAGAATCTCTAATAAATATCACGTGATGAGCGTCGACTTGGCCCTAAAGCTTGCAGAACTCGACTCGAAGTTCACGGTGGTGAGAGCTCTGGGAGGATTGTACCTACAGCGAGGAGGAGCCCCGATGGGATCACAGTTCTCGGTGACGATTGCAGAAGGGTATGCACTCTCAGTAGAAGGCGAGATGAGCCCTAGGGTAAAAGCGAAGAACTGGCAGAGAGGATATCAGACATTGATGCGGACCAGGTACGTCGACGACATCACTCTAGTGGTACGCGAGAGGGAGGAGAGGAGAAATGCAGGAGGCGAAAGAAGGCAGCCTGTGGTAGAACATGAACTAAAGGAACTAACAAGAGGTAGACTAACTATAAAGGACACCACTGAAGAAGAACTATACTTAGGTCTACACATAAGAACAGTTGACAGCGGTAGGCACTTAAGTGTGAAGCCTAGAGATACAGGAAAGATAGCGAAGATATCTAGAAAAAGTTATATAACTGAACAACAGCGAAAAGGACTCGACTACGGGTTGTTTTGTAGAAATAAGCTACTAACGGATGAGTATACTTGGGAGCGGGAGCAAGCCTGTGCTCACCTAGGTGTCACCCATTAGAAAGAAGTTATCTGCTTTTCTCTTCCTTTCCAGTTCACTCCCTACATATTTGAAAAACGTGCAAGAAAAATAGTTAGTCTCCCGCGCCTCCCGCTCTCCCGTCTCGGAAACTGATTACTATCTAGATTTGTTTCAAGTAACATTTCCGGCCCTTGGTCAGTGAATAATTATTATTTCCCAGCTCTCAACTACTAGTGATTCTCCATCTTGTCCGTTGCCCTGTCATGATGCCTTATATGTTCCATCTCAGTCTGCGTCTTAAATATATAATTATTACTAGTGTCGTCTCCCCGTTCGTCAGCGTAAAAAAATATATATAATTAGTCTTGATCTTGTTGTTAGATTTGTCTCTGTCAGAATAAATAATCAGTATTAAGAAGAACAACCGACGCGCATACCCACGAAAAGCTACCAGCTACAGGTCGTATCTAGCTAATTACCATTACCAACACGAAAGTTATTACTCATTTTCCACGGCAAGACGTTGCTTTTATATTTATTTATTTTACTATTCATCGCATCTTCCAGATTCATTGCCAGTGATTATTACTACTACCTAGATGTAAGAACTAGTTGTGTAACTGCACCTTCCAGCTTTTAGATCATATAAGAACTAGATAAGAAAGATCGTCCCTACGGCTGCTCGCGCGGTCTGGCGATCAAATAGTCAAGTGATGCGAGTAGGTAAATAGGAAAAGACGTCTTGCAGGTCTCACACGCGACCGAAGACCCTCTAGACAATAAGGCGCGGCCGCCCTATGTAACGTGATCTGCTTTTGAAAGAAAAATTTTGGATGTTCTGGCTTTGTGTTTAGCAGTTGAAGATGATCGCGCCGCCATTAACGAAAAGAAAAGAAGACTGTAACTACCCTGTCCCCGCACTGCTGAGTAAGTTGAGATCCTAGTCTTGTTGTCGTCCTGGTCGTGTCTCTGCTCGAAGAATTGGCATCTTGATCGCTGTTGAATAAAATTGAAAATAAAAATAAAATAAAAATAAAATAAAAATAAAATAAAAATAGCATAACAAAAATAAAAAGAATAAAATGACTGCTGATGGGTGTGCTGGGCCGGATGTGAATTGGTGGTGGCGTTGATGAAAGGATGGTTGAAAAAGGTCAGAATTATCTGCGGTTGTCTAGGTCGAATCTTATCGGAAATCTTGTGCTGAATGATTAAGAAAAATTGAATGCTGCGATGGACCTTCTCGCCCTGCTTTCTAATATTTATAATCCTCCTTGTCTCTTCTTCTTCTACCTTTTCGAGCTAGTAACATGTAGGTTAGTCCATCACTTTGCGTAGGCCAACCAAGCATTTTGATTAAAGGTAGAGTAGTGTGCTTTCATCTTCCCATGTTGTAGTTAGAAAGAAAAATTAGAAATAGTCCATCATCTTGCGCAGATCAATCAAGCATTGCTTGGCATTACTTGAGGAACGAATGGGAACTAAAGCTCCGCGGAGAAAATTCCTCGCGTAATTGAGTTGATAGCGAACTCCTAGCCATCGACTCCAAAAACCGTTGTCCCCTCACCCTTATCATCATCCACACCAAAACGTAGACGTTGGTAAGTTTAAAGGTTACATCCGCACGAGGAAGCAGTAAGCCGAGCGCTGGAAGCACTGGCATAAGCACATAATTAATTTGGAGGCTGTGTTCCAGAAAAAGAAGAATAACAGGATAAGCTTCAACATAAGCATCAAGAAGCTTGATCCGATCACAACTTTCCTCCTCTCGCCTTGCTTAATACCTGTAGTGCTACTAGAAGACGTTGAGGTTTATAGTTCCTCTCCTATTCTTGCTTCTCCTTCATACAATTGGTCCGCCAGTTTTTTACCTTTTTGTTCGAGATGCCCACTGAGGGTGTACAGACGGATGTAGGGCTTAACGATCCTTTAGGAAGAGTGGAGCGGAAAGCTGCAACGATTTTCCTACCAAGTATGGCTGATGTAGATGTTTTTTTCTTCCATCTTTAAGCGTAACAGGTCAACTTGGTAACTCACTTCAAGGGGAAAAACAAATGCAATTTCCAGGATGAGCAGCATGACAGAAGATGGAAAAAACAACATTCATACCGTGACGGTTCATCCGTGAGCATGGTGTGGACCATATGAGCGGACAAGCAGAACAATTGCAAAGTTAAGTTGTCAAGTTTTAGAACACTTTTGAAAAAATAATGCAGGGCTGAGGCGGGAACTCCTCTAAATCTAAATCTTTTGATGCAAAGGCATAAGCATGAGACTTGTAAGTCAGCGTAGTTCGTTCACGTAGCAACATAAACCGGCATCCAGTTTTTAGCTCAGTCACCAGTTCCACCTGAGGACCATTTTGTTGGGATTAAACGAACCTTCTGCATCATGACTCTATTCTACAGTCCTCATCATCCACTCTCTTCTAAAGAATAGATCCGCGAATTTTGCAGTACCAGAATGAGCGACTAGGCGTGGACCTCTTCTTTCAACAGGGCCTAGTCTTTCGACTTCAATTACTATTTATGGCGCCACTGATTGAGAATGAATGAAAGGGAACAATGTCGACAACTGGTAGTATGAGTATGTACTCCTTCCAAATTCAAGGGATATTTTCTCTCGTCTGAGGGACCACAGGGTCAAGAGTCGTCGACGCTCCCAGGAGGTCATCATCATTCATAGTACTCATCGAATACGAACAAAGTAGGATGTATGAATGATTCCAAACTAAAAAAGCCCTATTAAAGTAGAACGCACTGAACTTTGTGCGAGATTAAGAACTCCCCCCTATGCCGGTATCCACGCGGAAAATACGCAGGTAGGTTCTGACTTATCGGAACTCGCTCGCACTACAAAAAAGGAAATGTATTGTCTTGCATTGTATTGTATTGTATTGTATTGTATACCTCATTCATACTATCGAAAGCAGATTTTTTTCGCTATGGGGAGTTCGCTTCAGGGCGTGTTATTCGTCGTGGTGTGGACAGAACCGATATCCACTCTTTTCCTCCAGGTTCATCTGCAGGTGAAATTAAGGGTACACCTTTAACGTGCTTTTCTTACCGCTTTTTATGCCTCTCTCCCTTAGGATGAGAAAGGCATAAAAAGCGGGGTTCTGTCGTAGAGTCTCCTCTTCCACCAACTACACGTCGTATGGTGAGTAACAAAGCCGCCGTAGTATTAGCAGTAAAGCTCGTAGTATTAGCAGTATGGAGGTGCTCGATGAGCCTTTCACTATGGAAGTAGGCCAGCAGGAGCAAGTAGGAGGTCCTTCAGCTTCTACGAAAGACAAGAGAAAACCTACCTCTAATGAAACTGGAGAAGCAGCCACTTCAAGAACTTCTTTTCCGGAGGGTGACAGCTCCCATTCGTGGCCATGGGAGCTAGAGGCAGTGTCTGGGTCGGATATCAAAGTCAACTTCCGCAATAGGACAAGGATAAGAAGAAGTGAGTGGGAGAAAGACTGCATGCGGAGAACGCGGAATGATGACCGCTTTTTCCTCGCTCATTTCGACGCAATCATTTCTTAAGATTACTACCTGCTCTTTGCTCTAATTATCCATCTCCATGTAGATATTGTTTGAAGCTGTGAAGGTGATGCGTTGTCTCCACAATGACGCCTATAATATGAATGCAAGGAAGATCATGCTGAATTGGGGAAAGGTGAAGCTCTAAAAATCGGGTCTGTCTACCTTCAACCTGTGGTATGTCATCGAGACCGCCACTAGGGATATCAAGAAGAAGCTTCTCGCAACTTATCCTGCAGAATCGCGCTTGCGAGGATTGTATGCGAGGATAGCCGCGGATGGAAAACAAGTTGAGGATTTGGGTAAGAGAGGTACTGCTAGCTTGTCGCTACAACGTAGAACGTCCTCTACTTCTACGTGCGGCACATGTTCAGGCGTAGTGGAGGGTGAAGGAAAAGAACGAAGGAGTCATAGCAGGGATACCAAGAAGAACTCTCCCAGAACTCCATCAACAAGCACAACAAGTAGACCGGCCAGAACAAGTACAACAACTACTGCTAGACCACTATTTTTCGAAGCACAACCAGGATCAGGGCCACCAGTATCTAGTACTTCCGTCTTGCACCTGCCGGAAATGAAGTTTCTGTCATTGACAGGCCAAACTTTTGCAGATGTGAGCGAAAGGAGTAAACTAGGGATCTTAGATTCCTTCCGCGTCTGGCAGTCCTGGCGTCGCACGGTTCCACACGTCTTCAGTTAAGGCGAGTAGTATGTCACTTTCACTATCTGGATCTGATGTGGGTGTGTGTGTGATGTGTTGTGTGTGTCTGTGTGTGTGTGTGTCTTTGACGAAGACGAGGCTCCTGAGTCGTGTAGAAGTGTTGGGCCTGAGTGGATTTCATTCCCTCTCGATTTATTAGATTTTTTAGAAGGGTATAAACCATAACCGTAACTTCTACGGGGAAACAGATGAGAGCAGGGCAACTCTTCACTGAAACACTCACTGTCACCAGCGACTTGAGGGGGTGTTCTTCTCAAGGCAAAATTATACACGGGGAGCTACATGTTTTTTGCCACCACTCACTCAATCACTACGGATAGTGACTTTGACTACACTAGCGTTAATCCAGAGAAAGACATGTCTTAGACTTGTCCTTTTCTACGCCAGAGCATTTGATCGTCTATGCAGTAGAAAAACTACAGCCTCCAAGTGTAGTTGGCCTCAGTGGGCCTGTGAATGCGAATTCGTCGATTATAACAGACGACACCTCTGCGGTTCACAGCCATAGGACGTCCAAGAAAGGACGTCCAAGAGAGGAGTCTACTTCTGTTAAGGCTTCATGTATTTATCTTTTCTACTATAATGATGTTGATCTTCAGATGAAGTGCTGTTAAGCTTGAGGCTTCACCCATTTACATTTAGATACTGGCCATTTACATTTAGATGTCAAGTAGTAAGCTTCACCTATCTCCTCGAAGAACAACGAGAATATTGATTCCATACAGCCTCCTTAAGAAAGTACAACTCTCTAGCCTAATTAGTTTCGATTGAGTCTATCCTAGTAATTGCATTTAGAAGCGGCCTAATACTAGTTGCTCTGTGTAAGATTTGCTTCAGAATTGACCAGGGATGGTTAGACATGAAGTGCATGACCATGACCAATACTAGTTCTGAGCTATTAACATCTGCATCACTAAAAGACTAGTGACGCATCTACCTAACTACTATAGTAGACGCTTTTAGTTAGTAGATGCTTTAAGATTGTGTGATGCATCTAAATCTAGTGACTAGTAGTTCTTGAATGGTTCTGGTATTTGGTAACCTGAATTTGATCCTAAGGGAAAACAAGAAGAGAACCCTTAGGATCAAATTCAGGTTACCAAATACCAGAACCATGCAAGTTCTAATCAAAGAAGTGATGCTGCTTACGTTCGCGGGGGGTTGCCTATTTTCCTCCAGGATGACGGTTCGTCGCGGTTCGAGGGACTCACAAAGGAAGGTCTGAAGTACTTGGGATCCAATACAGAGCTGATGTTGGGCTTTCCGAATTTCGTTGTGCACAGGGTACCTCAGATTATGACTATTAAACTACTATTTCTATTTTTTCGTTGTGCACCACAGGGTACCTCAGATTATGACTATTAAACTACTATTTCTAGTTTTTCGTTGTGCACAGGCTACCTCAGATTATGACTAAGAACCGTTACTAAGTTTAAGTTATGAGTATGACTAACCGTTAGTAAGTTACTAACAAAGATGGGACTAGGATATTAGTACTAAGTTACTCAAAGACATTACGAAGTAAGTTACTAACAAAGATTAAGACTACTGTTGCCTAACCGTTTTTAGTCTGTATTTGTTAAACAAACAACAAGTACAAGATGACACGTTGTAATAAATTGTATTCACTAAAACTTCTCCACTTCATCTATAATATCAGGAAGTTTAGACCACCACCACCTAGAAGATCCTTTTCTTCTATGCCGCGTAACCACGACAAGATGACAAGCCTGTTGGTTGGAAGAGTCTGTCTGCTTCTCCTTCTAATCAGACCGACCTGAGGTTTTTTCAGATCCTCGCTTGTTTGCGGAGGAACGACGTGGTGTGGTACGATATGAATCACAAGGAAGAAAGAGACTTTGTCTTTGGCGATTTAGAGTTCGAGCTCTTCTCAGAGTCGGAGATAGAAGACGGGAGTTTTAGAAGGACTACGAGCAGTCCAGGCACAACAAATGGTGGCGGCAATACAACAGGTGAAGAGGAAGACGGTATAACTGGGAGTAATAGGAGTACAAGTTGTTGTGCAACAAATAGTGGAGGGAGTACTAGTGGACGAGGGAGTACTAGAACTAGTGGAGGGACTACAGGTACTACTAGAAGTACAACACATAGAACAAGTGGTGGTAGTGGAGGGAATAAAACAAATGAAGACAGCCCCATGCCTGAACCTTCTGCCTCCAGACGCCTCAAAATGTTTGAGGCTGGCTATCCGGATATCTACAGAGCCTTGCACACGGCAGGGCCATTGAGGCTGTTACCAGCGAGTATGGGAGAAATTCTAGTCCTTTTTTTGCGGCTTTATGCCTTGGAAAAAGAGGCTGGCGCGTTGAGCGGAAGCAAAGGCTATTTGTTGGTATGAGAGGAGGTGAACACAGAATACTGCCATTCTTATTTACCAACTAAGATAGTGCGATAACATTTAATAGCTTAATATCAAATACTTCCTCTTCTCTTCTTCTTCTAGAGGGTGAAGTCGCGTAGACGGTGTCGGTGTTCTAACGACATGAGCCGGCTCATGCTCTCCTCTAACCTCCATGGACGCCAAGAATATGCTACATACGGCATACTATAGGTTTGAGCAAGTCGCCCGCTTCGATCCTTGGCGATTTGTCGCGATACGACCACCGCCAGAACTGCAGAATCCAGTCTTTTCGGCGACAACGTCCCTACTTGGACAAGATAAGGACAGAGGCAAAGAAGTATCGACTTGGACTGACTTGGTGCATGAGGATGGCTTCTACATTCCTGGGAGGACTTCTGGGAAGAGGAAAGACATTCCTGAAAAGACAAAGAACGGTGTCCCTGCCACGTCTCTCTGTAGTGTAGAGGAGCTGTGGAGTCGAGATTTTGAGCGTTTCAAAGGCATCTATCCACCTCTGCGCTGGGACAGAGTCCTGTACAAATATGCGCAGATGAGGTATGTACCAGACGAAGTTGAGCAGGAATATGCAGAGACATATGTTGGTAAGGCTACGGTAGCTGAATCTCCATGATTTTACTAACAGCTTGCTCTTCCCGTTTTTCAATGGATGAGAAGACGCGCGTGAGCCTGACCAAGTGCCAGCGCCACTGCGTCCTGCCTTCGTAACTTCTTGCTAAAGTCTCTCGGACATTCCGGTCGCTGTGACGCGTGTCACGCGGGTCGGAATGCCTGGGGGTCGCTCAAGAGGTCAGGACTGTGGATAGGCTATTTTTATTTGGCAGGTATAAGCGAACGTCTAGCACTACAAACTAACACCTTGCTCTGCCCGTTTTTCAATGATTCTAATGTTGGCACTAGTAAGAACAGAAAAAACGACAACATCAACATCAAGCTCGATTACAAGGATGCTTGGCGCGTAGTGGGAAAGGCGCCTTCATCAAAGGCTAAGACTGCAAGAAGAAAAAACTGGGTCTTGAATTTTGGAGCTGCTGACGTTAAGGCTAGTACTTGTACTTCCCCTAAGCAGAGGCATCTGCAGACAGAGGCATCCAGATCTTGAAGAGCGTGAGCATCTCTAATGCCTGTGAATGCGGTTACCTGTATTCGTGGAATCACGATCTGGCGAACTGCTTATTGACAGGCTCAGTATGGAACAATTGGCCTGTGCACGAAAAATCAAGAGTAAAATCTCTACACGAAGCGTGGCACAGGAATCGTACTAGCGATGTTAAGGTCAGGTCACAATAATTCATTTTTATCCACCATGATAAGTAATCCAAATGCCTCATATAGTACTAGTAGTATTAAGGTTTAGGTTTGATCCGTCAGCTGCTTTTATCCATCTTGTTGAGCAGATGAGGAGGCTGGAGCAGATTGAGGTCTAATACTGGTGCGGAGGATTTAGCTGCAAGTGTATATGCTGAGCAAGAGATTCCAAATGTGCCTGTCTTCAATATGTCCGGTTTAGTAGTGGAGGCTCTAGAAGGAAATAGACAGAGATTGCGGCGACAGTATGCGGGGAACAAGAATTTATGCTGACAAGATGTAGTTCTAGTTTGACTAAGACTATTCGAGATGAGTGACTATTTCTTTGAATGCAATGATGAAGCTAATGCCGCGTGGTTACTATTGCTTCTTATTCATTGATACAATTACTTGGTTATTCATGCCTCTAGTCGCTCCTATTCAGTAATGGTATCCTAGTCCTCCTCCTGTAAGAATCGGTTATAAAATTTATGGATTAGTGCCGATCTTGTGAATAAAATAGTTTGGTTTAATCTTGAACTCCTGATATCAAATGAAAATGAGTATACTGCTATGATCACCTCTTGCTAGGCACATTCATTCATTCACTCATTCATTCATTCATTCGTCATGTTCTTTCGGGAAAATGATATTGTAGCTCAATTAGAAGCCCCTCCTTATTCTTTCATTCCCTGTCGTCTACTACCTGAACACTCTTGCTTTGGAAGATATCGAACCTTTGATGATCGACATGGTCGAGCAAGTTAAGGGTTTCCAGATTGCATTCTGCACTACCGTCCCTGATTTTTTCCCAAGTAGGAAAGAAATCAGGGAACATCAAGCTTGCGTTCTGACGAACGCAATGTCGGACCCCCTAAACAAGAGGGGTTTTCCTTGGCGCCGTTGTTGTTCAAGCTTGACATCGATCATATGGATTGCGCGATGATGGAGAATGTTTTAGCTTCCGGCGTAAGACCGCTGGTTTTGTTATGAAAAAACAACAAAGAAAAAGGAAAACTGATACTCGCTTCGCGAGTGCAATGAATTAGTGGATGTGCATTGATGTCGTGGAGTCTTCTTCGCGATGTTCTGTTGTCCCTTCTTCAAGATTCTCATCAATTTCATCTGTTGACTTCGTTTCTTCAAGATTGATGAATCTCATCAATCTCATCAATTTCATCTGTTGACAACACCGTTGTATCCGTTGAACTCTTTCGCTTTCCCCGCCTTTCTTCATACCCGTTCGTGGAAGCCAGAAGTGTGGAGATACCATTGGAAGTTGTCTCTGAGGCCGGCACCCTTTTCGCCACGGATTACGCGAACGCTGTGAAAGCGCAGAGTGGCTGTAGCCTTTCTGGTTTTGTGGAGTTATGGTCATTGTCCTAGCTTTGTCCTAGCTTTTGTCTACTCGAACCTACTTTGTCCTAGCAGGTGCGGCTTGGCCGCGAAGTGGTGGACCCCTAACCTTAGGCCTTAGCCTTTGTCTTTGTCTATGGTCTTCAAAAGCATCCTGAGACGAGAAATGCTACTCCAGGTCTTGTTCTTGATATGGATTCACAACCCAGCGCAGAGCGCACTCTAATAGACGTTGGCCTTCGATACGACTACTTCTTAGTGGAAGTTTTGAACGATGACGCAGTATTCGTGAGAAAAGATATTTTCTTTGACCCGGATGCTTTTGAGGACGGTGATGGTAGACATGCACATGGAAAAGACACCGACGGAGAGGGTGATGTCATTACCACTTCTAGAGGAGATTATACGTTAAGGTCACTAGGAGTATCATGATGTTGTCGAAAAAGATAATATTCTGCGCACGGAGTCGTAGTAGTAGTCGATGAGTAGCTAGTCGATGACGATAATACTCATTCTGCTCAAGTAGTTCTTGTGGGTGACGTACATGCAGATGTTGGGGCTTTCTGTTTGTTGATGAAAGTTTTCTTACGACAAGAAAAGTGAATTGTTCAAACCAGCATTAATTAGATGTTAGTTGCAGTGACATTGAGAATATGAATATTATTTGCAGATGCAGTGACATTGAGAATATGAATATTATTCCTCCATGCATCGGAAATATTCTTAATCTCCGTGTCTTCTATGTCTAAACAACACGCCGATTCTTCCCTTTTCAGCGCTTCACCCCAAAGCAGCAAGAGATTTGTCCACTAGGCAGGAGGATGACGAAAAAAATGGAGCTGACAGTCGACCGCAGACGAGGCGAATGAAGTTATGTTGGATCAACTTCATCATGTAGATGACGACGATTTAGAAGTGCCATGCTTGATATCGTCTTTGCTTGTACGTCTACGTCTGCAAAACGTGATAGAAATATCAGTTACAGAAGTTTCTTTAAGTTTCTAAGATAGACAAGATTATCAGGAAACACAACAGGAACCACAGAGAGGATTATTGATAATAAAGCCGGAACAACAACCAGGATGAATAGCAACAGGATTTTTAGCAGGAACAACCAAGAATCATTCATCTAATAACCAAATCTCGGGTATTCGAGGAGCTTTACTCAACGCGAGAGAAGTATGTAGAAACAGTTCGGTTTTTGCACACCCAGGGCGCCGCGTGTCACGTGATGAGGCATCAAGGAGTCGCAGAGGAAAGATTTGTTATGGTTGCATGGTTGAGTGAGACTTGCTCTTAGAATGATGCGAAGTTGAAGTGAAGTTGAAGTTGTAGCGGAACCATTCACGTACAGCAAGTTGAAGTTGAAGTTGTAAGTAGTCATAGAGGTGGACATCGGTCCTTTTTAATGGCCATGACTTTACTCATGTGCAGAGAGAATAAGAAGTTGGAGTTGTAGACATAAAGAAACATTTCTGTGTGTTTTAGTCAACCCGCACAAACATGGAGCGCGGGCGCGGGCTTGAACGAAGGGTGCGCCAGACGTACCAGCTCTAAACTTCGTTCTTTCCTTTCCGGAGCTGGCGACCACCTCACTGCGTCTCAGAAGATGTTGTTTTATGAAAAGAAAAAGCGTACTCATTCTCATACTGAGGAACAAAAGAGTGTTGAGTTTCCTCAGCCTAACAAGGCGTGGCTTCCTTTCATCTTATGTTGATGGGTACACTTTTTCCTCTCATATGTTTGCAGGAAGTTTCATGAGCTTTGATCATCGTGACAAGAATCGTGACAAAGCTGGTGGAGCTACTAATCCGTTACCAAAAGCAGGAGCTGAAAAAGACTGGAATGCACTTTTTCAACTACGAAGGAGTTCGTTGTTTTAGTCGACGTGAAGATAAACTTACTTTTACTAGTGAATTTTATGTATCATTTTCGTTAGTGAATCGAGCAAGACGTCGAACGATGGCACGGCAGCAAATAGTATAGTTTAGGTTCTTTTTTCATAGGTTCGAAAGAATGTAGTTAATAAAGCAAAGGACCAGGAGACAAAGAGACAATTATTGTTCGAATATAGCTCCGATCTAACAAGCAGAGCTTTGTGTTCTTCGTCGTCTTCGCACACCATAGTGGCTGAATTTGAAGTCATGAAGTCTCGGAGACGGAGCAGCTTGTTCTGTGTTCAAAAGCTGACGAGATTGAGCGAGACGAGCGATATTTTGAGATTGATATTATTTGGCTATCAATTTTCGTGCAGACGAGGGTACAACAGGTTTCCCCTGCTGTGGACGGCGAGTCGTAACCTCCTATCCTAATGTGCATACCACCTAGTGCGATTTCGATTCGTTTTTGCATCATTACATCGCAACTTTTACCAGTTCTCCCCTTGTGACGAAAACTTCTGGTTCCTAGGCTTGTGGCATGAAAACTTCTACGGTCTAACGGATGAATGACAAGATGAGACGACTCAAAACTCCAAGAACATGCCTGACGCCGGCTTAATCATGCCTGACGGAAGGCAGTGTGGTAGGATGCATCTGTGTTGAGACGAGGTGGTCTTCACCAAGCAGGAACACTTCTAGTGGGCGCAAGGCGACTTGAAATCACGTTCTCAACGTTAATAACCATCACGTTTTCAACGTCTAATAACCATCACGTTTTCATCAACGAGTAACCATCACGTTTTCAACGTCTACAACTTGAAGTCGCGTATTCAACGTCAAAACCATCACTTTTTCAACGTCTACAACTTGAAATCGCGTTCTCAACGAGTAATAACCATCACAAGTGGATCCCGGAGACGAGCATCTTCTGTCACTATGCCACGTCGCACACTACTAGTTTCTTTGCTGTTGGTCGCCAGCGCCAACGCATTTGACCGGGATGGTCATGAAGCGATAGGCATGACGGCTAATTCCGCGATACCCAGAGGAAAGGTGTTGCATACACTGAAGCGACTTCTTTTATGGCATAAATAGATCCTGTCCGTCGTGACTGTACTAGTAGAAGAAGTGAGATTGTGAAAGAAACCGGATGTTGTCTGCTGTCAGTCAAGGATGTGTATTCATCTCTTTAAACAAGCGCAACATGATCCTCCTTTTACAACGAAAATTGCTACGAGTGAATCACGTATTATCATTATGTTGTTGATGTTGATAATTACCCATAGTATTAGTCCTATACAACGAAGATTACAACAACGAAAAGTGAAGAAAAACGCAAGACCCTCTTCTAATCCCTCAAGGCAAGGATATCATGGATGTGAGCGGTTGGGCCCATATGGTCGACAACAAGCTACCTTGGACAGAAGCGCTGCACTACCAGAAATACGAACTAGGTACTTGCTACTTACAACAAGTACAACTGTTCTCGTCAGTCCTATGCTTACAACAACAACTTGAGGCGTTGAAGTTCAAGAACAAGTACTACTGCAGAAGTTTTAGTACTATACTATCAGTGAAACTGAACGTCGTGAACCTTTTCTTACTGATTCTTCCACTTGCTTCATCTCCAGGTACCGGCAGCAACTACGAGGAACAGTGCCAGAGCTTGAAGCTCCTATCTGACGCGAACAATTGCCCATCGGGCCACTGCCTCATTGGCGCTTTGGGATACTTTTTCTTATGGATTTATTATAGGGTTCACCTTGATCATGTTCTTGATACTATCTATGAAATTGATTTTCATAGAGTAATCCAATCCAACTAGTACATACTACATACGACATGCTATTACAGCATAGGGGTCCTGTGAAATTACTACAGCAGGGAGATTCTTGACATTCAGATTGAGCAAAAGCATGAGTGCACTTGGGGGACTCATTTTCCTAGGTCTCTCTTCTGTATTTTGCTTTCCCTCGTCTGCACCCTCTAATCTCCTCCATAATCGCAAAAAACGACAAGGAAACGCCGAGTGTGAAGCTAGAATTGCCAGCAGGACAGACGTTCACGGAGGCTGATGCAATGAAGTTTCTGGTAAACTTAGTGGCGGATGCACATCAGCCGATGCACTTCGTCCCAAGTACGGGTCCTCTCGGGACCAGCAGTGTTGTGACGAAGACCTCCGATTTACCCACTATGAAAAAAAAATTGAAGATGAAGGCCATTCCCAAGACCAACTTGTACGAGTTCTGGGACAAAGACTTGACACAAAGTATAATTTTATTATTTACAACGCCTGTTCTTCTTGTAATATTTTATTTATTAAGGAATTAAGAATATGGACTGGTGGCACAAAGTAAAAAGTACTTTTTTACACTCTAGTATTTGTTTCTCATAAGGAAATTCTTTGAGATTTATTTAGATTTTTCACGGATGAACAAAGTACTGCTACATTAACTTTTTTTAGAGCTGATGCTGATCTTCTATGTATCAGAACCAGAACTGCCACGTCGACGTAGTAGTTATCGTTAAGTCTATTACACGGCGTTCACATTTTCGTATCTTACACAAACACACTCTCGCCCAGACATAAAAGAGGGTGCTCCTTCGTGGTGGGATGGTGGCTGGACGAATATTTACCGTGGACGAGCATTCGGAATCGAATTTGATGCGCAGCAGGTGTTTGAAAGTTATGGGTTACATCAAATTACATTCCCCATCATTGGCTCTCTTCCGAACTACCATCTTCATTGGCTCTCTTCCTAACTAGTTGGGTTTCCGATATGTGGTTTCCGATATCTTGATGGGGTTTTGGTTTGTTTGTGTGTGATATTGAGAAGTCGTCTTATGTTTGTCGTTGTGTCTCCCCGCACTAGTACCATTGTTCTTGGCTCTTTATTTCCTTTTCGTAGTAGACTAAAAGAAGTCACCAGGTGAAATGTTGTGCGGAAAAGTGTAATTTTTCTGTAACCTCTAAGAAAGGGAAGATAAGGAGCTGAAATCGAAAGCCGTATTGCCCTATGCGCTCTTCGAACGATGGGCTACGGAAACAGCAAAGTAATTCAAATTTTTCCTTCGTTTTTTATAATTTTACCTCCAGTTGTACTAGTTCTACATCGAAGACTCGTCTCATTTTTCCAACTAGAAAAGCCTGCGGAAAACGAGATCATCGATCACTTTCCACAATAAACCCTAAGAAATTGTAACCAATCTCGTGAGGCATCCCTATCATCTTTCGTCAATTCCCTCACTCCCCCTCCCATTCTCCCACTCTCAGATACGCCTGCCTTTCCGCCTATCGAGACGGCACGAACCTTTTTCAGGCTGGGGATGATGAAACCGAGGTGAGTGAGAAGAGTTACAACGCGTGGAAGGACAAGATACTCGAGAATATGCTAGCTGCGGGAGCTAGAACGGCTATTACCGTCAACGCCATCGTCGAAGCCGTGGGTGACTCTTTAGTTATGATGATGAATGAATAATGACTAATTATGGTTCTAAGATCTGTTGACGGTTTGCTTCATGAAAGTCGAAGACTTCCAACTCAGCTTAGCGATGACAGTTTTTTTTTTAGATATGACTAAAGGTAAAGAGTCAGGGAAATCTTAGGCAGATTGCCGAGTAGATTCCTTCGTATCATCATGACTAAAGAGTCACCCACGGCTTCGACTAAAGGTAATCTTTTCTTCTTTATTAACCACGGAGAAGTCTTCACTACACACTTCCTGTTACTATCTTCTCTTGCCAGTGGTAGAGAATGAGCACCAAAGACGTATGATTGACGATGATGATGATGCTGATGACTGAGAGAGAAGACTCATAAGTCTTCTCTTCTTTGTGCCTCAAATTCCTCTAAGGCCAAGACGTCGGCGCAAGCGGTGAACCCTGATGGAAAAGTCGGCGCTGGTGCAGGTGCAACCTTCAACACTGCATCAGGAGTTGCTGAGGTACGTGCAGTACTAGAGTTCTTGCATTTCTGATTCTGGCACAAGGACTCTCTGACGTCATCTAGTAGCGACTAGAACTTCTACCAAAATGATGATCTAAGTCAAACATGGATACCAGGAGACACCACAAGCAAGAACTATGATAAAAAGAACAACAACTACCCAAATTATATTTTTATATCTTGACTTGAGTACTTGGACTACTAGATAATAACTTCAACCTGAATGAAGATGTTGATACTTCTCGGCTAGTGCTTTTACTCTTCACTCCAACCACACAAAGAAGAAATATAGAAACAAAGAACCCGCAATCAACGAAGAAGACTTATTTTTAGACCACCATGAAAAATGCTAATCTTATGCTGCATGTGACTACTTACAATTACAATCAATACGCATACCCACAGGTAACATCCGATGAGGAAGATTTAGATCTTTTTCATGGTGTGGGAGATTTGAATCTGAAAAGAGGCCGTCATGCACACGCAGGACGAGAGGCCTTCCAGAATTTTTGCATCAACTTGCTCATCTTCATCGTCGAACTCGGAATGATGATGTTCTTCTTTCACTACACTTATGAGGGCAGATTGCCGAGTAGTTATAGATTCTAATCCAGGAGGCATGTAGTTTAATCCAAGAGGCAGGTTAGTTCTCATGATAATTTGACTCTTCTACCATGTTTCCGTTATTCTCCACCTTTTGCGTGTTCAGAAGTCAGACAGGGAAATCTTAGGTAGTTTGCCGAATAGATTCACACCATCACGCAGAATGACAAGAATAACATCACAGTTACAACTATTTTTAACGAATCCTCGCCAGGGGAACTAAGTTAAGGCAATTATTTGCTCAATAGCTGAGTACTCGCATCAGCAGACCCTCGCACATCTTCTAACCCCTTGGTTCGAACGCTGCCGCTGCCACAGCGACAGCCCTGGGCGGAACGTACAATCTGGGACCGAACAAGAACGAGCCACCAGGCATCCAAATGGGGGCCATCAAGCGCTTGGACTAGGCGAGATAGTAGTAGGAGTAGTAGTAGGAGAGGAGTGGAGGAGACACTAGTAGGAGAGGAGTGGAGGAGACACTAGCAGGAAGACATCTGGGGAGGACATCTGGGGAGGATATCTGAAGAGGTCCGCTGGGGAGGATCATGTGGAAGGGGTTAGGAATAATACAAGAAGAGGGAAAAAAGGGAAGTAGAAGAAGGTGACAGAAGATGAAGAAGGGTGCAAGGTATACGTAATAAAGGAGGCAGCTTCTTCGATAACTTAAAAACCATTAGCTATAGTTTTTCAGGAATTAAGGAAGGCAAAGGTGTTGAACCTAAGTAGAGGGGAGGAGGCAAGACATCTGAAGTAGTGTTGTATTGGCGCAGCAGGCCAATGAAATATGCGACTGCGTGCCTCGAAGTGGTCACTTCATAAAACTGTAGTAAACTCTTTTGGGCACCAACACGATATATTCCTAGACTTTTTTTTGGAATCACAGGAGGAGAAGGAGTGTGCGGATGAGCTACATCGTGATCGTTTGTGCATAAAAAACAAAATTAAATTTATCTTTTTTTTGGTTTTCAGAGACACATCACAGATCACACCCAGCACATTGCTATTGATATTCATTGTCGGCTAAGATGAAAAATTGAGACTTGTGCGTTACACCAGAGCTATTGAAGAGTGTAAAAAATTAAACATTCAGCTTTCCTACCAGCATTAGAAGAAAAAAGACTTTGACTTGCAACGTCATCACAAAATTTCTCCAAGACTAGGTTGCTACAACAACATGATACAACATCGACTCGTCAATCCACGTTCATCTACAGCTATTAAATATAATTAATTAGTATGTTTGTTTGTTATCCTCGTATTGGTGACCGCGTGAATGAGTGAAAATCATCACCATCTGGAAGATCTTGTCCTTGAAAAAACTTGACATCACTGTACTTGTATCAACAAATTGCGGTTTGAAGATTCAGGGAAGAATTGCAGTTGCTTGATACAGCTTCGAAAAGATAGCCAGCACAACGACGCGCTTCGAATGTCGAACTGCCGAGGACGTCACCACCACTAATATGCTACTGTTGCGGCTATCTATGTTGAAGGAGAAAAACAAGTCGAGTCTTTCCCAAAAGTAGAGAGTGCGAGTTTTAGCTTGTTAGCGGAGAGAAGTAGCACCATTTGTATGCTGTACCTCCGAAAAAACCCCCACGAGTCTTATAATGATGGCTGCCTTCCGCCTGCGACAGCAAAAATAATGGAGTCGTGGGAAAGAGTATGAGTACCGTCTTAGAAACGGGACTCATTGTCAAAACATTCAGAATCATGTATGATCACGCTGGCTGGTTTATTGTGCTACCCGGATATCCGTTCCCATTATTATGCAAAGTACTCGGGCAAGATTATTTAGCACAACTGGAACTGCACCAGAATTCCTATAATTCCTTTGACATCATGACATACGAAATGACGACAGGCGACTTTCTGACCACGTGTCAAGAACTGTTATCTTCTCCAGACGCTCCGATCGTGGCGTTCTACAAGTCTCGGATCCACCAGGTTAGCCATACCAAATTGCCAGTACTAGATGACGAAGAACCCGACGCGTCAACTTCCGGAGTTGCCAAAGAAGCTCCTTGCTGTAATGGCTCGGAGGAGGTGGCGAGGAAACTGGCGATGGATGTGGATCTTGATACTGTCGAGATCAGTGGGGATCTGCAGGTAAGAAAAATGTCAAAATGATCGCGGAGATGATGTTGCGTTTATAATACAAGTGCACATTTCCAATTTTGAACATGATGATTTTCATCTTTTCTATCTCTGATTTCTGATCCTGTCGTGATTTGGGTTTTTATTTCCTCCACAATTGCTGCGACCTCTAGATGAACTACATTCTTAATATTCTCTCATATCCTCTAGATGAACTACATTGCTGCGACTCTACTTTCTTAATATTCTCAGGTAGTCGACGTAGAGAGAACTGCTGAGAGCGACGTCGAGCAGCCATCAACACCAAGACGTGCTGAACCCTGCTCAGAAATACTCCTCGCCAAGCGTGCTGTCCGCGGCTGGCGGGAAGAAGCATTGAGATCCCGTGTTGCCCGTAGCTTCGAGCGAAGCCTTGCTGAAGAGCTGGAAAGACTTGACCACTTTCATTGCAGATTTGGTGATAGCGCTTCTTCTACGGAAAATCGAGCAGATGGGAAGGAGAACGAGCAACAACATCATGTTCCTATTTCTACCACTCTACTAAGCAGTAGTAGTACGGCCGTTACAAGTACGGTCATAACAAGAACAAGTAGTAGTTGCAAGAACGAGGAGGTAGATCAGGAGAGGATTATAGAGGGAACTGACGAAGGAAGTGAAGGTGAAGGTGTAGATCGTGACTTGAATTTCCATCTCTTGCTGGATGAAGAATTATGTCCACGACCTGCCTCTGAAAGTACGTCAAGAACTATTTTTGCGAGTAGCAGTAGAAGTAGTACAAACGAAAAAGCTACTAGAACAAGGAGAGAAGGAGATCTTGCAGACGAGTCCGATCATCTTCGCGGCCACATCAAGGATGCTCATCTCCGAGAAAATCTGGAAAGAACGAACAACTTTGCGAAGGAAGTAAATGTCCTAGATTCTCTCACTGTCTCTCCCGATTTAATATTACGTGAAGGCGACCCTGACTTCGCGAGGGGGCCTCAGATAGAGACCGAACAGGATAGACAACTCTTCCTTCAGGTGCAGGAGTTTCTGAAAAGTCATAGCTCTGTGGTGGATGTTGCTGTTAGAGGGGCAACGGCTGAGAAGAAGCTGATGAAAACAACAATGGGACTGGGAGGGGGAGGAGATGAAGATGGATATGATGAAGGAGAGGTAGAAGGAGTAAAAGATGAACGAGAAAATAAGAGTAAGGTCGTAAATGAAGACTCTACTTGTCGTGGTCCTGCTGCAGAAGTAGGACACGTGCGCAACTTCTACCAGGAGGGGGAATGCGCGCCTCCTATGGAGCAAACCGGAGTCGGGAGGGAGATACCAGGGGGGCATCTTCAGGAATCAGTATCCTCTACTTTGCCATCACTCACAACGAATCGCGGAACCGGGAAGTACCCTGCTCAAAAATTGCATACAAGAGAAGAGACACCACGCCTACAAGATGATGATGAAGGGATAGAGAAAACACATACTCAACAACAAAGAGCTGAAGTTCCTACTTATAGTCTTCATCAAGCAAATAACGATAACCTGAACCTTTTCAACACAGCTACAGCGAGCGGATCTTTTTCATCCTTAGCCTCCGCTTATTCTCCGTATTCCGACTGGAAGAGACCTGAGTCTGTGGATATCGTCGATGTTGGGGGAAGCAGTGGAGGTGGTTCCAGAGACAGAGAGCAGATGAAAAGTTTTCATCAGGGAGCACAGCCTGAAGATCCTCGTCAAGATGAAGATTTTCGGTATCAAAACTCTCTTGTAGACTCGCAGCCTCAAGCAGCGATAGCATCATCATGTTGCGCAAGTAGTAGCTCACCACCTTTGCTTTTCCGACAGCACATCATCAAAACCTGGGAAAGGAGGAGGTCATTGGATAGTAACGTTAGGCCCACGGGATTGATATCTCCTCATCAACTCTCGCAGCAGAGTCTATCGCCAATGCCGTCACAGGGTACTAGGAGAGCCAGGCTCGCCTTTGTAGGAACAGCCGGAGGAGGACTGGATTCAGGAGGACAAGCAAGACACGGAGACAATATCTTCATTGAAGGAAATAGAAGCGAACAAGATCATGTTGACGAAAGGCGCAAGTTCAGTACTTTTTCTTTCTTTCCTCCTTCGTCGGGATTCGCAAAAGCAGAAAAATCGACTATGCCCCAAGCGCGGATCCCGTATTTCTATGCACGTCCAACGCAAGCCAGTCGACAGAAAGAAAGAGCAGTTCCTAAAAGCCCAAGCAGAGCATCATCTTCTACGGACTGCTTCAACAGTCCACCTCTTTTGTGGAACACTTCAACGGATTCACAGAGGCTCCAGAGAAGAAGAACAATACCCACAGGGTTCATAGAACGCCCTCGTATTTTTTTTACTTCTAGATCAAAAAAAGCAGGAAATCACATCAACGCTGTTGATGAAGCTGAACGGCCTGATCCAAGGCCTAATGATCCTTCTTCTACAATAGGCGCTTCAACAACAACAGCCTTCACTTCCAGTAGCAGTTCTACAATAGGCGCTTCAACAGCAACAGCCTTCACTTCCAGTAGCAGCAGTTCCTCCAGAAGTATTTCTAGAGTCCCTTCTCCGTGTCCGTCTCCGTCTTTTAAGTTTCAGTCGCTGAAGAAAGCTGCGCGTGTCTGTGCAGCGTCAAGACTTGAGGATGCGAAACGAATTTCACATAGTTGCACTAGGAGAGACCAGTATGCTTCTGAACAAGGGAAAAGAATTTCACATAGTTGTACTAGGAGAGACCAGTATGAAATTGAATCGTTGAAGGGGACGAATGACAAAGACTCCTGTCGCGCAACTTCTAGTACGACAAGGAGAAGTGGAACTAGTGGAATAACAGGAAGGACCAGCAGCAGCAACTTTGCAGCAGAAAGTACTAGTCAAAAGTGTAAAAGAACAAGTACAAGTGGTAGTGGTCAGCGCGACGACCGTATTCGCGCAGCACGGTCAGAGAAGCAATCTGCGAGTACGAAACAAAAACTTGAGGAGTTACAGTTATGTCTTGAATCAGCAATAATCATGTACATGTTGAGTAAGAATCCTTCTACTAGAACAGAATACTCATCCTTCAAAATGATTGTGATTCTCTTGACGAGCACTCTATCGCTATCTCTAACTCTTGCGCAATGCGATGCTGCTCGAAAGTGTATCGAGGAAGGCAAAAAGCCTACGAGTCTCCAGTCGAGTCCTGGGGAAGCCAGTACAGTGGATTCAACTAGAGCTAGTGGCAGCCCTCAAGGAAGCCCTTTGTTTTATTTTCCGAAACGCTTAGAAACCACTAGTAGTAGTAGCACTCCTGATGTGGACGTTGCCGCACACGCACGACAACCTAGAAGTAGCTATAGCTTCACTTCATCTTCAACAAGAACAAATTATCTACAACACAGTGGTGATCCTTGTGGTCGCCTATCTTCTTCAGGTGGTGAGGAAATTATCTGTACGGGATCGGGAGGTACATCAAAAACAGTAACTGTTGATGACGATAAAGAAAAGGCATCTTCGACGGTGCCCGCTGATGTAGATGAAAACAAGCGTTCTGGTGCTCCTTCTAGGAGTTTCAAGACATACATTACGACTCGCACACCAGAAATTCCACCTTCTGTCAATGCTGTACAAGAACCTGTACCTGTACCTGGATTTTCTTCACTTATCCAGAAGAAAAAACCTGGTTTTTTGAATTCGATCCTGATCCCTTCCAGCGTGTTGCTGCACCAGCCGCCAAAACACGCGAGCATCACGTGTAGTTGTAGTTCTTCACTACGTCAGCCACAACATCCAGCACAGGTTCCACTAACCACGCACACGTTGAGACCTCCCAAAAATATTTTGATGGGGGATTATAGAATCAGTTTCCCCTCCAGTGGAGCATCATCTTCAATGTTGACTCACGCTAGGGTACCAGCCTCAACAGGAGCCACTACTACAACTGCATCACCTGCTGGAAATCTAATAGAAGTATCTCGTACATTGATAAAACCCACACCAAGCAGTGACCAAGCACCACCGCAAACTCAACATCAACCTCCAGCGACTTCGTCGCGCAAAACAATGCATAGTGGACGTAAGAGCTACGCTGCCATTCCCATGTGACGATGATTTGGGCATTATCTGCTTATTCTTCTTTATCTTTTCCATTTCTTTTCCATTGATCTTTTGCCTAACTCGTACTGCTTTTCTTTTTTCCTACTACTTATTTTATTACACGTACAACTACATTTTCACTGACAGAAGAGGATGACATGTCCTTGTTCGCCCATAGGGTTCTCCTCGCGTTGGGATTTATGGATGTTATATTGGGGCTAATATGAAAAAATCATTCAACATTCATCATCAGAGAATTTGCTTCCAGACTACTGGAAGTCATTTAAAGACAACGAAATAGCATTTCTAGGAACAGTGTTTTGCAACGCGGTCCGCTGTTCTATTCTTGTTCTCTGGAGAGTTTACAAAAAAGTTTCGCATACGCATACGCAGATCAGAAGAATTTATCAACACCATGGCAATGCGGACGCCACGCCTTTCAATATTGATGTTCATAAGGTGTTGATGAAGGATCTTCCAATGAAAATAATCATGTTGAGAACAGCACACAAGGAAGATGACAACGCTGCCTTTCTTTATGTCCTCGATCACCGCGATGCCCAGTAAGATTTCATCGCCATAGTTTTCCTAGACGGTGAGCCTCCGCAAGATAAAAAGGCCACAGCATCATGACAGAGAACGCAGCAGCGTTGGCTTCCTTAAGCCAGATATGTGGCGCAGAATTGCGTCTGGCGGAGCTGGTTTACATCCGGTTCTATGCGCAACATCCAACTTCGAGGAGTGCTGCATTGCAACAGTTAAGGCTTTAAGAAATTTGTATCTTTCGCCAAGTATTACCCAGGAGTTGTAAGACATCGTGGAGCTGCTGACCCAGTGTCTCCTGTGGTCTAAGGAAAATGCAGATCATGGTGCTCAAGAATCAGTTGATACTCTTCAAGAATCGTAGATGACGTAGATGACGCTGATGATCCTCTAAGCCTCGAGGTGGGATCATTTGAGTAAGTACTAAGTAGAAATAATCATTTGCGTAAGTAAGTACTTGGATATTTATAAAGCTCTCCTTTTCGTTTTAAGGACTTGGATATTTAAAGCTCTCCTTTTTCGTTTTCTACTTGGATATAAAGCTCTCCTTTTCGTTTTCTTTTCTATCGCTATACTGTCCTTTCCTCCGTTCTACTCTCTTTTTCTTTTCTATCGCTATCCTATTCTATCCTCCGCTTTAAAACACGTCACGCGTCGCTGTTATCTCGGGATTGGGAAGCATGCTCTGTATTTGGTCAAAAGGGACCTCTCGGATATGATTCCAGGTGGCCAGATCTATTTCGCCCATATTGAGCAATTGTTAAGGCCCAGATAGAAGTATTAGTAAGTATTAGTAACTGTGACTGTGAAGGCCCAAATAGTATTAGTAACTGTAGTGACTGTGTTGAGTAACACTTAACTGTGTTGGGTAACACCCGCCCCAGATAGTATTAGTAACTGTGTTCTTGAGTAACTACACTATTTAGTGACTGTAACTAACACCATTAGAAAGTTTCTTTTTTCTAGTTAGGTCGGCTCCACCACAACTATTAGAAAGTCTCTACGGTGGTCGCGAATTTTCAATGAAGAAGTAGATACTTCACTCTAATCCTCTAATCCTAGTAGAAGACAGTATGGGGCATACGGATTTCTGTGTGCAGATGAACGAGAACCGCCCAAGCAATTGGGACTCACCTCGGCTCTTCATCGTTGCTGCTAATCGAGCGACCATCTTGAAGCAAATCGAGATTGCGTTTCTGTCAGACCATATGTGGCGTTTCGCGAGAGTGGTGTCGTTTCCGAAAGTTACGGGGATGGAGTACTTATGTTCCTTTTTAAGCGGCAACCAAAACCATGTTGGCACAGAGGCAGATTCGCTGGCTCTATTGGATCGTAGAGGAGCGGGCTCCTTACTTTCTAGTCGACTCCTTGGGTGTAATAAAGGATTTACATCACTCCTGTGCAATAAAGGATTTACCAGTTGTAGTCATAGTCATAGTGCGATTCGTAGTTTCTAATTTTCTAGTCGCATGCTTGAACGATTTGGAGCTGCGGGAACGGGGGTCCCACACGGAACAAGGGGTCTACACTATGGAACGGCATCTTCTGGTGCTCCCTTTCGCAGGTTTCCGAAGGTGGGAACTTGGAGAATACTTCTTTTTTTTGTTATGACTTTGACTGAGTGACTAGAGTTAGAGTGTACTACTTAGCTATTTCTTATTCGAGAGAGTTGCAAGATTTTCTTGGTCTTCTTCGGTCTGAGTCATCATTTAGCTCTCCTGTATGAAGAGCGGATGGATCACGGCTGTGTGACGTCTAACACTTCCCCAATCCTTCGAGCGGATCGGAAAGAGTACCTACGCCAACGTCCCTCAGAAGGTGACTTTGGATGTCTACGTGCATGCGAAGCAGGCTCTACACGAAGCAGAACGAAGAGAGAGACATGTAAGGTGGCTTGGTTTGGACTACAAGGCGTATTTGACACGGCAACTAGGAGAGAACAAACGCGGGGATCATTGGATGATGTATAAGAATTAAGACGGTGTTTTGTACTATCGTAGTGCTGGTGGAGGTTAGTGGTATATGAAATACTATTAATACTTTTCGGAGAACAACTACGGATGAATACCTAAAGGGGACTACTATGTAGTTCTAGTGGTAGAAGGTGTCTACTTTTTTTCCGTCGCATAGAAGTAAATGCAGGATGAGAACGCGATGCCCCGTTTTTAATTCTTCATGGTAGACTCATTTGCTCACAAAAACGGGTGTTCCCTGTTGCTGTTCCATTTCCTTGTTTCTTTAGCATCCTCTCTAAGGACCCCACAGCTTCCTGAAAAAGATGGATCTCTCTGACGACGTGGCAGCTTATTCTGGTTGGCAGATCGTCATGCAGTGCAAAGGGACGTCGCTTTTCTTGTCCTGTATCTTCCTCAGACGACACTTTTGTCCGCCATTGTTGGACACCGTTCAAGATGTCGTGTTTATTCTTATGGCTAGAGAGATGAAGTGTCAACAACACAGATTCAGACAACATAGGTACTCATGACCTTCAATGTAGTAGAAGGTCTTCCTTCGACTTGTACTAGATTTTTGATCCTCTGAACCTTCAAATAGATGCGCTCGTCGTTTACTAGTTCTTGAAGTCAAAGAAATACTTGCCCATATTTTTTAGAGGTATTCTTCTAATCTCTTCCGCCATCAGCTTCGTGGTGGCGCGGGTGCAAAACCATTCGGAATGATGGAGGTGGAGGAGATTTGTACTACTCTAGAAAGCTGGACTGAAACCGCGGCTAACTCGTTGTCTCCACGTGTCACAGAGGCAACCTGTGCCGGTTTTCTCGAGACCGCAAAGGAGACCTTACCCGCAACCTCTCGCACTGTCGTAGGGAAGAGTGGTTTGGAAGCATTGAATCAGACCTCAGTCGCATTGCGCCAAGACATAACGAGTTTTGTGTACCTTAAGAAAACGAATAGTGCTGGTCGACAGTCATTTATTATCTCGTCGCGAGTCGTGTGAGAATGTAGCCTGAGTGTTTTAGCTTGCTTTCAAAAAGAAACTAAGAAAGTTGGGAAACACAAGGATCCTCCACTCAAGCACGACCACCGATAGAAGTGACTAACTACCTTTAGCTCTAAGCATAGGGATATGGTGCAAGCAAAATTGAACGCCTTACTCTACACAGAAGAAGCATATCACTGGCTAGATACACGGTTAAAACTGCGACCTGCCTCTTTGCCCGCGGCAGAGGGAGCAGCTTTATGAGTATGACTGTGTTGAGTATTGTATGCACTGTGTATGAGTATGACTGTGTTGAGTATTGTATGCACTGTGTATGAGTATGACTGTGTTGAGTATTGTATGCACTGTGTATGAGTATGACTGTGTTGAGTATTGTATGCACTGTGTATGAGTATGACTGTGTTGAGTATCTTGATTTTGATCATGACTACATTCAGACCCTGTCTCTACGGGTGTTAGAAACGACACTATCAGGGACATACCCATGGCATTGTGTGCACGTTCACGAAAAAGAAGAACAATTTCCCGTTGATTCGATTGCACTTAAATTAGGCGCGTCGACTCAATTTTTTGTTGTACGTATCCGCGTCGACTCGAACTAGTGCGCTACTTTTCTATATTTATTTTTGTAAGTAGCAACAGCTACAGCACAAGTTTTGCCAGACTGGTAACGCTTCTAAGCTTCGCACAAGAAGGACGCTCGCCATCCTTAGTTGATGATGCAAAACGGTTTCTGAAGAGCATACTGAAAATCATGAACGACGAGAACTGTTTGCGATTTCCAGAACTCGTTCGGCAGGTAGGAGATACGATTCCAGTCGTTCAGGATTATGATTGCGATCTAACTTTTAGTTTGAGATACGATGCGAGTCGTTCAGGATTACGATTGCGGTTTACGTTTTAGTTTGTGTTTTTCAGGAGTATATGTATCATTGTGATTTGAAATTAATCTCAACTAATCCTTACATTTAATGAGGACCCAGCTTGAAGTTTACAGGCGAGTGTAGCTAACACTTTTATAGATGGAGATACGACGTCAATGAATCTCGACACGACAGATTTGAATACACAGTCACGCCTCTAATCCTGTCCCTACTCAGTGCCCCTCGAGTTGTACAATAGCGCTTCCTGGCAGAATGACCAAGGAGATAGGGACGCTCGTCGCAACGCCTTCTTCGAGCGGTTATCGCAGTACTTCATGTACGCCATCAATCGCTTTTGTGGAAGTGAGAAATTCAATCTCTCGGTGCTGATCACTTCGTTTATGATGAACAGAATCAGAATGAATCCTGATGTTTGATAATGAACGATGTTCATGTTGTTGATCATGTAGGTAGTACAAGTAAATGGACAACTAGGAGATCTTTGTTCAACATTCATGTAGGTAGTACAATTGTTCGTAGTGGGGTTTAGTGGTAGTGCTGGTGCTGCTGGTTTTCTATTAGTTGTTGTCCTAGCACTAAGAATCCTAGATATCAGTATATCATGATTATGATTATGTATGTATCTTCATGAATACTGCTTCATCAAGTGGTTAAGACATCAATGTTCATCCTGATCATTTTCAATCCTCCTCCATCCGTCCCGATCTTTCATAGCCGGTTTCCTCTCGCACAACACTGGCGCTGGCGCTGGAGCAACGATGGCGGCTGAGGCAAAGAAGAAGATGCATCGCGTCTTGAACTTTCTGCTACATCTTCGGTCTCCAGACTACAGAGAATTAAGGGCTTCATCCGACTTACAAATCCCTCACTGCCATCCCTAATCATGGCCCCTTTTCTGGGGGAATAAAAGATCTCTGAACTACTTCTGAAGTCTACAAGGATCTTCTGAAGGTGAATGCAGGATGAACTCGGCAACCTAGTACCTTTAAGAACTCGGCAACCTATCTCTAAGGGCAGCCTTTTCCGAAACGGCGACGATTCTCATTCCGTTGAAGACGAAGGGAAATAACTTCAACTTCAATCAAGGTGTCATGCTGTTGCTCGTGGAGACGTTTTATCTCTTTAACGAGGTCTGTCTAGGCAACGAAGCGGACTATGCACAGGTGCTGGCGAGATTGTTTTATGACAGGTGGAGGTCACCTTGTGATCTTCCTTCCAAGGGGATCATTCCTTCTCACTCTAGGAAATCTGTAACTGCTTATGATGATCTGCCAACCTCAGCCTCCCGTGAGAACAACATCCAGCATTGTGATTCATACCCCAGGGAGCAAAACCGTTAGCGTTACACTGAAAGCCGCAGTTTGCCGGCAAGTCATAGCTGCTTGCCATGAGAGGTCGCATAAGCAAGGAGGAGAGGTGGAGCAAGATCATGGTGACGCAGGAAATCTTGGTGGCAATATAGATGCCGAGGATGAGACGATGGGACCCATAGACGAGGAAGAGGAAGGACCTGGGAGTCATGTTAAGGCATGATATTTAGAATGGATACGTTGAGAATGGGTCCCTATAATATCAAGAATGGATAGATTTAGAATGAATTATCCCTGTATGCATTTTTGTATCAAGAATGGATAGATTTAGAATGAAATCCTTTTGGAACAAACATCTTGTTGGGGTGAAAGTGGATAATTATACTTACATAGAAAATAACGGATGATATAAATGGCTAATCTTCATGCACACGACTTTCTGTTGTCCGATTGCAGCACATTTGACGCTAAAACTCGTTTGGATCAACACAAGTGTAATCAAGTAGTGCACAAGCCGCAAACGTCGGGAACTACTCGTCTAATTCTGCCTCCGCTGGTGCATTACAGATGAGTGAAGCCTTCTTGCGAACGCTCTTACCTGCACTACTATTACGGCTACAAGAAATCCATCTTCACGGGCATCTTGCTCCCGTTTTTAAGGGAAAACGAGACCCAAGATGCTGCTCAAGATGGGAGGTTTCTCTTAGTTCTAATACTAGCCGTAATGAAGGATGCCAATCAGAACTTTTTGCAGGCTGTTTCGACAGCCGCTGTCGTGAACCTCTGTCAATGTTTTGGGTACCTGAAAAACCTTCTCCTCGACACGAAGGCACTAGGGATGTCAGTGTTGGGACTGCTAGAAAAAAACCTGTTCCAGCGTAAGGATGATAGTGTAATCGAATATACTCTACTGCTGTTGACGAATCTGACCAAGTCTGCGAGACTCAGGGAACTGATTTGCAAGCAAAACACCCTACTGCCAGAATTAGTGGACACGTTGTTGATTACGAACGGGGTCTGCTTGGTGGATAATCAATACAACTTCTACTACTACTAGATCGTGTTGTACATGTAGAACTAGAAGAACCTAGAAGATTTAGAGAACTTGCATTTCAGAGTTAGTCACCATGAACCCTGTCAACAGAGGAACTACCGGAGGTCCTCATTCACCATGATCCGTAGTAACTACGTTTTTCACTCCGACTTTCTCTCCTCTAACGGAACCCACTACTCGACGCCGTTCAGCGGCTATCGGCTACTAACGCCTCTGTGTGCGATCATAGGACAGCTAGCGAACGACGACAAGGCTAGGCAGAACATTCAGGATACCTTCGGAATGAGCATCCTCGATTGTTGTCTCTACATCCAAGACTGTCTGTCCGGCCAGCGGGTGTTTGATACCAGCTTATGGAAGCAATGTTTAGAGATAGAGGAGAGGCAGTGTCTTTTTTTCTTTGTGTTTTGATCGTGTTGTAAGTAGTCATTTTAGAATTAGATGACCACGACACCAATACTATCGGAGGGTCATCAGAAAACTTCAGTGTTCAAGCACTAGTAGTACATACTAGAAAAGATTCATCAACTTCATTTTTTCGCACTCTAAGCACTGCCGTCCACGTGGATTTTCACTACGCTGTTACTGCAATCGTGCCTCTGAAAAGCAAGACTTATTTCGTCCTGAAACAGCTCTGCGTGAATTCCTCAAAGAACAAGCTTTCTGTGGGTTTGCGAGCTGTCGAACCTTTGGTACACGAACTCTTCTTGCTCTCCTTCCTGTACAACTTGATCTGTGATTATGGCTTCCACCAATCCATCTGCGGAAGCATCTTGGGACTTTCCCGTATAAGGGCATCTTTTTAGGGCCGTTCCATATGGCAGTCTGCACTGTACTAACTTTGTGCACGATTTATCGTATCTATAATTGCGTTGCATTGTACTATTGCATGAGAAGAAAACGGCTTCTTCAAGATGACGCTCGAGATGGATTACTTTGGGTTGTAGGGTCTAAGGTGAGGAAGATCTGGATGCTGGAGGAGATGACGATCACGCATCCTTGCGCAGGGAACACCTCTCCCATTGGCGGGAACACGTACCAACGCTGTTGGACTGCTTTATCAATTTATGGAAGAGCAACCGTAGAAGCACTCCAACAGAATGTATTTCGATCCATAAGAAGGTAAGACAGCATTGATGATTTTCTCCATCCAACTGTAGGAGCACCTAAGATCCTCGAAGAAGTAGAGTGAATGCGAATTCAATTCGTCTTCTTTAAAATAAACGGATCCTAATATAAACGTGGCCACTATAGTTCTTTTTTAAATAATTGGATTACTCGACTCTTTTGTATTTTTGTTTCCTAGTTAGGTGTGCTCCACCGATTTTATTAACTATGAGGACAGTATGAATTTGTGTATCCATGAATATTATCGAGCAACTTCTGCCAAAAGTAGGGCACAGAGGTACCATGACATGACATGAGAACTTCTGTCTCCTTCCTCTCGTCCCACATGCATCCTCTCTTCTAAGGAAACTGCTGACCCTTCTGACCTTACTTTCGATCCATAAGAAGGTAAGACAGCACATGGTGGCGGCAGGGATTCAGGAACTCTTCGCGAAGAAGACGAGTAGCCACTACGAAGTAATCGTAGACAAGATCGCGAATCTTAAGGCTGCGGTTTTGACTGGATTTTAGCTTCTACTTCTATTTTCGAAGTGCATCGGAGGATCCAAAGGCTGCGTTGATCCAGGAGGCAGTTGAACAAGAGGCATGCAAGGGTACATATGATTAAGGCTGTACCTAATACATCTTTGGGCGTATCCTTGGAACTACGTATGGAGGAGTATCCTAAGGGAATACTCCCCCATACTTTTCAAGGATGCGCTTGAAAGATGAACCACGGACAGCTCTAATATGAGTGGAGGCGGAGGTGGAGCAATGATGATTGCCAACAACATCGTGGCAGGATGATCAACTAACTGGGTTTGAGCTTCTAGATCCGAATAATTGTTGAAGCTGATATGCATCAGTATCTATGTTAGTGATGGTTCATGTTTGCTGACACAAGAGGCAAAGTGCGAGCGCAGTTGTTGATATTTGTACAAGCAAGCTAGATCATCATGTTGGAGTTGAAGATCTAGATCGTTGACCATCTTCACTGGGTGGCCGCACAAGTAGACACTAATAGCTATAAAAGAGGTGCCATGTCTGGTGCTGGTCATGCTGACGATCAGGGTACACAGAGACACAGAAAGCACAAGGGAAAATCTTGTCAATTCCTCCATGTCATCATCTTGATGTTTATCGAAAAATTCAATTTTGCGGAAAAATGCAAAATAGCCTGATGAGATCCTCGATGAAAAAGTTTGCAGGAGGTGAGAAAAGGAAAAGCATGCCACGCTTATGCTTCTTCCATTGCCCCCCTTGCTGCTCATCCTGAGTCTGAGACTGATGATCCATTGCTGGCGATTTATTTGGGGTAGCGCGAGAAGGGGTCGCGAAACTGAAAATCCCCAAGAAGGACGCGTGAAGGTGAACGTGAAGGTCATTGGTACCTACTCAAAAAAATCGGTATACTTTCTCCTGTCTGAAGGCTGTTGTTGTGATAACAAGGTCCTCAAAGATGTTAATGTACATCATTCTGCACTGAACTTTGTGCGAGATTAGTTGTTGTGTTGTATCGTATAATGTCTTCTAGATCGTAGTTTTAGGGAAAAGTGAAGAAATCAAATTCCAAGAATGGTATTGCGTTTTGCGTATTGCTTCTTTGTGATTGTCTGTCTTGATACAGGAAAAATGTTTTAGCCAGGTGGAGGTCCACGTAATACTTACTTACGCGAGAAGAGCTACATCATCTATATCAATCTATGTATCAGCATATACGGCATCACTCATATTTTTTCATCCATCTTGACTGATTATACTACAAGAGTAAGAAAGAACGCACCACTTACAGTTACTCTTTGAAGATCAACAAAATGGGGGGTGGCGGCAAGAGCAAAGGTGGCGGTGGTGGATCCCGAAATAATGACTTTGCTCCTCCAGGCAGAGGCGGGAGTTGAGGCATTTATCATAATAGTGGCATTGGCATCATTTTCCTTGTTTGCAATGGCCAATGCACCTTTATCAAGCTCAAGGAACCCCTGACTGTGTGGTCTTGATTGGCACATCTTAGATTGCTTCCACTCAGTACCACGGAGGTGTTAGCTATAGTTGCTCTGAGGAGAAGACCAAGACGAAAATATATTTATTGGTTACTCAAATACACAAGAGCAGGAAATGAATCAAAACAAAGGACAAGGAGCCTAGTACCCCTCTAAGTAAAGAATCAAGACTCAGGACGTGGAAACTACGACTCTGGAGGCAGGAATTATGAGTCTGGTGGTGGAGGTGGGAGGAATTATGAAGATCCTGTCGATCCATACCATACGAGAAGACACAGCCGCGTCGCGAATGAATCCGATGTAAAAGCAGTTGCTGGTCCAATATTCGAGCAACAGGGACGAGCAGAATTGCTGGGGAAATTTGTATTCCATAGAGTGTGGTAGCTGCACAGGTGTATATGGTTGATTTAGTGGGTTCCTTTTCCCACTCTATGTGGATTTTGCTGTATGGCAGCGACTTTGCCAATTTAAAATAGAGCAGATTTTTTGGAAATGCATCAACATTTTTCGGGCACTTCTTAGTACCCTCCGCGCAAAGACTTTTATGAACACCTCCAGGTGTCCTCACTCGAAACACGTGGAGAAACACTCGCTGTTGTCGACGAACATGGAGGCGTCGATTGTGCAGCTTGTGGCTACTGCATTATGCAGGACTTGCTGCAAGGGAGAAAAGAATACTCAGAGTTATGAAAATATAGCGAAGAAGATTAAGGCTGTCGAAGTAGAACCGAAGTGCGCAGCTGTACTAGAGTGCGTAAATGCGGGCTAGCTTTGGACCGGCGGCTTTTGGGAGGTTAGATAGCTAGGAAGTGCGGCGGCGTTGCTGCCAGAGAAATGCCGCACCGCGTAGCGGTTTGCCAGCCCGCGAGGCTGCCGGGGTTGGGGTGGCTCGTGGTGCCGGACAGGTGAGGAGAGCGGCCCAGAAGGAGACGGCCCGGGTACGGTAGGGGGTGGCGCGCTTTGTGCCAGTAAACTTGCTCGCGACGACGCCGGCGTGTCTTAAGCCGTACTTGGCGTAGGCCTCGTGGCTATTTTTGTGAATGAGAAAAAAGAGCGCGCCTCGAGCCGGGTACTTTTAGGGGCTTAGACTGTAGGCGTGCGGTGCGGCCCGCACATCCCGGGGCGAGCCAGTGAAGCTGGAAGCTGTGGCCGCGTGGCCGTCCTCGGGGGAGGGCTGCAGCATTCGACACGGCGGCCGCTGTGCATCGGTTCGCACGCATGTGGAGGGGCGTGCGCGCTTCTCGCTTGGGTGTGCGTGGGTGTATGAAGTGACTCGCATGGGCTTGGGGGTGCAGCGTGGCGGGTGTGCTGGTTTGATTACTTGGCGGGACACGCCCCGCCTGGCTCCTTTGTGCCGGCCCGGAGCTTTGCGCGCTCGGTCGGTTCGTTTATTCTCTTGCCTTGGGTCCGCGCAGGTATGCACAGGAGTACGCACATTAGGCGCGGCGCAGTGGGGCCGTGGGTTGCCGCGTTCTGGTGGGGTCTGTCTGTCTCCTCGTTCAGGTCTTGACCTGCGGGCAGCCTTCGGCGTGTTCGGTCTCTTTGATTTCAAAAGTTTTGCTGAAGACCTTCGGCGACCGCAAGTGTAATAGCAAAACTCCCGGGGCATTTTCTTTCGCCGTTTTCCTCCTCCCATGTAGTGCGCTTCGAGCTGGGGTCTCGATAGATGCTCACAAGTATGCCTCAAGGGGGTCTTCTGCTTGCCCTCTCTTACGATCTCTAATCAAATATGCCGTCCCCGAGGACCCGACATTGTGGACAGCGATAGAAAAAATTGGATACTCTCTCAGAGACGAACGGATGCGCAACATCGACTTAGAGCTCTGCACAAGACTCTACAAGCGAGGCGAATACTTGCCACATTACATTTATGGCTCGTTGCAGCTGATCTACTTCTACTCAACATGATATTTGCGTTGCTGAACCTCAGACGTAGTTGCATGATGTAGTAGTCATGACAAAGAGCTCTCAGCTCTCGTCGCTAGTTACTCATTGCATCTAGTCCTGCTCCAGCCCTGGCCTTCCATGATTTCCCAATGTCCGTCTTTTCTTCATACCACATACCTGAGTCAATTTCCGAACTACAATCCTGCAATGGTAGAAAGGAGGGGTCCCGGCGCAGACCTTCCTGCAGTCCTCATGGTTGCCGAGAAGCCGTCTATCGCGAAAGTCATAGCTGAGCACTTGAGTGGAGGTACATCTACAAAGATTAAGATGATGTTGTTGCTAGGATAGATAAAGATTACATGTGATGGTACAAAGATAAAGATTAATGTGATGGAGTCATCTTCTTTGCTCGTCCTGCTCATTAAGTCAAGTAAGTACTATTCAATTATAGCGCTCCTGAGTGATGGCGAAGATGGGCTTGCGCACTCAATCAGAATAGATAAGTAGTGGTAACTGTCGAAGACATTGATGAAGAACTCAAGTACTAACTCAAAAAAAGTCCTAGGTAGTACTCTTGACATTGACAATCACTCTAGTAGGTCGATACCGAACACGACGCGGCGTATCTCGGGCTTGTCAAACCTATGAATTCGTGTGCCATTTTGCACCTGCGCGCGGCCGTTGCCGCCTCATAGTCACCAGCGTCATCGGACACGTTTTTGGGCTCACGTTCAAGAAACAAAAGTTAAGATGGAAGGCTTTGCGCTTGTATGTTCGTCTTGTTCTCTTACTCTTTCATCAAAATCAATGGAAAAAGCCCTACAGATGAAAATGCTTTTGCAAGAAGTCTAACTATTTCAAAATCAAGAAGAATATTTACACGGCGTAACAAGATCATGATCTTATATCAAAGACAACACAGGGACTACTTCACAAGTTCCTCCCCGCCTGCTGATCCCCCACACATCTAATGACCGGCCTCCGACCCGAGTGGATGTTTGCAGCTGAAGTCTCCAAGGAAATTGAAGAAGGCTCAAGGAAAATGCGCGTGCCCGAGCATTTGTCGGAATTGGCGTCAGAATGTGAGTATTTGGCTCTTTGTTAAGGCTCCTCGGAATCCATCTACTTGTTCATGAGCATTCATATTGTTCGCTCCATCTACCTCAGGAACATTCATACTGGTACTCGAAAGAGTAACAGCTGTATGCTCTCCAGTCTGGTGCTCGAAAGAGTAACAGCTGTAGTCCAGAAGATCTCTTCATCTAGGACCTTGCTTTCTCAAAGGGGGAAACCGACTTAAAGAAGAGCGATTTTCAAGATGTTGGATTTCGGGGAGGTCTAACTTCGGCTAGATTGCGATCGGGAAGGGGAGAACATCTGCTACGAGGTTATCAGTATAGTGAGGGAGCACTTTCCGACTGACCAGAACATCTACCGTGCGCACTTCTCGGCAATCACAGAGCCTGAGATCAATTAAGGCCTTAAAGAGTTGTCTTTTTGTTCGTTGCCGTTGCTTTCGCCTCTCTTGTTGTTGGTATGATGGTATCCCGGTTGGACAGACAGGCGATGAAAGGCAAAATAAACAACGGGGAACAAAAACACCAAAGACCTACCTCTAAATCAAGCGCGCTTATGGTGACCTACAACGGCCAAACAAGTACATGGCTATGGCCGTCGACGCACGGCAAGAACTCGATCTGAAAGTGGGCATATCCTTTTCAACGCTGTTGATTATGAGAATTAGTTTTTGGAATTGGATCGGAGTGCTATTAGATATTTTTTTTTGATCTGTACGTGTACAACAAGTGGCATAGTAGTAACGAGGTGCCATATTTTACTTTGATTCAAGTCATACACTAAAAAGGCGACGTACCCAATTAGTCCTCTCTCTACTACAATGCTTCCAACTACTGCCTCTCTCAGTGTAACTTTCATGGAGCTGCACATATTCGAAAACTCGAAATAAGCGAGTTACTGACTGAAATAGAAATATGTTGAGAGTCTTGACTACATTCCTCTTCTTTCTTCAGTATCTCCCTTCCCTTCACTAGTCACTCGCTCATTTCAGTTTATCGAATAGCTCCCAATGTAAACCCTTCTAACTCCCAGTGGAATTTCCTCGAAGCAGCACGTGCGAAATTCCCAAGGATGGACTTGAAGATGCTGACCTATGGGCCGTGTCAGACTCCAACGTTGTGGTTCTGTGTAGAACGGCATAGGGAAATCCAGAAATTTCGAAGAGACCAGTGGTACAAGCCTACGTTTTCACTCCGAGTGCCACACAATGGAAGCGGACGGGATCCAAGTGCGATGCTGAAGTTTCAAACTTAAGATACTGGACTAACTTGCTGATGATGAAGTTCGAGCAAATAGTATCTATGTTAGTGTAGATACGTTACACGTCCTTCTTGGGGCGCATCGCCTGCGCTTCTGTCGGCACCTCGTGTGCGGATGTAGCAAAGGCAACCGATCCTATCTTATCCTATCTTATCCTATCCTCTCCTATCCTATCCTATCCTGTGTTTTTTCATGTAGTTCAATTATGTACTTCGGTAGGTGGTCGAACGGTAATGGCTTCATTGATGTCGGTTCATCACTTTCAAGTCTTGAAAGTCGCTACGTAGAAAACTACGAATAGTCGGTATTTAGGAAACCCCTAATCCCAGGAACTGCTGTGGACTTGGCCACACGCGCTCGACAATATCATATCCAGTGGTGGTAGAGGCGGCGGACGCGGAAAGGGAGGCGGGCGGGGAACGAAGGGCGCACAGGCTAGAGGTCGGATCATCATTAGGGCTTCACGCAAGGACAATCCATCTCGACAAATTTCCAGCATCATCTCTGTAATCTAATATAAGTAGCAAGAAATACAGTCACAATGATCATGAGACTCATCCGGCTTCCAGAATTGTATATTCAGGCATCACTAGTGACACTAGAATACATTTAGAAGCTCACCGCGTTTCTATCGGAAGGAGAAGTTGTAGCTGCAAAAAGTTGTACTTTGCTGACTTCTAGTCTAGTTCTAGCTAATCAAAAGCAATATAATCTATGATTGAAACCTATTATGTCTGAAACTGAATCCTCTCCAATCGACACTACCGATCGGAGCAAAAAGTGCTCAAGAGACCGGTTGGGCTAAACACAGTAGCGATGCTGAAGGCGGCGTCAAGTCTGGGCTATTCTCCAGGAACAGCAATGAAAGTCGCGGAAGATTTGTATACTACGGCTATATGTGATGGTGGTTGAGAACTGTACATGACGGTATGATCATCACCGTGATGTTGGTTGAGAACTGCAAATGGTGACTAACTAGTCGATCTTAATAACTACTTGACGCAAAGAAATAGCAGAAGATGAAGATTCATCGGATGGTACTATTATGATATATTAATGGAGGTACAACTATTATAGATACTATACTATGCAAATGCAGCTGCTGTGTCTGTGTGTGTGTCTTCTAACCTCCGCGCCGGATTCATCTCTTATCCTCGAACGGAGAGCACCAAGTACGCGGATAGCTACAACGTAACAGAGGTTCTAGAAGAACAGACAATTACGGCTACAGTAGAAATAGTTGTACCAGCACTCTCCGAGAGGGAGAGTCTGAAGAAGATGATCTTGACCTCTCACCTGAGAATTATCAGCCACGGTGACTGACGATTCACAGTGGTAGAGAAGATGCACTTCTGATAAAATATACATACTAGTCCTGTGCGAGTACCTCAGGCTCTTGACCTGTGCGACTACCTTCTTTAGTACTGCGACTTCAACCCTCTCTAAGAAAAATAATCCCCAATGGGGCAAGACTGTGGCGGTTTTTTTGAGGCAGAATGATCATTGGATTGAGCCACCATCCGAGGGATACGATGCAGGAGACCATCCGCCCATCACGCCATGTGGTCGCTTAGCAAATAGAGACGATATGAAAAATTATGAAGACTGTCATTCGGTCCCCACGTATTAGATGTAGATTTGTGGCCGATTGTACGGTCTTATGCGCACCCAGTATGTAATTTGGATGATCTTATAAATATGGGGTAAATAATTGGTTGAAAGGGTGGCAGCATATAGTCCTAACGCAAAAAAAAAAAAACCCCACGGTGATCAAGAATGATCATAAGAGGGGCACACACATCACATGACTTCTATTGTCTACTTCTAGATTTAGTTCTGACTTCTACCCTTGCCTAGTCGTACCAAGGCAACCAAGAATGCTGGAATAGTTGTACAACTTTGTCTACCTCTAATAGCAAGGCAGCCAGTGGAAACTGTATGAATTCATTTGCAGACACTTTTTGGCCACAGTAATGGGCGACTGTCACTACACCGAACATACGATAACGGCCAGCCTATCTGACGGATCTTCGAGTGGTTCTTCGAATAGGAACCAAATACGTGGAGCCGGAGCAGGTGCAAACATCCAAGGTGGTCAACAGGCACCCTTAAGGCTAGTACTGAAGGCGCATGAGGGTGAGGAGCATCCTCCATACAACATAGCGCGATGCATCCCTTACTCTGAGCATAGATTTTGCATGCGCGATACGCAGCATACAGCATCCCTGACTCTGAGCATAGATTTTCCGAAGCAGGGTTCTGAGTACTATTCTCCCTGCTTGAGTAGATTTTCCCAGGGGAGCAACTGAGTATGTAGAAGACTATTAACACGCCTAACTACTCTCTTCAACATCCCGTATGCATGTCTACGAAGTAGGTAGCGCTACCTCTAACACCACCTTTGGAGTGCGTCGTGCACACATTTGAGGATAGAGGCTTTCTTTTCGCGACACCTTGGAAAGGCGAAAATTTCAATGATTTGGCGAAGCAGGATGGGGCTGGCAGAGGAGGTCGTGGAGGTTTTGACAACGTGAGTGCGAGACAAATACAGGGATTACTTTACGAAGATAACGGGGCTTATCGTTGATGACGAAGTCGAGTGATTTGAACGATTCGAATTTATAGTTGACGAAGAGTGAAGATTTGAACAATTTGAGTCTATTTCTATAGTTGTTACAAGAGATCTGTGTAAGTACTGCGTAGTAGATGACAAGTTAGTGACCATCTGTATCTGATTTTGCAGCCGTGGTCATTATCACCTTTACCCAGTCAGACTGAGTCTTCTGCTAAGGTGAACTTGTTGTTCAGCCCTCCCTCTTCTATCCTCCCCAGTCCGTATTTCTTCCCACCTTCATCGCTCTCCTCGTGGCGATTTCGATATTAGCGACTTGAAGGTAGAGGAAGGGTCTACCGAACCGCCTCAATTTATGACTCGCTTATTTATTTGTAGTTCTCAATCTCTCTTTTTAGCATCTTGAGCTTGATACTTTCACTTGTCCACGAATAGATGGAAGGGAAAACGCAAAGGCACCGAGAAGATGAGGAGTCCGAGATGAAGAAAGCATGCTCACTCTAATGAAGACCTGAAGGAAAGCGAACTAGTAGCCTTGATGGACAAGCATGGAATCGGTACCGACGCCTCTATGGCTGGGCATATTGACAACGTTGTTGCAAGAAATTATTGCAAAGTTCACGGACCGTGTTTGGATGGTACAACTTATATATACTTTTCTTGAATGAAGAACAAGTTGCTCCTTGCTTCTTCAAGTAGTCCAAGAATCAATTATAATAGGGTTACTAGTTTCACTTATTCATGTATTATGTACCTATAGGACTACGGAAGTTGTAGTCGGGTTCCAGCAAATTGGTTACGAGGAGGTAATAGGACTACAGAAGTTGTAGTCGGTTTCCAGCAAGTTGGTCTTTTATTGTGAAAAACTACTAGGTTCCGGCAAACCAGGAGACGCGATAAGCAATAAGGGGAAAGGCAAGGGCAAGACCAAAGGTGGCGAAAGACCAACGAGCCGGCACATGGTTCCCACTGGATTGGGTCTAGCCATTCTGGATATGTTTATGGCGGATGCGTGCAGTGGAGCTAATGGAAATTGAAAGAGAGAATTAACATTATTTTTTGACGTTTTTGTTGTCGTGTACTACAGCCAACTCTTCAATGATTACGTTTGGAGGGATTTTGGCAATTCAAGTTCAAGAAACTAGAAGTGTCATCATGCTAGATGACTTTTATGACGCGTCGTGGTAAGCATATTAGATTGAGACTCCTTCTTTACCTCCTTAGTAAGCCTCTTACTCACGGTTACGAAAATTCCAACACCATCCCTTCCATACCTGCCCTTTCATCCCCATAGAGCGCATTGTGCCCGATGTCGTTGAGCCCAAGGTGCGCAGCTTCATGGAGAAGCAGTGCGCACAAATATCCAATGGAGTGGCTTCGAAAGAACAAGTGGTGGCTGAAAATTTGCAGATTTTTGAGTCAAGATTCACCGAGTTCAAGGAGAGGATGGAAGAAGTCAGGCACATTCTGGGAGGAAAAGCTCCGCCTGGTAATATTAAGGCTGGAGATAATACGTAAGTATGATGAATCTAAATCTAAATCTATATCTGATTTATTGTAATACCTCTGAACACAAATTGAACCCCCTCTCTCCTCTCTCTGCAACTTTAAACTGTACCCCGAGAATGAGTTAACTACCACTACTACTAACCTAAATCTAAATCTATATCTGATTTATTGGGTCATACCTTAAATTTTCGGCATACTGTTATTGTCGGTAGCTCTGCGTGTGTATTCTTGGGAGAATATAATGATTTTGGTCTTCTATCTTCGGTCTCAATCTTCATTATTGTAGGTAGCTTTTAATTTGCTGATGATGTCCTATTTGTCCTTCTTGAAACTTCAAGTACCAGAAGCAAGTCGCTTGGCTAAATTGATGTATTGTGGTTCATCTTCTTTTTCACACGACACCTGCTGATTGATGGATTGTTTTTGTTTGCTCGGTTTGCACCCAAGGACTTCTGATTTAGATATTTTCGTTTGCTGGATTTTCCCTAGTAGGATCCGGAGAGAATAAGCTTCGAAGATCCTAAAGCAGGACTCGTCGAGAGGATAAGAAGATCATGATGATCATGATGATGATGATAATATTCATAGTAAGAATTATTCGTGATCGTGAGCGCTCCTCTAATGCTTGTAACAGTGGAGGCGGTGGAGGCCGTGACCGAGGAGGGAATCAATATGGCGGTGGAGGTCGAGGAGGACAAGACAACTACGGCGGCGGAAGTCGTGGCCAACAGAGCGGGCGCGGTGGTCAGGATCATGGTCGAAACGCTGGAGGTAATCAAAGTTATGGAAAATGGTGTTGATCAGAGGTGTTGAACGAAAATATGGACGTAAAAACGGAAGTATATTACTTCGAATTCGAAAATATGGATCATAAGGGATCTGAGCCCTCTTCTAACAGCCACAACAAGAGCAAAACTACGACTTCGAATCCGATATTCGGACTATGCGAGAGTATGGCTATAACGACCGCGTCAGAGATGCTTGGGATGAACAGGACGACTGGGGCGAAGACTGGTGAAGTTGGTCATGTCACCAATACGAGCGCTTGTATTGGCTAGTATAAACCCAAAAAAGAAAATAGAAAAGTTGGACGAGGAGAGACTTCGTCGGTTAGCGAAACTTCATCTAAATCTATTTTTATCGCTTCTCGTGTCGTCCGCGTGTGAAATATCGCAGAATAATCCAAGATGACTTTTTTTGTCGATTCTTTTAGCGCATGTCAGTCCAGGTCCAAATACGAAAGTCGACAAAACAAATTCATATCACCACACTTACAACAGGACTTGTACACTGTCACTGTTTCAGATACTATTTTTACTACTTCTTGAAGACCAAGACCACGATGATAGAAATTCCCTATCTTACTAGGTCCCTCGTCGTTTTTTTTGATTTTTTATCCCAAAGTAGTATCTATTATCTAGTATTTGTTTCTATCACCCGCGTGACTGTTCATACAAAAATGGTGTAACAAAAACAACCCAACAACATACATCACTAGTTCTAGTAACAACGAACTCTCTGAAATAACTGTACTTCTTTTTCTACTAAGACAGCAGGAAAATATGATTGCTTCCGAACACCACCTCGATCATGAGAGAGCAAAATAATGATTTCACGTGTAAGCGGAAGCTCCTACTTCGAAAAGCATGAACATGAACCTGAACGCGGATAAAATTCTATTGTACTAAGGCAAGTCAGTAGTCGTGGTCGCATCGGCGATACTTGCAGTACGAAGTTACAGAATAATTCAAGAAGCTTCTTGACTACTCGGCACATTGTCACGATAACATCAACGAGAGAACTTCCATGTCTTGTTGCAGAGTATTCTCGGTAACGTCTTTCATTCGCAATGATGTTATATGGCATTTCCTATAATATACGACTTTTGATCTTCCTGTGCTTGAGTCGCATCGGTGTTTCGATCGCATGATTGGTTAAATTGAGAGAACAAGACGACGAGTGCATCGTCTCGGTATTTCTAATTCTACAGCGATTGAATACGAATTACAGGCTTCAGCTTTTTGGCATCCTTGATAATCATATTAATCGTACAACGAGAGCGAACATATACTATGCCGAATGTGTCCGCGATATCTCCTCCTAATATTGAGACAAGACAAGAAAGCACTGAGAAGTATCATATATCCTTGTTTTCCGCCACCACACTGATTAATGACTTCCTTAACGGAAAAACTCGAATAGCACGACCAATACATAGGAGCACAACGACAACGATAACGACTCTCCCCTTGAGACTTGAGTCAAATTCAAACTTTTTTTTTGTGCATTAACACTAACAAGACTGCTTACTACTTTTTCACATCATTTTGAATAAGTTGAATCAATCAACGCTATCAATAACAACAGCAAAAAGAAAAGTATCTTCTTGTAAGATATTTATAAGTACAAGAACATGTTGGTCTTTCTTTTTTCTAGTTAGGTCGGCTCCGCCACAATTTATAAGTACAAGAACAAGATCCAAAAACCAAAAATGCCTGCCTCAGCGTTGGCTTCGATTGTCCCTCCACTCCTCTCAACGTTGTTGAGTGGGTTTGGTGCCGGATCCGTCTGCGTTCTTGCGCCAGATCACTTCGCGGTTGCGTTGAGCCTAAGTCTCACCAGTGTGAGGAATTGGCGGTCCGCGTTCACGATCGGATGTCAATGGGGCATTGGGCACTCCACAGGGATAGTCTTTGTGCTCACGGTGGTGTTTTTATGGAAGGAGACAGTGAAGAGCTTGGCTATTTTTAATCATTGTACTACAGGGGCGGCTAGTCCATAAGTTCTATTCAATATTCATTGTCTCATAGCGGGTTAAGTTGAACTGCGACAGGGACATACGACACATTACTACAAGCTTGTGAAGTACAAGCTTCAGTTGTGCGTCACGTTTTCAACATTCATTTTGGATGTCAAGAGACAGTGCCTTCTTTCTTCCTATCTTCGAAAAACATTGAAAATCTTCATTTTTGGATTTCATCGGTACTACTATTAATTTGCTAACAAAAACGACCCTAACCTCCCCCTTCCTTCCTCTTTGCTAACACAAACGACCCTCCTAGCCTTTTCTACCCACTTATTTCATATCCCCTCCTCCGCGCTTCCGTAGCAGAATCAGTTTTCGGCTCCGTCGTCCGCGTGTCGCAACTAGCCATTGGCATGATACTCCTATTGCTTGGACTGCTTCACTTCTGGAACGAGGATGCCTATTTCGCTGAATCCAGGAAGAAGGAAGACGACATCTATCTAGACGTTGAGGGAGGTGTCTACCTAGACGTTGAAGAATTGGGAGGCGTCGTGGGTCTGACGAGGAATTCAGGGTCACTAGCGAACGCGGAGGATGTGGAAAAGCAGGCTAAAAACAGTGGAGGACAGGAAGAAGAAGGAGCTCAAGTTCTAGACGTGGCACAGGTAGACAAGCCGGTCAGTACAGCTGCTCATGATCACGAGAGAGCTTCAAATAGTTGTAGTTCATCCACTTCGACTACTGCAGAGATATTATCGCCTCTTGCAAGTGAAGACACTTCTAAAGTGGTCCAAACGAGTTCTGGCTCCTCAACATCAAAGTCAAACCCTTTGTTGGCCTCCTCATCTTCTAGTGCTTCCTCTAGAGGTGGAACCATAGGTGGACGAGGAGCTCTTAGTGGAATTCTTGGAACACATACGCACGTTGATAAACATCTCGACGATTGCGCGTGTTGTGCGTGGACTAGGTGGGGACAATTGCGAAAGTACTTCCGTAGTTCACGGGATAAGTGGTCCCAAAGCGAGTCTCCTGGAACAAAAATGAGGACCACACCAATTATAGCGACAAAGAATGATACTTCCTCAGTAACGCCTGCACGTGCTGCCGATGAAGCAAATAGAGAACAGCAACCGTTGTATCTAAAGGCGGGCGAGGAAAGAACTGAAAGGAGAAGACCTAGAAGTACTACGAGTAGTGCACCTGCTTCGGAGAGGAAGCGCACTTCTTCACCAACTGCCTTCATTGATGGAGTGCCAACAACATCATCGACATCAACTTCACAAGCACCACCAGAAACCGCCGAAACGTCAAAAACCACGCCAGTAGACGACCCTGACATCTTCGTCTGTGAAGAGGTAGAAGCGTCTCCCGCTCCTCCAGCATCAGCAGTGGTCCGAGAGCGAGAGGGAAGACAAGCTCTTCTATCTCCAACATCTCTACTAGTACTACCACCGTCACCGGATGACGATCTATTGTTCGATGGCGATGTAGAAGCAGAAGATGACGAGTTAATAGTCGAAGAAATAGAAGAGGAGCAGACGCAAGCTTCTTCGATCGGCAGTGTGAAAGGTTCAGCGCCTTTCGCCTTCACTGGCGCACCTGTTACAAAAAAGAAAGCGCCACTAAGCTCTTTTCCTGGAGACGAAGATCTCGACGGGCTCTGTTGTGATCCTGTGTCATCTTCTGAAGATGACGAGCTTAATAAAGCCGAAAATGAGCGCATGAAAGAACAAACTGACGAAGGTGAAGCGTTTCAGGCTACTGCACAGATCAGGATAGTACTAGATGATGAATCAGTAGCGCACCCGAGGAGAATAGTGGATGAACAACCAGCACAGAGGATAGCACAACTAGATGACCCGAGCCTCTTAACTCCTGCTCGGCAACGAGCATCAGGGCCTTTGACAAGCATCAGGGCCTTGACACCAGCTAGAAACGATCTGGTTATGAAGGGCTTTTCTCAAGGACATGGTGCAGATGCAGAAGAAGGAGATCTAGTACTAGTTATGAAGTGATAATCAGTGATTTGATCTTTTTCTTAAAGAAATCCAAATCCGACATAGCCAAATCAATTATCAACACCCTCTATTTTTTCTTTTTGAATGAAAAATTGCATTCTACTGAAAGAGTTGATGTACTAGCTACGCTCCAATTCTAAAAATCTTCGCCGTCACCAGCAAGATGACGAGCCGCCACCTTCTTCAGCAAAGGAGGAAACTCCGGATCCTGGTACTACTGCACTGGCACTGCAGACCCCGAAAGAGGACAAGAAACTCCACCAAAGCCCCTCGGGGACACCTACGTCGACATGTGTGCCCGATAGTAGTCCTCCTGGCAGCGCCATCCGTCCTTTGCGGGAAAGGCTCGACTTTTGGTCTTCGCCGCTTCAGCTTTTCACGACTTCTACGTCCTCTGCATTGAAGCACGCTACAACTGAAGAAGGCAGCCACGTCTTCGTAGGTGCTGGTGAATTCGAACTGACCGAAATGGCGGGAGTGTGGTTATGACAGGATTTGTATAATATGTCGTTCGTTCTTATTATCACATGCGCTGCTCCCGCTGCTACTCTCGTTGCCTCGTCGATCGTTGCCGCTCGTCTTGCTCGCGCTCGCCGCCCCAATGAATAGCGATCATGCCCGCCCTCCCGCCCGCCGTGATAGCATAAGCGGATTATAGCAAGAAAATGAAGAATGGCAATGCGCCGCTGCGAACATCTTTAGATATGAACATGAAGACTTCTGCATCTAACACAACAAGTTCCCTCCTCTACGTGTCCTGCGATCGATTTGGAAGCAGCCAGACCGCTAGGGGATCGGGATGATAAACATCACGATGATCGCCATGACGAGATAAACGGCGTACTGACGACGATTGCGCCAATATTAAGGGTCGTTACTTAATTACATCCTGCACTACCATCCTTGGCTCTTTTTCTACTTCAAAGAGGACTCAGGGATATTCTTAGGAATGTAATTATGCAGCCTGCTCCAACAATCTCGTGGCTTTTTTCCGGAGCCAACCGCCACTCCCTCACAACGACGATAAAGGGACGCGCCATGGTCTGCCTCGGGTTCCTCCAAGGCTTTTCTTGTCCTTCGAACCTGGTCTCTTTTCTCATTCTCTCAAAACGACTCAGCGTTCTCGAGTCGATGCTATTTGTCCTGGCATATACTTAAGGCTTAGTCTCTTAAAAGTGATTCATCTTCGTTCTTTAGATAGAAGAAACTGCTTCTAGTTTGTTAGTTCATCTCTCTTTAAAAAAGTGACTCAAAGGTCCACTTGGGCTTGAATTTCCATGTGCCAATATGTTGTGGACCGGTGAGACGCTTGCTCTCCTGAAAGTGATTTCTTGACTGAAGACAGATGATAGAAGCACTTCCTTGTTTCTAATAGGTTGTCCATACATAGAAGAAATAGCGGTAACGGACTTCTTGGAGTTGTCCTCTCGAGATGTCGATCACTAAGCAGTACCACGACTAGGTGGAACAAAAAAAATCCAAGAAGAGTTGTACACGTATTATTTGCGTCTTAAGATGGTTTACGTCTATCATGTCTATCTCTAGAGTGATAGAAGATATCAAGATGTCTTCCAAGAAGTCAGCGCTAACTTACGTCGTCGAGCTGCATTTTGATGGGCGCTTTTTGTCATATATTGCGCCTGTGCATCCTTCTGGAACACGAGGCAAGCTTCCAGGAAAGGCAAGAGACCCTCGAAAGCCAGAGAAAAATGGAGAGGAGGACTACGGAAGGACAATTTAATGTAGTTCATGGAAGGACAATTTAATGTAGTTCAAGATTTTTTGGAGCAGGTTTAAGTTTGTTGCACCAAGATAGGGAATAAAAATCTGAATAAAACAAGACTTGGCTCCTGTATCGCTGAAGATGCAAAAATTATTTGAAAACAAATTTTGAGGAAACGAAACCTCTAATCAAAAGCGCAACATCTACCGGTTTGGCTGTATTCTACTTTGCGTCGCTGGAACCGTCTTTCTTCTCGAAAGTCTGTTCGGCATCCACGTATTGGACGCTCTTGGCCTACACAACCACGAACACGAACACGATCATCGCGGTGAGGACGAAGGAGGTTTTTATCATGCTCAGGGACATGAAGATGAGCATGAGGATCATGTCGGAGCAGGGCACGCAGATCATGTTAAGGTTCCGGAAATTCATCTTCAGAAGTATCTTGGAGCTTCCGCGTAAGGGTGAAACAACGTCCAAGATCATGGGTTTCAAGATGGATTTCCCGAAGGTCTAAGAATGCCTCATCTGGAGGGCAGGGACACGCAGATCATGCTTCATCTGGAGGACACGAAGATCTTCATTACCGTCATCCTGAACATGACAAACATGTACCTCATTACGGTGAAAGTGATGATGTTGGAGCTCCCGACTTGCAAGGTGATCTAAAAAAGTAAGGCTGCATCGGGGAAGAGTTGCTGGTTTACTACTCGTTTCCATGTTCATGTAGCGTCAATGGTTGCATTTGTCACTAAATCGAGTTCTTATGACACATTGCTGAGCTGATTTTGAATTCGCTTAGGATTTGCCGTTTACTTGCGTCAGCCTATTCATTCGCCCATAATGCATTTGTTCATAGACGCATAGAATTAGAAAATTTGAGTTCTCAAACTCACCGAAGTGTGAATATATTTAACTAGAGCCTTAACTGTATTTTTTTCCCTTCCTCACGTTCTCACGCTATATTCAATCGTCTATACGTGGTTAACGTCATGAGCCGGAATCTGTTTCGTGGCAGACCGAACCTAACCTAACCTAACCTAACCTAAGCTGTTAGACTAACTGTCAGTCATGTGGCTGGAGAAATTTGATATCTGACTCAGAGGCAGAATTTGTAGTCAACATGAAATATGCACAGGAGATGTGAGCACTCACCAGGAACCGCCAGCATGATGAAGCTGCACATGGAACTTATGGGAGTTGGATTCCAACTTGCAGACCTGCAAAGCAACTAATCTGTCTATAGAAGTTTCAAATAGTCAAAGACTGAAAAAGGCGATCACATGGAGGAATCCGAAAGCGAAGAAAATTCCGCACGTTCGTTCCTTGTGGGTTCTTCGTTCTGATAGAATGTGTTGTAGTGCTCGTGGCTTAAGGATAAACTGTTCTTGTTCGAAAGATCAGGATCAGGGTCGAAGTGAAAATGTAACAAGAAACGTTCCACGTCTTCTACCGAGGGACATTATAGGTCATACATAGGTACTAGACTCAGCCTTGCCTATCTTTGGAGGTGGATCAGGGATTTAGAGGATGTAGCTTTTTTCTTGTGAGTGGTCAATTTATGTGCATCATGAGGAGGACATGATCATGCATAGAAGAACAGACTCAAAATATTATACTAAAAGTGCAAACTTCATCGTCTCTGGCGTTAGGTGGGATAGTAAGTAAGAGTAAGTGCTTAAGTACTCCCTTCTTCTTGACCTCCCGTTGCCTTGCACAGAGTCCTTTCCCCAATGTATCAGGTGCTTTCGTTGATTTGAATGACCATGGCCTACTCACTGTTTCTAGAAGGAGCGAAAAGAAAGCAAGTGAACTACTAGCGCACCATTAAAGCAAGTGAAATATACGCCATATTCGAAGTCGTGACGTCCATGCTGAAGAACTTTTCTCGAAAAATAGGCTACAACTTGCGCACGCGCCCATGCTGGAGTGAGTGCGGAGGGATGTTGAGGCATGTAGTGGAGGGATAAGGCTTGTAGTGGAAGGACAAGGCATTTGTGAGTGGAGGGATAACAAGGCACTGAGTGGAGGAATAACAAGGGACTGAGTGGAGGGATGAGGCATGCAGTGGAGGGATGAGGTACGCACTGGAGGGATGAGGTAAGTACGCACTGGAGGGATGAGGGCTGAGTGTGTGGCTCTTCAAAAGAGTTGTCTACGTTGGGTCCAATACAAGTGCGGGGTTTATTCGAGAGGCAAGAGAACAAAAAAAGTCCTGAGGAGAGAGTGTGAGTGATCAAAGAGGAAAGAAACAAATGCCATAGCATAGTGGCTACCTGTGCTTGATAACAAGTGCATCACTGAAACAAGTAGTGCCATTGCAGCTCTTTCTCAATTTTCTGGTGTTTAAGTGATTCACTGTGATGTCCAATAAATTGAAAATTTAGTATCCCTCTTCCTCCTGGAAGAAGGTGTTGAAAAACTCGAGAAGTACATTAGTAACCCTATACGGTCATCATGAACGATGGTAACAGGGACAACAGCATGCATTAGTAACCCTATACATATTACGTCTTCCGCTCCTACCTCTCCGTGAACAAGCACAAGCTTGATAAAGATTATATCCTGCAATTATAGGATCCACATGGCCTCAACTACAAGAACATAGATACTGCAAGATGTCCTCTACGTATTTTCTACAAATACGTCTCCCATCCTTCGCAGTGAAGATGATTAGAGTAGCTTTCATTCTACGACTCGCGCCGGCCTCTACAACCTTTCCACTAGTAGTTGGGGCATCAACGGCGCCAGCAGGCTCGCACTATTCAACCGCTGGCCAAGAGCTGGTCGAGCCTGAGGCTATTTCCTCAGTTGGCGGCACGCTTTCTACAACGCTGACGATATCGCAATGGAGTTTCACTACCCCAGCTGGCGTGACCTTGAAAGTGCGTGCCTATAACGATCGACTGCCTGGGCCGACTTTGAGGCTCAATTAGGAAAAGGAGTTCAAATTGAGGTTGTCGATCAAGTCTCATTTAGTAGGAATTTCGACGATTTCATCAGCCAACTGAAAAACCACCTCTAATTAAAGCGTGGCGACACGGTAAATGTGAATCTGGTGAACAGTTTAGGGCAATGCTCGCATCCAGGAGTGGAAAATCAGCTACGAGACTCCTGCGTCACGAACCTGCACACTCATGGTCTGCACATTGGATCGAATTATGGCTTCTGATAGAATTAAGCCTCTCGACTGAGAGATTGGCACTATCAAGAGGAAAGTGTGATCTAAATTGGGTAGAAATCGTCAGGGAAATCTTAGGTAACCTGCCAAATACTCAATACTCTTGAAAAGCGCAGGCACCTATGTATCTATATCAATTGATCTTCAAGCGCATTCATCTGCCTACTCAAAAGTTTTTGATCAAGAATTAAGAACCTGAACGAGTCGATCCATCTCGCCTCTTCGAAAATTTTTGATACTCGTCGCTTATATACAATTACTGCAAGGTCTGAAGCTTCTGAAACTAAGTTCTGAAACTCCTTCCGAAACTAAAAGGATACTAACTACTCTTAAAAGGGAAATCTTAGGTAACTCAGTTAATGAAGATCAAGCTAATACTAAGTAATGAATAAAACTAAAGGCTTCTTCTAAGTAATGAAGATCAAGCTAATACTAAGCACATCTCAGCACTCGTCCGTTGCGCTCCGTCTTAGTTTTAATGAATAAACTAATAGGCTACAACTAGTTCTAGTTTACTCCATTTTTGTAATATTAGTAGGCTATTTCTATTAGTTAAACTATTAATACTAAGTTGTACTCCATTTTTGTTCATCTTCTAACCAAACCGACCGGAAGATGATGTCCTATCTGTAAAACTTGCTCCGTCAACATCGTTCTCCTACAGTTACAGCGTCCCGCCAGACCATCAGGGTGGCACCCACTGGTACCATCCCCACCATCACGGCAGCACAGCGCTGCAGACTGGAGCAGTCGCTGCAGGAGCACTAATTGTGGACTATGGAATGCGCCATGTTCTAGTAGAAGAGGTCGCATTAGCACGTAGTAGAAGAGGTCTTTTTGGCCAACAAAGTACGATCAACGAGAGGCGATGGCCAACAGTAGCCTCTAGCCTAAGCCTAGGACAAAGCAGTAGACCCCCGAACAAGACTTGGCTCTATCAGTAAAAATAGCGCCAAGATATCGATATTTGAGACAATAGAGTCGCCAATAAAGTAGTGCCATCTCTAACTCTATCTTTAATGCCAAATCAGCTACTTCTTCCTTGTTGGTGTTTATCGTCTTCTAAGAGGACAATAAAATTGATTCTTCTAATTTCATGACGATCCTGCAGACGGTCTGAGTTCGCTTATCACCAGCATGGCGGAAAAGGTGTTCGTGATGAGCATCCTCAACAACGATATCGCAGCATTAGATTAAGGGTTGCGTGGTCATCTACAAGCTGTGTCGGTCACAGAGAGGAGTGGAAAGATCCACTTGGACGGCAACGACTTTACTCAGGTTGCCTGTCTTTACTCGGGCTCGATTTGCAAGATCCAAAACCTAACCTAACCCCAACTACACCAAAATATCTTCTTGATGTTCTGCTGCGCAAGGGGTTAGAGTTAGAAGTAGTTTGGTGAATTGGGATTCAGGGGGGAAGAGGCGGGTGGATAGGCGGGGCGGTAGACAAGTGAACTTGCAGCCTCTAAATCGAGTCCGAGGCTGGCGGGAATTGGATCACTACGAGTCCATCGCAGCCGCTGCTTTTAGTGAATGGGATGACGCGGCCTAGGCTCACCCTCGTAGCAGGTAAATGGACTAGACTTATGCCCAAGCATTTAAAGTTTCTATCTTTCTCAATCTCAGCATGATCTATTTGTTGGTAACCTAGAAGAACGTAACCCGGTTTTGTTCCCATGGAATGCTTGCATGATCTCTCAATTTGTATACTTTTGATTCCGTAGAACTAGAAGAGGTGCATGTGCATGATCTCTTTAGAAGTATCATTGGTTCTATAGTTCCGATGAATAATAGAACTGGAAGAATAGCTTTGGTCTAGATTAGCAGGATATCTTTGGTGCCCATTTGTTCCGATAGAACAAAAATACAAGGGAACAAAAGGCACTTCCACTACCAAGATGATGGGGAGACCAGGAAGGTAGATCCAAGCTGACTCTAATAGACTGCGAACCATCCTGGCTGCAGTGATTCACTATGTCGTTCTCAATATCCCATCTGATTGTGAAGCCATGTTACTTGCAAAAGACGGGGTGTGGCTTATGGGCGGCCCAAGACCGGTTTCGCAAATCCTATGGGCGCCCGGCAATCGGAATGACTTTGCTGTACGCTGCAACACGGTTGGCGGACCTTATCTTAAGAGCCTGAGTCTGTCTGTCTAAGTAAGATACTACCTGCCGTGAGTTGATCATGATGAACGTGTAGTACAGCTAGTACATCATGTTGTTGGCTAGCGTCAAGGCTTAGGCTTTGTTGTTCCGTGAGGATGTTGATTTTGTAGATGTTCTAGCAGGTTGTTGATGTGGAAAGAGGTGGAGCGTACTTCTCGAAGTCATGATCTAGGAGCAACACACGACAGATAAGAACATGCTACATTTCTATTTCCATGGTCACGTCCAAGTCCATTCGTTTGAGTGACAACTTCAGGAAATTAGTCCACACCTCGTCTAATTATATTTCCGGAGCTAGTACTACAACAACTACAACGTCCTCTCATCTCAAAGAGTACCCTCATGATCTACATCAGCGTCCTCCTGATCTCCAACATGGATTTCCATGACATCAGCACCTTCAACATGATCATCTCCATCACCAAATAAATTGAGTTCCATGTAGTTGACAAGAACATCAGCTTCAGCATCGTCCCCATCGTCTCTAATATTTCCATGACAACGGGTGGAGGAGGAGGAGGGGGTGGCCGTGGAGGTGGTGGAGGGGGAGGGGCATTGGCAGCATTTCCCGGAGGTACGACGATTGCCAACTTATACGCAACCGCTCGCACTGGAGTTATGGTTAGAGATGATCGCTTTTGTTTTCGAGGAGCATAGTTTCAGTTTGGGCTCTCGTAATTCTGCCGTCTGGTTTTTCACCACGATGATCATTATCATTAACTAGTGGCTAATGCAAGTAGGTTGAGGAAAGGAAGTAGACGACTGTTGTTGGTGACCTCTCCTTTCTTTAGACACTAGCTCTAGTTTGTCGTGACAAATTCAAAAAAAAACTTGTTTTTCCTTCACAGTATAAAAATGTCCTCTGGCAGTGCAGAAGCGGAAGGAAAAGAGCTCTGAGAATTGAGTTCTCTCAAGATGCAATATCTTTTGTTTTTTGCTAGAAAGGTCGTTCCTTGAATTCTAAGGCTCTCGAGATTGTTTTTCCTTCGTACCTACTATTCTTGAGCCTGCCACAGGTCCTGTTTTTGTGACGCAGGACCTAGTAGTGTTTCTGTCTTCTCACGCACCTCCAAAAATGAAGAAATACAAGTCTTATCTTCTAATCCACGCGCTTCTGCCGACGAAGCTTTAACAGCCACTAGTGCTGGTTACCCGATCCATTTCCCGTCTTATTTGTCCTCTTTGGTAAGCACAGAGGCAGACGAAGTTTTCGATGAAGGGATCGACCTTGATAAGGCAAAGACTTAATGAACTTATCTATGTTCTTTATTGCTGTTTAGTGATGAAGGGGTCGACCTTGTTAAGGCAAAGGGTAATGTATTACAAGAATGTAGCGGATTTGCATTCGGAGAAGACTGGGAGTTCTACTCGGGATGGCAATCCATCACATCCGGATTAGAGGAGTTGGAGTTTGACGTCTTGGAGGGAAAATGAAATAAACAAATCGCGGAGGGCTTCTCCTTCTCTGAGTCTGATTGATTCACAGAACGTGGATTCTCCTACTCCTAGATCGATTATAGTTCATCCAGATCAATTATAGCCCATCACTCTTCTAGTCGAAGGTGTATTAGAAGAAGTTCTATATTCGGTATTTTTCCACCGGTGTTTAAGATTAAGTTAAAGTGATAGCAGCTCTGGGCATTATTAAGAGAGAGGCCTGAATCTGAAAACTAGGCAATGTTAATGACAAGAAATTACCTTGCCTTTGAAGACACGACTAAAGCTGAAACTTGAATGCTTCGTTCTCCACTCTTCTACGCTCTACGTCTACGCTACAAAAAAGAATGAGAATCATTTTTGATGAAGACCCCCTACAACTCAAACCCTGTTCCTCCAACTCAGACCTTGTTTCAAGAGGTGACCCCACTCCCCTTGCCCTTATCTCTAGACAACCAAAAATGCATTATGAATCTTCATCTTGTCTCTAGGTAGACAACCAAAAATTGACTATGGCCCTTGTCTCTAGGCAGCCAAAAACTGATTGCGACCCTTGTCTCTAGACAGCCAAAAGTCGACCATGACCCCCGTTCTAATCTCGGTCGGGTCCCAGCAGTGAGTTCTTGATAGATCAAATAATATTCAATATGGGGTGAATGAGAATGACATGACCCCGCTCTAATGTCAGTGGTGGTGGCGCCTATAATTTTCTATTGATCATGACCCTGGAGGTTGATGTTCTAATCTCAGTGGCGGTGGCGCCTGTAATTTTGCGTGCGGGCCCTGGGATCACAATGTGATTCTGCGTCAGTTAACGGTCAACAAGCGACAGGAAATTGAGGTGGTTGCCGACGCCCACCCTCTGCATATGCATGTGAATCATATTTACGACTGTGGCAATTTATCATGTGCATGATATTTAGCTAGTCTCTACGGATGCTACGGACAGCACTATCAGAGATGCACGCATAACATCACAGTCTGAATCTAACTATTGTTCTGGCTCTTCTACTTTAATTTTAGCCTCAAACGCTCAACTTCTTTATAGCCAGAAACGTTCGACATCTCTTGGCGGTATATCTAGCCTATGGCCCCTAGTATACTATCCTAGTTGTAATTTGTAGATGAGCATCCTTCGGCTGTGCTGATGTGAATCATAGTCAAGCTCCCCGCATGTATGCATGTGCATCACGCCCACCCTTATGCGCATGGGATGAATCATATCTACGACTGACTATCGCGATTGATTATCATTCCGAGGACAAGAATAAAAGGGACAGCTAGGACATCCACAACGAACTTATATGATACAATCTAACTCTCGCAGATGATCGTTGAGGTTGAGGTGGACGACGAGGCTGAGCCTTGTTGCAGACAGATCAATGCGAAAGGTGAAGGTCCACAATCTAGCCTAGCCTAACCTAACCTAGACGCGTAGTCTCCATGCCTGTGACGACACTCCTCTCTTCTTCTAATTCTCGCAGATCGTTGAGGTGGATGATGAGGCTGAGCAGCCTGTGGGGAGATGGCATAGAGTTGGCGACTGGGTCGACACGTTCATGGGAGCTGGCGTCGTCCGCTTTCACACCGATCGGTATATGGGAAAAGCAGTGTTGCATTTAAGACATGGCGAAAAGTTGTATTTTTTGATTAAGCATGATTACCTTCGTATTCATTCATTCTTAAAGAAGAGTGACTCTTTACGCACTGACTAGCATCAGCAGGTCGTAGCTGCGGCTGTAGTAGTTCTAGTTGGAACTATGAGTAATGCAGTATGGTATAATTGTCACATTCAACAACAACATCGAAGGAAAATGAGTGTGGAAGGATATAGGAGCTTGTATAATTGTTATCATGCCTTTAAGGCACTTCAAATTTTGAAATTTTCAAGTAGCAAAGGGATCTTTGAGTGGACTGATCTTTGAAGGTGTAAAAACAATTCTCACGACTCACCAAGAATAATCTGAACAGGGGCCACTCTTCATCAATAACGTGAAGGACCGCTCTTCTTGCTAAGAAAGCCCTCTAATCTATAAGTATAAGCATCCTATGCACAATTCTTCATTAGAAGCCCTTCTGCTCCTCTAAATCCACTCTACTAATAAATTGTCATCTGCTAAGAAGAAGGCTCTCTAAAACATAAGCATCTGCCCTATACTGTTTCTAATCTTCTGCCACCTGTTAGAGCATGAAGATGAGGGATGCATGGCGCAGATGGACATCGTGTCTTCTCTCACTCGTTGGTTAAGGCTAGTCAGTCACTATCTGGTGTGGAGTATGAGTATGTCCCTGGTGCTCCACAGCAAGCTGCGTGGTGTGTGGAGTATGTCAGTCCCAAATAAGATACCGAGGGGGGCCTTTTCATTATGCTGAGTAAGTTGAGGAGAGGATCCCCTTTGTTGAAGAAGCGGGGCTCCACTGCTTTGAAACTACTGGGAAAGCAGGATACTAATAAATGAGGGATCACACTAAAGCTAAAGGAGGGAAGATCATGCTAAAGCAAGTAATACATAGTTGTGCCACTTTTTTGAAAGTGAGAGGGAGCGGGGATATGATTAAAGGTAAATTGCTTTACGCCAGGCCCTAGTACGACACAGTGAGTAGACCAGGGATAGTGATTGACAGACTGGCGTTAAGTTAGGGATTCTGTTTGAACGACGCCTTCGAGCCTCGCGTTGCCGGGTTGTTATGTACGCTTTTGCCGGTACTGATATCTGGGATTATACTGGCTTTGAAGTTATGAAAGGATGTCTGAGGAGATGGTGAAGATGATAGCAGTCTGCTATCCGCAGGATATTAAAACTATTGATATTATCCCTTTGAGTTTGATCAGCTAATTTAGCTTTTATTTGCTGAATTTATGAAGATGAACAAACAAGAGAGAGTGCTGGTTTTACAAGTTGTCAACTGTTATTACTTTTAATATAAAGAATTATGCTGCTGAGATTTTATTTCGAGACTTGAGTGTCTACTTCGTAGAAAAGAATCGCTTCAAATTTTTGATGCGTGATGACCACGAGTGTCAATGTTATACATAGATACATCACAACTCCGTTAGTAGAGCGTTGCCAATGCCATACAACAACTCAATCAAGGTGATGAATCCAATCAAGGACTATTCAGGGAGTACTTCTGCATAATACAACTCTAATAACCACCAAAAGTGCGTGGTCTTGCGGTCGGTCTTGCTGCAATCGCCTGGGCAGTCCGTGTGGCGCGGACTGTGATACCTGTGGCCAGCAAGCAGAGAATACGTGTATCGAATTGCGAAAGTCGGCGCTCATCAGTGGTTAAGGCATTGCCAGTTGTATTTGAGCCTCCTTACTCTCACTTGTTGTAAATAAAGATGAAAGTTTTAGCTTTACTTGCTTGCTGATCCATCTTTTTCAGATTTCCAAGGGATGACCAATTTTGCATCGGTATGAGAATCTTCTCTGTAGGATGAATATGAAGAACAGCCTTCATCTAAGTAGTTCCAACTCTAACTCTTTTCAGGAGGAACAAAAACAAAAGCAGCAGCGGCGGCACCAACTGCCATATGCTCTTGCCTCATACTGCTATTAGTTGGGTGTATTGTCACTTCGATTTTGCCTATGGTGAACGATGGAGCTGGTGGGATCGTGGAAACGTTTCACCGCAATGAAGACGACTACTACACCATGTTAGCCATCTCAGTGCCATGCTTCCTGATAACGGTGGGCTTTAGCGGAGTTTGGGCTTACAAAGTTTTTTTCGATAACGATACTTCAGATGCACCAGCTGAAGGTGCAGGAGGTAGTGGTAGGGAGGAGGAGGATGGATTGGCAGAAGGCGTTGGAGTTCGAGTTGCAAATGACACAGGAAATAAGAGTCGGGGACGAGAGGTTGTAGGTTTAGTGGCGGCAGCACCGATCATGTAACATGTAGCTCTGTATAGAAACAAAAGACCAAATCACCTTGCCAGCACGCTACACCTACATCATTATTATCCAGTTGCAGAAGTGCCGGAAGAAGTGAATTTGAAGCACGAAACGCATGTGCATTCGTGTTCTACTTGCACTTGAAAGAAAAATTTAGAAGGAGAATGAATAGAAAAAGAAAAATGAGAGAACGAGAAAAAGGGAGAAAATGGAGTTTCTTAGTTAGTGTAGGCTAGTATGGAAGTGGAGAGATGTTGACGAAAAAAAGCTGAAGGAGATCCTCAGAAAAGTCAACGCCCACAGATGGCAGTAAAGTTTTTCATCTCAGTAGTGTAATTGTTATTGGGGGACTTGTCCCTTCGCCTTCTGGTTGGCAGAATTGCTCTCCATTCCTCTCCGCAAGTGTTGCACTCGGTTTTCTCTCGTCATCTGCTAATGCATCCCCACACCTCCAGCGAAACCCTTCCTACTCTTGTTCTGAGACTCCTGCAAATTATCACAACTGTAGTGCTGAGTCTGAGACTCTTGCATTTGTATTACTCGCATCGATATTATATCATTGCCCATCCTATTTCTATTAAGAAAGCAAGTAAGGTTAGTTTAGTTATAGCTGGTTCTTTCACTTTCCGACCCTTTATCTCCAAAAGCTTTAATATGACAGAGCTGTGGTAGAAAAGACTCTCGATTGATTTGCGCACAAAGAAACTGCGCGTGGCTCTGGGGTCTTTGTAGAGTTGTAGTTCTTCCTTAGACAGCACAAACGAAGTAAAATGATGCTGGCCCAGAGATTTCTCTCCTGGTCTTGCGCCCCTTTCTGTGGGGTTTTGGCCATCGCCGATCCCCACATGCAGCAGGTCCTAGCTGTGGACGCTGCTGGCGAGATAGTCGAAGCTTCACAGCAAGCTGCGCCTGATCATGTCACGCACTGGCGCCGACCAATGTATGCGCGTCCTTTCTTGGATCCAGCGGCGCAGAGCAGTCCAACGCCAAACTCGACCTCGACATTTGTGCAGACGCAGAAGGAGACGGAACATCCGAGTAAGTTACTTACTTGTTGATATATGTTTGGCGTAAGTCAATTGAGTAAATCAATGAAAATATGTTTCCGCTGTCTACTTCTAGTTCTACACGTATAAAATCAAACTATTTTCATTGCTCGACTTCTCCTTCTTGGGGTATAATAAATATATGTTCCAAAATACGTGCAATACTAGTAATACGTGGCACCAAGTTCGATGCTTTCTATGTGATGTTCTATGGATGAAACGCGTCCCCATTCATCAGGTAGCCGCGCTTTGCCCGATTTTGCCCCGACGAATTCGTTTGCTCCGGCTGTACGCATTTTGGGGGATGTTGTTTCACGCGTGACTGGTTCCGTCGTCGACCTACTATCCAATCCCTTCTCCTCCAAAGAACCTGAAGTACAAAGCAAAGCGAAAGCCCCTGGCGGTGGTATTTAGAAATGAATGGGAAATGACGGGACCCTTCTTGAAGTAGGCACATCAAGTTGAATCCCAGTTCACCCTGGATACCTATACATTTGCCTGATTTTTCTTGACCACTTGTCAAAGGTATTTCTTCTCTAATATATTTTTTTCCAACTACACGATATTCTACTCATAAAGAACGCGTCCCCACTCATCAGGTGAGGCACAATATGTTGGCCCGACGATGCCTGTACTATACACTTCGCAGCCAGAAAGACGAGAAGTAGAAGTACTTGCTGCAAGCATTTTTCTAAGCAGCGGCACTTACAAATCTGGGCGACCAAGCCAAGCCTCTGGTATTTAGAAATGAATGGTAAATGGTGGGACCCTTCTTGAAGTAGGCACATCAAATTGAATCCCATTCCACCCGGGATACCTGTACACTTTTCATCTGCCTGACTGTTCTCGACTACTTGTCAAAGGCATTTCTTGTATATATTTTCTTCCAACTACATGATATTCTACTCATAAAGAAAATGCTGCAAAAATGCGATGCCGGATTTTCAGCGGATTTTTTCTCTTAACTTTTTTGGGCCTCTTAAATCACGGAAAAGAGCGCTGGCCTAATGCTAGCAAGCTTTTCTTTTTTTCGGTGAGATAGTGTGACGACAGAGAAAGCCGCTTAAAGCTAATATTTATTTTGTTTCTCAGTGAGCTAATCTGAAGTGAGAAAAACCCGTGAAGGCTAGCAAATTATACTTCTTTTCAATGAGCTAATCTGATGAGAGAAAAAACCATCAAGGCCGAAAAAAATACCGCATAAGGATACTAATCCGCGCGTCGTAGAGGTTGTGCTTCACGTTGCTCGCCCGGATTTTCGCAGGCCTTTTACTCTTCGGGCTATCCGCAGGCGCAGACCCTCGATCGTGCTCTAGATCTAGTTGCGGGCCACCTTCTTCGTTCTCATCTGCAGTGCCGCTAGCACTACTCACAGGCGCCACCGCCTTCCGCTGCGCCGGGACATCTTCAGCGCCCTCGGCTCGCCTTCTTCCTCTGCCTCGCTGTCTGATTCTCCGTCAAGCTCAAGCTGCTGCTTCATGGTTTTCAATTGTCTCCCAGCAAGGCGAGCGCCAGATGGTGCCGCGCCAAGTTCACCAAGCTGGCCACATGTCAACCCAGAAAGTTCATCGCCCAGCCCGCGCGAAGGATCTGCCTGAAGCTTCCCAGAAAAAAACGCGCGTCGCAAAAGCGGACCGGCAAACTCTGCCGGCGTCGTTCTGTGCAGTCGATCTGCGGACAAAAACGCCACTTGTGCAGTCTAGTCGTAAAGCCATGCCGCCGCATTCGTCTGCAAACGGCTCCGCCTGGGTTCCGGGGTAGATCCCGTGGCCATTGATATGCGCCAAGAGGGGCCAGGAGGTGTCTAAGCTTTGCGTCTGATTCAGGGCCGGCATCGTCGCAAGGAAAGGGAGCGCCCGGGCCCACATCTTCGCCAAAGGCGTCGCCCTCGCCGGATGGCGGATGGCCGCACCCAATGCGCTCGGTTTTTTATTCTTAGACTTTTTAGATTCAGGGCCCCACGCTCACCACAGTCTGTCATGCGCCACAGTCTCAGCCATGGCCTAGCTGTAGCTGTACATGTCCTAGCGCTTCCACTTATTCTGAAGATAGCCCAGCGCCAGCCTCTGAGGCTTTGGCTGAGTGTGAGAATTGATTCGAATTGTTGTAAGTGATTTCCATGGGTAAGGAATAGGAGAAGAGAAAGAGGAAGAGACGCCGTAGAGGGAGATCGATCGCCTTTCTCAAAATCTAAAAAGTCTAGCTAGTATACTGAAAGTAAAAGCAAAACCGAATCCCATCCCAATAGAGATAGGGACTTGGTGCAATTGCTCCCTCCAGGAAGCGCAGACAGCCGCGCCCAATTCGCTTCAGCGTGGCTTTGTTTTTCTTCTACAGTGCTTTCTCCTTCTTAGGTTGAGCATCGGCGGCTGAAGTTTTACCATCACCTTCGGCTTCTGCTTCAGGTACCGCCGTGGACGTCGCCGCGGAAGAAGCAGCGCCCGCGTCAGCAGTTGTTTTTGACAAAGCAAGCGCTTCGCTGATTTCCTCCATGTCTTGCCCCGTCGCGGTTTTTTCTCTGTTGCGTCCTTCGGACCTTGCCCGCGGCCATGTCTTCCAGCGCGCCGACCTTTTTCCATGTTACAAACAGAGAGGCCCTCCTCTGTTTTGGGAGGTGAACAAGCTGACGAAGTAGCGAGCTTGAGCGCTTGCCTCTCGGATCTTCTGCTAAGCGTCTCGCAGTAGTCAACGACCCTCCGCGGCCATGTTTCTGGTGAGCCTCGTCGCACTCAGAGGCCTGCGCTCGCACTGGCTAGCCAAGTAGGAAAGGAAAACGATGGAGCCCGAGCCGACTGGCCTAGCATAAAGAGACGACTGAACCAGCCACAGCCGTACATGGGTAGCCCCGACGGTCCTTCACTGGTGTCTTTGTTCTCTCATCAATGAACCCAGGCAGCACTTTGCCCCATGCGTTCACCCTCTACCGCTTTTCCCGCCAGTTTCCCCGGCCTTGTGTCTGTTTACCTTTGCCTGGCTGGAGGCCGCGAAAAAAGCGCGAAATGGGGTAGAGTAAGGGCTCAGCGCTGACCTTTTTGGAGGAATTCCTCAGCCATGGCACTATCGGAGACCATTAATAGAAGGACGAAAACCCCCATTAGACTGCGGCGCGTGGAGACTGCTTTTGAGATCGCAGATAGCTTTCTGGATGGCCTCACGTGAGGGCCTGGGATAACGCGTGAGGGCACCGCCACGCCAGAAAACACGGCGACGGACTTGGCTGCACCACTACACGGCCACCACTTCACCACACTCGCCACACTTACGCACCCTACCCCGCTGCCTCGATGCAGCGCCCCCCTGCCTTATCAGGCATGGCGCCAAAGGGGTGTGGTGGATAGTGAAACTGGTACGCTATGGCACTGTGGAGTAAACCGCTATAGGCTGCGTGAATGAGCACGACCAGCGAAGGAGGCGAGGGAGCCTTGCTGCACACTACGCACAAGACTGAGGCGACCGATCGCCAGGGAAAACACATGGTCAGCGGCTCTCCCCTGATCAGCCACGCACTGACGGAAAAACGAAAACAAGCCCTAGGCCCGCAGACTCAAACTTGAGTGAGGTTCTGGCCGTGGTTTTTTCTGTCCATGAGTGACGAGACAAGAGCGCTACAATTCTTGGACGCTGCTCCAGGCAGCGGACGGGATGGGAAAAGACTGGCCGGAGAGTACTACACTCGGAGACAGCCTGCACATAGCCGGCGCGGGGGCTCGTCGCTGCAAGTCTTGCAGCGGCACAAACTCAGCCGGAGAGACTTTCTCAAAGATGGCCCATGAAAACTCAAGGAAGCGTGTGACAGGATCAAAGTTTTTTTGTCTGAGCCTGAGGAGTCTCGGGAAAACCCCGACTGGCCTCGCTGTAAAAGGCTTAGACTGATGCCAGGATCCCCACGCTGTCACCATTATAGTTTACGCGCCCATAAATATAAAAGCCGTCGCTTGGGGTGCTCGATAAACCAACCGAGAAACCTGAAACACAGAGGCGGGGGCCGCACAGTGCTAAGCAGATGGGCGGGCTTGTCTCTGATCAACACGAAAAGAAAGAACGCGACCCCGCAGGCAGCGCTCTCTCTTACAACTAACGCAACCCCCCGGCAAGCTTTCGCACACTATCACACACTGCCAGAGAGCATAAGACAAGAGCCATACCCTCACGCAACGCCTCTACTTACTTCGTTTCCTAGCAAAAGCGCAGCGGGATGGTACTCGCGCCTGACGAATGCCCAGCCATCTTGTGGCTTGGTCAATGAATGCAAAGGCACGACGGTGAAGGACCTGACGGGCAAGCGCCTTGCTATTGTCTGCGCATTCGCCTACAGCCTCGACATGGCACTCAGCAACAGCCTGCCTGCCGCCCAGAGAGGAGCTAGCGGCGGCCGGGGCTGTCCTCGGCACTATGCTCGTTGGGGCTGAAGAACTCGATCTGCATGAGGATGGCCTCAAGTGGGTCAGGGCCTACCTGGCTTCTATCTCCATTGTGTACGTAGAGGCACAAAAAGGAGAACATCGCCGACGCGCTTGCCTTTTCCAAGGTGAAGACCAGGCAGATCTTTGAGGCCCTCCAGCTCATTCTGCGCCCGAACTACAGCGACGGCATGAAGAGGGAGGCCCATACACATCGAAGCCCCGGGCCAAACTGTTGAGCACTGTGGCGCCCAGACTTCTGAGTGCTTGAAAGGTGCGGGATTCAAGTCTGGCTACGTGCTCAACCGCGGACACCTCGCAGGCCGCCAACTGGTACTGCCTTCCACTGTTGTAGCAAAGCTAGCAGAGACCCAATCTCTCACACCACGCCGCTTCCACCTAACGAAAATACCCGGCACACGGCTGGACTCCAATCGCCTAAAACTCACAGGGGGGAGCTCCCTGAAAACTTCGAGCAAGCCGATAAAGAACCGACCCCACCTCCACCACCGTAAGGTGGACCGAACGCCGTAGAGCTGTCCAAATGAGTCCCACCGCATACTTCCCCCTATTATAAGGGTGATTTCTGTCGCTCTCCTTGATGCGTGACGCGTCACGCGTCACGCGTCACGCGTCACGCGTCACGCGTCACGCGTCGCCCCGAAGCCGCCCACGGATCTATGAAGGATCCGCGGAGCGATCGAAGGTCCACGGTTCTTTCAGCGGATCACTCAAGGATCCACAGATCTTTCAAGGATCCACGGATCTTTCAAGGATCCGCAGATCTTTCAAGGATCCACGGATCTTTCAAGGATCCACAGATCTTTCAAGGATCCACGGATCAAGGATCCACGGATCAAGGATCCACGGATCAAGGATCCACGGATCTCTCAAGGATCCACGGATCTTTCAAGGATCCACGGATCAAGGATCCACGGATCTTGCAAGGATCCACGGATCTTTCAAGGATCCACGGATCAAGGATCCACGGATCTTTCAAGGATCCACGGATCTCTCAAGGATCCCCGGATCTTCCAAGGATCCGCGGAGTGTATCAAAGATCCGCGACACGTGCGAGGCAGCAGCACGACGACAAGAAACATAACACCAGCCCCAATCGACCCCAAGGGAGAGCGCTTCGCTAGAGTTTAGCTAGAAGATAAGCGATAGAGATTAGATAGACTAGACCGAGAAAACAATCCTCAACATAAATACGAGCGCGCTCACTTGCTTCCGTTTGCGGCTTTTTGCGGCTTCGCCGCCTTCTTCTTCTCCTCCTTCTGCCTCTCTCGGTATCTTGCGATTCGCGCTGCGTTTTTCTTGCGCTGCTCTTCTCTTCGGGCCGCTTCGTTCTTTCTTGGCGCTGCTACTTTTTCCACAGGCCTGGCCGCCCTCAGCTTTTCCCGTCGCTTCTGTTGCCGCTGCCTAGCGAGCTGCCGCCTCCGCTCTTCAGGTTCAGCAGCAGCCTCGCCCCTTGTCGTTGTCAGAAGTTCCCCAGCTCCCTCATCCTTGGCGGCTGGTGCTTCGATCAAGCTCGGGGCCGTCGCGTGCTGCTCTGCTTTGGCTGTCTTCAGCTGCGCGCCAGCACTCAAGAAATGAGAAAACGGCCGAAGCGGTTTCAGCTTGCCACTCTTGGCGCGGCCTTTTTTCGTCGCGGCGCCTCCCTTTCTGGTCTCCCCCTTTCTCTGCTGCTCTCTCCACTTCCGGGAACGCTCGGCCGCCTTCGTGGATGCGATCCGTCGGACGCGGCCAGCCCTTGCGAAGGACCTCAGCTGCCGCGCTATCTTGCGCTCATGGATTGCAGCCTTTCGGGTATCACCCTGGTTCACAGGCAAGACAGAGCCGACGCCTTTCTTCTCCGCAGCCTGTCTACGGGTTTCTCGCTCACGCTCTTGGTAAGCTCGTTCGCGCCGCGCCGCTGCCACGCGGTCGGCCTCACGCTTTAAGCTTTCAGAGGGGAGCCACATCTTGAAAACCATCGGCGCCACCATGTTCGAGACACTCGCCGCCACCGTCGCGAGCGCTTCCGGCTGCGGTTTTGCTGCTGTCGGCCACCGGCGCAGGAGAGCCGCGCCCATCTTCATGAAGAGGAAGACCCTCAACTTTGTCGAAAATTAGAACTCACCGCCCATGAATCAACCCAGTGAGGCACCCCGCTAAAGTTCTGGCCGTAGTAACAGTAAGCCCCTGCCCTAATTAAAGCAGCCAAATAATTACTCACGAGACAACACCAGCGGCAGCGCAGTACTTTAACAAGATCCGAACCAGGTTGATTCTTGTGGGGCCTTAAGCTAACAAAGGTCGCCCTTGTCGGTACACACTCGCGCCGAGGATACGCAGCTCACGGTGTAGAGCCTCGTTGCCCGCTGTGCCAGTTCCGTGCTCTTTTGCCTCCAGTGGCGCCATTTGTGCCAGGCGAAGACTGTGGTTGCGCAAAAAGGCGTAATGGCTACACTGTGCCTGCAGAAGCTCCTCCAAGCTCCTCCCATCCCGCGGATCTCTGCCTTTGAGAGTCCCCTCAGCTTTTGCGACGACCGAGACAGCGCCCAGCAGCTTGCCGAAATTGTGCGCAGTGACTTCGAGGCTTGAGTCCTTTAAGACTTCAGTTCACAGGCCTCAGCGCTACAAAGGGCGGCACCGTCTGCATATCCCGCGCGGCTTTGCTGTGCGTCTTCCGAACCGGTGCGCCGAAAGGTCTCACCCGCGAGAGGATTCCGAGGACAACCGAAAAAACGCATCGAAATCTCGTGCACCTTTACAGAGACAGCCGACGGCTTCTCATAGCTGGCCTTCTCCAGCCGGATCCTCAAATGAACTGGGTCCTCGGTGATTGCTCGCAAGTTGGGAAAGGCTTCCTTGAGCGCTTCATAACCAGAGAGCAAGGATGGCGGATGATCGCAACAGATCGAGAGAACTCGCCCACAGTGCTCGGCCGGGACAGACTCACGCAAGAAACTAAGGAAGCTCTCAAAGCTCTCACTCTTCGCGAGTTGAATGCCGAAAGCCACACCAGTGCGGCCCTTCAGCGTCAGGCACTTGTTGCTGCTGGCTCCACTCTTTCCGGCAGGGATGTCGCCCAGTATCGACTGCGAGAGTTAGAACGAACCTACTCAAATTCATCAGGGGGGGGCGAATCTATGAGGAGGGGCCGCCTTCTAAAGTAGTCACCCCATGCCCAAGAAAGACGCCCCCCGAGATGAATCACGGTAGACCTTAAGTGACGGCGACTGTGCCATCAATCGCGAGGTCTCTGTACTCGTCGAATATCTCGCCCAAGTTCAGCCGCATAGCCGTCAGCATTTCTGCGACCGTTTTTCCCTCGAAGATGCGCTGCACAATCTGCGACAACACCCGACGACGCGGAAAGAGACAAGCGAGACCGTTTTCTTCTGCTGGTCGCTTGCTCCTGAGCGCCTCGCTCGTGAGTCTGACAAGGATGGCCGCAGGGCGGCCCTTCGTTTCGAGGGCGTGCGCCGTCACATCCTTCAAGAACTGCTGCGTCACTGCGAGACGACTGGAAAGCCTCTCAGCTGCTAAGACCTCCGGATGGTCTGCTAACAAGAGGCGCCCACCTGTTGGCCCAATGATGACACGAAAATCCTCACGGCAGAAACCTAGCAAGAAGCCTTGGGGGTTCTCATCTTGGTGGCTTTGATTCCACAACCGCACACGCGCCGCCGCGTCTCGCAAGGGTGTCAGCGGTGCTGTCTCCACCTGCAACGTCTTGAGGCCGCTCGAACTGGCTTGCACAGCTTGCACGGTCACGCCGTTACTACCTGACGAAGATAGAAAACAAATACTGAAGCCAGAAAGCTGCCACGCGAAGAGCTGCACGCTGCTACGATGAAACAATGAGAATCAATAAGCACGACAAAAAAACCACCCCAAGCAAGCTAAGTAATACCAGACACAGCACCCAAATCCCACGGCGCTGGAACTTTCGTCTGTGACGCTTTTGCAGTGTCATCATACAAGGCGCGCGCTATGGCCATGAATCCACGGAGGGGATGCTCGAAGGACTTCTTTATCGGGTCAATTTTTGCCACTAGATGCATTCTCTTTACATGACTGGCGAGCGAGTGCGCATGCTTGAAGCTTTTGTAAGGACAGAGGGCACAATGCCACACCTTCCCCGGAACGCACTTCCCCTGCCGCCGGAGTTTCGTCTTACGTTGTTGGTCCTCCCTGTATGCTTGCCAGCAGAAGTCGTTATAACGCTGCGTCTCTGCTGCGTGCGACTGTTTCACAGAACAACACATCAGCCCCGTCGTTAGTCGCTACACGCGTGACAAACTGGCCAGCTTTCTCAGAGATATTCACACCAGAACGAATGCCCACAAACTGCGCAGGACCCGCTGCGACAGTCACCGCAGCGCCCTCTGCTGGCTGCAGCGCGGTGGCCTCTTCGTTGGGCCCGTTTCCGTCTGCGTCCAGGTTTGCCTCGGCCTTCACTTCATGCGCAGCAGGTTCACCTATAAGCGCTGCAGCCTGCTTGACTAGTTGCTTCTTCGAGCCCCGCTTCCGCCGGAGGCTTTTGGTCGTTTCTTCTTTGGAAGACGCTCCAGCACTTTCTCCGCTTGCCAGGCCGAAAGCTTCTGACTTTGGGGGGCCACTTTTTGCCGCCTCCTGTTCCAAGCGGGGTGGCCCTGCGCGCTTGGTCGCGGAAGGGTTCGCCGCCTCTGCTTCGTCGGTGCTGTCTACCCTCTCACCGAAGACGAGGCTGATCTCGTTCCCGATCTTGCGAAGAGCATCCACAAAGGAGCGAACTGCCGCCACTGAGTTGTCATTGCAGAAATACCAGACACCATCGCGCCGCACTACTGCAACGTAATGCCCGCTCTCGACGTAGCGGCCGACATGACGCACGAGACCCGTCACCCTGAACGTCGCACCCCCTAAAGTGAAGAACTCACTTGGCACATTGATGGGCGTGACCATTTTCATCCCGTTCAGCGCCTGCCGCGGACGAATCTCGATAACGCACGCCTTTGTGCTTAGACCATCACCAGGAAGCGAGTGCCTATTCTTGAACTGTACGTGTCGACTGAACTGGCCGCAAGGCTGCGAACCTGGTGCGCCACTGTCTTCAGAACATGTCACATCTGGCGCCGTGTTGCCTTGTTTGTCCACGAGCTTCTGGAGGGACAAGCCCCGCAGAGGAAGGCCCTCAGTCCCAGCCGTGACCATCGGATGAGGATCCGAACAGGTTCGACACACTCCACCACAACGCCGGCACGGGTTTACTCGTTCCGTTTCTGTCATCACCATGGTCACGGTGCCACCAAATTCGTCCAAAAGACGCCCGCAAAGCTCTCCCGATGAATGCTCGAACCTTTTCCCAAAATCAGCCTCATACCGTGGCCCCCAAGGGGCGTCACTGCTGAAAGATTAGAGCCAAGCCGATAGCAGAGGCGAGGCGAGAAGCAGACCCGTCAGAGAAAGGAGGAAACATAGAAAGGGGGCGGCGCCTAAGGTGTTGGCGCCAGTTCTAAGACCGAGCGCAGTCCAAGGGCTGAATCTCATAGCTCAACTCTATGAAGCCCGTCAGCGTAGTAAGTTCAATCACCCAGCCACGACGCTCCTCGTGTTCAATCACATCAATACCGAAGCCATGGCTATGGCGCTAATTCTACTAAAGTCATAGACTAGGTCTCAAATTGTCGACACTGAAAAACGAGGGGAGCGCCAGGCAGTAACTAACAAGCCGGCGCGCGCTCACGTCTTTCGTCTTCCCTTGAAATAACAACGACGACACCGGAGCCATAACTATCCGCGGGAAAGAGCTGCAAAGGCTCCAAACCGAGGCCGCTCTGCCTCATTGTCCTCAACACATCCGCCAGCCAAGAGCGCGGGCAGCTCCTCAACGTTTCCGCAGCAATTAGAAAAGCCCACCCCTGAAAAAAAGACACAGACCACAGCGACGAGCCCCCAAAAGGCTAACCCCCAAGCAAGATGGAAACTACTGTAAAGATTTCAGAGCTAGACTATCCTTACCCATAAAGCAAGAGGCTGACACGTCTGCCAGCACTGAAGGACAGCGTGCGCGAAGCATCTGGTCTGCGCAGTAAATGTCTTGCGCTTGTCGCCGTTCCTACTCTCACCACCGAAGACATAGACTGGATTCACGAGGCCACGCGGAACCACTACCGCCGCGGGGCTTAAGCCTTGCGCCATTGTCTCCTTTTAGCTTTTCTTCTTTTCTGTTTTGAAAGAGCGACGTGGCGATCTCGAGGCAAATTTCGACCCCCTGACGTCTCGCCAAGCCACTAGCTTCGCGAGGCGAATCTGGTTGCTTCTCGCAAAGCCCCTAGGGTAGGTAGTAAGCAAGAGGCAAACTCGTCAGAGCCGGCTGCCGCAAGTCCACTAGTAGCCAAGAGGCAAACTCATCGGGGCCAGCTGTCGCAACGCCACTAGTAAGGAAGAGGCAAACCCGTCGGAGCCGGCTGTCGCAAAGCCACTAGTAAGGAAGAGGCAAACCCGTCGAGCAAGCCAGCTGTCGCGAAACCGCTAATAGCTCAGAGCCGTTGCTTCGCAACACCTCAAAGACGCCGCTTCGCAAAACCGTCCAAAGCCGTTGCTTCGCAACACCTCAAAGACGCCGCTTCGCAAACCCGTCCGAAGCTGTTTCCTCGCAACACCTCAAAGCCGCTGCTTCGCAAAGCCGTCCGAGCGTTGCTTCGCAAAATCTCAAATGCGCCGCTTCGCAAAACCGTCCGAAGCCGTTGCTTCGCAACACCTCAAAGCTGCCGCTTCGCAAAACCGTTCGAAGCCGTTGCTTCGCAACACCTCAAAGCTGCCGCTTCGCAAAATCGTCCGAAGCCGATGCTTCGCAACACCTTCAAGCTAAGACTTAAGCGCGTTGCCGTTGGAATGAATTGCACTTATCTGTTAGTGGTTCTGCGGTTCTCCCTCGGGTGCTGCTTGGGGTGCTGAATTATCTCCCGCCGTGCTATCCCGTGGCCAGCTGCAAGACAAGACGTCACCCCAAGACGTAGCAGGGAGAATTGCAGCCGGCCTTAACGCTTGTCGCGCAACCGCCTGGAGCTGTTTGCTGTTTCGCAAAACCTTTGAGAAGCCGCTTTTTCGCAAAGCCACACAAAGCCGCTGCTTCTTCGCAAAGCTGTCCGAAGCCGATGCTTCGCAAAATCGATCGAAGCCGTTGCTTCGCGAAACGACCGCTCGAAGCCGATGCTTCGCAAAACCGTCCGAAGCCGTTGCTTCGCAAAACCACAAAGCCGCTGCTTGTTTCGCAAAACCACTAGGCCAGCTTCTCTCGTTTGACTTCGAATGGGTTTCCTGTTAGTGCTACTGCGATTCTCCCTTGTGTGCTGCTTGGGGTGGATCTTCCGTCGTGCTCTCCCGTGGCCGGCTGCAAAGATGTCACCCCAAGACTCGATAGGGAGAATCGCAACCGACCGAAACGCTGCTACGGCCGTGGTCTGGGTGTCGTGTACTACGGTCGAACGCAGGAGGAAGAAGTAGCTGCTGCAGGTCCACTTCTCTACTAGAAGCAAGATAGAAGCCACGTAAACACGCGCGGAAAAGGAGAAAGCTGCATATCGGAAAAGTAGAATTTGACGTAGAAGCACTGCTTGCTCACCGGGCCGCGCTGTCTTCGTTAGCTAGCCGCTCTACTAGAACTTCGCCGAGAGAAAAAAAAAGGGCTTTACGCTTTTACTCCAACGGTAGTCCTCGTCAGTCCGCGTAGCGCACCCACGCAAGAAGACTGAGCGCTGCTTCTGGGCACCCACGTCACCAAGAGGAAGGAAGAAGAAGATAGATAACGCAAGCAAGCGCTTGCCGTCGGTTGGCCAGCGCGCTCCTTCTGCTTATCTTGCTTTTCATGTATCTACCGGATGCCGCTGATGTTATCTATCTTGATGCTGTTGGTTTTTTCTTTTTCAAAAGCACGAGCCTAGTGTAGTTGTATCGTGCTACTCAACTGCGGCAGTTGTTCGTCGTTGCCATCGTTTTACTGTGCCGGATGATCGAAGTCAGATTCGACTCCCGGCTGGTGCACCAATGTAACCGAAGCTGACTGCTCTCCCCACGCAACAATTGACATCCATGTATTTGGGATTGCGTGAACACTTGAGTACTTTGCTCAAGTTGAAGCCAAGTTTCAGGAAATTTACTCACTTTGTTGCTTACGTTGTGCTTACTTGCATATACGTGATAACGTAGCTAGTTACAATCTATCTCAAAACAAAACTGGAATACATCGTCGAAGGGTGATTATAGGTTGAGAATCGTCCAAGAGTCTCAGTCTTGTTTTGTCGTGCTTCTTTGTTGTACTTACGTGCGCGCCGTTCTTCCGTTCTGAAGTGAACTTGCTTACTCTCGCTGACAAACGTCTAAACTCATGCGAAGTTCTGACATACATGACCGAACTCAGACTTCGCACATGGACCTTCACAGCGTGAGCGTGCCAGTTCTCTTGACAACTCTTGACTGTCAGTTCTGGTTACAGCTAAGAGGCACGCGTGGACTTTTACGCTCAGGCTGGTGCGCAAGATGCTCCCCTTCGTTCTGCTTCTCTTATTCTTGATCTTTTGAACTAATTAAATGCAGACGCCTGCTGTCTATTTTTTGAAAAAGATGCGACGTAGATTATCAAGGGCCCGCAGATCTATCAAGGACTCGCGGATCTATCAAGGATCCACGTCTCAATCAAAGAAAGATCCGTGGAGCGATCGAAGATCCACGGATCTATCAAGGATCCACAGATCTACATCTATCAAGGGCTCGCGGATCTATCAAGGGCCCACGGATCTACCAAAGCAAGATCCGTGGAGCGATCGAAGATCCGCGGATCTATCAAGGAAAGACCAGCGGAGCGATCGAAGATCCGCGGATCTATCAAGGATCCACAGCTCTACCAAGGATCCACGGATCCATCAAGGATCCACGGATCTATCAAGGATCCGCGGATCTATCAAGGACCCACGGATCTATCAAGGATCCGCGGATCTGTCAAAGAAAGATCCGCGGAGAGGTCGCAGATGAGATCCGCGGATCTATCAAGGATCCACCGATCTACCAAGGATCCACGGATCTATCAAGGATCCCCGGATCTATCAAAGAAAGATCCGCGGAGCCATGGAAGATCCACGGATCCATCAAGGATCCGATCCACAAATCTATCAAGGACTCGCGGATCTATCAAGGATCCGCGGATCTATCAAAGCAAGAACCGTGGAGCGGTCGAAGATCCACGGATCTATCAAGGATCCACAGATATAGACTCGCCAAAATCAGGCCCCTCCTGCCCATTGTTGCGTGCTGCGTGACGCTTGAAATTGAGGGCAGGCATTTCATCCCCCCCCGAAGCTCTGGGCGTGACGCGGTGGGCGTCACGCGTCACGAAAAAGCTCTACGGCGTTCAGTAAGTCCCACCCTCCACCACCGGCACCAGCACAGCCCAACGTGGCCGCACTTGTTCAGGCACCTATACTCTCCACATGAAGACGCAGCATAGGCTAGCCGGGCTCCCATATGAGGCCACCGCCTCTGGTCGAAGCTGGTCGCGCTATTCATTGGGGGCATCGAGTAGGAATATGAGGCAAAGCGAGCGCAGAGCTTCTTTCCAGGAAGAGAAGAACACAGACAAAGGGGCTGGCCATGGTCCAGCCAGATGAGCAAGGCATCTGCCCAGATGCTTACGGCCAAGTCTGGTCTTCGCTCCTTAGAGTTGGAAGGGTCCTCGGATAGTCCGGGACCCAGGGACCCGGATGAAATCGGACACACCACCGCCAACAACCTCCAGCCGCTTCGCAACCCGCATGGGGAGCCAGCGGATCTGGGCTCTGAAATTAGCCGGTGCTCTCACTACGCTACCTACCCCGCGTGGGCTGTTTTCGCCTGCCAGCGGGGGCGCCTTGCTATTGTTATAGGTGAACCCCAAGCGCGGGCGGACAATCTGAGCGAGGACGAGGCAGCACTACACTGCCAGCGGCCCCCGGCCGTGGCTAGTGAACCAGCGCGCCTCTAGCCCAGTGGGCTTGAATGACTAAACTGGTGCTGCGTCTTCCTCTCCCATTCTGGGAGGGGAAGTGAGAAACAAAAAAGAAAAAACGGCGGGCATGTAGAAAAGGTCTCTTACCTCCGCAGGCCACTAAAAAGTCATCAAATGAACTCACTCGCGCCAAATCACCTCCACAGGGGCGGAAAGGATGGCCTTGGGCTCTCCTTGGCGGCAGTGGACGGCGCCGCCACTGCTTTCGCCTTTGCTTGGCTGGTGACTGCTTGGCCGCTAGCCTCCTACCGGAGCGCCAGCACTTTGCTGACACCGCAGACCCAAGGGCGCGCCTTGTCGGCAATTGCGTGCCCAGGCTGCCAAGTCGGCTTAAAAGCGTCTCGCCGTGTTGTGCCGTCGGTGCACTTGTCGGAGTGCACTCACACTCTTGCACTGGATTGCTACCAAATCCGGAACGCCGCGCATTTCAGCAAAAGGCCCGCGCTGCTTGGCTGATTTTGCAGGGAATCGGACCCGGGCGCGTCTCTCTAACGAAGTGCCTCTTTTCGAAGGAGTTCGAAACAATGCCGAGGAGGACGCTCTATCTGTCGAAGCGCAGCGCATGAAATGGATCCCCGAAAGTTGCCGAAGGCTTCCGAAGATTCAGCTCGCAGACTTCGCGACGGTTGACACAAACAGCGAGCGCAGCCACAGGGGTGGCCGCTTGTTCTTCTTCTTCTTTTGCTTTCATCGTGGTCCGCCGCTCGGTCCGTGTGTCTTGCTGCTCACTTCTTTCACCTATTGGGCCACTAGCTTGGCCCCGCCTTCTGTCGGTCTCTGCTTGGCAAGCGGGCGGGCTGCACTTGTGTGAGCGCCGGCCTGACAAGCAGCGCACGCCTATCAGCCAGCTGACAAAAGTACTCGCTTCGGCTGGCAGGTTCGCTCTGCTGCTGCTTAGAAGCTTCAAGCAAGGGAGGCGCGTAGGTAGCTCAGTTTGGGTGAAGCTGCTTGCCTTTGCATGCAGCCAGCCCTCTCGCAGGGTAACTCCTGACAGGTCGAGCCTTTTGCTTTTTTTGTCTCGAGGCCGTTGGCTTCGCTGTGTCTTCACGGGTCCGGGTGTTGTATGGGTCTGCGCGTCGGTGTGTCCAGCTGTCTGGCATATTCTTGGAGCAAGTCACGTCTGCAACTGCGCACTACATCTAAGAAGCAAGGCAGGGGCGTGGCTTGTGAATTAGTATGGCTCTGTCTACGCGTGTGCGCTGCACTCTGCGAGCGTCGGCTGACTTTGCGGCGTCTGGGTGAGTCTATGTATCCGCGTGCTGCATCTGCGTAGGTGTCAGCTTCTTCAGAAGTAAGGCCGTGGGTATGTATGTGCCACGGCGTGGGAGAGTGCTGCCCAGTAGATAGCGGCTGACAGGCCGGCAGCATCTGTCGCGCCGTAGCTTGCTAGATTGATGGGCGGCCTGGCTGTCTGCGAGAGCACCTACGCACGCCCTCGCATGCCCATGGATATGCGCAGACCTACGCACGCCGCGGCACCCACTTCTCAGAGCTGGCACAGGTCTGAGAGATGAGATCGCTTGCGTGTCTCGATTTCTCAGAGGGAGCGCGCGTAAGTAAGGGCGTAGCAGACTACCTACGCCGGAGGCAATATCCATCGCCAACAAGTTAGAGTGCTTAGTTAGAGTTAGACAAACGCCCGCCGCCTTTGCGTTAGTTTCTGAAAGTTTTTCCACTTTCCGCCAGTTTCTGAATATTGCTGATTATTTCTGTTGCCATTTCCTGCGGGTCAGGCGCTCCGTTTATTTCTGTTTATTTCCGTTTCCGCCGCGACAAGCCTCCGAAAGTTGCCGAAGATAAACCGCCAGAAAATAGCGAGACATGAAAATAAAAGGGAAACCTTCGGCAACTTTCGGCGGGAACGAAAAAAAAACGGAAATAAACGGAGCTCCAAAACCGCAGAAAACGGAAACGGAAAGAAACGGCAATAACCGGCAAAAGGCGGCGGCTCGATATTCTTTCCTTTTTCTTGTCTCGTTTTTGATAACTTTGCGCAAGTTTTTCAGGATCGAGGGCGCAAGCCGATTATAACGCTACTCGACAGGGACTCTGGGAAAATCTTGAGCCTTGTGAGACTCTGACGCAGTACCGCTCGACAAATGGGCGCCACGCACTGACTGGCGAGCGGGTCGGCCTATATGGATACGGGCCAAGGCGTGGGCCCGTATTGGTGGGCTCAAATGCATGCCATGCCATGGCGCCGATTGATTGCTACGCACATGGATAGATCTAGAAGCCAGCGCCGCAGGGGCGCCGCGTGCAGTCTGTAACAATATGCAAGACAGGCGCGCGCGCCCATCGGCGCACACCCATGCCATGGCTACAGGCTTCCATCGTGTGTCAATCTACGGCAGCAGGAGCGACGCACAGAAGCAGAGAAAGGAGCGCGCCGCCCGTGAGATAGCCAAGCGCCACGCACGTAGATAGTTAGACGCGCGCGCGCTATCTATGCACCTCATGCCTATGATAGGCGTGCAAACATCTGCGGCGGGTCGGGTGAGATGAGGCGCGTCCATGCATAGATAGGCGTGGCCACCAAGATAGGAGAAGGGAGGCGGGAACGGTCCACGCGCGCAGCGATTCAGGGGCGCGCCGCTCGACAGGTTGACGCGCGTTCAGTGGATTGGAGTCACTGGCAGCGCCTGGCGGCGCGTCGGCTGGGTTTGTTGGTTGTTCGTTCTTCTTGGCAGGCTGGCTCGGGTCGGTGTATCTGGCAGACAGATGGGCCCACCCTCTGCCAGTCTGCCTGACACGCAGAAGGAACCCCGGCACGCAGCCCGCCTTGGACAGGCAGAGGCCTGGGGCTACGCTACCCGTCGGCGGGTCGCGCGCGTGATGGATGGCGTGTCCGCACTAACTAGGTGCGTGCGCTAAGCTAGGCGGAGTCAGTAGGAAACCCCTCAAGGAATTCACAGCCCCCCTGCATCCGCCAGCGGGTCACGTATGAGGACAAGCACGCCCCGCCGGCGTCGTTTTTTATCGAGTGAGAGTGAGAAAACGCGCGAGCTGAACTCTCGGAAACTTCCGGGAACTTTCGGCGGGGACTTTCACGGGCCTCCATTTTTGCACCCTGAAGAGATTCGACATGCATCAGAAGGACCTGGAAACGCTACCCCCGCCGGACTTCGAGGAGGGTCCGACGTATGACGGGAACGCCACGCCCTCCACCTTTCTGCTCAGAGCACTGGCCGGCCAGTGGTTGACCGTGGCGGCGCGTCCTGGTCTTGCAGCAGCCGCCAACAAGCTAGCCCGAGCAACTGCCAACAAGGTCAGCAAGGCGATGGAAGCCGCTGGGCGCAAAGTACCACGCTGCTTGGCTGGTACCAAGGGCGCTGGCGCTGAGTACTCGCCTGAAGCTGGGAAAAATTTCTACCACAAACTCGCTGGGCTGCAAGGTTATCCAGACAACAACAAGGGCGGCGAGAAGTTTCCCAGTCACCCCGCTGCCGCGTATGGAGGCGCATCGCGTGCCTCAAACAACCTACCGCGCGTCGAAGAGTGTCACCGGAGTCAGTGGCAGTCCATCTCTTTGGGTGTCCAGTTGCCTGGAAACCGACGCCCCAGGGCGTAACGGCACGCAACACGATGGAGGCAAAGCGGGCCGCATCCAGCGAGGCCACTGAAATGGCAGGCGGGCCTCGTCTTCTGCTGCAGTTCCTCTGAGGTAGAACCGAACTAGAGCAAGCAAGAGATCAAGAGCCTGACGCCGGTGCCGTCTTATGTGGCAATCGCTTGCAGCGCGGCCCTGTCTTGTCAGGAGGACGCAAACCGCGACAAGAACTGAGCAGGCCAATTAGGCACGCCGCGACTAAGGCGCGGGGCGGGAAGTCCATGAACACGGTAGCCGCGTCGTGTTTGTTCCTACGCAAGAGCAGCCGCAAGGGCAGCGCGCTGATGCACTGGCGAAAGCGTCGAATGCTGAGGCGCTTCGGCTTATTTTCTCACCGGGAATCAAGGGCAGCGAGGCGCTTGAAGTGCATGAGGGGGCTGACTATGTGGCTCGTTTCCTCGAGGTCTTATGACTTGTTGACTTGTACCAAAGAGCCAAAGTTCTTGGACCTAAGGCACAAGCGCCGAAGCCTGTGGACATGGAAGCTGACGAGTAGGAGCTGCCTGGCGTAGTAGTGGGTCGCTGTGTCTGTACTTTGGACTACGAGACGACTCCGATGATAGATTACGAGAGTCGAACCTTTGACGAAGTTCGCCCGAGCATAAAAGTCCAACACGTAAACCACTTGGCCACTTTCTTTCAACGTTACAAACACAGAACGAAGCTAGCCATACCACGCACAGCAGCCGAGTGAGTAGATTTTGGCCATTTTCTTCGACCATCTACCCACATTCTTGAGCACCTAAACGACAGGCATAGGCTTGGCGTTCTTGCTTGTTTCACACCCTAGCACATATAGGCGCAAAGCAAGGCGCATTTTGGTAGTTTTGGTTGGTTTAGTTTGTCTGGTTTTTCTTGCTTTTGGTGCACGGTGTTGCATCGAGGGGGGGAATGTCAGGCCGACGGGGTCAGGGCGTTCCCGTGGTCTTGTGCTCCCTTGTTCTTTCTTCTTGGATGGTGTCACTTCAGGCTGCGAGAGCCTAGGAGCTTGATCGGGTGGCCATGATCTGAAGCAGCCAGAGCGATCCTTCTGCGTCAATGGTAGCCAACTGGTCTGGTTCAATTGTATGGGTGGCGCATCGCTTCAGCTCGAAAGATCAACCAACGCCTGAAGCCTTGAAGATGAAAGATCTGCATAGCCATGAAGCCCGCACGAAGCTGCACGCAGTCCCGATAACCTAAGACGCCAGGCCTGTGATGGCGGTGCCCCATCCTTGCCATCATGTTTCCACAACCAGACGCGCAGCGCTAGGTAGTCCGTTTACACTGGTAGGGCTCCGTAGGGGCATCGGCTTGGAGTAGCTTGCGGCCGTCGTCTCGTGTCGACAGAATTGCGTCCCAGGAACGGCACGGCTAAGCCCCGCCACGGCTTGCCGCGCCGTGGCCAGGCGACTACGCTCTCGCCAGGGCGTACCTTGTTCACCGATTACGTGGCGCGCCCACTGCGGTTCCCGATGGGAAGCGCGTGCGCCTTTACTGCGGTGGACGCGGTTGGTCCAACGATGTGGGTGACAGCGTTGCCGAGCGCTACGGACAAGGCTGCCGCCAGGCAGGTCGCCGCCATTAGTAAGCGCGCAGAGTGGGGCGATTGTGGGGCGGCTCGATGTGGTAACGGCTCGCACTTCTCTGAGGAATTTTGGGAGGGTCTGCAGCGCTTGCATTTTGAGAAACTGGCCAAGGAGGCCCCGGGCGCGCGTCGTGGTGCCTCATGGCTGCCTGAGTCTCCGGCCACCGTCGAAGCGCCACACCCTGAGGCCAGCCGCTCTCCCCGGACTAGGCTCTCCTCTTTGCCGTCGTCGATTGCTTCGCCCGCAACGGCGAGAGCATGCTTGAGCCCCAAGAGGGCCCCGCGACTACCGACCTTCCGGGTGACTCCTCTTGGCGGGCCCGCTTACCTGGCATTTTGTGGCCGGCCTTGGTTCTCTAATGGTGCTACCAGCCTTATCGCACACCGCGGCCGCGGTTTGCGTGTTCGAGCGACAGGGAGGGCCGCGCCTGGGGTGATGAGCCTGCACCTGCCGAGATCGGGCCCGAGCTTGCCCTTGCATCTAGCCGAGCGACCTTGGGCAAGAGAATGCAGATGGATGCTGCAAACGTTGCAAAGAGGAAGCGGCAAAGGGGTGACGTGTGCAACGACCATCCCCGCAGGCTGCGCCGCGGGTAACTCGTCGCGTGGTTGCGCCCTTCTCGTAAGAAGTGGGAGCCGCGGCCGATGCGGGAGCCCTTCGCCATCATAAAGGCAGCGGCCCGATGGTCGCGCGCGCATGGATGGGGCCTGCTTCAGTGGTGCGGTGCGTCAAATTGTTCCCATTCTGGTTCGCCTGGCTGGCTGGGGCTGCGAAGTGTGTAATGAAGTGGAGTCAAGAACTCACAGCTGACCAGTCGCAAGGACCTCTTGGCGGTAATGCAGCGCCACCGCTATGACTATCGGAAGGGCCTAGCGTAGTAAGATGAAAAAAGAAGCGAGGGCCGCGCCTGGGGTCTCAGGCAGTTTCTGAACGACCTCACGAGGGGGCTGGGGTTACCCCGCGAGCCAATAACCAACACGCATCAACGCTTTACCACTCCCACACACAACCACGCTGCCAGCCTCCCACATTACTGAGCCCACGCACCGCCACCATCTGCAACGCGTCACCCCAGTACAGTTGCCACAGAGTCTGACTTATCGGAAGCCTGTCAATGAATGCTGTCGACGGGTGAAAAATGTGCAAAAAGGGGCGCGTCGGTCTATGCATCTTGACCGGCCCCACGAAGTGCAGGCTTGTGCCTATCTTATCGGAACCTTGTTAAGGCTGGGAGAGGGTGGCTCATCTTCACTCCAACAGCGTCGCAATTACAGAAGGCTGCGGGCCTTTGAAGTGCCAGGGATGAGGATCATGCTGGAAGTTCTTTACAATGGTGCAGAATAGCCTCCGCCACAGCTGAAAATAGTGCGAGCATTGCTAGGATGGGCAGGCGAGGCTTTCAGTTGCAGGTGAGATGAGTCCACAGCCCTGCGCCTGGCGCCCATTTGATCTCACGGGCTGCTCGCGCTTGGCGTAAGTTGTACTTCGGTGGCCCAGTTCGCCTGAGTCTTGGAGCGTGGAGGCCCGCAGGCAATGGCCCCACCTCCATGCGCCACGCGGGGCGAAGCGCTGCCTCGGGTTGTGACTTGCAGGTGATCTGATGGGCGTCGCCTCGTGGGCCATGGAGGGCGCCTGGCGATCTGGCCACTGCCGAAGCTGTGCGCGGCTACCATCTGCTGGAACGGCAGCGAGCCTTTGGGCCGCCACAGGAGAGCGCAAGCCCGCCGCGGTCTCGGTCTTGCTTCTCTTGGAAATTGAAAACGCAGCATTTTGCTCAAAGAGCGACTCTCTTTCTATATTAATTCTATTTCCAAAAAGTCACCTCTAGTCGCTGACTGGCCGTAACGTTTTGGCCTTGTTGGGCGGCAAGTGTTGTAGTTCGATCCAGCTCTCAAAAAAAAAGCAACTCCGACAAATCGCGCAAAAATGGAAAGCGCAACACTTTGCGCCAAAAAAGCGCAACGCGCTGCGCTTTCATTGACTGAGCACGAAAATACAGCAAAAGCCCCAGACTTCGCATCTCGGTGCCGCAGGTGGTCAAAGGTTAAAAATCTGCAGGAGAGATAGTCTGTCTGGCAGGCCGACTGGGTCATGGCGTTCCCATGGTCCCGCGCTCCCTTGCTCTTGCTCTCTGGCGTCGCTTCAGGCTGTGAGGGCCTGGGAGTTTGATCGGCTGCCCACGATCTGAAGCAACCACGGCGACCCGTCTGCACCAATGGCAGTCGGCTGGTCTGGTTCAGTGGTGTCGTGCATCGCTTCGACTTGAAAGCCCAGCGCCCGACCCCGAGTCCTGTCCTTGAAGGTGAAAGACGTGCAACCGCGTGAAACCCGTGCGAAACTGACTACACGCAGCGGCGACAGCCTAAGACTGCGGGCTCGGCTTGTGACGATTGTGCCCCGTCTTTTCTATGGTTTCACTACCAGGCGCACAGCGCTAGGCAGTCCATTCAGACTGGCAAGGGCTCCGCAGGGGGAGGGGCATTAGCTTGATAAGCTTAGCGGTCATCTTGTCGACAGAATCGCGCCCCGCGGTAAAGTGCCTGCCGGACATTCTGCGAAACAGTCTGCCTTCATTATAGTTGGAGTAACGTGATAAAAAAAAAAAAGTCGATAAGTGATTTTCCTTATTCAGTTTCTTACTGATGCGATGAGGCTGCGCGCAGCCGATACGGAGCAGATGTTTTCGGGAGGTCTTTTCTTTGCGAAACTGACGACGTCGTGAAGTCTCGTCGTGGAATTCCCGACCCAGAAGTGATCAGATACTGCAGGTTGTTACTTTGATGCAAGTAAGCCTAGTAGCTGGTCGCGTAGGGGGTGACGAAGTAGCTGCATGCTGAGGCTTCGCACGTATGGGCTTGCATTTGTTTTTTTTTCGATCGTGGCTCGTTTTGCTTATCTGGTTGTTAGCTTGGTTGTCATGTCCTCGCTCTTGGTAACTACTCCGCACCCAGTGGCCAGCTTCTATATTTATATACTATCTTCAGCGTCATGGCGTCAATATAGACAGCGCACAGCGCTCCAAGGTTTATTTTAACTCGAGTCGGTGACGATCTTGGTCGCGGCTACTACTATTACTACTACTACTACTACTACTACTACTGCTACGGCTACATCACGGCCCGCGCGCTGCTAGTCATGTTCTGCTGTTCGGATGATACGGGCTCGGCGTTTCTTGGACGAAGTGGCGGCCGCGACTCGTCTACGAGGTTGCGAAGACAGCAACTGGATAGCACGCACCAGCATGGCCACGGCCACGACTATGCTGAAACAGCTTTTGGCTCCGCCAAGACCTCGCCAAGCAAGGCGCGCGAGGATCGTGAAGCCCTAAACCCTAGGCCCTGAGCGCCCTAAAGTCTGCAGCCATATCCTCGGTCGTGAGTTAATCACTTTCGTCGACTTCTTGACTTAGAACGTCAAGACCGCGACTACAGCCGATCCCTGTGCTCTGCAACTCTTTGAAAGTGGCTCGGTATACTCCTCGCCGTGCAAGCTAGTGAAGCTCAAAGCTGTGCAGTGCGACAAACATGAGGAGAGCTACTTCCTCCGCTTCGTAGCAAGCTAGAAGTAAGAAAATGCCAAAGAGACAAACTCGACCATAGGCAAAAAAGAGCGCGGCACGAAAATGGTCACCGTGGGCGAAATGGAGGCCGCTCGGTGCGTATTCTACGGGAAAGTCTTCCGCGTGATCTTCTGCAGTGGTCTTGCTTCTGCCCGCTGTTCTTGTTCGTCTTGTTGTAGCCGAGCAAGTAGCTGTAGAAGTCGTCAGTGATGATCTTCAACCATGGCCATTGTCTGCAAGTTCGATTCTGTTCGGAAGTCAATTTTTATAATGGTGCCGCGTTGGTTGTAGTTCTCCGCTGTGTCAGATGATGGCGCTGCGGATTTTTTTCAAATTATAACGCCAACTAGACTACTGCAGGATATGAATGCACTGCAATACGACTCGGCGCCTTGTCGTCCATGTGAAGTGATCGCTATAGTATAGTGACCACGTCAGCACTTTTCTGCGCGAGCTCCTTTTTTGATCATTCGCGGCCACCATCTAGCTGCTGCTGTAGTTTGATTCTTCTACTTCTAGAGCCACCGCGCGCCTTTTCTTCTATCAAATAAAGCAACAAAATGGGCCAGGGATCGTGGTCGCCGAATCATGCAACGACCCAAATGACTCCGGCTGACGCGGGCGACAGTACTGAAATGGGGCCAGTCTTCTTGACTTCGTGCCCTACTTATGGAGCTACAACCTGGCTGCTTTTCCAAGTAGCAGCCGCGTTTCGTGATTTTGTACAACAGTCGGGACCTTCTGCAGGTTGTTGGGGTAGGTCGTCAGCAGCTGCGCCGCAGTTTTTACTCTTGCTAGACTTATACACAGTCTCACAGTGGTGCGAGTCAAGGAGCGCGCCCGAGCAGCTTACCGAGGGAAGACCATAGCGCGCCAGACAGCTGCGGCAACTCGGCGCGTTGTATCTTCAGGCGGCCCAGTCGCTCCTGAACCTGATGCCCCTGCGTCTTCGGAGCAACTGGACGACTCTAGCACGGAAGTAGAAGGCGCTGGCCATCGGGTGGCGGAATTACAGAAGACTTCGTCTGGCGTCGTGGAACAAGGTGCAGATAGTGGCAGTAGTAGCTACTACTCTGATCGGCCCGGTCATGAGTCATCCGCCCCCGACTGGGTTGGCCAGCGTTTTCGACACGGCTGGCAGTGACCGCGACGCTTTCCATTCATGCGTCGGATCGCTAGAGGCGCCCCACCCAGCCCAGGGCTGACTCCTCCTGGCGCGCAGGGATATAGGAATCGAGTAGCTCTGCTTGAAGAAGAACTGCCGGCCGACCACTTGGAGAAAATAAGTCTGCAGCTTCTACAGGAGCAAGCTCTTCAGCGCGAAGATTCAGAGGATGGACCATAAAAGTGACCACTTGCGTTGCTATGGTAGGTCAGGAGTAGGCGAAGGCGATCGTAGTGACATAGTGGAGCAAGCCGCTTCACGCGAGCAGATGACGAAAAAGGGAAGCGCAAGCGCTAGCACTAGCAAAACAGCTAGCAAATTGATGACAGCGAAGCGGAGAGTAGTGGCGCAAGTGTCAACGCCGACGCCTCCGAAGTATCAGCTGACGAAAAGAAGAGCGCTGGCTGCTCCTGCTCTTGCTTCTTTGAAAATGAAGACGAAAAAGCCACAGCACGGAAAGAAAAGCCTAGCGAATCTGCAGCCGCGGCCGCGATATGCTTTCGCGGAATTTTTCTGCGATCAAGCAGCGACCAGAAGCACAGCAGCAGAGGCCAGACGTGACGAAGACGCCAGTAAGTGTAGAGCTGTCGCAATCGCATGACAGGCAGCAGCCTGATGCCGTGGCAGATGGGGTTGTGGATGATCATGATACTCCTGGCGGGAGCTTGGCTCCCCGAAAAAGCTGCTTCGCGTCAGCTTGTAGTAAGTTAGTAGTGGCAACGCTAACAAAGGCGACCATCTCACTGACCAGGAGACGGGCACGAAGATGGTGGCGATCCTTGAAGAATCTCCATTGAAGCCGCAAAGGCTACCAATGTTGGGAAGCTGGACCGCGCCAGGCTTGGACGAGCTAGATCCGGATCGTGAATTGCTCAAGGACAGGGGTGGCCTTCCAATGAAGGCACTACCTAGCTTAAGCGTAACGGTGTGGCGGTTCTTATTGTTCGCGTGATTGTTCTGGGATACTCGTCTGGGTGCGGCGATCATCAGACTCGGGGATGGGGCTCTTGGTCTCCTCTCGACACGAGGCGAGAGCGAGGGCCGGGCGCTCGTCGGCTGCGAAGGCTCCCGGACGATAACTACGCGCGACCCATCACGCCCGCCCACCAACACTCGCCCCGAGTCGGGGCGCCGTGCGTGGCCTGCTCGCGGGTAGTCGGTCTGCGCCGCGATGGCGATCGCTCTGCATAGAGCTGCGCCACACACCCGCCGAGATAGATGATGGCTATCCCGTGGCGTCATACTGATGCGAAACAGATTCAAACGCATACAAAGAGCAAGCCCGAGCGAAAAACACAAACGAAAGACCACACGACAAGAAAAACCACAGAGAAAACCACACGGCCCACAAGCCCACACACACAGAACCCACTTGCGGGCGAGCTTCAGCGCTGTCCGTCAGCTGCTGACCTTGGTTGCTGCCGGCCAGCTACAGCCTGCGGCGGGGCGTTTCCCAAAGTCTGGCCGGAGGCCGCGAGATGTGAAATGAATGTAAATGCGAATTCCTGCTGATCTGCTCGGGTTCTCTCTAGTCGGTGCTTATACTATCGGAGATCAATCATAGGTGACTAAATAAGAATTGCACGCTCCGGAGATCTCAGATAGTTTTCTGGATGGTCTTCGGAGAGGGCTGGGGAACTCCCCGCGAGTCCACTCTCTCACCTTAACCAAACCAACGGCGCCACCAAGCACCGCGTGATTACCAAATCACGCCTACGAATACCAACGGCGCCACCAAGCACCGCGTGATCACCAAATCACGCCCACCACCACCACCACCACTACCAATAGCGGCCTTTCCCCGGCTACAGCCTCGTATAGGCTGGTGGCGGGAACAGGATTCTACTGCTGAAGCCCGTTAAAATGCCGCTTGTCCCCTTATGGACCCGCGGCAATAACATGCACAGCCGACGAAAACACACAACTAACTATGCACGAACAGGCACTGAAAGAAGATCCAAAAAACATGTCCTGCGGTAATGCCATCCCCCTGTGGGGAGCGGCTACCCTTCTTAAGGGGCTGACGCCTGAAGCCAACCTTACACCCGCAACAAGGCCGAAGTGGTGAAGTAGATCCATGCGATGCCACTATATCCTCTGTTTTTTAACCAACTTAAGGGCTCTGATCTCCGCGAGAGAACGAGCGAACCACCAGCCACAGCGTACCCGTGTGCGGGGAAAAAACTTTTTGTTCCCACTGACGGCTCATATGAGTGCAAAGCTCTTTTTCTTGCATATGAGAGGTCAGATGTACGAGATCCAAAAATCTGTCGAGAAGTGAACTAAGTGCGAAAAGATCCCGCCTTGGCCCGCCCTCGCTCTGTTCCGCGAACATGCTATGGCCTACTCTCAAACCCTAACGGGGAGAGAGAACCACGACAGGGGTGGACTATGAAACCCTCTTACTGGCCGACGCATCCTAACCCACCGCGCCAGGAATGAAAGAGACGATCTACAAACTAAATTTGCGGATCCTGTGCTCTGTTTTTTCTCGTTCAGCGATCTGAGCTCATTGTGATCTAAGCGCTAGACAAAAATACGCCACTAAGGCCCACAATACGGCGCGCCGAAACTCGAAGTAAGCCTGAATGCTGACGGCTACAAGTGGCATTATGCGAATAACTGACTAAGCCAACAAAACACGCATAGGCTACCACTCCACCACTTGAGACAACGATAGCGCTTACTTTCACCAAAACCCAGGGAAAACACAAGAGGAAACTCTTAAAAAATCTACTTCACTCTCAAAAACCAAAGCTACAAAATGGAGGCGCAGCAACGTCCTACCATTGCCTTCGGGCAAAACCAGGCCACGTTGGGGCTGGTGCGGGACTTGACTGAGCCAGAATTGGCCGCGGTCTATGTCCTCAACAAGAGCATGGCGCTCATCTTGGACCCTCGCCCGCAACTGAAGGAGGACGTGGATGGAGTCATGGCCACCCTCACCACCATGCGGGTTGGTCAAAATGACGCTCCGCTGCCGGCCGAAGGCCAAGGTTGGGCCAAGGCTTATTTGGCCTATGTTTCGATCGTGGAAAAATATCAAAAGGAGAATATTTCTGACGCGGCCTTTTTTACCAAACAGCGGATCTCTGATTGCTTCAACGCGCTGCCGCAAATTGTGTCGCATCCAAATTACACGGAACTCACAAAAGCATCGGGAGGACGCCGCGGCATTGAGGCAGTCCGTGAACACTGTGATGTGGATACTCCAGCCTGTTTACAGGGTGCAGGAATCCACAGCGACTACACCTTTCTTCACGGTCACTTCGCCGACAACAATCTGGAACTACCGGACGGCTTCGGCCAACCTCAAGGCCCACCAGCGCCACCTGCTCAACCTCAACCACCTGCCCAACCGCCTGCTGACGTGGCTGCTATGGTGGCAGCTCAGGTCACCGCAGCTCTGGCAACCATGAAGGAGAAGCTCGGCCAGGAGTACGAGGAGAAGCTCAAGGAGGTCGTCGCCAAGCTCAAAGAAGAGGAGCAGACCACCCCGAACTTTAGCGTCGCTAAACCGGACGAACGCGGCATCTACCCAGATGCGGCGGCGACTGGCTACCGTAACAAGAGAGAAGCCTCGGACGTTCCGGGCTTCAAGGACCCTGACGAGCCGGGCCCCATCGCGGTCAACGCGCTCCGGTCTCTTCGTCTCCCGCATGGTGATGAACAAGATCAGGGCATCTCCTTCCAGATCACATGGCACTCTCTACCGAGTGCTATCACTAGTTTTGTCCCGCCTGCCAACGGACTTACCTCCCTTATGGGTAAGCGCCAACGGCGGGCGGACAACCGTAAGAGCCAGCGAACGCCCCCCGCGGATCGTCACGCGTCACGCCTCTAGCGTGACGCGTATGAACCTCGGGGGGATTGGGTGTTTCTTCGCCATGCGTGCTCTAGCGTGACGCATAGGAATCTCGGGGGGATTGGGTGCTTTTTGACGATGTGCGCTCTAGCGTGACGCGTGGGAATCTCATCGGGGTCGGATGTCTTTCCCGCGTGCGTTCTTTAGTGTGACGCATGGGAATCCAATGCAGACCAGGCGCCCCTTTGCCAGTGTGTAAGCGTGACGCTGGCCGAGGTTCTCCCTTGTTGAGGGTCCTCATGATCGGAAAGACTTCGGCTGAGTGTCCTCTATTCAGATTGAGGGCTCTCCTTTGAAGGTCCTCATGATCGGAAGGGCCTCATCTGCGAGCCCTCTCAGAGCAGAGCGAGGGCTCTCCCTTGAGGGTCCTCATGATCGGAAAGGCTTCAGCTGAGTGTCCTCTATTCAGTTTCAGACTGAGGGCTCTCCCTTGAAGGTCCTCATGATCGGAAGGACTTCATCTGCGAGCCCTTTCAGAGTGAGGGCTCTCCCTTGAGGGTCCTCATGATCGGAAAGACTTCCGCTGAGTGTCCTCGATTCAGGTTGAGGGCTCTCCCTTGAAGGTCCTCACGATCGGAAGAGCTTCATCGGCGAGCCCTCTCAGAGGGAGGGCGCTCCCTTGAAGGTCCTCTCTCATGCTCGGAAGAGCTTCATCTGAGGGCCCTCTCAGAGTGAGGGTTCTCCCTTGAAGGTCCTCGCTCATGATCGGAGGAGCTTCATCGGGGGGCCCTCTCAGATTCGATTGCTTGGGGGTCATCTGAGTGTCTTCTATTCAGAGTGCGGGTTGCTTCTCCCTTGAAGGTCCTCTCTCATGATCGGAAGTGCTTCATTTGAGGACCCTTTCAGATTCAGAGTGAGGGGTCTCCCTTGAGGGTCCTCATGATCGGAAAGACTGCAGCTGGGTGCTCTCTATTCAGATTGAGGGCTCTCGCTTGAAGGTCCTCATGATCGGAAGGGCTTCAGCTGAGTGCCCTCTATTCAGCTTGGGGGCTCTCCCTTGAAGGTCCTCACGATCGGAAGGACTTCAGCTGAGTGTCCTCTATTCAGATTGAGGGCCCTCCCTTGAAGGTCCTCATGATCGGAAGGACTTCATCGGCGAGCCCTCTGCTCTCAGCGTGAGGGTTCTCCCTTGAGGGTCCTCTCTCATGATCGGAAAGACTTCAGCTGAGGGTCCGAAGGTCCTCATGATCTGAAGGTGGGGCCTTCATCTGCAGGCCCATTCTTGAGCGTCACGCGAAGAGCGTGGCGCCTTGTCTCTAGTAAGTCTGTAGGGTACACGCAACAAAAGCGTCACGCTTTTCGCGTGACGCGTCACGCTTTTCGCGTGACGCTCGAACCAAGATGGGGCAGGCTCTCAGTAGTATACCAGAGGGGGGAAGGCGTGACGTCTTATGTAGGACCGCGGGGGGCGTTCGCTGACCCTTACGGCGGACAACCCGGGCCAGGATGAGGCAACCGCTCGAGCAAAGGCATTCCAGCCGACGCCACACAACAAGACCTCTAGCCCGGGCCCAGATGATGGCCCGAACTTAGCCGTGCAACCTATGGCGCATGTGAACTCAGCATCGGCCTGATGGGCGGTTAGAGATAGCCTGCGCACGATATACCACATCACCGATGAACCACATACCTCATAACACACCACACAAAAACACACAGGGACGGAAAAGGTGGCGCTACCCTTCATCTTACGGGCCTCGACCTCAGCAACCAACTCGCCTTCACCTGGATGGCCACACCAGGAGACGTCGCCTCGTACAAGGGAGCTGTCCTCGATACCCAGAGCCAAGGCGGACTACTTTCGGCCGTGGTCTACCCGAACTGCCAAGCTAACTTGCAGGCTTACCGCCGCCTCGTCCCGACCGTCCACCTCGCGCCTACCACGCTACTGCACTGGGTCGCAACACATACGCCCACGCAGAAGGCCAGCGCCAAAGCGCTGGCGGCCTGGTTAATCTTGCAAGGCATCGGATCCGAGCGGTCGCTTCTCACAAAATTTCTCACCACAGAGGAACTTGAGACGTCGCCCAAAACCTTTATTCTGTTTAAGAATATTGGAGGACCGTTGTGCCAAGACCTCGCGTCCACCGCACAACGCCTGCTTTCGCTTGGTTCGGCTAAGGTGCAACTATATACCCCTAGCGAACTCCTATAGTATACCTACGCGATACAATCAACCAGGAATTGCGCCATATGTCGTCTCTTACGAATACCACCATACTCACACTCCGCATACCTTACCTACATGCATGCGCAAACCCACCCTCTCCACCAACCAACCAATCGCCCACAGGTCCGCCCAACTATTCCTCGCGTTTTCTGGAATGGATGGGGCATCAGCTACTTGCACGCCCTCGAACGCCGAAGTCAAGAGGACTTGCGAGGTGCCTTGCTGGGAGCAACGTGGGGAGAAAATGAAAAATTGACTACAGATGCACAATTTGCCATGGAGACGACAATGAGCATGGCACAAAAATTCGTGCTGTATATAGGGGAGGCCACTAATATAGACGAAAGTATTAAATTGGTCTCCCCTTTTCATTTTTCGTTGTCTGGAGTCGCGAAATGCGCGCTCGTGTTGCATTTCATACCAATGATGCTGTATGCGCACGCGCGTGATGAACTTCGCAAGAACAGCATGTCCTCCATGCAGTTCTTAACACGACATCAACAAGAACTACAGCAATCTTCTGAAGTTAGTTCGCTCTGCGCAGTGGGGAAAGGACAAACAAAACAACGCCACAGCATCTCCCTCTCCCGCTGCTGCTGAAAAGCGAGCTAATGAAGAGGATGAAGACCAAAGTCCACCACGTGCTGCTGGAGCTAAGCGCCGCAGGAAGAATATGAAGAAGAACAACACGACCACCACCTCTACCACTACCAAGAAGGACGAGACCAATACCGGAGAATGCCAATCCTGGTGGAACTGGCAGGCGCCGCCGGCTAAGGGTACAGGCAAAAAAGGCCAGCCCCCTGCTGCTGCGGCACCAACCGCTGCTCCCAACAAGGCCGACGCCTGCCATTGGGTGTGGGCACCGGAGAAACAGTGCTACAAGTCCTGGGATTCCAAGAACAATGTCTGGCGGCATGATACCAACTGGAAACAGACGGCTGCACTCAAGAACTCCAAACTACGGCTAAAGCTACTCACTCCGCATAACTATTAATTTGTGGCCTCTGTTGAACCATCCACCTGTCAAATACCTCTGTCACCTCTAATCACCGAATGGGCCGCCGACTTACCGCGCGTTCGCAAGACCAATGAAACACCTCACCAAGATCAACTACCAGCTCCTTCTTCAAACACTGACGCACCGGCCAACCCACCGGGTCAGCCTACGGCTGCAAAGTGTAAGCAACTGAGTGCTGAGCTAATCCACCGTGGCACTTTACCGGTGTGGCGCTCCTGGACGGAGCTGGTGGCGGACGGATGGACCCCCGTGGCCACGACGAACAAGTCTGATCCTAAAACAGGTCGCGCATGGGCAAAAACAATTAATGCCGCTCCTTGTGGGCTGCCGGTGTCTAAAGACGGGATCCTTGGGCCCCCAGTGGTTCAATCCGCGCCCAAACACGACAAATACCAGCTGGCTAAGGACGCCTGTGCCTGTTGCCACATCTTCCACAAATGCGCTTTCGATGAGAATAATCTTACCTGCCCTTTGATCCACCAGTGGCCAGCAGAGGACGCAAGTGCGATTGTTAAACGCAAGCGGAGTGAGGCTGTTGTAGCCCAGTCTAAATAAGAAAGAAGAGGCGTGGATGCCGAGAGTCCGTAACTGAGACTCTCGATCATGAAGCAGAGGCGTTGAGGCAACGTCTCTCCGGTGAACTTGTTGAAGCCGCTATGACGTCATGAACCTCACCACTTTGTAGTTGAGACGAAGTAAGAAAAGACCAACCTTGCGAAGCTTGAGCTAAGACTACCGCTGTCAGGCTGTGTTCTTTCTGCCGCAATGGAAAACCCAGACTGATGCCTGCACTAAAAAACCTGTGCAACATGTGGTGGAGTGATCAGATGCATCTATTGGCAACAAGTCGACCATTCGTCATCCGTGCGCCTAAGTCTGCGACTGTCGGCACCGCTCACCAATGCAATACAATGAAACAATTACTATGGGATGAATGTGGCCGATCTCGAAGTGCCTCCCTAATAGAGGAACGCCTTGCCTTGCCGTATGCAACAAAGCTGCTGGCTACTGGCTTGATTATGTTAACTACTTAACCATACACAACCACTACCAACTTAAGCTAAGCCCTTGGATAAAGCGATACCATAACGCCACTCACTACCTTTACCAACCAAACCACCGCCAGGGAAACAGCGCTAACGTGTCCGCGCATACGTGTTAAAGACAAATACTCACATTAAAGAATGAGCACCAACGCACCGGGAAAGGGTCAGAAGGTGGCCATCCCGCCGACCCGTAAAGGCCAAAAATCGGCCTTCCATGAGAAACTGGTGGCTGAGGCAAAGCGCCGCTCTAAAGGCATTGGTGAGAAACCAGCCCAAGACGCTACGGGAAAGGGCCCCCAGGACCCCGCGGCCGCCATGGCGCCGCACGGTAAGGCGCGCCCCAACCAGGCTGCCTCGAGCAGCGCCTCGACTGGTGCTGGTCCGTACAACAACGACGAGCAAGCCTTCCTCCCGCCGTCCACTCAGGATGAAGACTACACCACGCCAGCAACTTCCTTCCGGAGTAATGAGCTGGGCGAAGCCTACGACCTTGGGGCTCCGAGCACGCAAGTGTTGGCTGAGGGCGAACTACCCGCCTCTACACAAAGTGGCCAGGAACTAAAATACGGCGCTGGTGGCATGGATTACCTTCCGGCCATTATCAAGAAGCCGCGCCAGACCTACGCCGACCATCAGCCAGCCCATCAAGAAACTCAAGTGGACTGACCCGGCGGCAAACCAGTCGGCTAAACTCTGCAAGGACTTGCTCCACAAATGTGGAAAGCAGATGGCCCACTTCCTCCGCCACAGCCCAGAGCTGGCGCATCGGCAAGAGGTCGAGGGCTGGGAGCGCGAGTGGATTGACTTGGGTGACCTTCAGGAAACCCTCTACCATGGCAAACATGGCGCTTGGTACCCGCTCGAATACATTGAGGCGGCTGCAGAAGTCCCCAACAGACATGGTGGACTCCGCTTTGAAATTGCCTACCACGAACCGGCTCACTACATCCGCGCCACATCGGGGCAATCCGTGATCAAATGCACCGGAAGCAAGCGCCTCACTACCAAAGCCGAAGCACAAGAATGCGCCGACTTCCACGGGTGCCAACACTTTCAGCCTTATTCTGCTGTATTCGCCGATCTGTTATCTTCTCCTGCCTTGAGCTACAAAGTCTCAACCTACCTACCTTGCCACCATTCAACCACCAGCAGCAAACTCTATCCACCAAAACCACCTTACCCAGCATACAGATACATCTGGCGCCAGACCTCCGCAGACGCCTTGGCAAACATTGGCCGAGTCGGCTATTTGTTGCTGATGAGCCGCCAGCATGTCCATTGGGGGGACCATCCAAATCGTACCAAATCGATGGGTGGCGACCGTGTATGGATTTCGGTCCACACTCATGACGTCATCGATGAGGGAGTCGCTCTGTATGTGACTAAGACGAAACATCAGTTAGCCACAGACCCAGTGCCGCTCTATCTGTGTAGCGTCTACACCTTGGAACAACTCCCACAGAACTCATGAGTAGTCAGGTTATAACCTGGCTGAGAATAGGCGGGATGCCACTTACCGGGCCAGCTTTTAGGCTATGTGCACCAATGTGAGCATTTGAGAAACATGCTCTACCCCGGCTGCCTTATCTCCACATCTGACTGTAGTCAGTGTTCGCCAGCTGCTGCATACCAGGAAATTATGACGAGAGAAGGTCATCCGCCGAGAGAAATTGGGGCACTCTACAAGCAACGAAGTACACTCCTCCCTAGATAATACCATGAAAACAATATACAAAACCAAGAAAAAGTAGCACTTGCGCATTGGAATAAAGCGCGAAATATTCGCGGGAAAAATAAAAATGACATCACGTTTCTTCGCGCCGTTACATGGCGCCTGGCTCGCGCCGGCTATGGCCTCTTCCAAGGCCTCCGGCTCCCAGCTGCGAGAGCAAGCCTCGCAGCCCACACCACTGGGAGACCCGACGTGGAAACCACCACCGTCGGAGACCACACCACTCTCGCTACCCACACCATCACCGTCACTCAAACTAGATAAGGCCACTATCCCAAAACGGGAATACCGCCACACCCTCACGCGCTACCGCAGCAACGAGAGCATCGCGCTGCAGTTGCAAGCGCATGCCGAGGGCACCCTCATCAACTGCAAGCACAGCTTTCACGTCTTCCGGGACTACTGGGCGAACCAGCTCCCGCAAGTCCACCCTCCATACTCAATCGAGCACCTACGTATCTTCTGCCTCTGGATCTCGGCCACCAGTGATAGCTCCGAGCTGGCAAACGCCTACTTTGCCGCGGTATCTCACAGCCTCCTCATGTCAGAGCTGGACCCACGCACCAACCAACCGCGCAACTGGCTCCAGCCGCACCCTTGCGCCATTAAGGCACTCAACATCGCCAAGGATGACATCCGGCGGACGTGTGCGGCACAAGAGCCCCTCAAGGCGCCACCTATCCACGTGGATGCGTGCCGACGCCTCCAGCCTGCAGATCGCGCACTTGTGCGCCTGTGGATCCTCCTGGGCATCCGGTGGAGCAGCTTTGCCGAGCTCCGCCCGCACCACCTCACCTACCACGCCGACCGCATCCTCGTAACAGTTATTCGAGATAAGATCGCGAATAAGGCGGGGCGCGTGGTTACCATCCGCTGCAACTGTACCTCACCACAACACAAGGACCTCTGCCCCATCTGCGACAAAACCACACCACAACCATCCCTGCCAGCAGATGGAAAATCAATGATGGATATCATGAAACAACTGGGGGCAAAGTTCCACTCGCCTCGCCGAACTAGTGCCCTCATGGCCGCAAAAGCGCTGACCTCCGGCAAACACTTCGGCTTTGGGACCTACATGAAGGCAAGAGGCTGGAGCACCCTCGCGGCCGTCCTATGCTACATGAAGGACCACGCGGACCACGCGGATGCAGCCCTATTCCCCGTGGCCGGGGCACTCGACTACACCGCCGACGATAGCAAGCGCATCACTCTACCTGCTACAACTAAAGACAGAGATGAGATCCAGGAGGCAATGCGCAATGAAACGCGCACCCGCGAACTGGACGAGATCGAATCTCTCTTGTCAACTAAGCACGACGCCACCGCCTACTTCAAGTCGAGGAGCAAACTCCTCGCGGAAGGTACTACCCAAATGAACGGACAGGATGTCCGCACAATCAAGGTCACGCCGAAAGCTGCATACTGCAAATCGGCGATGAAAAAAGTCACCAAGAAGAAGACCACCTCCGCCACTACTAAAGACCAGGCACGGAAACAATCGCAGGCCGCTCCACTTCGCAAGAAAGTGAAGTCGAAATAAGACGCTTGGCGAAAGCCGCGCCTGGACAGTTGGCAAGTAAGTGACTGCTTCCTTAACCCATGGTCTCGCCGTGAGCATGCCCATAGGCAGGCAGCTTAGATGGGAACAATGATTATTGAAGCGTCAGCGTGTTGCACACCAAAGAACTAGCGGCTTCTGCTGCCTTTGGCGACAGTGATCCAAAAGCGGGATCCTGGCACTCGTGTTCACCCACGCCCTCCTAGAGGCTTTCACTGCTGGAAGCAGGAAGCGAGCCAAATGATCGGTAGCAGTGAGTTCTAATGTAGTGTAGCACTTGTCTGGCCGGAGGCCGCGAAGTGTGAAATGAATGCAAATGCGAACTCCTGCCGATCTGCTCGGGTTCTCTCTAGTCGGTGTTTATACTATCGGAGATCATAGGTGACTAAATAAGAACTGCACGCTCCGGAGATCTCAGATAGTTTTCTGGATAACGAAAATGAAAAAACCCACCCACCCACACCAGGAAACGAAAGATAGTCCAAGACGACGTCGAAAAAGCTAAAACTTGCATTGATTAAAACGGCCGACCAGTTAACTGAGGCGGTCTGGTCACCACCTGTCGACCTACGCCTCTACCAACAATACGCTAAAGCTATATTTGACCAAAAACGTGATCGAGATGACAACGCACAAGAATGGACCAACACGGTGGCACAAGCCACCCGCTACCTCCTCGAGCTCCAGCAGGACGCTGCGGAGACCAGCAAGGCACGCACCAAAAAAGAGAGCCCGGCGCACCTGCAGGGCCTCCTCCTGTCGGAGCCACCGCGCAATGTGGACGCCGTTGAAACATTGGCCACCCTAATCGACCACCCTGACACCACCTTCACCACGCGAGTCATCAAAGGGCTTAACGCTATCGCCAATGGTGATACCGCGGGAGTCTGGAAAGCCAATCGCACCCCTTTTATCCGGGAATCAGAAGTGGCCGACTTCTACAAGAAGGCCATCCGTCTCCGCGCCACACCGCCAGAGTTCGACGATGACCTTCTCCAGGCAATCATCGACATCATAGAGCAGGATGCTCAAAAGGGACGGCGTAAGGAGATCACCCGCGACCTGCTCCAGTGCCACCCTGCCACTGCTTTCCCTAAGGATGAATCCACCGAGGAACGCCGCAAAATCCGGCTTCTCATCGACAACCGCGCCAAGAATAACTACTGCCGCACACAAGAGAAACTAGAACTACACGGCACCCGGAAGATTCAAGATCTCATCGGCATCTACATGACGCCAACCGGGAAGGAGCATGCTTGCATCTCCTCACCACTTGGCCAGACGCGCAAGGAAACCCATGCACATACGCAACAAGAACTGGCAACGGCGGCGGCAACGGCCACCCTGCCAGAACCACAAGAATCCCTCACGGCCCTCGCGGGCCGCCTGTCTGCTACCCTCACCTCCCTCAACCAGGATGCGGCACATCCGCAGACACCACCGCCAGCGATGGCTTCCGATGATATATCCGAGGCCTACTACCTCTTTGGCATCGACGACCCCAAAAGTTGCCCCATAACGGGGCATGACCCAAGGCAGCGGGCGTGCCGGTTCTGGGTCAGCTACACGCTCAATATGGGCGCCGAACCCTCCGTCCCGGCATTTTGCCGACTCTCGGAGTTACTAATGGCCATCTGCATCTACTTCAGAGTCCCAATGTTGGCCTACATCGACGACCAGAACTACTTTGCCGCAACAACGCAGCAAATCTTTGTTGCGAAGACTTTCATCCACCAGCTGGCAGCATGCCTCGGCCTGTCGCTTTCCAAAAAACCGGCTGCGGGCCAGTCTTCAGCCAAAGCAGACACCCTGAAGGCCTTGGGCCTCATCTACCACTACACTAGGTCAGTTGATGCCACCCTTCTCACGCTTATGCTGCCAACCAACTTCTACATCAAGCTTACGAAAGCGTTCGACACCACCCTCACGCAAATCAAAAGTAAGTCACTCGTCCTCAAAGACCTACAGAAGCTGGCCGGACTGGCGACCTTCGGCGCGCAACATACCCGATCGAAGATCGGCACCGAGCTGCTCCGCCCGCTATACAAATGGCTGGGCGAGTCACTCTTTCACACCCTCAAGAAATGCAAGAAGCGCCGCAGCATGCTCCGCATCCACGTTGTGGCGCTGCAGCACCTCTTGCCGACCCTGCCGCGAATCATCCACGGCAAGACAGCCGCACGAATTGCGCAGTCCTACCTCGCCACGGATGCGTCATCCGATGGTGGACCCGATGGGCAACCCGTACTAGGTGCCTATCACATTAACGCACAGGGAAAGCGCCAAGCATTCGCTGTACTAATCGACCGCCAGCACATCGAGAACGTCATCGGTAACACTATCCGCATCGAAGTCCTCGAAGCAATGGCTACCTACCTCGCCCTCACCACCTGGGCAACCGCGAGCGACCTCGTGCGCATCTCCCTCGACAACGTCACCCAACAAGCGCGCGCGTGAAGATGACTGCAAAATCATCACACTTGCTCAACATCGTCACCAAATCCACCCTGCGCGCCGCCTCAGCCGAGCAGCGCACCTTCTACCGCTATGTCAGCACCCACTTCAACATAGCGGACATCTTCTCGAGAGAAGATTGCGCCTCCTTCCGCCACTTACTGGCTGAAGTCATCGAAGTACGACAACCAAGCTGGACAGTTGTACTTAAAACCCTCAACCAGAACGCACTGCTACCGGAGGTTACGGACTCCGGTCCCGATACCCGAAATGACACACAGCCTACCCCTCTTCCAGCGCCGCCGTGTGATAATCAACCCACAAAAAAGCAACGCAAGTAAGTGACTGCTTCCTTAACCCATGGTCTCACCGTGAGCATGCCCGTAGGCAGGTAGCTTAGATGGGAACAGTGATTATTGAAGCGTCAGCGTGTTGCACACCAAAGAACTAGCGGCTTCTGCTGCCTTTGGCGACAGTGATCCAAAAAAGGGATCCTGACACTCGTGCTCACCCGCGCCCTCCTAGAGGCTTTCACTGCTGGAAGCAGGAAGCGAGCCACGTGATCGGTAGCAGTGAGTTCTAATGTAGTGTAACACTTTATCGACCACCGGGCGCGACACTTGTGCACCTGTGCCGCCGTAACTAACCACTTCGCCCCAGCTGGCGCCTCCTAACTGCAGAAGACGACGGCGGCAGTGGTTCTGCGCGTGCTTCTGCTGCTTCGCGGCATACTTTGGCCAGGCGGGGCCTCGTCGTTGCGCGGCTTCTTTCTCGAAGTCGAAGCAGGAGCGCTCGGGCCATCTGAGCCGCACCCTCCTGGCAATCCCACCCTTGGCTGCGTTTCGCCATATTTATTAGGTGGCTCATTCGTGGACTTTTCTGCGCGGGCATGTGTCGCAGGTACACTCGCGCGGGCCCTCGTATCAGATGACCCCGCACAGCGCCAGCTTTGCTCCCACCTTCATGGAGGCGACCCCTCGAACCGCGTCGGCCAGTTTGGACTCGGCTGCGCCATGCAAGCCAAGCCACCAGCGGGCGCGTCGCATAATGGGGACCACACTCATGCCAGTTTTACCTCCTCCAGTTAGATGCGTGCTGCCTTCGTGTACTTAGATGCGACTACTAGTCTGTATATGAATAGGCTAGCGGAGGCGCTAGGTAGAGCAATTGCAGCCACTTCTGCCGCTTAGTATTCTAGGCAGTGCACTTCTCTTCTGTAGTTATGAAAGGTTTCGCATCGTGAGGAAAAGCGTTATCATTATCGTTTTTTTGAATTTTTGAGAAAAGCACGACGGGGAGCACTGCGATCCTGGGGCTTTCCACCTTGCGATGGGCAAGCCGGCCCTCCCTCCACGAGGTGCCGCAGCAGACGGCGCGCTCCTCCTCCCATTGACGCGGCCCTTCAGTCATGGCTGGGCATGATGGTACCGCTAAGCTCAGAGGCCGCGGCCTCCGCTTACGCACGCCCATGGGGCAGTAGCGTGACCTGGCCCTGCAAACTTATCCGCAAAAGTAGCCCACCGTGGGCACCAAGCTCGGCGCACTCGGAAAGCAACCCCGATGGCAATCGTTGGGGTGATACATGGGGGCAAGCAATATGAAACGCCAAGCCGATCGAGGGGAAGCCGCGACGCCACTTCGCTCAATATTCAAGGAGGCGAGGAGCCGATCGAGAGCCGCAGACGCGCGAGCGGCTGAAGAGGTCAGTTGGAGGGGGTGTTCGAGGGGGGTCCTTGTTTTCAGGGGCCCCATTTGATAAGACTTTCGGCGCCTGACAGATAGGCGATAACGCTTCTGGCGCCCGACACTCTTCGCCGAAGCCCAAAAACACGCGCTAAATTTTCAGAACCTCGAGGGGCAAGCGGATGACAGGTGGGCGCCTTTTCTGCTTGCTCGTTATCGTTTTTTTGGCGAGTGTTTGGAGGGGTCGGTGGAGGGGGGCGGCGGACCACCTCCGGCCCGGCTAGAGGACCAGAGCGGCCACAGCAGGAAGGGGGCGCCGAGTCGCTAGAGGTCGGAGAAGGTGGAGCGCCAGAGGTGGCGGAGCGGCCGCAAGCAGCAGGGCTGCGGGCCATCCCCTGACACTCGGGCCCCAGATTCGCGAGGGGTCAGGGAAACAGGCTACACGCGTGCGCGTCTGCCATTGCTGGAAGCGCCTCCCGGAGAGCGCAGCACCACCCAGCAGCCAGAGCAGGACAGCAGCGCGCGCGGCGCCGCTGGTTTGTTGTCTGGGTCATGGGGAGCGCAGCCCACCCACAGACGTGGCAAGAGGAAGCGGCGAATTCTGGCGCCCCTCCATTCTTATGTCCACGCGCACAGCGTCCCACCAATGCCCGGAATTTGCTACCCCAAACAATCTGAAAAAATCAAAAAAACGATAATGATAACGCTTTTTCCTGCGATATTTCGCTAGGGGATGAACTGCGAGAAGGAGGCAGAAGGAGTCTTAGGTGATGAAGTAACTACCACTCGCCCTCGTTTGTGTAGGTGTGTTATGTTAAATAAGCGAGGCGATGGCAATCGCCGAAGTGCGTTATAAGCAAGAGCCTCAGTTGGGGGCCATTTTATTCGCTACAACAGGACAGCAGCAGCGTCGTCGCATGATGAGCAAGGCCACGACAGAGCGACCACCGTCTTCGTCTTCGTCTTCATCTGGTAGCTTTGGTTCTAGTGCTGCCGCTGCCTTAATTGGAAACGGGTCGTCGTCGTGGTTATCTGCTTACCCAGCCGGGCTATCGCAAGGTGATTCGTGTGGGAGCACTGGATGAAGCTACGCCGATGCGCTTGCAAGTGATGACATGAGGGCGAAGGTGACGAAGGTGAAGATGTAGACGGAGGCGATGGAAATGAAGTAGGACCAAACGACGAAGGTGAATGCTCCGCGTTCGAATCCGACAACAAGATCGAGGAGGCTGGTTCTCATAGTCTTGCGAAGGCAACCATGGAGATCGATCACGACGAAGAGGGGCAAGCGTCTGGTATGGGAACGCTGGCTGGTGGCTTCTTTCCAGAAGGGGGCGGGCTTTCTTCTGTATCATGATTATAGTTGATGCTTCTATTCTTGACGATGTTGGTGCTTGGTTGGTCACGGGCAGAAGTGGCACGCTATACAAGTGGAGCCACTCACTACAGCTACAGCCCCTCTTCTATGGATGCCGATGCGCAGTCGGGGTCTGTAGTTGTAAGTCCAGCCTGTCACCCTTTAGCTGAAGCCTTAGCGACTTTCTTGCAAGACGAGGAGATCATGGCAATTCTTTGCACTGTCGAAAGCAAGTCCGGCACGCGCTACGACGCACGAAGCAAGGGCGTCAGCGTGTACATGGATGAAGACAAAGGGAGCAAGGCAACCACCCAAACGCGCTAGCAATGTGCTCTGGGTCATGGCGCTGCGGATTTACGCAGGTCGTGCAGAGTTTTCGGCGTATGCTTATGACCAGGCGAAAGATGGGGCCACCTTTGCTGCAGCTTGGAAGGCGGCTCGCCGTGACATCCTCGCCATTGCTGAGGGGGTGTGCGTGACAAACCCACAAAAGGCGGACTTGAAGAAAGTGACACCACTCACCTACAAGGAGTAGCAAATGGTGGAGAGCTACTGGAGAAGATTCGGCATGACTTGGGCTCATTTGCGGCGGTACTAAACGGCGACAGCTCTGCGTCTTTCTATTCGTGTCTGTGCTTGGATAGATTCGGCGTCTTGCTTCTGGTTTTGCCTAAGATGTGCGCTAGGGTACTTCCCAGGAAATTTCTCCTTTTCGGCTCTCGGATTTCTCTCAGATTTCTCTTTGATTTCTCAGGCTTTTCGTTTCTCCTTTACTTAGAGTTCATAAAAGTGAAAAAAAAGAGAAATTTTAGAGAAATTTTAGAGAAATTCTAGAGAAATTTTAGGGAAATTTTAGGGAAGATCTCGAGAAATTTTAGGGAAGGCTTAGAGAAATTTTAGAGAAGTTAGCTCCAGAGCTGTGGGAGAAGTCAGAGCGCCTATCCGTCCTCGTGGTGAGTCTTGGCCGTCAGATATTACGGCACCGCTTGCAAGGGTTTAGGTCGGCACGCGTCTACTAATTTATTTTTGCTACAGCGTGCTCGCTTTTGCGGACTCTCATAAACATCGAACGCACATGCTCAGGCTTTCGCCTTATTTGCTATCGTTCTCCATAAGTGTCCGCATTGCTTCGCTACTTGTTCAGGGCGTTTAGTTCTCGTGGCTATTATAGAAGTGCTTCAACGGCGTTCGAAGACAGGCGGGCCGTCGTGGTCGCTAATGCTGGCCGTACAGAGGGGAGCTGCTTGCGAAGTTCATCGAGAAGGCGTGACCCATGTCATTGAGTGCGGTCGCCGTCTTACGATATAACGAAGACCGAAGAATGTGCGAAGCAGATGGCTCCAGCAAATGACCACGGGAAGCAGGTCGCGGAGTGATGTGCCCCCGCCGAAACTGGAGTGGCGCCTCTCTAATTATCACGCTAAGCCCTTGGCGCCGTGTCTGATGTAGTGAGGATCTTCAGGTCTAGAACTAGGCGCGGCGCGGATGGTCCTTCAGGAAGGAGCGCAAGCACAGAAACAAACAAAAACCAAGTAGGCTGCGCTATCGACTGCGCTTTCGGTCGTGTGGCGTGGCGACAGCCTACCGGCAACTTCTTGCGTTGGGCTTCAGTTTTTTTTCGCTGGGCAATATCAAAGAAGATACGGGCGAGGGCGAGCACGGAGCGCACCGCGCTAAGACGAGAAAGGCCGTCGCGCTTCCAGTCGGCTCGAGGATGTGGATGGTCGAGCCAGAAGAACAGCCAACGAGTGAAAAGCGACAAGACACACGCCACGGCCTTGGCCCGTCATTTTCTTGCTGTCAGTCTGTGCAGCTCGCTCCGGGTCTGTCTTGGAGCGTGTTCGCGTTTTTTTATGTGGAGAGCAAACCCCGGAGAGAGACACGGCAAAGAACTGCCTCCACCCTCGAGAGAAGCAGCGCTGCAAAGTGCTCGAGAGAGACAGGAAGGACCACGGCGGTCGCCTATTTCTGTGCGAGTGTATTTCTGTACTCAGCGAGAGAGACGCCGCTTCGGCTGGTAAGTTTCTGGCGCCTGCATTGATTTGCTCTCGAGGTGCCCACTCGTCTCGCTTCATGTGGTTGAGCAGCTGACAAATGGAATGACTGGAGGGGCGCGGCTCCAGTAACGCGCTGAGGCGGTCGGCCGCTGTGTTCTTGACTACTGCAAGAGAGCCCAGCCGGCGAGGCCTCAAGGAGTGGCTTGGTGATCGGATGGGCAAAAAGTGTGAAAAGCCAAAACGAGAGCGGCGGAGCGTTGTCGAGTTGTGTGAGATGAGTGTGTGCGCGTGCTACAGGGTAGGGGGGTGGCAACGAGTGGGCCTCGGTGGTTGTCGTTCTTGTGGCCTTTCAGTGTTTGCTTGGGGTGTTTCTGTCGGATGTTGCCGCCCGTTTGATGGTGTTGCCGGTCGCTGGTTTGCTGCTGCTGTTGGTGTTGGTGTGCGTGATTGTGGACGCCTGTGACCGGTGTGCAGAAAACTGGCGAAATCAGCTAGAAAGTGCGAAAAGCCAAAGAAATCGGCCGAGTTTTGTCAGGTTGTTGCTGTTTGTGTGTGTGTGTGTCTACATGGCAGGGCGCTCCTGGTGGTGTGTGGTCTTCGGTTGTCGTTCTTCTGGTCTTCGTTGTGTGTGGGGTCGTGTTCTTGTCGGGTGTGGCCGCTCGTTCGACGGCGCTGCCGCTGGTTTGTTGTTGTTCGTTGGTGTGTGTGGTTGCTGGGTTTTGTCTCTGATCAGCCGGCAGAAGCAGCGGCAAAGGGTGCACAGAATGCGCGTGAAATCGGCCAAGAAGCGCGAAAGGCCAAAAACGCCGGCAGAGTTTCGTCGAGTTGTGTGGATGTGTGCGCGTACAGGGGGGGGGCGCTGGTGGTGTGTGGCCTTTCTTGTTCGTCGTTCTTGTGCTCTTCCAGTGTTGTGGGGTGTCTGTCGGGTGTGGCCGCTCGCTCGATGGTGTTGCTGTTGGTTTGCTGTTGTTGGGGTGTGTGGTTGTGGATGTTGTTCATGATCGGCGCCCAGGGAACCGGCGAAATCGGCGAAGAAATGCAAGCCAGTCGAGTAAGTTGCGTGGGCGTATATGCGTGCAGGGCAAGGCGTTGGTGGTGTGTAGTCTTTGGCTGTCGTTCTTGTGGTCTTCTAGTGTGTGCGGGGTGCTTCTGTCGGTTGTGGCCGCTCGTTCGATGGTGTTGCTGATGGCTTGCGGCTGTGTGTGTGTGTGTGTTTGTGAGTGTGTGTGATCTGTGTCGAGAGGACCGGCGAAACCCGCCAAAAAGTGGGAAAAGTCGACAGAATCAGCTGAGTTTGGTCGACTTGTGTGAACGTGCGCGCGCGCAGGGTAGGGCAATGGCGACGCGTGGCCTGCCTTTGGTTGTCGTTCTTGTGGTCTTCCAGTGTGTGTGCGTGGGGTGTTTCTATCGGATGCTGCCGCCTGTTCGATGGTGTTGCTGCTTGTTTGTTGTTGCTTGGTGTTGGTGCGTGTGTTTTTGGATCTTTCTGGTGTGTTTGTAGAAAACTGGCGAAATCAGCCAAAAAGCGGAAAAAGCCAAAGGAATCGGCTGAGTTTGGTCAGGTAGTTGCTGCTGTTCGTACATGGCAGGGCGCTCGTGGTGCTGTGTGGCCTTTGGTTGTCGTCTTTGTGGCCTTCGTTGTGCGTGGGGCTGTTTCTGTCGGGTGTGGCCGCTCGTTCGATGCTGTTGCTGCTGGTTTGTGGTTGATGTTGGTGCGTGTGGTTGTGGGTGTTTGTGATCTGTGTCCAGAAAGGGGACGGAATCGGCTGAAAAGTGCGAAAAGCCAAAGGAATCCGCTGAGTTTTGTCAAATTGTGTGGATTTGTGTGCGTGCAGGGTATGTCGATAGCGACGCGTGGCCTGTGGTTGTCGTTCTTGTGGTCTTCTGGTGTGTGTGGGGTGTTTCGGTCGGGTGTGGCCGCTCAGTCGATGGCGTTGCCGCTGGTTTGTTGTTGTCTGTTGGTGTGTGGTTGCTTGTGGGTGTTTGTGGTCTGTGCTCAAAAAACTGGCAGAATCGGCTAAAAAGTGCGAAAAGTCCAAAGAATTGGTGAGGTTTTGCCAAGTTGTTCGGGTGTGTGTGTAAGTTGTTCGGGTGTGTGTGTAAGTTGGTCAGTTGTGTGTGTAAGTTGGTCGGGTGTGTGTGTAAGTTGTTCGGGTGTGTGTGTAAGTTGGTCGGTTGTGTGTGTAAGTTGGTCGGGTGTGTGTGTAAGTTGTTCGGGTGTGTGTGCAGGGCAGGGCAGGGCGCTTGTCATGTGTGGCTTTTGGCTGGCGTTCTTGTGGTCTTCGTTGTGTGTGGGGTGTCTCTGCAGGGCGTGGCCGCTCGTTCGATGGTGTTGCCGCTGGTTTGTTGTTGGTGTGTGTGGTTGAGAATGTTCGCGACCTGCTTCCAGAGAACCGACCAAATCGGCCAAAAAGGGCGAAAAGTGAAAGAAATCGGCCGGATTTCCTTGGGCTGTGTGAATGTGTGCGCGTACAGAGTTGGCGCGGTGGTCACGTGTGGCTTTTGTTTGTCGTTTGTGTGGTCTTCCAGTGTGTGCGTGGGGTGTTTCTGTCGGGTGGGGCGGCCCGCTCGGTGGTGTTGCTGGGCAGCGGTTGGCTTGCAGTTGTTGGCGTTTGCAGTTGTGGACGTTTGTGACTTGCATCCAGAAAACTGGCCAAATGAGCCAAAAAGTGCGAAAAGTCAAAGAAATCGGCTGAGTTTTGTTGAGTAGTTGTGGCGCGGGTGTGTATGCGTACAGGGTAGGGCGGTGGCGGCGCGTGGCGTTGGTTGTCGTTCTTGTGGTCTTTCAGTGTGTGCGGGGTCGTGTCTCTGTCGGGTGTGGCCGCTCGGTCGATGGTGTTGCTGCTGGTTTGTTGTAGTTGTGGGCGTTTGTGATCTGTGTCCAGAAAGCGGGCGAAATCGGCTGAAAAGTGTGAAAAGTCAACGAAATCAGCTGAGTTCTGTCAAATTGTGCGGACCTGTGAGCGTGTGCGTGTGCAGGGTATGGCGATAGCGGCGCGTGGCTTGTGGTTGTCGTTCTTGTGGTCTTCTGGTGTGTGTGGGGTGTTTCGGTCGGGTGTGGCCGCTCGGTCGATGGTGTTGCTGCTGGTTTGCTGTTGTTCGTTGGTGTGTGGTTGTGGGTGTTTGTGGTCTGTGTTTAAAAAACTGGCGAAATCGGCTAAAAAGCGCGAAAAGCTCAAAGAATTGGCGGGGTTTTGTCAAGTTGTTCGGGTGTGTGTGTAAGTTGTTCGGGTGTGTGTGTGTGTAGGTTGTTCGGGGGTTTGTCTAAGTTCGTTGTTCGGGTGTGTGTGTGCGTGCATGGCAGGGCAGGGCGCTTGCCGTGTGTGGCTTTTGGCTGTCGTTCTTGTGGTCTTCGTTGTGTGTGGGGTGTCTCTATCGGGCGTGGCCGCTCGTTCGATGGTGTTGCTGCTGGTTTGCTGTTCGTGTGAGTGGTTGAGAATGTTCGTGATCTGCTTCCAGAGAACTGACGAAATCGGCCAAAAAGTGCAGGAAGTGAAAGAAGTCCGCTGAGCTTCCTTGAATTGGGTGAATTTGTGCGCGTACAGGGTCGGCGTGGTAGTCGCGCGCGGTTTTTGTTTGTTGTTCTTGTGGTCTTCCAGTGTGTGCGTGGGGTGGCTCTGTCGGGTGGGGCGGCCCGTTTGGTGGTGTTGCTGTGCAGGGGTTGGCTTGCAGTTGTTGGCGTGTGTGGTTGTGGATGTTTGTGACTTGCGTCCAGAGAACTGGCCAAATCAGCCAAAAAGTGCGAAAAGTCAAAGAAATCGGCCGAGTTTTGTCGAGTTGTGGCGTGGGTGTGTATGTGTAAAGGGTAGGGCGGTGGCGACGCGTGGCGTTGGTTGTCGTTCTTGTGGTCTTCCGGTGTGTTTGGGGTCGTGTCTCTGTTGGGTGTGGCCGCTCGCTCGATGGTGTTGCCGCTGGTTTGTTGTTGTTGGTGTGTGGTTGTGGGTGTTTGTGTTTGTGACCAGTACCCAGAAAACTGGCCAAATCGGCCGAAAAGTGTGAAAAGTTTAGGGAATTGGCTGAGGCTTGTCAAGTTGGTCGGGTGTGTGTTTACATGGCACGGCGTTGGTGATGTCCAAGCGCTGACAGACAGGGGTGGCGTTGCTTCGCTGGCTGCGTTTATTGCCTGTGGTTGGTGTGTCTGGCAGGTTGTGTGTCTGGCGTTGTTTTTCGTTTTGTCGTCTTTCAGCTTGATTTGGTGGCGGTTTGTGTTTTGGGCGGGTGTGCGGTGGGTGGCTTCTTTGCCCATGCGCCAGCGTGGGCGGCCAGGCGCATCTGCTGTTGTTGTGCGGGTGACACGGTGGGCGCGCCTTCGTGGTTCAGGTGGGCCGATTTCTTTTGTGAAGGCTGTTTTCAGGATTGTCTGGCTTATTTCTCCAAGCTTTGCGAGCGCTCTCTGCGCTGTTGGAGCCTTTCAAAAATGTCAGGAATGCGAAATCACTTATCGACTTTTTTTGGTGGTATTTGTCACCTTGCTGAAGTTCAGCTTGGGCGTGGGCTTTTTGGCAGACTATTTCTCTCAAGCAATTCCTTGGCAGACTACTTACGCACTTTTTTACTCTCACTATACATAGAGGTGACGTGGCGCATTGAGTCCACTCTCACGCTGACGAAGGAAATCGTGAGAGATTTTTCACGGGCTTGCTTGTGAAAATTCACGCGCAAAAACTGGGACGCAATCCTTTCGCAGTTCTTGGCTGCAAGGTGGTGCCACTCTGCGCGGGTTTTGGCGGTTCTGCCCCTGCCTCTTGTTTTCTGCGCCTGTTCGTTTCAGCCGCGGCTGTTTCTCCCATGTGAGGGCGCGCGCGGTTTCCTTATCTATGACCCCCACGCACCCACGCCACAAGAGGGAGGCGCCTCCGCGTGTGATGCTGTCGCGGGGCCGAGCAGTGCAGGCGCGGCCCGCTCAGCTTCCTTCTCGCGGGCGTGTCTCGGCTGCAACTGCAGCGGGCTGCCCCGCTCATTTGTGCCAGGCCTTGCCCGGTCCAAGTTCACCTTCACCCCCACGGCCGTGGGCCTCTTGCCTGGGCTGCCGGGCCTGGCATCCGGGGCGGGCCTCTTCTCCGATGCTTTTCTGGTCTGGTTCCCTCTGCGTGGCGTCTTTGGCTTGGTTTCTTCCGCTGGGACGGCCCAAGGGCTCTGGGCCCGTTGGAACTTGGCCCGGCGGTCTCTTCGTCTTTGATCGAAATGCTTAGCGCACTAAGATTTGGCTTCTGTTGCTTGTTCGTCGCTCGGTCTCTTTTTGGCTTTCTGTCTCCTCTTCGCTCGATGCTGCTTCCAAGGATTTCCCCGATTTCTCAAGCGTGAATGAAACTGCAGCCGCTCCTCTTTCTCTTCTGCTGTTTTTATTCTGGTAGGAAAGCCAAAGGTCGCTCGCTCCCTTTTCATTTTCTTCATGTGCCAAGGCGCCACCATTTTCGTCGACCCTTCGTAGAGGTTACTTGCACGAAATCACAAGGAAGAAACACGATACCCGAAGGCCTCCGCGGTGCCCTCGTGTCTTTGGCAGTTTCGTGGAGTCTCTTGACGTTGGTGCCACTAAATTGCAAAACCCGAGCACCAGTCTTAATAGTGGCCCAGGCTTTGGGCTTCGGTCTCCTGCGTTTGGAACTTTAGTCGAGGCGGACACCGCGACCAAATCGCCAGGCTCAGTCCATTTAGCAATCGCCACTATCCGCCACTAATTGTAATTGCCCGCCAGACGCCACCAAACTACAAAACCCAGAAACCGGAGCGCAGTCTTCATTCTGCTTAGTTTGCGGGCCTTTGCAGTTTCTTGGTGATTAGTGGCGAATGGTCTACCGCGTTTCGCCGTTTAATCGCTTGACTAGGCGCGAAGCTCAGTCAAATGAAGTAGCGCAATGCGCTTGGCCATTTAGTCGGGGAAATAAATTGCCAAACACAGAAAACGACGCAACAAGACCCGCAGCGCGCCAGGCCCCCGAAGCCAAGGGACCAAGCGAAGAACGGAACCAAGAGGGCCACGGGGATGAAGCTGCCAGCCTTGGCCTGCTAAATGATGAAACAGGTGCCGGCTGGTCTTAGGTTTTCGGGATTTTTTTCTTAGTGGTTTGGTGTGTGTAATCGAAGGCCCTTGCCCCCTTTCTCCCCGCGGCCTTTCTCCTGCTGTTGTCGCGGTGCCTTGCCGCCCCCTGTTCTCCCTCGCTCCAGCGGTCTCGCGTGGCGCAGCCGCTGCTGCTTTCATTCTGGGCCACCTTTCCTAGTGCCGCGAAGTGTTGGCTGCTGGCAGAGCAGGCCAGAGGTGGCGGCGCATCCTCTGCGAGGGGTGTCCTTACTCTCCCTTTTTGTAGTAGAAGGACGAAGCCCAGAGCTAGGCCGCTTCGGTGCGGACAAGTGTCCGCCTTTGTTTTGGTAGCCACAGCCCCGCTTGCCTCTTTTTCGACTGTCATGGCTGTAGCTTTGTCGTCTGCCTTTTCCGCTGTAGCCATAGCTATTCTTACCACTGAAGCCCTTTGCCTTTATAGTATAGCCCTCGTAGCAGTAGCTGATGGGGCTGATTGCTGCAGCCGTTGAAGCTGCCGGGTGTGCCCTTGGTGTAGCGAAGGCACTCGCCTCGCGCTCGCGTTTGTCTCTGAGCTCCTTAGGTGACTCTTTGCGCTTAGTTTCTGCAGCAGCAAACGCTCGGGCTCATTCCTCGGCTGTTTTATTATCCACAGTCAGCGGAGGGTTGTGCTTGCGCTTCAGCGTCGCCTCTGGCATTAGCAAAAAGCTTTGCAAGCTCGGCCAGCAGGTATGCCGCTGCGCTTGGCCTCGCCGCCTCTGGGTTAGCTTCACCTGGTGGAGGGCTGCCGGACTTCTCTGGGAGGTCTGTGAAGTGTGAGGCCATCAGTGTGACACAAAGCGAAGACAACGCCGCAGAGCTGCGCCAGAGTCGGCGGCGTCTCATCTCACCCCAACACAGTAAAGAGCTAGAAAAAAGGCACAAGGGGACACGCGGCCACAGCTACAAAAATTGACGCAAGGCGGGGCCGCCTTTCGCTTGGTGTTGAAGTCTCCCCACCTGGGGCGGGCGGGTGCTGAGGTAACTCAGGCATGCCCTTCGCTGGTTTGCTTGTCAACGAGCCCCACAGAAAGAGCCCCCGCACGATCAAGCCACGGCCAGGGCCACGGCAGAACGACGGCCACGAGCACGAGCAAGCTTGGCGTGGCTGAGCGTGTCGGAGATGGCTGCGGGCTTGTCAGTTTTTCCGCCGCCACACAGGCGCGAGGCTTCTGGGCCGCGGGTCGGGCGGGGGCAGATCGGCTCGCGGGGTCGGATATTGCCGCACAAATGTAGACACGCACGGCACAAGTCGGTCGGCGTTCGGTGTGTCTTCCTTCAGCCAGAACGCGCCGGCAGATCAGCACGACTGCCCTGGCCTCCAGAGGGTGGCTCCTGGAAGTCTTCTGGGTTGGCCGTTGGGAGCCTGCTGGAAGTCTAGCCGAGAGGCCTCTTGGAAGTCTGCTGGAAGTCGCGCTGGGGTTCCAGGTTGCCAACCCCTTGGCGCCATAGGTTCTGCGATTTTGTGAGACTTCCAGGAGACTTCCAGCGACCCGCCGGACAGACTCCCAGGAGACTTCTTGGGGACTTGCTGGAGAGGTCGACCATGGAAGACTCCTGAAGGCCGCCAGACTTCCGCAGGACTTCCAGGAGACTTCCAGCGGCCGCCCAACGCGAACGGAGGCACCATGAAGCCAACCCACCACCACCGCCCCAGGCTGAGGCCAGCAGCTGCCCTATGGGAACGGCTAGGCGCGTGGGGCTTTCTGGTGCTCCAGTTAAGTGTCTTACCACTTCGCCACGCCGTCCGCTGACCAATCCGGGCCGGCGCATCACCCCAATGCCGTACACAATCCAGAAGCAGAAAGGGGGGCGCAAGTTGGGTTTCCATCGTCAGCGGCTCACTGCGTACATTGGTCAGAATGTGGCGAGGGCGTGCAGCCGCCGCATGAACACAAGACGACAACAGCCGACTCGAGTGAAGCCAGCCCTTGGCGGTGTCTTGAGACGAGCCACCTGGAAGGCCGCATGACTCCCCTCAGAAACTACAGCGAAGACCGAACGCCCAGCGTGAAGCCTCACAGGATCAGAAGACACACCAACACCACCGCCAAGCCCAGCCGCGAGGAGGGTGCTGCCGTGGTTGCGGAGACTTTCCGCGAAAGCCGCCCAGATCTGGGGAGACGCGCACACCAGTGGGCACCGAAGTGGCCCGCATCTCTTACAGAAGTCCCAAACTCTGTAAGACTTCACTTCTGCGAGACAGCTTCCAAGTGACTTCTCTCATCCACCCCGGTGCCACGCGGGTCCACCGCGCTAAGATTCTCAACGTGGTCGATAATCATCCCAGTCGCGACTTGACTCTTGTCCGCTTGGCGCGTGACTTTCTTGCGCAGTACAGCCTCAGCACCCGCATCGGGGGTCGGGAATCTGTTCGGCATTCTCTGGACCATTCGGCGCAGCTTGTAGTTGAAGCCCCTCAGAGGAGTACCAAAACGCCCGCCGGCTTTTTTATCGTGATTTGATGCGAAATCTATGATACCACGCCGCCCGGCTCCGGCCTGCTTGATTACAAATTCTGCACGCAAAAGAGAGACATCTGGTGACGTGTGAGCGCTAGCTTTTTGCCTTTGGGGTTCTATGCTGTATGTAAACGAGTGAAGGCAAGGCCCCGCAGGTTGCCTTTAGAAATTCTTGGGTTCCAAGTTGGGAATTCTTCAAGTCTATCGGCTCTCTGTGGGAATAGGGGTGGAGCGAAGTAGGCACTGTCATCGCCATGCGCATCCCGTCGCCGTCCTCGCTTCCTCGTCGCTTCCCGTTTCGCAAGAAATCGCTTCTGCTCTTCGCGTTCGAATCGTGGAGCCCTCCAGATTCTCGTAGAACAGAAAGCGCCTCGCGCTGCTCTTCCAGAGTCTTTTGGCATGTGTTCGCCCGTCGTATTTCGCTGCGGCCAGCTGGTGTCGGCCTTCTCTGCTTGGGTGTTCTTCTGAAAGGCGCCGGGGCCGGTTACAGGCCTACCCCAAACCGGTGGCAGCAGGCTTCGCCTGTCTGTTGCTCGCTGGCTTCACTTTTGCCGACGCCCCTGCCGCGGCTGTGCTGTCTTCACTGCTAGCAGTCTGCTTGTGACTACATATGGCCGAGCCCGTCAGACGTCGCCCGCACTCGTCTCCACTGGCTTTCACCTGGGCCTCTGGTCGATGGCTTTATCGATCGCGTGCGTTTGTCCGCCGTTTTTTTCATTTTCTGAGGGTCATAGTGATAATATCGAAACGATCATGAAACAATGAACATCAAAGAGAGCGCTAAGGCTTCTCTTTTAAGACAGGACGAACTGTCTTACCAAACTTAGAACTACCTTGCTGCCATCCACTTATGACGAAAAACAAGCTCCGCCAGGTACTGAAGATACTCGTATGGGCGCTTTTGTAATGCCAGCGCACGCGCTTGCCTCCCATGCTTATGTCGCCAGCGACCCCACTGGTTTTGTGGCAACGACTTGCCCACCGGAATCCGGCACGGCGTGCCGTGACTCTTTCGCCTTCTCTATCGAAAAGGGCTTCGGCTCGTTGTGGAATATCTTCGAAGCCGACGCACGTGAGCGCAAGCTCGTCGACAAATGGGTAGGCGTCACACCGATGAGTCTCGGGTTCATGATTGAAAAACTAGAGACGGAAGCAAATGGACCATCATTAGATGGGCTAGTACAAGTGCAAGGCGCAACAGTGGCCAGGCCTAGGCAAGAGCACAAACTCATGGATTCGTTTGGTCTGATTTTTCCTATTGACTTTGACCATCTACCAAAAAGATCACCTCCCCAGTCACCTAAGCCCAATTTCTGGGGAAAATGGTCGATAAGTGTTACAGGGTTCGAGGACAGTGAGTGCTATAGTACCTATTGCGTTAATACTAGACAACATCTAGAACGCATCCCTTTTTACGCCTCGCCTAATTTGAGTCCTGCTTCTGAGGGTGATAGGGTCTTGGCAAGAAGATGCGTCCGCTTTGTAGAACACGCGCACCCTCACTGGACGCATCCGTGTGGCATTCGAATGATAGTCAAGGGAGATGTGATTCTCAAGGGGGGTGACAATAAAGCCGCGCGCGTCGTCTTCAAGCCCACCCAGTGGGGGATGGACATGGCGCCGTACAAGAAACTTGTTGAAGTAGCTAGATCTACAGGAGCAGCGGTTCCCGCTCCGGCTCCCGATCTCGAAAGCTAAAAGTTTGTCACCTGGTTACGTAGGTGGCGGGTCGTGGCGGTTTTCCACTGTTGCGTCCTGGGTCTGTGTAATAAAGGCAAGCACTCAGAGGCTGCATGTAGTAGAGGGGGAATTCTTTAACCCTTGGTGAAGGGGTGTAAGTAGATGCTGTCGCTGTGATATCGATAGGCTGGCTTCTTGATAGGTCGAGAGACGCAGGGCGTGCCTTCTGTGACTCGAGGACGCCTTGCCAAGAAGAAGCGCCTAGGTGTAGAATGGGTTGGCTTTGTTACTTTGCAGACTAGCCGCACACTTTTGGAACAGCTTAGAAATTCTGAGCGTGCCTGGGAATACTCAAGAGTGCGCCGTAGTGTATTTTGGGGAGGGGGTGCGCGTAGATATTGTCTCTGCTATTTCTCTTGCTGGGGTTTTCAGGTACTGCGTCGCGGAGTATCTTAGGACTTGCCCGGCGGCATGTCTTTCGATCGGAGTGCTTGCGGGGTGTGTGGTGTTTGATCCCTCACACCTGGGCCCGCCCTAGTGCATAAACTTGGGCCCGGCGCATTCTCCTCGCCCGCAGTCTTGTTCCCCGGTCTATCTAAAAACCCAAACCAAGCAACGGCGTGGCGGCTCAACTGCTCGCGGGGGTTTTTATAGTCCCACTAGAAAGATGGGTGTGATTATGTGAAGGAAGAATGGTAATCGGATTCGAGCCGCGCGTCTCTCGTGAGACGCTGTCGTGTCGCTGATGTCCCTTGAGTCTTATAGAACGGGAGACTGCGCTGCTCGCTAGTTTCTTGCTGTTGTCGTCTCTTTCTGCCTCGGTTGTTGTTGTTGTTGTTGTTGTTGTTGTCTTTCTGCCTCTGTTGTCGTGTCTTTCTGCTTTGGTTGTTGTTGTTGTGTCATTCTGCGCCTGCTGTTGTTGTTGTTGTCGTTGTTGTGTGGTCTTTCTGCCTCTGTTGTTGTTGTTGTTGTTGTTGTTGTTGGCACCCACGAGAATGAGGAAGCTTGGGTCGTTTTTATGGCCAGCGTAAAGCGTGTTTTCACAAAAAGTTACAAATTCAATTTTTTAAATTTCTAATGGTGTAAAAGTAAATAGGTAGTTCACTAGCTAGCTAAGGTTAATAGGCTAGGAGATTCCCCCTGCGTTGGCCGTCTGGAATCCGGTGGCTGAGTATCTGGGTACTTTGGAGGCTGAGGCGATGGGCATTTGGAGGCGGACGCCAGGCCATCCTGGGCTTATTTGGTCTGCGGAGTCGGGCGACTCCACGAAGCAAATAAGCCCATCATCACCTGGCCGCCGCCTCAAAGTGCCCACTTCTTCAGCCTCTGAAGTGATCGGATTGCCAGCCACAGGAGTCCTCGCGGCCAGTCCAGGGAATATCTCCTAACCTAGTTACTTAACTAGCTAGTTAAGTCTCTCGCTAGTGCCCCTATATTTTCAAAAAAGTAAATTTGTAACTTTTTAGAAAAACACACTTTACGCTGGGCATGGTTTTCTAGTAGTAAAAAAATGCACCATGATAATCCACTACAACAATCCGGAGACAGGAGCAGAAATAATTGAGAAAAAGGGAGGGCAAAAGGGGCACAAAACCAAGGGAACACCATGCAGATGAATCGAGAACCAAACCCACCGAATCGCGAACCGAGTCCAGCCATGGAGGTGCATAATAGAGGGCAGCCCTATGGCTGTGCGCTCTGAATCGAGAACCGCGCCCAGCCATGCCATGGAGATGCGTGAACAATAGAGGGCGCGGCCCTATATCTGTGCGCTCGGAATCGGGAACCGAGTCCAGCCATGGAGGTGCATAGTAGAGGGCGGCCCTTTATCTGTGCGCTCTGAATCGCGAACCGAGTCGGGCCATGCATGGAGACACGCCAGAGCTGTCCCCCCTGAATCGAGAACGGGGGACGCCGTCCATTGCGTGCGCGCATTTATTGACGGCTATCCTGTAGCCTTGTCGCATGTATTGCGGAGGAGGTCGCCACGCCTGTACATCTCCGGCAGCACCTATCGAAGCTGTTGCAGAATTTTCGGAGTAGGGCAGCGAATTCGCGAGGGAGACACCTGAACCAAATAGACTCAGGCGGACTCTACTGCGATGCTGAGCACAGAGGCAGTAGCACCGCTGGCGCAAAAGTAAGAACTAAACGACGCGCCTGATCTAGCGCCCCGCGACTATGGTAATGCTCTTCGTTGATTGCTAGAAGATTTGCCGGCATGTGTCGCCATGCTTATGCATGAGCGAAACAAGTGGAGTTCTAAGGTGTTCGCCGTTTGTCTGTTCTATATAGATCGGCGGGACTCTGCGAAAGCGCCAGCACCTCACTGCCCCCGCGCAGCCTTGGAGCTGGATGCCTTCGCGCTCGTCGTGGTTTTGCCCTTGGGGGGGCTGGATGCCTTCACGCTCGACGCCTTGGACTTGGAGGAACTGGACACCTTCACACCTGACGCCTTTGCCTTCGAGGAGCTGGACACCTTTACCGTGGGGGAGCGGCCTGGGGCCTCAGAGCAGGCGGCAGCCGTAGAAATTCCGAGAGAGCGAAGCCGCGCGGCGTCCTTCTCCTGGTAATGTTTCTGCAACAATTAGAGCACAAACAAAAGACAAGACACAGCTGGCGCCCGAGTTTGCGAGGATTTAGCTAAAGGACGACGGTCATGGGTATCATTCATACTAGACGAACGAGAAGAGCACAGGCGAAGAACATAGAAGAACGCCACCACCCACGCGCAGGCCCCTACTCTTGCCGGGCGAGACAGGTGGCAGCTCTCCCTTCGCCAGATCATAAAATAAAGCGAGTAGCACCGCCTTCGTGGCCAATGATTAGAAGAAAACACAAGGAGAACACAGGCGCCCCACTCATGGCGCTGCTTTGCTAGTCACTTACCTCACGAGGCCCGCGCGCTCCTTGGACAAAGCAAAACAGAAGACAGAGTCAGAGGCGGCGCCAGTTTCTTCCCTTCCCATACTGTGCTGCCCGAGTCTCGACGAGACGCCACGACCCCGGCAGCCGACGCAACCGCCTCCAACTGCAACCGCGTCAAGCTGGTGAAATCTCCGTGCCCCACCGCGGCGGGCGCCTCCTGATTTAGTTAGAGGAATCCACCGCAGCGCATAGCCAACCTCCTCAGGAATATCCCCGGCGCCCCAGCTGAGCAGGGTGCTACACTCCTTGGAACATCTTGCCAACTATTTCAAAGACCACAACCACAGACACGCTAGCCACAGCCTTAATTTAGCGGCTGCGGCGCCTCCCCTGAGCTGAGGGAGGTGATGAGTTCGGCGCGGCTACCGACCGCCCTGGGACAGCGCAGGTTCTAGAGGCAGGCGCCTGGTGCTTGGTTGCCCTTGCCTCGCTTTTTATGCCTTGCGCCCCCCTCTTAAGAAAGGCAAAAGAAGACGCACGAGAAGCACCACAAGCCTGCCGCCCATGAGATTGATGGCCATGCCCTTCACCAGCGCACGAAGCTCGGCCGTAGACATCTCCCGCAGCCGGTCGAGTTGTGGCATTTTCGCAGCCAAATCCATCGAGCCCAAGCCCATGCCAAGCCCATCTGCCACAACCTCCGCCGCCCGCTGGGCCTCTTCATCCGCATGCGCGGCAAGCTGTCCGCTCCACTTGCTTCAGAAGGGGCAAGACATTCCCAAGCGCCTCCGTGTCAGTGTCGTGAAAAATTAGAAACGAAAATCTGCGAGGAAACAAGAGGGGGAAGAAGGTGACAACACTCAAACCCATAAGAACACGCCATGCCATAACATGAGCCCAAGCATCGCCTTCGCCTCTGTCTCGATGTTGTCCTGGTTGCGCCACGGGCAGAAATGGGAAAAGACTGCAACGAAAAGCCACCGCTTGCGCCTTTGCTTTGTTTTGACAAGCGTCAAAGAGTGAGACAAGCGAGGCAGGCCAGCTGACTAAGCAACAAACAAAGAGAAAAGACTAAGACAGCCGCACCCCTTGCGTAAGTTACCAACATAGTACAAGCACAGCGATGACCCTGAGGGACTTCCTCGCCCACTTGAGAAGGGTCACCGCTTGCGCTTGCCGCTAGCTTGCTAGGTGGCCCCATAAAAGAGAGCGGCGCAGAAGTCGTCGCGCCTCGCTCGCAACGCCTCTGCGCTCTGCACCTTGGAGATTTGGGGGGAGACGCTTCACCAGATCAAGCTGCCGCCCCTCCACATGTTTCCACATATTCGCGACGCACTGGCCCCCGACTTATCGTGAGAAATATACGAGGCCGCTCTTAGGTGGTTCAGGGGGCTAGTGTGGACCTGAGCTGACGAGACGCGTGGCCACGATCTAAATAAAGAGACACGAAACACCACGCCCACCCACCCCAGACGAATGAAGAGCAAACACACGACGACGGGCCATATCCTTTCATCGATGCCAGATCGCATCGAGGAACCAATGCGCGGCATCTTGGTGGTAGGTTGCAGAAAAAGCGCAGATACGGCGGACGTTGCCTCCCATTGGCGAGCAAGCAGGCAGCCGCATTGTTTACGCGGTGCACCGGATGGCCATCGGTGTGGAGGTCGACGCGGTGTGGTCGCCATCCCTGGCAGGTGCAGACGTACCCATAGAAGCCATCCGAAGGGTGTTGCCACAGAGCACGCTGCCCGGCGGCGGTGGGTATGTTCCCGCGCTGTCTGTTGCCGATTATCACCAACGAAGTTAGAAACATGACGCAGCCACACGAGCCCCAGAACCAGGGGGGAGCTTGCTTCGCCACTTTTGTGGCTTTGGGGCGCTTCCCCCTTCTTCAGATAGACACACACAAGCCCACACCCATAGATAACGACGGCGCGGCTAGGTACTCATCTACCTCCACTCTATATGTGCTCGGGCTCTCCGATTACACTGCCCGCGCGTTCTGCCGCAGAGTGAGCACCACCCTGGCAGCAAACAGCACAAGACGCAGGCGAGTGCCAGCTGGCTTATGGTGTAAGTCTTGCCGTGTAGCGATGTAAGTAGAAGGGGGGCGGGCTCTCGGTTCAGGGTTCAGGATTCAGGTGGGGCATCGCGTCGCCTGCCATATGATATAGAGGGAACAACAAGGGAGGCGGGCTCTCGATTCAGGGCTCAGGATTCAGCTGAGACATCGCGCCGCCTGCCATATAGAGGGAACACCAGGGGAAGCGGGTTCTCGGTTCAGGGTTCAGGATTCAGATGCGGCATCGGGCTCCCTATCATATACATAGAGGAACGAGGTGGAGCTTGCTGCATTTTAAGCGCTAAACACCTCTAGCGCTTTCGTTCTTATTCTCGTGGCTGCCTTGTTGTTGTGTTGTTGTTATTGTTGCTGTGTCTTTCTGCCTCTGTTGCTGTCGTCTTCGTTGTTGTTCTTGTTGCTGTGCTTTGCTCTGTTCTCTTGGCGTGCTTTTTTGTTGGTGTGCTTTGTCTTCTTCGTGTGTTGTGCTTTGTTTTTTTCGTGTGCTGTGCTTCGTCTTTTTCGTGCGTTGTGCTTTGTTTTTTTCGCGGGTTGTGCTTTGCCCCCTTTTTTCGCGTGTTGTGCTTTGCTTTTTTTCGTGTGCTGCGCTTTCTGTTTTTGGCCCGAAGAGTTCAGTTACAGTTTATTTATATGTATACATAATAATATATCTATATAAATATTTATGTGCAACCTGACTAAATTAAAACTGGTGGAATTGCTGTGATGGCCATGATATGGGGACGGCTGGATGGTTGAGTGATTAAAGGGTGGAGTATTAGAGGGTAGGAGAGACAGAGTGGAGGTGGTTGTGGTCGGATCTGGTCGCGATCGTGCCTTCACGCCACACTTGTTCGTCCTTGTCACCTATTACAAACCTTTGAGGCTGAACTTGAGGGACCTTCATGACAGAGAGGCCATTTGTGCTCTACGTTCAATTGGTCACCATTATGATTCTGTCGCATGGAAATGAGGTAGAAAGCGGTGCGAGACTGCGCGAACGCTGGGCGGCAGTTGCGGACATTGCAACTTGCCTAGTAAGTGCTATGTGTTACTCACAGGGAGGGACAAGATCCGAAATGGTGGGAGAAAAGTGCAGCTTGTCGGTTTCATTTGACACCTTCGCACCTTCGGTTGAGTTTGAGACGAAGATGCTGCAAGTCAAGGACACGATCGACGAAGTTCAAAGTTTTATTGCTGTACACGGAGCGGTCCAGTCGTATCCGTAAAGATGACAAGAAATAATAGAGATCATTCATGTAGCAGAACCACGAGGGAAGAACGAGAGAAAAGCTTTCTCTACTCCTTTTTTCCAACAAGGTGCAGTTGTAGCTAGTCAAAGCATTAATATTTATTTCGATTGATTTTGATTCCTTTTATTTCTTGATAAGTGAACAGGCCAACGCCTAAACCACTAAGCCAACTGCGCAGTGGTTTAGGCGTTGGCCTGTTCACTTATCAATCAAACTACCGGGGTGGGCTCGGCCGCCTTTCTCGCGATCTCTGTCGCTAGAAACCCCCTGCAGTAGCTAGTTGGGTCACCGCCTTGCATTTGCGGCCGGTATCACTAGGCTGCCAGGTTCATTGGGGACTGGACTTCTGCCATTCTCGCGATCTCAGTGGCCAGGCTCCCCCCTTCTTGGGTGGGACCGGTCAAGTTTGCCGATGTCGGGCTCATCGGTGGCTGCGTCTTACAGACTTGGCTCATTCTGTGGCGGGTGTGTGCACTGGAGCGCGCTCAGTCAGACGCCTCCCACCCTTTGGCCTCGATGCGTATTCTGGGCTCTGCCACTATTTTTGAGATTACCGGGACTCGAGCCCTAGGTAGTTTGATTGAGAAGTGAACAGGCCAACGCCTAAACCACTAAGCCAACTGCGCAGTTGGCTTAGTGGTTTAGGCGTTGGCCTGTTCCCTTATCATTTCTCATTAAATTTTCGAAGAGCCAACTTTTCAAGGATCAAGAACGCACTAGTTTGGTAGAAGAGATAGAGTGGAAGATGATAGCTACAACGAGTAGGGCTTTCACTTCATCTCAGCGGGACGAGTTATGTTTTCAGTTTATTACGCAACGACAACCACAACGACAGCACAGCTCTTGAAAATACTAGAGTCGTCAGTTTCAGACCAGTAGACGCAATCATGATAAAAATGGTCCTCGACGTTCCTTGCCGCGTGACGAGGTATCGGAACCTGGTATCCCGATGTCTCTCTGCTGCGTGATGTATTACGTTCAACAACGAAGACTCAAAAAATGGCCTCCTCTTGCTCTTCCCGCGCCTTTCTTTGTGGTGTGGCTATTTGCCTCTTCCTCCATGCCCTACGTGACAGCTACTTACTCGCTACAGCAAGCATTCCGAGATCAGCGGTCATCGCCTCCGTGGCCACGGGTGGAGGAGCACCGAGCAGCTATCATATTAATGGAGTTGAGCATAGTGCAGACGCTGCCTCAATAACCAGTGAAGATGGAAGTTCAGGAGCCCGCCCATTACCTTTATCGTCAGAGAGTAAAAGTGATTTTGCTCTTGCCAACAATTTCGCTGGAGGAAGTAGACGCCCGGTAATAGATGAAACTACATCAAGCTCATCCACTTCCCGAGATGGAGGAGGGAAACTTCTACCTGCTGGAAAAAGTGGAAGTACGACGAACATTGAATCCGAGCGCGGAACGATATCAGATTATAAAGACTTCCTGCATCCTGGAGCTTCATTTACGTGAAGGAGCGACGATTTTTTCATCTCTTAAAAGAGATCATGAGGATGTGTTGCTCTAATTCTTTTTGTCGCGGAAGTGCCTGCTGCATAGGACCACTTGGGCAAGGGCGTCCAAACACCTTGCAAGGAAATTGTCTGGATGTTTCCCGATGCGCAGCTGCGGGAAGAAAAAGGATTAGGATTAAGATCGCTTTATCATTATCTACCGTTAGCTGAAGAGTATCGATGTCACTTCTACTGGCAATCATGTAGAAGAACATCGTCCCACCTAGCATTCTAGGAAGTCCTCATCTAGAAGAAGAACATTACTAGCAATGCCGCGCAGCTATCTAGTACTTCTTCATGAGTTTCATCTCTCTTGCCTGAAGCATTGTACTAGCGATACCCAATATTTCAACAACTCTTGATAATATTCAAAATACTTTTACCCCTGTCCTCAACTCTTGTTGAGACGCCTATCGTCCTCCTTCAATATACCTGCGCAGAGGCAAACGTCTCCAAATGGCGCAAAGAGGAAATATGCGCTCGTATTGTCCTTTTTTGGACGTGTACCGGATGAAAAAGGAGTCCGCAACTTCCTGCCTAATCTAGGTTATGGCTTACCATAGCAGCTATGTATGATTATGATACATATCTGCGAATGATTTACATTAAGGTTATGGCTTATCATAGCTCTCCTAATTTAGTCCTCCTCTTTTCCTATTCTAGTCCTCTTAGATCATTGATTACTGCTTATGTAGTCCCTTTCTTCATTGAAGGGATCCATTTCTTAGCTGAGGGCGTGTTTGTTTTCATGAAGTTGTATTTGTAAGAGGTGAAGGTCATGTAGCTGAAGATGAGTTATTCTGTTGTTGATTCGGTAATGCTGCTACTGTTACTGACCAGTCTTCACGATTGTAGTTCATCTTCATCAGACCCAGAGCTAACTGCTCACTTACTTCGTTTCCTTAACCTTATCATACCTAGCATGTTGTGAAGATTCATCTGGTGAGCAGAGTATGACCCATATGGTTATCGCCTGTAGCATCAAACGCATCTAATCGGGAAGCATGCAACTTGCGAGACAACGAATTTTAGAGGAGGCCAACGACGTGGAAGTTGATATCGTTCTTTTAGTCCATCCTATGAAACAAAAAAGTGCACTCACACGACGGACTGCTCAACTTCAAACTGCCTATTGAGTAGGATTATTTAAGGAGGACGAAATAGGCAACTAGGATTTGAGTACTATGTATTTAACTTCTAATGATCACTAGAGAACTAGCTCTAGCCACTTTTTTGAGTAAAAAAATGAGTGCACGTATTTTTTTCTGTTATACATCCAGGGAGAACCTTGGAGAAACAGAACTACGATCCTATGACTTCCAGCTCTTTGCTTGCAGAACTGCAGAAACCACCATATTCAACTATGGTAAAGATTAAGTTATGAAGTAGGAGAAGGGGATGAAAATAAGCCTGAAGAAACTTCACATGAAATTGAAATGCAGATAGTAGAAATAGACGTAGAAGTCGAAGTAGTAATAAGTATAACCATTGATGTAGCAATCAAGTTGAAACTTCGAATCAATATGGAACTGCAAAAAAGATAATAGACGTAGTGTTAGGGTGTAAGATTTGTAACATTCTTTCTGCATTTGTACAGTCTTCATCAAATTCATCGACTTTCACTACCTATGATGCCCGAAAACAACCCTCACAACAATTATTACCTTAGTAGTGCATAAGCATTATATAGCATATTTTTATCTCCACGCTCGCCACCTTCGTCTAGTCGTAGTCCTCTCTTTTTAAGTATTCTTTATTCATGTTCATGTCGCGCGTGACCCGTCATCCCCTTCCCGACTTGTCCCTCGTCCCCGTTTTTCATGATTCCGAGTTTCCTGAACCCTTCCCTCCCTGTTCATAAATGCGAGTTCCGTGGACGATACCTCCATCAAGTTTGTTTGACAAAGGAAACGCCGGATGGTGCGGCGAGCAGGACTTTATGGCGCCACTCATTGAGAACAGAGGTCAGCTGAGGCTCAAAGCGATTCATTTCCAAGGGTCGTTTTCCCCTGTTTCCTTCTTGGGAATCTGAAGCGATGAAGTGAAGAAATGACTTTTTTTGAGCTGTAAGTGAGGGGGCGAATGGCGTTGCGCCTAAGTAAGTAAAAGGGAAAAGGAGGACCGCCATGTCCCTCATAGTACACAACCGCTCTCAACAAGTAGAAGCATGCAAGGACGTTCTTCTAAGCACTTGGTTCGGTTACATGCCTTAGCCCTAACCGATTACCACGCCATTGCGTACTACGATAGCGATGTGGAGTTGCGAGGGTCATACACTTATGACGGGCAGGACTCGCGTCTTCTAGTGGGCACTTGACTTGTGCTTGTCGCGTCTTCTAGTGGCTTCTAAATCCGAAACTTTTTATTTCATCAGTGGTTGCATCACGGTCATGGAGTTGAAGATGCGAATTTCTACAAGCTAATGATAATATTTGGATCTTCATCATCTTCTAGCAGCTCATAAAAGACCTGTCAATTATTGTTTCAGTTCCCTTCTAACTTCAAGACCTGTTTCACTGTGTGGATGGAATGGACGTGGTGCTAACCACGACAGGTGGGATTGGAGAGCCACTAAACGTAGGCTTCTTCGCCTTAAAACCGAAAACTGCTCTGCTTGAAGCAGCGAAAGAATTTTCCATGACTGCTATTATGGAAAATACGCGTCGTGCAATTGCAAAATCAATAAAAGCAGTAAGTAGGTGGCTATCACGAGGTGAAGCGAGGACACGACTCCGATTGTGACTAGATGAAAAATCAATCCACGTAGACTTGAGTTAGGCCACGATGATCATCGGATGATGGTGAGACGCTATTAAGACTCTAGAAGATAGTTCCCCATTGGATGAAGATCTCTTTTTGAGCTATCATTTTCAACTGGATCAGATCTCTTGATGCGTTACGACTCTCGATGGTGCAGGAGGATGTATAACCTAACCTAATACTTAACCATCGTTTTGAATGCTGTTTTCTTGATGCAGCATCACGACTCTTGATGCACCAGGATTCACAACCTAACCTAGCCATCGTCTATGTCTATGTTCCACTCGCTGTTGACGCATCGTCTAATCCAGCCTTTGAGCCAAAAAAAGGAGGTTGGGCTAACGCCGGCTTTTGGCCGAGTCAGTACTATTTTATCGGCGCAGAATGCGGACAGGGGTATTGGCTTACCTTCTTCTATTACGGCCTCCCCTAGTAGTCCATCTTCTTCTCAAGCATCAAGGAAGAAATGGCCTCTCAAGTGCTTAACTTAGCGCACTTGAACAGTCGCCATTCGACGACTGTTCATCACCCTACCCGTGAACAGTCTAATTCCATCGCTTGGACAATGCAAAAGTGCAAGCCGCTTACAAAAAAGCCGGTGTCCCTTTGGATTCAGTACGCGCCGCTAGCATAGATAGGTGTGTGTGGAACTATCAGACCTCCTCAGGATGCGAGACACCTATTATGAAGAATTATTTGTGTTTCATGATCGTGGATATAATGCCCATCGCAAACATAATCGTTTGGTATGATTGATTTAGATTTTCTTGATAGTAATGCTAGAGGTAGGTCAATGAAACATAAAAATTGTTCGAACAAGCAGGTGCCTCCTGGTGGTTGTATGTCTATGCCGTATGCCAATACTCTTGGAAGATTACTCTAACACGATAATCTTACCTGCATGCCGATTGTAGCTGTGCACGATGCGTTAGTCGTGATGTTGACACGTTTCTTGTTGTCTGGTATGCTGAGTCATGCATGAAGGTAGAAATTCAAACTTGTACTAGTAAACTACAAGAAGTTTTAGAAGCAATCCATGAAGTCTCCTTCACCTTCTCTAATTTTCGCAAACTCCCGACATGTGAGTTGGTGCGTGGCCACCACAAGCCGGCTGAGATGGGAAGTGATGCTGGAGAATGCCTGAAAAAAGGGCTAAAGCAACTACGTGCAGAAAAAGCTGTGGCCCTCGGCTCTTCCTCAACAGTACAATTGTTAAGGACAAGGCTTGCCAATCAGTAGCAGTGCAAGAATTGTTGTAAGATTATCTACTTAACAAATCGAAATCAGTTTTGAGCTAGCCTATGATCATCAATAACGTGTGGACTAAGTGGGTTCCCACCTTCACTTAATGGGTTAACAACATTAATAGAAGTCAAGAGGAAGAAATACAAAGGCACAGGGAAACAAACTTCGTGCAAAAAAGGCAACCCACTCAGCCACGTACTATAGTAAGTGGTCGACTTTCTTGTACCTCTTCTAAGATTGTCAAAAAGCAACTTGCCCTTGTCCGCAACACAATCATCAACATCAGAGGACAAACAAAGAGCGCAGAATAGCGCTCCCTTATTGCCTGACTTCCTACGAGTACAGGACTTCTTTGCATCATCGTCTGTAGTTAAGGGTAGGCTAGAGGTGCTCCCGTTGCCGTTTGTTTCGCCTTTCTACTCAAGGGGAAGGGCATAACGAACGGGGTGAGCGAACGCCAAAACCCCACCTCTAACGTCGGCGGAGATGGTCCAGAGACCTTGAGAGGTATGAAGAATTTCGTATCCCTTGGTCCTCTTCCCCAACGTATGCCGTGGCCAGTGGCGAACGGGAAAGGATTACCAGCACAGTGTGGTATCTAAAAATGCTGATACTTATTCAGTCAGACTGAGACTCAGAAGCTGATCATAGTACATTTTTCACATTATAGCTTTAGACGTAAAAAGACGTTGGCGTTGGAGGTGAAAGATTTATTTTAGGACTAGGTAGCAATTGCAATTCCTCATGCTCGCCAGATCCCAAGCGACCAGAGTGGTTAGTGCGAGAAGACAGACTGCTGTTGGACGTCAACGCTCACAAAGTGAGTGACAAAGTTCGAGCGCTCGCTGTTGTGACCGTTATGACCTAGCACCACAGGAGCTACACCCACGAGAAGAAGAAAGAGGGAAGCGAAGAAGAGGGAACCCAAGTCCGACTAGAATAGTACATCATGAAAGGTCCTCGTGGCTACTTTCTTAGAAAGAAAGTCAAAGTCCGCTCCTAGCGTGACTAAATACTTTCTTGGAAAGAAAGTCAAAGTCCCTTAGTACAACTGTTTGTTAGTGCTAAGTATACCTCAGAAGTTGATAGTACTGGTAAAGGAGCTTTAATTTCTACTCAAAGTCTTGACCTTCTTCCGTGGAAAATATCTTGATATTAGAATACATGAAAAAATACTAGTACAACTACCTTCTTGCAAACCTCTACCTCAATTACGAACGGCATCAATTTCAATATATGTTCTTGGTTTTTCATTCTATTGATCGAAGCTGCAGGTGCCGATGACTGGGGCAAGCCTGCAGATCGGCCAAATTGGTCCAGGACTTTGCTGGCTGCCACGTTGCAACACCTTCGACAGTGGGGTCACGGATTAGTAGCGAGAACGCAGTTCACTTTATGATGATGGTAATAGAGTTAGTGTTAGATTTAGATTATGGAAGTCAACATAATTGACCAACAACTGTGTGAAGCTCAAGGTCAACATCTTTGTGAAGGTCGAGGACAAAGTGTGACAACTTGGTTTTGAACTACCTCAGTCTTACTGGATTTGGATCATGAGGCTCGAGATGGTTATGTTTCTGAGCTAATGCTAGAGTGATGAGTGAACAGGCCAACGCCAAATCACTAAGCCAACTGCGCAGTTGGCTTAGTGGTTTAGGCGTTGGCCTGTTCACTTATCATAGAGTACTACAACGCTAATCCACGACCAACGTCAGCAATCTACTTCTAGCGAGGGTCGTGAAAGAACGCGTTCTCACCTCCAAGATTGGCAAAGGTATCAGTGCTCAGAGCAGAAGAAAAGTGCAGAACAATGTGAGAAGGATTTCCAACGGGAAAACTTCAACTGGGAGAAACACTTGATGTTAGCGGATTATCTGAACTTGAAAGAAGGGAAAGGATATCTTATGGGCAATGGTTCCATACTAGTACTACTACTCGATTCTTGAGATCTATTACTTGTTTTATCTTTAAGTAAGAATGCAGTGAAGTTTAAGGTTGAAATAAATGTATGCATAGAACAGAAAAATTTACGATTAGCGGAAGAAAAAAGGAGATTGACTGTGATAGCTGCAAGCTGTAGCTGTTGCATGTATGACTTTGTAGATACCGTAGTTGATGATTGAACGAAGATTTCATCCACGTCGTTTACAACTATTTTTCCCCGGTTGACATCATCACATGATCTATCATAGTGCACTTGAAGGTGAAGAACGTGTGAAAATGATAACAACAAACATAGATAATAAATATTTCCAGCACCTCCTTCATGCACCGTTTCACCCACGTGGCGATGCTAGATGGTGACCTGGCACTGGTTAACAGGCAGGTGGATTCTTTAGGCCTGCTCGCATGGCATATGTGGAGAGCTGGGAAATCTTTGTTCATGGCGAACGAGGATTGGCTGAAATTATGGCTGAAGAAACTCAGGCGGACGCTCAGCGTGTCGCGCAAGCGCAATTAGGGAGAGTAAATTAGACCTATAACTTTAGCGCTAAGTACAGGAGAAGACGAAGGTGCTGCACGCTCGCACGCGCGACGCGGCAACGGTGGATTTATATTGGCTACCGGATCGTTCGGTCGCAAGCTTTTTCTAGACTCCTTCGATGCCCACGTGCATGGAAATGGGCGTGGAACAAAGGGAAGTAGGTTATGATGAGATGGGGAATGGAAATAGTAGGCCATGATGATGAGATGCAGATGGGGAATCAATAGAAATGAGCATTTTCATTCTACTAGCAGAGGATGAGGAAGACGAGGAGAAATGAGCATTTTCATTCTACCAGAGGATGAGGAAGACGAGGTGGATTTTTATCTAGCAAGGAGGATTTCTAAAACATGGAGGCGCACCCGTTTGGCCACGGCTTGGGATCCGACAGGAATGCTCAAGCAATGAGCAACTCTGTCTCAGTGACATCATGTATAGTACCTCACATCGATTTCCAGATGACAGTATGGGTCCGTTTAAGGCTATTCGAGATACTTTGTTCTCATCATGTTCAATCTCGTGAGAGCAGTTATTTTCATTTGCTAGGACTCAGAGAGACATCACAAGACAGAGCACTTCTTGCCAATAGCGCTGCTCTAACTTCTCCCCAAATACAGCTGTATCTACTAGTGGTGAAACAGACGCTGCACCAGGATCAAACGTACCAGGCCATCAAGGAGAACCACGAACAGCAAAGTCGTTGATTTTCTTATTAAGGCTACAAAAAAATCCATCTACCAGAATCCATGTTCCGCATCGCCGTCCCGTTTTTACTGGGAAAACGGTGCAGCCCAAGATGCTGCTGAAGATGAAAAGGGATTTCCTTAAAGAGTTCTACTAATCTTAGGCTCAGGCACTTTTTGGAATCGTGGTCGGAGCCCTCAAAAACCTGGGATGCCGGATCCCGATGCACGCTTACACGTCCTGCACTATATGGGGGGAGGTCGGCAGCAGTCGTTGCGAGATCTGTGCTCAAGTTAAGACTATGTAGTGATAGTGACTATGACTATGTGGTGTCCACTTAGGGTTTGGGTTTACGCAGACGAGGTGATGTGGACTGTGGATTATGTTGTTGCTGAGTGCGTTGTGCTCCCGATATAATCGTAATTTGAAGGTCGAGAGTTGTTGTAATCGTAATTTCAAGGATAAGAAAGACCAGGAAAGTGCCGATTTAATCTACGGGAGTTTGATATGGCTGGGGAGAGGTAAGAGAATCCACTTAGAGCTGCGGATATCTATTGGAGGAGGCTGGTGACTCTAATAAAGTGGAGGGTATTTCAGTGCTGTCGGAGGCGTAATCGGAAGTAGTGCTAGGAAGGTGCTGAAAGTGTGTCGTGGAGGAGGGTCTGCAGGTGAAGGCTCATACACCAGTGACCAAAGAACTTCTTTGGGTGGAACAGAAGGACTTACTTTTATGGGAGGCAGTAGGCTTTTGGTGTTTCTGTTTTTAGTGTTTGTATTTTTGACTCTCCCTAGAAGTAGCTTGCAGGGGAAGAGCATAACAAAGAGACGGGGAATTAACAGAAACACCAAGGCACGAGCCGATCTCTAATGCTTGCAAGTCGCAAGACAAGATAAAGAAGGAAAATGCTGACTCTTATCCGCCAGGCGCTAGACCACGTGGAGACCCCTGGCCATCCTGGATTGCTACAGTGATGCAGACGACCAACAAGGAAAAACTATTTAATTCATCCAGCACGACCAGCACAGGAAAAGGAGCCGATCAGCAAGTTGAGCCTAGCAGCACAGCAGTACCATCTAGTACCTCTTCTAGCCCATCTTCAGCAACACCAGAAGCAGAAGACGTCGCTTCTACTTCAGCACCTCCAGGACAGACCACACAGTTATCGGGTGGATCTTCCTCAGATGAAAGTACATCTTCTGGAGGCAATTTGGTGCACCTTTCTTACCAATGCTGTGATAAACAGCAATGGCATTGCTGTGGGGAAAGCGGTATGCAGATTGCTGCACAGCGAAAGAAAAACGATAATGCATGGCTAGCATTCTACATTCATTTTTATGGCGTTGATAGGTGGAGAGAAGAAAGTGAGGTGTTTTTGAGCTGTTATTTGTTAATATTTATAATTACATCAGCTTGTTCTCTTATTTTCAGGTTCCACTTTTTTTATCCTGAGTTAGTAGTGGTTTGTCATCGTCGTCGTGAGACCTTGACCTCTTACGTACTACGTTGTTTGTAAGTGCTCCTACTACTAGCGTAAGGTCTGTTTTTGGTTTTGAGACGAAACATATTTTACAAACAAACACCAACACTTGCGTTTGTTTACACAGCCTTCAACTTCATCACTGTTACAACAACCAGATAAGTTTAAGTACTCATTATGAATAATTAATATTCCACCTCTATGTTAGTTGGGCGTCAAAATTATTAAACAACACTGGCGTTTGCGTATTCTGCATTACAAATCAATAAAATCAAAATTGCTTCATACAATAGGAGAACGCAGAAAGCGAGCTGCAGTGACGTATCTGGTGGCGCGGATCGCCTATTTTCATCCTGGAGCCGTCGTGTATATCGTGTCTGATGGCGCGGACCGATTTGAGCGCTATTGTGACTTCGTCAATAGAGACGGAGGTGGAGGTGGACAGTTTGCTCCTTTGAAGTTAGGTAGTTTGAAGTTAGGTCTTAGGACGAGGAGAGAAGATATATCATTTTGAAAAAAATACTTGTTGTACAACTAGTAGAAGCACGCACACGCTGTAGGAACCTATAGAACAAGTGAACAGTTGCACCTCGTGTACCTGAATTACCTTGTACCTTGTGCAAGAACCTGTAGAGTCAGAGTCAATAGTGAGTGATTTATTATGTTGATTGCCATGAAAATCTCTTTCTCTTCGTGGGCAGTACGCACGTCAACATTGTTGTCGCCACGACCTCCCATAGGAGAACAAGTCGATCTCCCCTCGTCAAACTACTTATTTTCATCTCCCTGTCTCTCCGCCTCCTGTCCTCCAGCTGAAGATCGATGGCATCCGTGGCCGTTTTTTCGGCGATTTTGGGACGCCGCCTCAGCCGTGCCTCAATCTGTGGAATATTTGGTATATCTAGAACCTGACGTAACCATGCATACCGCACTGCGGAAAGAACACATGACAGAGGACGCTGGCGGGATCCTAGATCACAACGGCTTGTTTTCGGATAGGTTAGTGAATACCGTAGAACAAATTGCGAGAAAAAATGGCGCTGCCGATTATAGATGTTAAGAAAGGAGGACTGGTGGTGCAATGGACGAGTTGCAGATCAGGTAGAAACAGGTAGTCAAGAAAAAGAAGAACTGACTCCTCGTCTAAGCATTACATTTGCATTCAATCCACTAATAAATCTGCGATGATGTGTAGAGCTACAATTATTAAACATGATAAAGAGTTGCAGTGGCTCAACCTCTACAATCTATCAGATCGTTTACTCTTAGGATAATCTAATCAACATCGACCTAGTATGAAGCGTAAAGAGTTGTAAGAGTTCAGCAAGGACTTCTCAATAGTTCCGCATTTATTTGTTTCTAATGAACGAAGTATCGCGGCACCGGTCTCGCAGGCGGTAGCTATTACAAGAAGAGTGCGATACTATCTGCTTTTTCGGACGAGGCATCGAAGGCGATAGATTGGGGAAAAATGTTCCGCTTTGGACCAAGTGCAGCGGTCTATTCAAGCGACTTCGCAATGCCTATTGCTCTGGCACATAAGTTAGGCCTCTCGTGAAAGCTTTTTCCAGTTAGAGTTATATTTTGTAAGAAGAATATATGTTGGAATTAGAATGGGCTCTGCTCAAAATCAAGGTCCAAGTGTGAACCTGCTCCAAGTCCCACACTGCGTTCGTACAAGAAACCCCCTTCAATGTATGCTTCCGGTATTTGGTATTGGTAACCTGAATTTGATCATAAGGGAAAACAAGAAGAGAACCCTTGTGATCAAATTCAGGTTACCAAATGCCGGAGCCTGCCACTTACTCAATGAAGAACTACTTCTAATTTCCGGTCTTTCCTACAAGCCTTGGCCTGCGGTTCGTCAAGCGTACGGCAGTTACATCGACCGAGAGCAGCCTGGGAACGCGACCGTGTCTCTGATTCACTATATTACGGGTGTAGGGGACTCATTTCCGAAGTCATCTGAAGAAGAAAGAACAAGACAAGAGGAAAGAACAAGACAAGAGTTCCAGATGAACTTCCTTGAGATGTTGAATATCATATGATACCCCTTCTAACTACAATCGAGACATTCAAGGAGGGAAGCCGGATAGCAGACTTCAGTTGGTGGCCAGCGCAGTCGGCAACACAGATTCTTCAATCGAAGGTGGTACTGGTACTGCAAGTGGAGGTGTAGAATTTCGAAGGTTGCAGGATTTCTTTTATGACTAGTCAGAATGAGAATCAGAAGCAAGTTGTTGCTAAAGATGCCATTGTTCTTACTGAAACTGGTCATGAGAAATGAAGTCTCAGCACAATAACGAAGTAGTTACATCGATCTTCATTTCGAAATTCTAGTTTTTTTGAGTTATTCGCTTTGGTTCTGCACCTCTTCATCATCACTTGATTTCGCCCCTCGTCATCGTCCTCTAACCTCCCACAAGAGCCGCCTTGCAATACATCGACAGTCCAAATAGAAGCTGGAGTGCGCGAGCACCAAACATATGCCAACTGTGTTGGAATTTGGCGGAGTATAAACGAAGATTCGGCACGTCGAAATGTGCGCCAAACTTCGACTACGTATACACACCTGATGCCCTGCCTAAAGACGCGAGACCGGGGGAGCGAGCTGCGGTGATGAGGATGCGATAGAAAATGTAGATGGGGCTAGTTTTTGTACTAAGTAGATTGTGTTAGATTGGATCAGATTGTGCTAGATATGCGCTGGAAATATACTTCAGCTTGAAGCGATTAACGAAACGTAATAAAGAACTACGAAGTAGATGGGATTTAATATTTATATGGAAATGATCACTTTGCTGTTGACTTGTCAAATACAAATAACAGTGTGATGCATTATTTGGTATTCAGAAGCAGAACTCAGGAATCGTGAAGGAAAATTTTTACCATTACTGTACTACTGAGAACGGATGAAACAATGCTGATGATGAATATGAGTGCAACTGGGTACGTGTACTGTTCGCTCTAATCCGATTCCTTTGTTCTCAGAGGTATTTTGAGTGAATCTTCGACTCTCTGCTCAACAAGATCGTGCGGTTGGAATATCAGAACCTATGCTGGCCGTTGAACTTGAAGTTGACATCAGCATACATGATTAAAGCCTCGTCTAGCGCCACCCTCTACTCCTACAACGAGTCCAAGCTTTATGTGAGGACGTCAAGCAGTCCCTTCATTCGTGTAGGAGTACATCCAAGAAGAACAAGATGAATTATAAAGATAACACAAGAATTACGAAAAAAATGAAGAACTTTCTTGCCCAATCCTTCAGCATCTCGTATGCGATCTTGCGGGTTGCCCTGATCTTGGGCTACTGCAGGGTCATGAACGTATACGAGCCCTCGTACCCGCGCGACGAAAATGCTAGTGTGCTTATGAACATATTTAGATACTAGTAGATTAGCGTCCTAAAAAATGATGAGCATGCTGAGTAGATTATACTCATAGAAGACACATTTCTGATGCCGTCTTGGTCATGATAGAGGACCAATTTAGCAACTACAGCTCATGCTGTCCTCTCAGTCTTCTTAAAATGTAATTCATCTATCAATTCCCTGTTGTCCTTTTTAGCTTGAAAGTGAGTTAGAATTTCCCGAGTGAAAATGAATATCTCGTGACTCCTCCTGCTGCTCCCCCATGAACGATGATCATATCAAACGTCCTCACAACATCAAATTTTCATGACCTCGCATTTCCTTGCCGGCGTCGGCATCATCTTGCTCCTAGCTGTTTGGTCTTTCACGCCATCAAATGGACAAAACATGTCTCTTCCGAGAGACCAGACAGATGAGTGGAAAGGGTGGATGCAGATGGTCTTTATCCTGTATCATTATGTATGCACATGGGTTTTGTTGAGAGTCGGAGATTGTTCATTGTGACATTATAGACATAGGTATCATACCTCCTGACAGTGCGACACAGTCATGGAAGGCCTATGAAACTAGTGCAGCATCTTGTGGTATTGTAGCATACCTGATATTCGGATTACAACCTGTGTCAACAATATATTAGACAGTGACACTGTTCCTGTTTCTGTAACTTATGTTTCAACGTTCCATTTGAGCAGGAATGATCCACCTGCTGGCATAGGCATACGTATATTAGATCCCCCGTCAGTACTAGCTTCGCTTCCACAAATTCACGCCGTCCTTTCCCTCTCTTCACGCCTCTACCGAGCCCGGTTCGTGTACAATTGGATGCGGGTGTTTGTTTCGTCCTACATGTTCCTTACCGGGTACGGCAACTTCCTATTCTTCCAGAAAACCAAAGACTTCTAAGGCAACGAGGATGAATGCTAATCCACTTATGTCCGTCTTTAATCTAATATGTTCGTCTTTAATCTAATATGTTCGTAAAACTTTTTTCTGAAATCTCCAAATCCAAATCCAAAATGTAGTTGTGTACCATGAGTGTAGGGAATTCATCTCCAAAGTCATCTGGAAGAAAATAACAAGAGGAAAAAGGGGCCCAGATGATCCCCGAGATGAATTGCCGATGCCTCTAATCTACTATGTTCATCTTTTTAAATGTAGTTGTGTACATGACGCGGAAGATCCCTGAACTACCGGTGGATGCACGCAACTACAAGGGTGAGTTTGGCTCTAAGATTTCTCGTTGAAACGAGTAGCAAACGTGCTGTTGAGACTGAGCTTCTTTCCGGTTTTGCTCAGTCTGCTCGTGGCGAATGAGGTCGGACTTGGAGAAGGAGGTCACGAAGAGCGTGGTACACTCAGAGGCCGAGAGGGAGGGCAGTCGGCACTTCTTAAAGATTTTCGCTTAGCAGAAACTACCGACGTCTGGACGTTCTTTACGCCGCTGCAAGCGACACCCATGATGCAGAATCTTGAGGATGGCATGGCCCTCTACTACGTTGTCCCGCTGCACATCTACGGTTTCCTGCAGACTTATGTCGTATGCTATCTGGTTTTTCGGTTACTACCACTTTTGAAGCAAATGTGCTCGAGCAGGAGAAGTGCACAGGCAGAGGGGGAAGAACCACCACGACTACTAGGAGAAGTGCAGCGACTAGATCAACAAATGGCGTGTATTCAAGAAGATTCAGAAACTGAAATAAGAGCACGTGATCAAGTATTTGCATCAAAGGTAACAGAGGTTGTACCATGCAGTACAACAAAAGAAGTCACGGAGGTACTATGCGGTACAGCCATTGTCTTGGTCGCAACTGCATACACTTTTGGCGATTTGTCTGGTCTGTTAGAAAAGGTACGAGGCCTAAAACTAGGACAAAAAGGAGGAACGGACTTCAACTACTTTACTGCAGATGCGACGAAAATAGGTGTTGCAACTACAACGGGAACGTCAACTACATCGACAATTACGCTCACTCCAGCGCAAAGAGAGAAACAGTTTCGACTTTCTCTCGACAGATATAGCGCACTTTCCGGTATTGTTGTGGCAGCTTTACAACAACGCTTCACGGAACGGAGAATGCCGAACATGAAGATCTTTGAAGCTGTATTTGGAAGTCGTGGGACTTGTTGGACCTGTTTTTGTTTATGGCTATGGGAAATGTGGTTCTTACCCTTACCGAATAGTTTCTTGTTAGACACGAGCTCGAGTTGAATTTTTTGGGGTAAAGAGTGAGTTGTTACGCAGCCCTCTAGAAAAATTATGTGGCTCCTCAAGGGCGTTTTAGTTGCTTACCTTGTCACGAATTATCGCAGAATCCCCATCAAAATCATGCCTCATCTAAGAATTTGCGCCCTAGTCGGCTCAATGCTTCTAGCAACGTGGTATGGAGTTTGGGGCTGCATTGCGGAGAAGCGCGACTACAACAAGTTGCATGCGGTTGGAGTCTTCTTTCCACCTATTTTACGGCACAATCTCTGACCAACACTAATAAAGCAACTACTCCTTCACGGCGATAAGCGGGGGAGTATCCTAGTGTAGGAGGGGCTACTTATGTTAGGCTAAGCCTCCAGAGGATCATGCCTGTGGAGGCCATTTATAGGCTAGGAGGTTAGAAGACGAGTACTAATACCAGAGTAGTTTATAGCACGCATGGTGCATGGAGTAGCATGGAGTGCATGGAGCGCAGAGCTTTAAGGGGCGCAAGAAGCTCCCCCTTTAGCTCCATGCTACTCCATGTGATCCATGCACTCCATGCCATGCGAGCTGTGAAACCTTATAAATTGCTCTGCTATAAGTAGCGAAAACACAGGCGCTCCAACTAGAGATACTATCAATGCTAGCGAAGAAGGAGCAGCAAACACAGAAGCTGCCCATCGACGTCGCCACCGCTTCCTCCTCCTCCTTCTCCTCCTCTATACCTCTTCTTCATATTCTCTTGGCTATCTTCTTCTCCGAAATGCGACTGTAAAGTTGCGCAGTGGGCATTCCGCTATCCTAGCGAAGATTGGCCAAGCGTCTCTGGAATTCTATGTCTTGCAGTTTCACGTCCTGATGTCGCGGAATGTCCAACATATCCCTGCACTGCTCTCTTCGCCTCTCCTGAATGCGGTGGTGACGTTATGCTGGGAGGTTGTTTTCTTTGATTTTGAGATTACTACTAGCAACTCAGACCTACTTGTGCTTGATGTGTGACTGTGAAGGATAGAACTCTCACTTGTTTTTTCAGTCGTGAACGACCTATGCTGTATAAAGAAATATTACTTGAGTTTCTCACGCTGAAGCTATACAACTAAAAGCACTCCCCGTCCTCTACTTACTCTTTCATACACTGGCGGAATCATGCTTGTGTTAGCCATGCACTTGCGCAGCGCAACGGCGGAGATTGTGTCTGGATTGCTGAGGTTGTGGTAGTACGTGGGAAGAAACTTATTGAAAATGTACAATGAAAATGAATATCAGAAGTCATGACTGTGACCGATTGTCTGCGAGATTACACGTACCCGCATGCATGCATGTATGCATGCATCGATTAGTAAAGCCGAAGGAAAGCTAAAGCTAATGAAGCTCAAAATCAAAATTCATTGAGCATTTGTCCATGTACACTATTCCGCATCGAAATTCACTACTTGTCTCACCGAGTTTTTACTCGCCACATACGAAACGATGATATAGTGATGCGGGCTGCGTCTCTCGATCAAGAACATTTTTTGGCAAAGGACGGAACAGGACAGAGAAGAACAAAGAGAGAGAGAGAAGGAAACTTGATAAGAGAGATAGAGATAGATGATGGAAAATATGGCTTCTTCATCTTCCCTGATGTTGTGAAAACTCACTTGCTATGGAAGAAAGAAATGGCACTATCATCATGAATTATGATCTTCTAGTTACAACTGTTATACATAGCTGTGGTTCTTCGTTCGTACACACCTAGTTGGTACTACTACCGATTACACACCATCTAGCACATGCTGATACTAGTGTTTTTCCATATCCATTCTTCTTATTGTAATTCGATAGCGTAGCACATCAACAAAGATGAGCAAACAGCACCGCAATCCTCAGTCGACCAACGATGCAAAGCTACTTGTAGATTGTCCTCGTGGCCATACTGACGTGATGAAGGAACATCAAGAGACAAGAACAGACTTTCCGAGTACATCCCCGACTTTCTTGTCAGAGGATGTCTTCACTGGAGAAGACCAAGGGTCTCTCGCCAGAAAATCCAGTATAGTGGAAGGAGTTTTCGCAGCTGGTCGGAGGGCTTCTTTCACGACTACTTCGTCTGTCGCCGGCACCGCCACATCGCATGAAACTGGCCGTGCCATTCCAATACCTATAGGGTCACGACCGTCCCCTGGCTCTGCGTCTTCTGGTGATTCACTTTCACCTATTTACGCTGCTATAGAAGAACCGCGAGCACAAGGCGCTTGTAGCAATGATCCAAACAAGGCCACCAGTTCTACTCAAGGCAAGATTGCTGTCGATAATCAAGATTCGTCAACTTACGGCTCCTATGCGCGCGATTACATTTCTGATTCCATTGGAAGCGTCAGCGCCTCCTTGCCCTGGCCTGTGACCTACCTTGTCGGAGGGGCCTCTTCGTCTTCAGGTGCCGCATCTTCTTCAGCTACTTTAAGGCTTACCTCCCTAATTCTTTTTCGTCTTCAGGAACACGCACAAAAAGACGAAGACGATTTCCAAGATAGATGAGTCATCCTCATCTCATCTATATCTTCTAAAGTTTCTCTATGACAGGCTTAAAGCGTTATTTTAGCAACGCGTTATAAATGCATGCTGGCTGGATTCTAGTACTGCTCTATTACAATTCTGTTCTATAACGTGTTGCTAAAATAACGCGTTAAGGCTGCCATAATATTCTCATCTAACTACTATCGACAACAGTTCTGAAGGAGGTGCGTCATCCTTCCTCATGGGTGGTGTGATGCAGTCAGTGGCTGACGCGGCAGCCTACACAGGAGAGCAGATTATCAAAGCCACATTCTCACCTTCCATGCTTATCATGTTAAGGCTACTTTTTCACTATGACTTACTATTCCGTGTGCTTGTGTAGGAAGCATGCTGACTGGCGTCCCTCTTAATTTCCTCAACGAAGACGGAGATCAAAGGGGAAATCGAAGAACGGAAGGCGGTGCATCTCACTTCTCAACCAGGTTGGAGGTGCTAGTGAAAAACTAGGTCTAGGACTAGCGTTAATCTTGGCAGCAAGCTTCGTTTTGTCAGCACTTGCTCATATGGGTCTTCTGTATCAAGCACGGAAAGCGAATCGGATGCGGTCTGGACTTTTGGGGCTATTAGAAATGGCTACAGGTCTGAGACGACCTGCGTACCAATCCGCTTTACAGCGTTATGAACAAAGTGCTGGTACTACGCAAGCTTTTTTGCAGCAGAAGCGGTGTAGTGACAAGAACGAGGCAGGAGAGAGTAGGGATGTTGACTCGGTAAAAACACGAGTTCACAATCTTAGGCACCAGGTCGACAACGGTCGCCAGCGTCGCTGCTTTTTCGAGCACGAAAACTTCGATGACACGAATTACGGATACGATGTTCGACCTTCTCATGGGTTCGTCGAAAATTTCGAAATGAAGGCACAGAACGTTTTAGGCGTCGTACGTGGCATTATTGCTGGTTACGAGGATGAACCTTCTAGGCATCCGCATCTTCATGGGGATGAATCTTCTACTAGGCATGCCTTTGCTCAGCGAGCACAGGTTCCTCCATTACGACACCTAGAGAAAATTAGGAGGCCCACCACAACCACAACTGAGAAGACCAAGGCAGCCACACTCACAACATCAGAACTGATAAGCGACGATCTTGCTTCGCAAGCAAGTTTGCAGAGTGGCCGATTACACAGCGACGCCACGGATCATGGCAGTGACTCTGCGAGAGAGCATGAACATGATGCTCAACAAGCAAAAGCAGGTGGGAGCAAATCTTCCCTGACTGACGTGGAGACGAAGGCATCAAGAATAGGGGGTTCCCACAATCACAAGGACACACATCAGGCCACACATGTGACCAGTCACGTTATCTCTCGTGTCTACGTTTTTGATGGGGATTCAGCTTTTGCGCGATACCTTCAAGGACACCAAGATGGGCGACACAATGACCTTCATGTTCACGGCACGATGTGGTCAAAAAACGCACTAGGCTTGTTCACTCGAAGCATCGAAGAGTTCGAAGAGACATTAGACGAGGTACGAGATTGGCGCATGCAAATGCAGATGCACAAGAATAGCGGCAATTCATCTAATACACCTACTACTCGCGGGCACGTACTAGTAGAAGAAGGAGTTAGCCACAAAGATGCAGCTGGACCTGCTGGAGGTCTCGTTGTATTCTACTTCGCATCTACTTCGAGAACCACAGTGGTGCACGCATCAAGAAGGAGGCTTCGGTTTGACAAAAGCCTCGGTCCGTTCCACATAGAAGGAAACTGTTTCGGTGGAAAAAATTCAGTCATTTTCGACTGTGGTCCGTTAATTTTGGGCGAAGGTGCAGAAGGGTCATTTCATAATATCGCTTTTGTGGCAGAGCCCTTGCTTGAGATTGATGCTGCAGTGTTCTACAAATCAAAAGATGATCTTTTGTTCGATGCCGATGTTGAAGATAGCAGAGACTTCATTGTTGAAGAAGATGGCATCAACAAGGACAAGGATATTGACAAGGACAGGAGGGATGAGCAGCAAGTACAAAGTAGTGAAGGCAAGGTAGTGGTAGAAGAAGCAGAAGAAGCGTCTGGGTCCAGCGCTGCATCACCTGTACAAGAAAAAGCTGTAAACGAAAGGAACCAAGAACTAAGACCAGTTGGGTTACCAACGACCACAACAAGGCGCTCCTCTGGTCCTGGATTTTTACGCTGCTATACGACCACGACTAGTATTGAAGAAGAAGTCTCGTCCCCCTCAAGTTCTAGACCTTCAGAGAGAAAGAAGAGCAGGCCAGTGGTAGAGTTCTCTCGCAGTTGCATCCTCTTGAGGCGAAATCGGCCTCGGCTAGTACAACATTATAGAAGAAGCAGTGACGGTCGTGAGCTTGCGAAAGAGGATCAACAACAAATACAAGATGGGCAGAAGCGAATAATAGAGCCTGAAAAAGTGAAGGTATCAAATGCTGACCAGGAGGACGATAAGGACAACAACTTGCTTCCATTATGGCTTTCGTAATGATCCTTGTTGTTCAAACTCAGTGGCGGTATCGGTAGGTGCTATATCCCTATTTGGGATGCACAGAATAGAATGAAGTTCATGTAGATGAAGTGGGTTCGGGACACTCCTTCCGAGGATGCCGCGTCCCACTACAAAAATTTCATCTCTAATTCCAGCTCCCCTCCAACGAGTCGCGTCCATAGCCAGTAGTATTCCCGCTGCGCCGTCTGCTAGTAATCTCATTCGAAAGGGCTTCGCCTACATGGAGGATAAGGCTGAGAGGATAATGTCCGAAATATTAGGAAACGACGAGGAAGACCATGACCACATGATGTTGGCGGAAGATGATGGATTGATGCAGGACGTTATCGTACGACAAGGACATCATGACAGAGGTGGAGGAGGAGCGGGCGGTTTGTTCAGTGATAGTGACGCATAGATGGAGGAGGCAATATGATCTTCACCTTCTACAGGACGTTATTGTACGACAGCAGGTATTGGAAGGGGTGGAAGAGGAGGCAATATGATCTTCAACAGGAATACTGGAGCATAGATCTGAAATGAGCTATGTAATGATATCTTTCACTAAGTTGTGGCTCAGATTCCATTGACTCACGACGGGGAGACACGCACTACACGGTATCTGAATTAGACACTTTCGCTTTCACGTTTAAGACATGGACGTGGAGTTTTTGCGCAGTTCTTTTCAACATCCTTGTTCTTTACATTACACTAACACTATGAAGATGCATTGAAAATAAGATGCATCAGGAGGAACAACAAAACTAAACTGGACGCGAACTACAGTTGTTCTTTCTCATAGATGTTTGGAGGCAGTCCGCTTCAAGGCGGTCCACTCTGACATCGATGAGTTGAAATTTGTCACAACATAGATCTGCAACTTCATTTCAAGTCCAAGTCGTGCATTGCTCTCGTCGTTCTTAATCCTCTTCCACGACTGCATGCCACTGCTGTGCAGGCTGCAGGCAATCAACGAGCTTCAACTGGTGCAGAAGAACAAGATGTCGCATTGCAGCGAGTAGATGAACTACAGCCACGATTACATCTATTGCCAAGAAAAACAACACCAAGATCAACGAGGACCAGAGGCCTCAACAACCTCAACAAATGGAACAAAAACCGCGATTCTTACGATTCCAAACTACGACAATCACAGTCCAGATCTACAGGCTGTTTTCAGCTTGGTGCGAAGCGAAGCTCGAGAAACAGCCGAGGTGTTTAGGTATGCGGAAAATATGCTATTGTTCCCTGACAGCCCGAATCGTTGGAAAGTGAACCATTTTTATCACATCATAATTATAATGAAGCTGCTGATGCGGGACAACATTTTCATAATGCACAACCTCGACGACCTACGTTGGCAAACAATGTTAACGGTGACAAATCCTGTTGGACTACAAAGAGAACCAGGTCCTGAGGAGAGCAAAGTAGTATGTCCCAACAACTAGCACAACTTCCCCCCTTACGGCCTCACCTGATGAATGGATTCCAGGAAGATCTAATAAAAGTCTGCGAAGCTGAGGGCGATGGCGATCTTTCACGACGAATTTGCGCCGTTTATCATTATGCTGCGGATATAGAACTAGAAGCACGAAAAAATGTTGTTGGAAAAATACGAAGGAGGGATTACCGTGCTCCTGGGTTGAGACAGATACCAAACTTCAAGTTCAAACAGACCAATTGCAGCAAGAGCGTCAGTCGAAATAATATTTATAACGTTGATCTTCTTCTTCTCCTTTTTAGAATCTGATGTATCTGACTCCCTCTGTCCCCCGGGCCCCTTTTCCTCTTTCAGAACAGAAAACCAGCGTCGCGGAGAGTGAAGACGCGCATTGGACTTGCTGAAGAAGAGGAGAGAGGGAGAAACGATGCCACAAAACCTTCTGCATGAGATTGCAGTTAGAACGGCATAGAACTACAGAGTTGAAGTCGACTTGAAGAACAATAATGTCGATATTTGTTATAATATAGGATCATATAATAGAAATTGTTGTTTAATATAAGTTTTGGATTTGTGAGAGTGTTGTACCAATTTTCGTTACAAGAGATTTAACCGATTCTTGCAATTGCGATCGGATTATTGACTGACTGATCGATCAGGTGTAGGTCAGGACTATAAAGCTCTTTTTATATCATCATTGTGGTATAGACCACAAGCTCAAGCGCGTGTCCTGTTGTACACATAGCGAACCATGGGAGACAAACTTCGTTGTTGGAGACCCTTATTGCTGCAAACACAAGACTTCTGGAGAAAAAACAAGATTCATCGTCCGCTTCTACAAACATTTTGTTTGTATTGGTGTATGCTGGTTTTTAGGGTTCCCTATTCTTCAAAGTGAGCTGCAGAAGCAGAGAGTTGTATAGAAGTTCTTTCTAGAATCACACCGAGCTAGAAGTGTTAATCCTGCCAAGCGCACGCGCAGGGCATTTCCATTAAGGATGCCACCCACTCTCCAGCCCACCTTGTATCAGAAGAATGCGTCATGCTACCAGAACGGTTACGCAGCAGCACGTTCGCCACGCTGCAATCTCATTTTAGTGATCCATGCTCCTCAACTCCTTATCCATTCGCAACTATTTTCATCAAGTTTCTAGTATCGCTCCTGCATCTGCATGAGCATGTCAAACGCGCATTGATCCCCTATTTCCCTCGACTAAGAAGTTCCTTTCGACTTCTTGCACTACAACAGCACCTGTTAAGTGGCGCTGTATCAATTAAGATATACAACATTGGGCACGAAGACTACTCACCAGTTCAAAGAGAAAAAAGATGACGGATCAACAAGCTACTGCATCCGCCTCATCCTCCAGCGGGCCTGCAAAGGAGGAGCCGAAGCGGTATTTGCATCGTGGGCAACTGGAAAAGTACATCGAAACAGACTACAAACAATTCTGTAAAGAGCTTTGCCATTTCTGCAAGGAGAAGAAAGCGACGAAAAGATTTGCGAAAACGATGAGCTTCTTATGCTGGGATGACGGGTTGTTCTTTGTTGTGCTTGTCGTGGTCGCGTGAGTTTTTTTAGACTTAAAGATAATAGTAAGAGAGAAGGACCTCAATTTTCTCAAATTTCAGATGAAAACTCTAGTGAGGAAGGTAAAGAGAAAGACCTCACTTTCTTCTAATCCCGATAACCATCACCATGGCCGATGCCTTTTGGTGTCCGGATTGCGGCCGGATATTGTGCGAGCAATGCAGGTATGGTCCACACGGGTGCGAGCGAATAGAAGGCGAGAAAGAACGGAACAAAAACAAAACCGCAGAGGAAATTCGGGAGGAAATTTATGACGTCTTGAAACGCTTAAAAATCATTTCTTTGAACAAGTTCGAATCGATTCTTATCATGATGCTCCATAAATGCTTAGAAATCATTTCTTTGAACAAGTTCGAATTGATTCCTATCATGCTCCATAAATGCTTAAAAATAATTTCTTTGAAGAAGTTCGAATTGATTCTTATCATGCTCCATAAATGCTTAAATGTCATTTCTTTGAAGAAGTTCGAATTGATTCTTATCATGCTTCACAAATGCTTAAATGTCATTTCTTTGAACAAGTTCGAATTTATTCTCATCGTGCTCCATAATCTAGTGCTAGAAGTATTCGCTTTCGCACTGTTGTATCAACTAGTAGTACAACTATCTACAACTTCTGGGCCTGCTGTGCGTCTCGACCACATATGTCTCTAACACCTGGAATCGCGTGCCTTGAAAGAACGAGCCAAGGAAGAGGCGCTTGAGGACGACAAAAGGATGGAGAGGGAAAGACTGGCGGAAGAAACGAGTAAGCGGAAGTTTCGTAGGAAAGTCTACGCTGAAAAATCGAAGATGATAGAGCAGACCATGCAACAGTGGCTCAGGACTGTGATTTAAGGGCTGCTATTTCCAAACTAGTAAGCGCATCCCCCACGAATACCCTTGATGTGACCCATGCTGTATTTACATCCTTGAATGCCACGCTTGAGCTATTTCCTGAATGGAAAAGGCCAAGGAGGTGCCGCAGAAAAGCTCACGCTCTTTTAGTGTCAATCTTTTCCACACCATTTCCTCTCAGAAAACGGCCAAGGATTATCACGTCGTCGATGTCTCACTAAGGAATTATGTAGTTGTCTTAATGCAAATTATCTTGCATCCTCTATTTCTAAGCAGCTTCGTCTTCTGCGGCTAGCGCTACTGCCTTTTCTCAAGGTGGGACGCGTAAGGAGGTAGAGGACATGTTTGAGAAGATAAAGCGGCTGGCCTTACAGCTATACAACGACTGGGAACACCCAGCTCAGAATTGTCTTCTCTTATGTCACAAGTAACAAATAGGGGTCTTGTTGTACTTGTTCTGCCTCAGTCTTTGTTCTAGTCTATAATAAGTATTTTTCTTAGAAGATCAACTATTATGGACAGCTCTGGACAACTTTCTTTACATGTATTCAAGCATAAGCACAGTTCTTGCAGACTCAAGGATATTAAGTGCAATATGTTGACGTAGTAAGTTACCAAAACTACCACTGGTCGTGGAGGACGATCCAAATGCTATTGCTATTACAGTCTATAGAGGGAGAAGATTTTTACTCAGCCTCAACTTCTAACTCAGAAAGATGAATGGAGAGAAGTCCAGCAGATCTATCGTCGTTTTGTCGAGATCAGTGGCGTGCAGGTACGTGATCCAGAGAGTGGAGGCCCCCTGCAAATGGTGCATCCGTGGGAAGAAGATGGAGGTGGCCCTCCAACGACGTGACCTCCCCTGCGAATGGTTCATCCGTTGGAGGTGGATGAAGGAGGTTGAAACTACTCGACCACATTCTTATCGTGATGTGTGTTGAAGACATCATTACTAGCGTGATGATTACGAAGTTTCTCCTTGCGGACAATTCACAATTGCAATGGATCAATTTGGAGCAATGCAAGTGGTTTAACGCAGATGACCCAAATACTTTTGAAAAGACAGATGGAAAGTGTCTGCATTTTCTGGTGAAGATGCAGAAACAATATCCCTCCCCCATCGGACCCCACCTTAGAGTGCTCTCCTGATTCAAAACCAAACAAGGTACTATTCCGTACAAATACTAGGGAAAAGACAAGCCTTGTTGAGTGGTTCAAGGCTTGTTCATTGTAATTCTCGTTCTCCTCTCTCTCCCTCAAGATGTACATAAACGGAGCCGTATTCGTTTGCGCCATTTTATTCATTATTCACTATTTTGTAGCGATAAAAATACTCATATTGCGTGAGCAGAACTTGTTGTTGCGATTCGTGTTTAACGCCAACTACAAGGGTACAAAGTAAAAGTAGACTGACAATTTTCTTTTTTTTGTCATCTTGGAAAAAAAATGCCGGGAGATCCCCTTGGAAATCAGGCGTCCGCGTCGTCGTTGCGCTGACGTCTTCCGCCCATTATAGCTTACGGGCGTCGGCGTCCCGAGAGAGTCGGCGACTCCTCTAACCTAACCCGACACCATTCGACCCCCTCGGGCCGTCCGTTCTTCTTTCAGCGCGTTCATGCAGTGGCGTGCTGGCTTACTGCATCACCGTGGTGCCCCCTTAGACTCAGAGGCCTCAGCCACCCGGCTAATCTTTAGACGAGCTGAGGCCGCCCGCAGTTTCCCGCTTGTAGGTCTCGCGCTTTGTTTCACTTCGGTCGCCCGCTGCATTTTTAGACTTTATTTTCCAAGGGCTTCGGGAGTAGCCTCGCCCATCAGAGTGGGCACAAAATGGCGCGCGCTCCTTATATATTGCATTCTGTTGGGCCGGATAACTTTCCCAAAGCGCTGCGCGCGCGGGGCGGCAATTGGTCGCGCCGTTTCTCAATTCTGAGCCGCGTTCTTCTCTGGTTGCCCCTTCTTCGTCTTGGGTGCATCCCAGAAAACATCCCCAGGCCCAGCCATTACTCGGGCCAGCCCTCTACTCTAGACGGGTCGAAGCTTGGGCCTAGAACTAGCTCGGGAAGCTGCTTCACCTTTTGCAAAGTAGGGGCAGCCAGTGGCTGCCTGTCTTGGAGGAGTCTGGAAGCAGCTAGCGCCATTTGTCGGGGGGAATAGAAGTGGGGAGACAGGCTTGGACGTGGTCTGACGCTTGTGACATTGTCAGCCTGTACACAGAGACACGACGGCAAAAGCGATGGCCACCCCTGCGGCCTTTGTTTGTTTCTGAGGCAGCAAGGCTAGGGCCTGCCTGTTGGGTCGGGCGTGTTTCTTTTCTGCTTCAGCACGCTGGTGAGGATCATGAAGGACCCAGCTGGAGTGGGTTGCCCGGTTAGGCTGCGCCGCGCGTGGGTCGCTATGAAAAGGCTTGCGCCTTCTTTCGGGCTCTTTCATTCGGGCTCTATCCCCGCTCTCCTTGGTATGCTTTCATAGTGTGCGCCACTGCTTTCTTTGGACGTGTAGTCTGCTCCTGCTGGTCTTATTGGTTCCGAATACATAGAAGCCAGGATCCTTCTGTGTACTGGCATGGCTTGTTCAAGTATATCGGCGCTAGCCCTACTTGAAGGAGCATGCAGCAAGAGCAACTTCCCCCCAGGGAAACCAGGCACCTAGCTGCCGCGACGGTCGGCCCGGTTGTCTCTTCGGTATGTACCGCGGTGCCCCAGCTACTTCGCGGCATGCTCTTGGCGTCGCTGTGTCTTAGCGCTTCTTATGTGAACGGGCTCCCCGTCGATGGCTGTAGACTGACTCGGGCTGAGATTGTTGACACTTGGCGACTGGCTTTCTCAGGTGTTCCGCGAAGGCACTCCGCACGCAGGACCCGAGGAGGCTACTCGGACACGCTGCGGAAAGGTTCTGCCGTGCGCTTGTATCCGCCACCTTGAGAAGCCTCCGCCGGCAGTCTCCAGCTACTGACATAAGCAGTCTGATCTCGCGGGGCTGTTACTTTCTTAGAAACTCAGAGCGAGAGGACCACGGCCTGGCACCTTTGAGGCCCAGGCGCTCGCCTCGGCGGTGACTTGAGGCATCGGCGAGCCGGCAAAGCTAGCACTTCGCCCAGCTTGTTCCGCCGCTGATGCCCAATAGCACTGAGCCGCGGCCGCTCTCTTGTCGGCGCTTCCAGGTGTATCAGATCTGGCGGGGGCGCTCGCTTCTTTCGCGTGTCTCTGATGGTTTCACTTGGATGAGCAGCCACGGGCCCGCTGGCTCTTTCCATGTCTTCGGACGAGCAGCCATGTCCGCGCTGAGCTCGTGGGGGCTGCGAGTCTGGAAGCTGTTGCAGCGTACGTAGTCCCTTTCCTCGCAACTGCTTCGCCAAGATGTTGAATTCGATACCTCTCGGGGAGGGGCTCACAGCTTTGCTTAGTCGGTTGGTGCTATCAGTCTAACGCCTTCCATTTGGAGGCGCTGCAATATATATCGGGAGTCCTCTAGAGTGCGGCGCCCATGAGATTGATGCTGACTCGCTGGAACTTGGCTGGTTGCAGGGGTGAGGCGATAACGGTGCTGGTCTTGGTGCTCGGTTTTTCGTGCTTGGGGTTGCTAGCAATTCTCATCTTGCACCTTTGTCGGCAGGTTCTAGCCGATCTCTTTCATGTGTTTGCGCTCGCATCTGACTCTGAGGAAGCGCGCAGGCTTCTGTCTCGAATGGGGCCGCGGTTTCGATTGTCTTGAACGCTGTGAGACCGTGGCGAGGTGGGGCTGAGACGCCAGCAGCAGATCGACCTGAGGTTCAGCCTTCCTGGGCTGGAGTTTAGCGGGGCCGGGATCTTCATGGACTACCTAGCCTCGCGGGCTAGTAAGTTAACCTTTTAACATACCTCGCCAACCTGCCTGAAAACAAAAGCGCAGCTTTTGAGAGTGAGCACGGAGGCCACCCGCCTAGAAGCATCCGCACTGTGGCGGGCTTCGTTTTTATTGTGGCGTGAGGTTTTTACTGTGGCGCGAACTCTTTTTACTGTGCTGGCGAGAATTTTTTCTACATACTGTGGCGAGAGTTTTTTTATTGTGATGGAGATCGTTTTTATTGTGATGCGCTCCGTTCTTACTGTGACGAGCCTCGTTTTTACTGTGACGAGTCTCGTCTTTACTCTGTTAAGGTCTAAAAGCATTGCCATCTTTCGAAGAGGGACTGCTGGCAACGTCGTTTGTATCGGACGGGAGGACCTTTGATTGACATTGATGACACCTAAGTTATCTAGGCTAGATAAAATGCTGCAGACTTTATATCTAGGCTAGATAAAATTGCATATCATGCAGTAGACACGACTTTATGTCACCGTCACGGAGGTACAAACTTTCAAACTACAACTACATGTAGAAGTTATTGTTATAGATCTTGCATCTTTATCTTTTCCACCTCTGCTATCTTTTTCTTCAACGGATGCTACACCTCTCTGAGTTCTCAGTTCTGCTGTCTTTCTTAGATCCTCTTATCTCCTTGTTTTTTGAATACCACGAGGACGCAAGTTATGCTTATGTTATTGTTATTGAGGCCGCAAGCAATATAATTAGTCATCCATGAAAAATTTCTTATTCTTATAAAAATAAATATCGAACAGCAGTAACTATATTTATAGGCATCTGCATCTTGATTAGTCAAAACTACTACTCTGCGAAAGGGGGACGAGTGTAGAGTTTTTTATTGAGAAATTAGAGATGCGTCTACGTCTACCAAAAGTGAAGGAAATCACAGAGACATCACGATCAGAAAGGGGTAAAAAAGCGAGAGATGTCAGGAGATTGATTCTATGACGACTGAGAGCGGAAAAAAAGTCCTTTGTATCCTATGCGAACGAGGCAGAGTCTTCCAGCGAGTAGACGAGATCTGTCCGCCTTTAAAGCTGTTTGCTGGGACACAATGGACTGAAGCGGAGATCTTTAGCAAGAAGAGCGGCAGTACTCCTGCAACTACTTCATCGACGCTGGTGGAAATGTCCCCAGACGAAGCAGAAGATGGAAGAGGAGAAATAGTAGCAGTACCTGGAATGTTTGCGACATCCTCATCTTCAACACCTGGCAGGTCGTTTTTTTGGAATCTTGTTCTTCCAGAAGAGAAAGAGTCATCTGTTACCTGGAGATTGATTCTGTTGCACCACTGAGAGGCCAATAAGTGAGCTCCGGGTCCCACTTGGTGTATTTTCTCAGTCTCACCCCACCTGTCTACCATGTATGCGTACTAAAGAAGTGATTTGCAAAAGTATGGACCCACCGAGTACTAGCTCTACTACCAGTGTTATAGGTAACGTAAAATACATCAGCGAGGCAGCGCCACTCCCACTGAAGACAAGATGGAGGTGCTGGCGGCTGTTGAGGCAGCTCAAATGTATAGTCTCATCACAATAAGCTGTGAAAAGAGTTCAAATCTCAAAGGATTTGTCCATCCCGAAACAAAACACAAGATTGATGAACCCAATGAATAAGAATACGAAGAAAAGCAACATGACTGTCGGCGCGCCGTTAGTTTACAAAACCTGTGGAGAACGCACGACAACTCCTGTATAGCAAGCGGCTCGTCCTCAAGCTAGAGATGCAGAGTTCTAGGCCTTTGGAGGAAGAATAAATCTAGAAGATCAAAGCTAACGGTAGAAGAAGGAACGGCCAGGCGGAAAATGAAAAACTAGAACTTATTGCTACTCGCTTCGCGAAACAAGAAGATGCAAGGTAATATAGGCCTCTTGTCCCGGTTCCGAGAGCCGACGCGTCAGCAGAAGACCGCAGAAGAGGAGAGAATTGACGCACTGCGTGCAGCAATCGATAAAGAAGATGCAGATCTCCAAGAGTTGCTGGGTGAGCGGGATCGCCGTCGCGCTATCAGGGAAAGAAGAGAGATCAGGGAGATGCTTTTAAGACGAAAAATTGAAACTTAATCTTTTTAGAAGGTACAATGTGACTGAAGTACCTCACATCCACTTGGCCATGTGGTAAAAGAGGGCACATGACATGACATGAACTTGAGGATGATCTTGATCTATAAATAAAACAAGATATCTTCGAATCTTCCACGGTTTTATCAATGGAGGGCTTTGATAACACTCCGTCTAAACTTTCATGACTACAAGTACAATGGATGGTAACACCAGGCAAAACGTGACACGAGGTATCATGACATGACATGACATGACTCATTTATTTTGGCGTAGTCCATCGGCTGGACGTCCTTCTTCTAATCTCCCACGACTACAATGAGCGGATGGCAGGGATTGACAGTGGAGAGCGGAAATTTTTCGGCGATGTAGACCCCAGCTTTGACCCGAATGCTATACCACTGCCTGACCATGACTTTTCTGATGAGCAGGCTGAAGGAGGAAGAAGAGGGGGAGGAGGAGCAGCTGGAGATTATGGCAGAAGAAGGAGAAACTTTGTTCTTCTCGTTGTAATAGAGTACTAGTACTTCTAAGTAGCTAGTATCTCTCTCTAAGGCGTTGCACCACAAGAAGAGTTGGATCCTTTGGCCGCGAGGAAGGCGGCAAGGAAAAAACGGCTACTGGAGCAAGCAGGGATCATGCCAAATGATGCTGCAGCAATGACTCAAGAGGACCAAGAAAAATATACTTAAGGCCTGTCCCCAACATATTCATCTTAAGAAGTTGCATCTCTGATTGTTGCTTTCAAGGGGAAAATGGTCGGAGAAGGTGCGTTGTTACAATATGAACTTGAACATGATTTGCGGAAATAATAAGTGCTCTAATGAGCAGTGTCGTTTCTAGCAGACGCACAGAAGCTGAGAGATGAGGTGGTAGCAGAAATGCAAGAAAACGCTGCTGGAAATGACGAAACTGCGAAGATATGGGTTTAGAAAAGTTGGATATTTCTAGTCAGAAGAAGAGACCTTAGGTACTATTCGCAATTAGGTTTGAGGCTTGTGTATCTACATGATCATGATGCACAGGTTGATAAATGTTATACTTGTGCCAGCAGGAGCAGCACCTCTCTCTCTCCTGTGTTATACTGTTCTCAACTCAACACTGTCACCTCTTCATCTCGCCTCTCTAATCCCCGTCGGCGGACAAACAGTATCATCGGACTACGCAGAGTTCGTCCGTGGTCAAGCGGGTCTGGCGAAACATTTGCAAGGTGGCATACCTTGGTATAGGCCAGATCTGTCTTTCCGCATGTGGCTGATGAAGAAACGATTCCAGCAATACGCGGAGTCACTCGGTATACGAAAGTTAAGGAATTTTGACTCAAAATCAACCTTCTTCTTTACTGAGTAAAAGAGTAAGTAGTCTTCTTCTTCTTCTTCTTCTTCTTCTTCTTTACTGAGTAAAAGAGTAGTTTCTTCTTTACTGAGTACAAGAGTAGTTTTCTTCTTCACGGAGTATAAGAGTAAGTAGTATGGCTATGGAGTAAAAGAGTAAAAAGAGTCTAAGTAGTATGGTGCATCTGTCTAGCGTAAGAGTAGCGTAGTACTATGGGTACTATGCCTCTTGAAGATGGTGGATTCTGGAAATATGAAGTTGAAGGCATGATGCCTGTAATGGAAATGCAAATGTACCAGCACATCTACATCTTAAGACAGAACATTTAGATTGTGGAGGCAGAGCTGCTCTAAGAAAGAAGGGAAAAATTCAGCGCCTGGTGGAATCCCTCGGTTTCGATTTGTTTTTCGGGTTGATGATTAAGGCTACCGCAGGAGCATCTTAAGCATCCCTGGCTCAGGTGCATCCCGCCTGGCTCAGGTGCATCCTCAGTATCGTCCCTGGCTCTTTTTCAACTTGAAAATGGAGCGCCCAAGGATATGCCTCTCAATGAAGATGTGACCACGGTAGCTCTAAGATGATCTGCGTGAATGCTTATACCATAGGAGCCGGCGCGAAATATAAAGACGGCGAACCAAAGCCAGAGGGTGTCAAATTTAGTGAAAATTTCTTTACTGGCCTGTTCGTGGGTGAATTTTTGTTGCGAGTACGGGCATATGGGGTGGTGTGGATGTTCGACACCTGGAATTTCATGGATTTGCTACTTTACGGAATGAGAGACAGCAGCAGTAAGTAGTAGTTGTTGCACTTGAAGATGTTGTCGCAAGAACTTCAGTAAGACATTCTATTTCTATACATAGGAGACGCCCACCTGGTCCTTCATTTCCCCTCCTCCTCAATCCTCATCCTTCATCTCCCCGTCTGGATTACCGGAGTCCTCACGTTGTGGGTCCTCGAGCCAGCGGGTCTTGGGCATCCGATATTGAGGGGTTTGGTCGTTTTCCGTATTTTCCGACTCATTCGCGTAGCGAGAGAACTGCGAATGGTGCCAATCTTCAAGGAGCTGTGGATTTATGTCCTTTTCTCCCTTTAGCAAAGCATTGCTATCAAATCTAAAAATGAACAAATGCCTCAACCTTCAATGGATGCTGCTCCTTTTCTCTCTTTAGCTTCTAATTGATGCTGGTCCAGGGAATGTTTGGATCCTTGACTCTCATCTTGTGGATTCTGGTGGTGGGGGCAGTGCTGCTGGTTTTCTTCTTATGTACGTGATGTTATAAAGTAGAACATAAAAGATAGTTTTAGTTCGTGCTTCATCTTCATCTTTTTGTCATCTTCAGGAGGGGCCGCTGCCGCTGGCGCTGCGGCCGCATGACTAGTATAAGTACAACTTGCCGGCCGCAGGACTAAGTACTTGCACAGGCTGACGAGGACCGTGAATCAACTACTTTTCTTCTAACTTCCTCAATTTTCTTCATGGATATGCTTGGGGCTACGCTTTTGTATCAAGGGGCACCTCTTGGGCAAAGCTTTTGCGGTCAAGGTCCCGAGTACAAGGACTTCTGCTGGAGATATTTTGCGAGCATGGGAGGTACTCTTACCTGTAGATACTAGGTCGATCTTTATCTGACATTATCATAAGTATCTATAAGTTGTACTAGTACTAGAACTAGTAGTATTAACTTTAACAATTCTATACGTCAGGTTCGATGTACACTATGTTGCAGTTTACGTTACTCGACCACTGGAGCTATCTGGCGAGGTACTTCATCGATGCTCCTCAATACGAGAATAAAGAGGTGTTCCTCTTCTGCTTACTTGTGTATTATGGCAAGTTTTCTACTATGTTCTCAGCTCTCTAATCCCTCGTCGTCTTCACCGCCATAGCATGGAGCGCATGGAGCGCGGATCTCTAAGGGACGCAAGAAGCGCCCCCTTGTTTAGCTCCATGCAGCTCCATGCGATCCATGCACTCCATGCCATGCGAGCTGGCAAACCTTATAAATTGCTCTGTGCTATTATTTACACCTCACCACGGAGACGGACGCCGGTAGTAGCGATATTACTTCTCACTCTCTAATCTCCTGTCGTCTTCACCGCCATCGTCTTTTTGAACCTCATCAGTGGCATCGTGATCCAATTGGCTTTTGCCGCTTCTGTTATGAGTGCCGTAGGAAACCCTTGCGTCTCCAAATACGTCATCCTCATCTGGAAGAATAATAGAAGACTTGGAATAGCAGACAAGGACAAAAAGGGAAGAAGAAGACAAGACAAAGAGGAAAAAGTACTTACTTGCTTGGGGGATCATTCTTGCCTAGAAGATGATCCAACATCTTCTAGTAGGTACTTGAGAAGATCATGTCGCGTTTGTTGTTCCCTTTTTTTGCACCTCTAATTCTGAGAAAGACGCCGAAGCGACTAAAGTAAGACAAGAATTAGTAGTGCAGAAGACGACGGCAGAACTCCTACTCATATTCGACGATATGGACAAAGATGGCTCAGGAGAATTGACGAAGGTAGAGTTCGCGAACCTGATGTCGGATGCGAAATTTATCAACTTATGCAGTACAACGAAAATTCCGAATTGTTCATCTCCTCCATAAGAAAACATTTCTTATAAATTGATAATCCACGTTCTTTTTCTTGAGTCACCGATTACAACTACTCCTCTCAGTTTCATCCTTCACAACTTGATGGATTCATCTGAGAATATGAAAGGGGTGGCACAAGAACTCCATCTGAGAATACGAAAGGGGTGGCACAAGAACTATCATGGTTGTCTGAGTACTAGTATGTGCGTGGAGAATTATGGAAAGCTCTACCTCTAATCCCCAAGATGAAAATTCTCGATATCGAGACGCACGATTTGCCAGACGTTTTCCGGATTTGCGATGACGGTGATGGTGCTGTTTCGTCCTCTGAATTCTGCAACGGTTTGGTGAACATGCTGAAAGCACCTACATTAAGGCATCCCCTAATCCATCTGATACTGTGGAAATCCCTCAGCTCAGCCGTAATCGTGTCCATATCCAAAGGATGTTCTTAAGGGATTCCATATCCCAAGGATGTTCGTAATCGTAGGGGATTCCCGCAGAGATGAACTGCGCTAACTAAGGCTTTGGACATGCTTTCCGTGACGAGAACGGCGAGAGCTTTGGAAAGAACACTCAACTACATCGTCGACGAGCTGTCACAGGGCGTTCTGAGGGGCAGAGTAGTCAAAATCTCGGACAATGTTAGATTAAGGCTATTTAGTTTGATTGGAAGGAGCGTGAACTTCCTTGATGGAGGGGCGAGACGCTATCCAACAGGGAACCCTAAGCCCGAGGCCGTGTTTCCAGGACCTCCTTTCCATTTCCTTTCCCTCTTTGCTTTTCTCTTTCTTTTCTTAGCGAGGCCCACCTTAAGCAAGCTCTAACTAGAGGCATCCAGAACGGCGTCACTGCTTTTCTTGAAGGCGCAGAGGAGCTGATCTCAAGCATCCACGAATGTGACATCCAAAAGATCTGCGATCGGACGCAGGGATTCTTACCGAAAAAGCCAGAGTTGCCAGATTTGAAGTTAAGAACTACAGGCTCACTTTCACTCGACTGCCTACCATACCAGTTCATCTTCACATCTTCACTTCACCTTCTTCCCTCACCTCCCCATCTCCTCTCCTCTAACCTATGACGCGGAAGCAGAGGACTATGGGACGCACGAGTTTGATCCTCACAATTTGCACGACCGAGACTTCCCCAAACACGACCCTAAAAATTTTACGAAAGCTATGAACTACTTCCGAGGTAGGAATGCACAGGAAGAGGCGAGGTATAATTTTTTGAAGATGAGAGGCATTCACTTTCTTCACAGAGACGTTCATCTCTCACCTTTGTTCAATACAGGTATTCTTGTCCTACTTTTTACTACTTCTATATATAATGATCATGATGATCTTACTCTTACATCACCAAGAATTATCACAAAGACAATCGCGAATGGCAACTCATCTTATCTACTTAGGCTAGCGCGATTAGCAGCCAGGCGTGGTGGTCGTGGCGGGTCAAAAAGATCAAGCTCTGTTGGCAGCGACAGTGCGCCAAAACGGAAGCCCAAACGTGGAAGTAAAGAAAAAAAGGAGAGCAAGGATGCAGGAGGAGGCGATGAGTTAAGACGTAGATTTTAAGGGATGTCTTCACTCTAGTTTCCGTTTGCAAATGCTATCACACATAATTGATTAAGATCCCTTTCTTTGCAGTTTGCACTTTTCCCTTCTTCTATTTTTCACTGACTTCTTCCTTGGTAAGTTGGTAGATTCAACACTCAAGCTTAATTTCAACATCATGTCATGTGTGCGCTCCGTGTTGCGATCCTTACTCGATCACCTAAGGAGCCGCATTACTCACATAGAAGTTCTAGAAAGCTAGCTCCTAAGTAACTTAGTTACAGTCAAGCCCCTACCTCATCTTCATTCCCTACCTCATCTTCATTCCCTACCTCATCTTCATCCCCTACCTCATCTTCATCCCTAGACATTTCAACATCATCTTCATCCCCTACCTCATCTTCATCGTGTTAGTAGAGAAGATACTACATCGTTACCTCAAGTAGAGCGTGCTGTTATTATCTTCAAGAACGACATGATGTTATTAATATTATCTTCAAAAAGAAGTACTATTTACGAAGCGTTCGAGTGTATTTGCTTATCGTTAAGTTAGGAATCTAAGACAGATTGACTCTCCCGCTATCGTGTACAAAAACTGCATTATTATCTACAAGAAGAAGTACTATACAGGCGTCGTCGACATTCCCCCCTCTCTAAACCTTGCAGCTGCGGCAGCCGCAAGTGCTCAATCTACAAATAAGACAGCGCCAGAAGAGGAGGAGTTTTCAGCCATTCCGCCAGAACCCGTGATCATTCCTCAACCACTGATACCCGCACAAAACGCGTTGATGCAGATGCTAGGCTTTCCTGGGAAAGAGACGAAGTTAAGAAAGGAGCTCGTGAGGCACATTTGGGTTTATATAGATACAACTAGTTGCACAAGAACATGTACGAGAATATTACATTTACATTTTATATTTTGTTTGTACATACTAATTGTACAAATGCTAATTAATACTAGTCTTACATACTAAATGAAGAGTCTTCAGGGGGAGGATCGACTTGCTCCACTTGGTGCTCAAACTACTCGCGTTACTATTTGTTCATGTTTGCGACTAGAGATGTAGAATTAAGTGCAGAACTAAGTGGGATCGACTAGGATAGCACCTCGTCTAACAAAAAAAGAAAAAGCACCTGAGGAGAAAAAGACAGTGTCAAAGACGAAAAAGAAAGTCGCGGCAAAGGATAAGCTACCACCTCCGAGCTGATCAATTTTTATTGCCACGCGTCCAGGGTCACTTCAAGCATTAGAAGAGGCCTACGAAGAACAAGAACAACTGAGACCTTACGTAGACAAGAACAACTGACTCCTTCTAAGAATTTTCGACTAGACGAATCTATGATTACCCTTACCGCGACAAGCACAAGAACAGCTGAAGTTCTAGCTCAGACCAGAATCTACAAGAAGAACGAACAGGCATCTACTTAGTCAAGCTCAGACCAGAATCTATAACTCACATCTCCGTCATACAGACAACGCTTTTTTGCTTACATTTTGATATAGACATTGCAGTGATACAGATACAAGCCGTTGCAAAGATTTGTTCAAAAGTTTATAAGATAAACCGTTTATTATAGACATAATATAAATATTCCTGTTAAAGAAGATGAGCAGCAAAAACGCTTTGTGTTTGTTCTCGACGCAATATGGCTTCATCACTCAGAGGAGTCGGTGTGTTCCAAGCAGTCGTATAACTGCTGGCTCTACAAGCGAATTTTGCTTGTGAGTCCTTCGGACGCTCAGTCTATCTGTCGTCACAGTGTGACGAGTCTGAGTGCATTCAGATGTATTAATTCGATGAGCGAACAAGACTATCTAGTTCAAGCCAAAGGGCAAAGCTATCGCTATGAGATCAGCGAATGCACCAGCGTCCTTCAAGAGAGCGAGGAGAGAGCGAGAGCGACACTACTTCACCATAAGACATAGAAGTTGGAAGAGAGAGAAGCAGCATTCCATTTACACCGTCTTCATTTCTTCACCTGCTACCCTCTCTAGCACCAGAGTCTAGCTTTCCCCTTCAGGTAGGCTTAGCCTTGAGCAACAAAAAGTAACTATCGCGTTTTTTTCTACTTACTCCAATATGAGGGCTCCTGTAGTCGTAGTCCGGAGACTATCATCAATTTTTAGATGTTCGTAATCTACTCATAATTCCATGTTCTTCGAGTAAGAGCTGCTGTAAGAGACGTCCGAACAACAGAGCTGCTGTAAGAGGCTAACATTCTTCGAGTAAGAGCTGCTGTAAGTGTAACTGGCGGTACTCCGTGCTACGGGCGAACGAGCCGTCTCGTGGTGGGTACTTTTAGTGGTGGCACCACTCGTGTAGTAGTCGACTACTAACTAGTTCATTACTGGTACTAGTTCAATGTTGAACTACGAAAGGGGAACGAGCAGCCTAAGCAACAACTCTTCCAAGAACTTCTAGTCCAACCCCAACGACTTCTAAAAGTTGTACTGTGATAAGCAACTCTTCAACCAGACACCCTTCCCCAAGACACCTTCTGACGTAACCGGCGCCCCCCTTCGCCCAAGATGTTTGACCCAGGCGCAATGCAGATGAAAGACCTCACAACGGATGACGTGAGCCGCATCAACAAGGCCATGAAAACAGAGCAATTTGGCTCGTTGATGCAAGATTATCTACAAGAAATTTCCGATCCGAATAACAGAGCGGAATATGATCAGTACTATTTTTGCGGTAAACCGCGTCTGCTAGTACCATTAAAATTCATAGCTGCTGCTTGTTTTAAGAGCAACATCACTTGCTGCAGTTCCGCATGAACCTGTCACCTACAACACCCTCCCGAGGTCGACGCGTGAAACTTTTTTCCACCAGGTACATGGAACAACTGGAGTCCAAGGGAGAGCTTCCTGAAGGCACTGAGCTCTTGCGGTGCGAGCCAGGGTTTTGTGTGCGTACAGACGTCTGCTTCAAAAATGGCCAGACTCAAAAATGCTTCATTAACGTGTGCTTTTCTCCATTGCTACGAGACGTTGAGATGGTGCAGGCACCGGGGGGACATCAGGTATCATGTAGGAGAAGATCTAGGATGTAGGAGAAGATCTAGGATCGTTATTTCTAAATATTAAAGCCTCTGGTCCTGACAGCACGCCGTAAGAAGTACAAACTTGTTCCCCTAGGAATCCTTACTTGCATTCCTTAAACTACGTAGGAGACTACATTTTCTTACTCACGTCCTTCACCGCGGTTCTGTGGCATGCCCGTTTTCACAAAATACTCTACTTCCAGGTTTCTCTTCCCTTCGCGTTGTCTCCGCCACGTGTGGACCAAGATAGCAAGAGCAGTACTTGCCTAACGTGCGACTTCGGTCTTTCTGAGAACAGCTTCGCACAATGCAAGAACAACCCAGACTTCCTGCGAATGATCGTGGATATTTATGGCAGCATTAGCATTTGCATTTATTTGTTTCATCATACTTTATAGATATAGTAGATTAGCATTAGCATTTAAATTTGTTTCATCATACTTTAGTTGTAGAAATAGGAGGTTGACATGATCTTCTCTTGCAACGGAGAAGCTGCATTATCCACAATAATGAAAAGGAAATTATCTGTTATCATTATCAAGTTTCTTAAGTAGAAGAAACTGATATAATGATAAAAATACTTTTGGCTTCATAACAATTTTCTACTTGATATCCACGACCCCTCTTCATATCCTCGCAACGAAAAACCTATCAACGAATTTCCTGAAGGGTTTTGAGGAGGTCAAGAACGATTTCCGGGTCTTGAAGAAGACGAACTGCAAAGGAGGGAAGCCGTATCTCATGTCCGTGCGGGTGGAAAACTTGCGACCAGACAAGAAAAGGAAGAAAAAAAATTATGATGAAATGTTGCTGATGGAGGTCTCTGTCTTTGTTGACGAAGTAGGGTGAGGGCTATAAGACTCAGGATCATGTTGAGAGTGAGGTTTTATTACATAGCTTCATCACTTCACAGGACAATTTCAGTGAAGGCAAATCCAATTGACTACCCTAAAAATAAATCCCTTTCCCTTATATCTTTTTTTCCTCTTTCATCGTCGTAAGAAGTCAGGCGCAGCAGCAGCTGGCGACGGGATAACACCAGGAGAGCTGAAGGAGATGAAGAAGGATGCGACGCAGCGAATGAAAAACATGGTAGAATCTTCAGACGAAGACGAAGAGGAAACAAGTATTGACTTTTTTTTTTAGCAGAGGTGTACGTGTAGTAAGACTGTAAGTGAACACAGTTTTTGTTTTACTTCTAGAAGTGGTTCCTTGTTCTTATATTATATCAAAAACCAATTGAATTTTTTTACCTGCATAGGAGGAAAAGGAATGAATACTGGACGACTGATTCTATTTCTTATCTATGAAGTCCTTCTCTCGTTCGGTAACCCTCTTCTACTATCTTCTAATATGAGAGGACTACTTGTACTTCTTCAAATTCAAATCACGAAACTTTCAGCCGCCCCTATCGAAGATGAGAGCAAAACCAAGAAAGTGCGAGTGCCACAGCACCGGCTTGTGCATCAAGGCCAATTAGAGCTCATCGAATTTGAGAACATCCAACCTGGGATGTCAGAGCAAAAGGTTTATGGAAAGAAAGTCTAGCTGTTCTTCTGGCATGCAACCAACTATTTCTCGACCCTAGCTTCTTCTAGAAGAAGCGAATTGTGGAAAAACAATTTTTAACTTCACGCGATCTTTTCAACATCATAATTCACTTTCACACACATTTGAATTTAGACCCATATCCTCAACATGCTTAGTTATCGGCTTTGATATCCCCAATAACTGCCCTTTATACTCCTACACGGAACTCGAACCTGAACACTCCTCGATATCTATCCTCGACTTCCCTTGTTCATACTCGTACGCCGAACATTCCTGCAAATTTGAAGTTAGTGGTGAAGCTGCCCGGCGTCGCTTCCGCAGCAGACATAGAGCTGGACGTCCAGAAGGACAACGTGGTACTCGAAACACGGTTTTTTTATCTAGATTTACCACTGCCGTACGAAATTTTGCCGGATGACGGGACGTTATGGGATCGGGGTGTTGTTTTTTTTGTGATAGAAGTGTGGGATTCCAGCCAGAATGGCTGAGGGTCATTCTTTAAGTCGCTTGTTTACATATAAAATATCCTTGAAGTAACAGCAATTTCAGTATTTTTTCTTTTTACTACTTCTACATCGTCTTGGTTGAAACGTACTCGACGTCGTACCTGCTAATCATTGCGAAATTCGATAAACCGAAGAAGGAACTGACGCTCTCGCTGCCTGTTCTGAACTCGGCCGCGAATCTTAGAAGGGGAACCAGCGCCGAAAGCACTTGTATGAAGAAGTCCTCAAGGAATACGAATAGCTGATCTCTTCAAGTAGAAGACCAAGACGAGTTTTTTTTCGAGTTTTAGTCCTAGTCCCCCCTCGTCCGATTCGCACACTATAAACTAACCCGCTTTACGTTCACTACTATCAGGGGCATGCGCATGACAATGACACTCTAACCTTCCCGCTGACGACAAGGAACAAGAGCAGCAAGAAGATGATCTGAGTAAATGGCTGGCGTCACGAAGTAACTATGAAAAGTACGGGATTGGCGCAGTAGATGGAAATGATGACGTGATATCAGATGCCGATGAGGATGGTGAGATGGAAGATCTACCAGCTGATGAAGAGAAGGCAAGCGAGAAGACAACTGGCGTCGAGCAGGGAGACGAACTATCAGAGGACGCCACGGCCAAAGAGCCTCAAGCTGAAACAGGGGGAGACGATAAAAGTAGCGAGACAGGACACTTGGCAGAGAAGAAGGTAGTCAAGCTTCAATTTGTTCTCTGAACGGTTTGTAATAAAGATACGTGTGATTGTCTAGATGCTCGAGTGTTATTTATCATTATCTCCGTCTCAGGCAGCTTTCTTGAGTTGTCACGTGGTTCGCAAATGAAAGAATGAATGAAAAAGATACTAAAAGAGGCAACAACTTCCTTCATCGAAGCAGAAAATCCAAAAACAAGGTGAAGTAGAAACAACAAATACAAGGTAATGTAGCAAACCGTTGTTATCTGAAAAATTATCAAATATTACTAAAACCGAATCGCCAGGTAGAACAACCATGTGCACAAGATGACGCGCCTAAAGAGGAGGAAGAGGTGACATACGTTAGTCCAAGGAATAAGCCTCTGGCGGAGGCATGGGATGATCGAGGAAAACCTTTCATACCAGCAGCTAGTTGGATAGGTACTTATTTTGTGTTAACAAATTGTTGGAATGAAACGATAGTCTGAAGACACGAAGATAGTGTGACACGATACCGTGAACAAACGATCATGAAGGTGACAGGTTTGCTCATCTCTGCTCCTCTTCTTCTTGGTCTCACATATAGCTACAACAACTAGGATTTTTTATCAGAGATCACCTCGTGCTCGTACTCGTACTCTTCTCCTCTCTTTGTTCTACTGTAGGTCCTCGTCCAGGCTATTACTTCGGAACCAGCGCTAGGGGTACTGGGTATCATAAAGATCCACATCAGTGCAGTTCATCGAGTGCAACGAGTGGGCGATCATCCTCTTCTTCGGATCAGCAAGAGCATATAAAGGAAAATACTACTGGTTCGACGAGCCCAAGTAGTAAGAGATCGAAGACAAACCCGAAGCCGAAGGAGCCTTTGATTCAAGAGGTCGAAAACCAAGACTCGCCAGGACGCACTCCTTCATCATCATCCTCGGTGTGGGTGAGTTATGAATGGAGGGCATTGAAATAACTCTAGAATCTAGATATGGATTAGGGCTAAGCTAGATGATGTTGATGATAGATAGGAAAAATACAGGAATGGCTTTTTGTGTAACACTTTCTAGTCACTTACTTTGAGCTAGGAGTCGAGCTAGCAGTTCGCGGGGGTCAATGTGCAGGATCCACAACCTAACCGAGCCTTACTTTCATGATTAGCATTAGTAGAAGGCGTCTCTTACTCTTTCATCAAACTTCTATAAAGAGAGACCAAGTAGTTGCAGTAGTACTACCTCCACTTTCATACTCAAAACGACGCGTCCTCGACCATCAAACACGGGAACGACATCAAGCCAGCGGAAGCTCTACCAGGAGATTTTCTCTTCCATCCTGTTGAGGATAGAGGCTCAGCTTTTTTCAATAAGCAGAAGAACGTTATACAAGTACCAGTGCAAGACGTTGAGAAAGATTTTAGTGTTACGGTGAAAGTCGTTTTATTGTTTCTGTGCAGCATGATTACCAGAAGTTGTAGAGTCGTTGTTGTGGATCAATCCTTTCATCAAGAGTTGAAAGACAGCGTAAAGATCAGCATTCAATGGTCACTGACTCTGAACGGAAGAGACCCCCTCCAAAGCGCTCCCCTTTCCCTTCGTCTATTTCTCCTGTTGGTTCTCTCAACTAGGGGTCGCCTCTTCGATCTCAGTGACCAACCCCAATGACCATTGAAGCTTGAGCCTCGGAGTAGCTGTAGTTTCTTTTCGTTGCTATTTTTCGATCACTTTATTCCTGCAATACGGTATTAATTAACCATTGTTGCTCTTGGAGTCCTCTTGCTTCCCTGTTGCTGTTGCTCTTGAATACCCGCCTGTTTCTCTCTCTCTCCCCCCTCCCCTTCCCTCTCTCTTTTTCATTTCCTACGCCAGTAAAGACGGGTTTTTCGAATTCGAGACGTCGTCGCATATATGCATTTTATTACCTCCTTGGCCTGGCGCAACTGTACAGAGTAGTAGTAAAACGCGTAACAGTGCTAGCAAAGTCCATTTGTTGATGTCGGGACCGCCTGGAAGTGCGGAAGGAGGGAAGGATGAGAATGAGGAGGTACTATTTTTGATGTAAGTATATTGTCGCTTAGTAAATTTTTTTCGTTTTCGCTATCGCTACTACAGATGAACCTACTTTTCTCCTTCTTAGTATGTCAATGTTTTAGTTTTGTCCGCACATCCCACTTGTCTCCACTAATTCTTCTAATAGAAGCACTTTTTTATATTTTTTCTCTTCACCACCAACACCATCTTCATCTGTGAAGCAACAAGAACCACAAGCATCCGTTGAACATAGTACTAGTTTCGTCACAACGATCACCAGGAATCACCACAGCAGCACATGGCTTTCCACCTGATGGTCACTGGAGGAAAAGGCTTGCTCAGAGTACCTCAACGATGGACTTACTATGCAACTCCTGAGGCCACAGTTTTCCTCATCGAAAAAGCTGCAGAGACGAAAGATGGAGACTTGGGCACTCTCCTTTCAGGTTCAGGTGGGTCATCAACTACAGGAACTCCCAGAATATTTCAAGTGGAGACTGCAGCAGGTGAAGGAGACGCCGCTGTTGGCGGCGCCGCCGGCGGGTCAACTATTTTTATGTTCTTGTAGAAGATACTTGATGTTGAAATTTGGTAGCTTTTTGAAAATTCTGCTGCAAGATGCCATTGAAAGTAGAACTTTGTTGTACTGCAGTAGAAGCCTTCATGTTTGTTACAAAGCTAGTTGTACATCAAAAACAACAGATGTCTTGGTCTTGGAACAATATGATGATTCAGCTAAATAAGATATTATAGCTTTTCTAATCATGTAGAGGACACCGGTCGCGGCATCGATTTTCGGAGTTTTGTACCCATACCTTTGTCTGAACGCGACAAGCTGGTGCGAAAGCAAAACGAAAATTTATGAAGACAGGCACAAGTTTTTTCTATTTCAGTAGTTCTTGATAAGGGAACAGGCCAACGCCTAAAAAAACTACTAAACCAACTGCGCAGCTGGCTTCGTGGTTGAGGCGTTGGCCTGTTCACTTATCAGCTCTGACGGACTACAACAATTAGGAACTACGCACTAGACTTAGTTGCTTACTGCTGGCAAAGATGTAGTTAATATAGTGATTCTGCTTGTTCTTCATATTCTGATTCTCCTTGCATCAACATCATATTAGTACTATAGTCATGATGTCTGCTCGTGATGTCTTCTCACAGGTTCTTGTTCTTGTTGTTGTCACATCAACAACCTAGTAATATCATGTCTGCTGTTGATGTCTTCTCAGAGGTTCTTGTTATTGTATAGTCACTGTTATACTCACCTTCATTGATCCATTTCAACCATCTCTTGCTCATCGACTTCTAAGAGCTGCAGCATCATCAAGGTCCAAACAAGAACGATTATTACAGGGAGACGAAGAGGAGATGGAAGACCCAGACGAGGATGGTAAGGGCAAAGGCCTCGATGAGAATGCTAAGGCTAAGAATAATACCATGACCTTCCCTGGATCTTCTTTTTCTAGACTTGAAAAAGAAGCCACAAGAACAGCTTCCAAGGATACTATTACGATTCTCTCAAAGAGAAAGATGGTGCGAACGCGGTACTATATTATCTCTAAGGTGAATGGGCGCCATCAAAATGAAGAGGGAGCAGACACAACAGGAGGAGGGGGTGACCCTTTAATGCACGTACGTGCTGATGACGATGCGGCGATGGCACATGCCGTTTTGCTCCGGACCAGGCTCTTTTTAGATCTCATGTGAGTGTGAGGATTCATCACCTTTTCTCTAGAACCGATGCCAAGAATGCCGTGATCATCGATATCAGAGATTTTTTAGATCGAAGAACTTCTGGAGATATCATGGAATCATCGATTTGGTAGTTTTAGATCTTGTTGACGTTCCCAGTTCGTTGCATTTTACGTGTACTATTTTTGATGCACGACCAGACTACTCCGGCGGCTATCAGTATCATCCCTCCGGCCGATGCCTCCCAGGGATAGCAGACAAGTCAAAAGTAATCCTTGATCGTCCATTCGTGCTCTTAGCACAAAATAATCCTCTATCGTGCTTGTTACTGGAGGAGGAAAGCTTCCTCCGAATCACGAATCGCAATCTAGTAGTTTCTTCACTTTCACACTCAATCAACATTAAGCTATTATGTAAATTTTGACATCTTCGACTAATACTGCAACAATTCCAAAAGCTAGCTCGTTGATTTCCAACTCTTTGAATTAATTAGTTTTTGTCCGTAGAAATAGATTGTTGCTGGTTGATCAAAAAGATGATTGATATTCTTAGGTAGGTCCATTTCAGGTGCTGTAGGATGTAATTGCTCTGTTAGACTCAACTTCTCTTCAATGCATTCATACCGCCATGATGAGACACATGATAAGAGCAAAGCACTAGCTTCATACTATGAGCGATGGAAATATAAACAAAAAATCTCTGATGAAGAATTTACTCTGAAGCGGTTAATGCATGCGAGAAACGAGATAATAATCAATGATGCGCCATGCCTATGGCGCAAGCTTGTTATCTGCCTGTAGAGGATTGCCCGCCAACTCCATGGCGGCCACGAGCTGCGAAGTCTAGAACGCACAGCATCAGCCTCAAGAGTGTGAACAAAGAGGCTTTTTTTTAGGTCAGCCCCCATTTCTCAGCCCTCCTTTTTTCTGGCCTTTAAGAATAGGAAGCGTCTACGCGGACGATTCAGTACGGCGACTCGATAGGTTCCTTTCTCGTCAGTCACGTGAAATGGCTTTCGATACGATCTTAGGCCGCCTGCGCAAGAACTAGAACCGTGATGGTATTGGTATCTATTAGGGGTTATAATATTGGTGAGGAGGAAACGGAAAGTTGGCTTAGGGAGGGGAGGAATTTTTGGGGAGAAAGATACTCAATGAATAGAAGTGACTTGTGCGAAAGTGAAAGTGATGATGACATGGATGAAGTAGATCTGGATAGGGATGTTGCAGTTGAAAAGATTAATGCCGATTACGAATGCGATCCCTGTGCAGTCTGATGTCCTGTTTTTTCCCAAAGATGAAGGAGACTCGGTTTGAACTCAGCCACAAGATGAAGGAGAAGCTAGTGCTTATTACAACAATTGCTACGACTTCTTGCTCTTCTTATCCGACAGTGAAATAATTTTTTGCTTGTAGCCGACTGCTACCTCTTGTCGAAGGCGACTGCTACCTTCTACTTTACTTATCTGAAATAGTATAAAGCTGCATAACTTCTACCTCGTACCACTTCTCGGTCTATAACAACTGCCTAGTAACCCGTATTGTTCACCTCCTGGTGAAGCAAGCACAGCGCTAGAACTGTGGTACTACAACATCTGGCTGCAATCCACCACTCACAATATTCGAGCCCATCAAATTGCGTCACTTCTTCATAAAGTTCAAAAATCAGCATCAAGATGGCCACGTCTTTTCGCGGTCTCTGGATTTTTCGTGCAGACAGCGAAGTAAAGCTGATACTAAGTCGCCGCTTTCCGACCGTGGAGAGCGCTGTGCGGAGAAATTCGACCACGACAGACGGACCTCCCTATCAGCCCGTGCCTTCCGACGAAACGATTTCGCTCGCTTTCCTATTAAACGTTTGCAAAGGGAGGGACGCAAAACCAGGAGATCGTGAAGAGAATCTTCTTCGGGATGGTACTGAAATGCAAGAGACGGGAACCCAAAAGCAGCAGAAGACCCCAGCAAAGAGTTGGAACTTACCTGCGCCATTCGATCTGGAGTTCGAACATTAAGGCACAAATAGTAAGAACTACAGGTCAACAATTACTACAGAGAACTACCACCTAGTAAGTTAAAGTTGTAGTCAATAAAGCTTCAATTGTCATTGTAATTGTTGCTTCCCGAAAGAAAATCAAAGAAAGCCTCTAAAGACCAGAGGCAATGGCGTTGACCTGGAAACCTGCTCAAGAGCGACGCCAAGAAAAGGACTGGCCGCTAGGTCCGGTCTGTGGTTTAAACTCTTATGATATACATAGATCCTTGTGGAACCACGAGAGCAGGAGTGCGCTAGACCAGGAACTTGTACTCCAGATATTCTTGTTGATCTTGACTCGTATTGACTTTAGTACTAGTATTACTTCTAAAAACATCAACCAGAATCAGAAACTCATAACCGAGCAGCAGGTAATCAGCACCATGATTACTCGTCTGCTTCCACCTCCAACCATTTGTGGCCTTGTGTTTTCCTTGCGAAGAGAGGTTTCTATCTACTTGCTGCAGTCGCCCTTCCGCCATCACACTCACACAGCAAAAATGGAAACGCAAGCAGCAATGCAGGTCGCAGACTTGCCGTCGATTTGCCTGAGATAACTGCCGCATTTGCTGTGCTAGAGGATATTACTAAGACGTCGACCGTTAATGCTAAAACTAATGCAGCTGCTGCATTCTCAGTAATGCATCCTCAGGCTCAGCATCTCCTATCATCCTCGGCTCTTCTTCTGCTTGAAAAAGAAGACAAGTGGCAAGGATCATGCTAGTAAGGATGCTATCAGTTTGTAAGTGCAGGTGGATAGAAGGATAGAACAGGTCCCAATCGTCTCCATTTTGTGAACCCATGAGGTGGACGATGGTGGTACCAATCGTCCTCATTTTGTGGCTCCCTAGTGGGGTTTAGTGGAGGCCCACTGGGGTTTCTTGGTTTCTTGAGTTTTTTTTATGTTAGAGACAGGAAGCACCATGGTCTCCAAGTTACAGTGGAGGTAGTAGTCAAACTGGAAGCTCTAACGTTAGCAGTTTCCTAGCCCCTGACTTGTCCATTACGGACGCAGGTGCCATTGCAGAGTTGCAGTATAAGGTGAAATGTGCGCTTCCCTTCGGTTCTCCCGTGAACAGTAAAAGCGCAGGACCGACTGGTAGTAATTAAGGCTGCTCATTGTTGTATTAACATTTGTAAGATCATTAACATCAAATTTATTGTATTGCTCTTCGAGTTTCGAGTTCTTAAAACTCTCAGCGCCCGCTAAGGCGGGCGCGAGTTCTTAAAGTTAAAATTCACAGTAAAGGTAAGCTTCTTAGACTCTAAGGCCAACTCGATCACTGTACTTCATTTCCGATTTGTTCTTCGTAGGTCATTTTTCTCTGTCACGACTTTCGTGCCGGAATACAATGAGAAGAGGAAATGAATTGATCATATTGAAGATATTATGAATGAGAACGAGAATTGTTTTAAAAAGCACCAGCTCTAATGTAAAAATGCTAAAACATCTTCAACATCTGGGAAGCACCAGCGACTTTCATTCGATAGCCTTGGCCTTGCAAAGCAAGGATCTTCAGCGTCGGAGCCTACTCAGCGCGTGCCTGCCTGGAAGCCGTTTGTGGTGGGAGACTCTGTCTCGAGAAGAAAGCGCGGCGAGCAAGAGCAGGGGAACGGAGCAACCTCAGGTTGCTCTCACAATGATCCGCATGCGGGCTCTTCGAGTGGCTCGGGTCGAGCAGGAGGCGTCATGCTTTCCATCGTGGAGACCATACATTGTGCCATGTACGGCGCTCAACACGAAGATGAGTGTTTTGTGACTGGCACCGTTTACTGTTCAGCAACGGATCTACCAGGTTTTCCGGAAGTTTCCGTTCCTTTAGCCTTTCCGGAAGTGTCAGGAGTATCCACAGGATCTACAACAGAATCGAGCTCACCCTCTTCTTAAGGCTTCGAGTTCACCCTCTTCTTAAGCGGCCTTGATACAATTCATTCTTCTCTTATACAGTCATTTCTTCAGTAGGAGCAGCGAGCTCGCCCTCTTCTTAAGCGGCCTCGTTGATACAATGAATTCTCTTCTCTCAATACAGTCATTTAGATTTTCTTTATTTTCTAGCCCCATCGTCGACAGGATTCGTCTTTTTGCCTCTTGGGGTTCTGAAGGAATGAAGGAAAGAAAGTGCGCCTTGCTTTGGCGCCCTTATGGCAGTCTGCGCTCAACTTTGTGCGATATTTATTGCATTGCATTGAGTTCTAATCGTCTTGTTCGACAACGCTGGCAAACTCTACTTCTTCGGTAACATCGAACAAGGGTTCCTGCGGAGATAAAACCGGCGCACCGCGAATTACAGTGTACAACTGCGCTCAGCTTCATCACGAACGAGGCACAACGCGAGTCAGCGTCATCCCACCATCGACGCCATTCGTGCTGTGCAGATTTATGAAGCTATTTTTTTTTTGAGAAGCAGCTTGGCCACACGTAATTATTGCCAAATTGATCTTGATTCAAGTCAGCATCAGATGGGACAAGTAATCGAAAACTGGAAATGACCTGGTTACTGACTGAAATACGGGACGTAACTCTTAAAGGCTACTCTTCCTTGTTCAGTATCTCGGTTATTCTGATCAGCTACTTGCTTACTTATTTAGGTTATCGAGGCTCAGTTGTACCTTGATCTTCGTGAGGTGAGCTCTAACCAATACCGCTTCGCCCAGTTGCCACGCGCACCAGTTCGAGGATTTTACCAGGTCAAGGAGATTTCACCAATTTAGACCAGGATTTTCCTCGTTGCACGACCTTGCATTTTTTTCGTTTTTGGCTAGCCTAAGGAGGCCCAATTCTCTATGGACCGACGTCGCCACTCCGCTAGCCTCGCAGTGGACCCGCTGAGCCGGAGCCCCTCGTCTGGGATGGCAACCTGTGGACTTCGTAGGCGTCCCAGGAGGAGCCGCTTCGCTTCGGAGGCTCTGGTCTGGGAGGCTTAGGAGGGGGTCAAAAGGGGAGGCAAAAAGGGCCCACTTTGACCCCCCAAACGAGGGGGTACAGCAGGCAACACTTTTGGCCCCAAAAGTGTCGCCTGCTGTACCCCCCCAGGCCCCCTAAAGTGGGGCCGTTTTAATGCCGAAAAAAGTGTCGACATTTTATTTTCAAAAATGGGGTGCAAAATGACCCCCATTTTTGTCGCCTCTTTTTTTTTCAAAATGGGCCCGTTTTGCGTACCCCGTGGTTGGCTCCGCCGTTTGGTCTAGGTTTGCCATCATTCATGGCGGGACGGATCGCCTTGGGAGGTGCTCCGCTGTCGATATCGACGGCGCCGAAGGCCCATGGTCGCGCAGCGTCCAAGGCGTAGGGGAGTTCGCCAGGCCTTGCCACTAGCGGCATTTTTGAAAAAAAAGCAAGGTTGTGCAACGAGAAAAATCCTGGTCTAACCAATGGACGTTCGTCTACTTTTGCGTCTAGAGTTCTCGCCTGGGCTGTTCTTCGATAAATCCGATAATTTTGGAGCTAGTACTGGACCGGGATCTTCGACTATTATGAGATGAGAGAGTAGTACTAGTTTGTCAATAGGCGGACTACGACTAGCAACCGGTAGCAGGCCGTGTCGTGAAGAAGGTCGTGAGATTGAATATTGGATAATTTCAATTGGTATCCTGAACAAATAGAGTTAGAAGTTGTACCTGGACCCGATGTTACATTTTGAGTTCTTGAAGCAGGACTTGCACACGTCAGCACGGGCAGAAGCAATCAAGTTTTTTGAATTTTAGTCATTGATAACAAGGAACCACAACTACGGGACTTACCACATGAAGATCAATCTCACGACGCATCCAGAAGCCTGCAAAATGTCCATCCATTTCGCTAAGTCAAGGGATCATAACGCTGGAGGCGGTAGCTCAGGACTGTCAGGAGGCTCCTCGAATAAAGGGATTATGCAAGTCAGATTGTCCTTCCTTTCCAGGATCAAGAAGGAGAGCTTGCAAAGTAGCTGCCATCTGACTCCTTCTGGTTAAGGCTGGGCACTAGCATCCTGCTTAGGTCTAATCATGGTAAAGTAAATGTAAATTTGATGACTCTAAGAAGAATGATAGTAAAGTAAATGTAAATTTGATGACTCTAAGAAGTTGAAGTACTAGGTTTTTGAGAAAAGTAGAATACCCAAGTAGCTGCAGCAACTTCTAGTTTCCTACGTTTTTTTAACTAGCATGACGTTTGTTCTTTGAGCTTCAGATACGGATGACCTAGTGGGAGTTCTAAGCCATTACAGAAGATTCAGGTGAGGAAGAGCAGAAGGGTGGTAGTTTTTCGATTACCGACAGTCGACGCGTCATTGTTTGGACTGTACGACCTCCCAAAAAGCGAAACGCGGAGACGAGTCAGGTTATGGAGGACATGTCTAGAGCTACCGCATCAGAGGACTCAGAAACAACTAAATAAAAGACATTCGTAAATAAACATTTTTTAAATACTTCTACGTACCTACTAATTAAAAATACTTCTACCTTCTGTTCTAGACAACTAAATATAATACTTCTACCTACAACTAACAGTACTAGCAGTACGAATTACGGCGGCACAGATTTCTGTCAGCTAGCACGTGCGTCGTTGATTGGCGAGTTATCGTTTGAGAGTCCCTCAGACCGACCTGAACGCTCTTCCCAAGGCAGAAAGCATGGAACTCAGCGTGATGGAAAAGAAAGACTCGACTCGTTCGACGATTTCCATGTTGGAAGTCATGCTGCTATGGCTTGTTATTTGGCTACTTTTAGTATAATATCGTCATTGATTGATAAAATGATAGAAGTTTCTATTCATTAGAAGCAAGTCAAAAATAGAAGAAGAATTGGAAGTTTCTATTCATTAGAAGCAAGTCGCCTCCTGAAATTGGTGGGTAATCTTATCTAGAATCTGGTATGTAACACTCTGATATTTGAGCGCGGCAAGCGGAAGCGCAACAAGGTCACATGTGATACTAAAGCTAGTACTAGCTGCTTGAGTACAACTAGAAAACTATGGCATAGTATGATATATATTACTCGAAGAGGCTCATCTATAGGACCGCAATGAGTACTCAACTCAAATCGTCACTCTACATCAAGTTGTTGTCTTCAGGTGGTCACACTCATAGGGGTTCATGTTCATCTTCAGATTGCGATTATTTAGCGTCTCTTCTAATTCATGTGACCATGGGTCAGCGTCCGGAGGACGCGAAGTGCGCGATCGAATCGTCCACGACCATAGGGATACTCAAGACCAGAGCTCTTTTCCTTTCTCAACTTTAAGACGCGGGGGTGGTAGTGGGGCTAGTGGTCGTCAAGCAAGGCCTTATCTGGAATCAAACAAGGGTGTTCTAGCATCATCTGTTCAGCACCACGATGAGCAGCACAGCATCCGTGGCTTATACTGCGAAGTGTTCCTGAAAATTCCAGGTGCAACGTTTTCAGGCCTGAAAATCGATCCGGAGGCCATTTCTGTCTATCCACCTCTCCCCGATGCCAGTATTAGCGTAAGGCGAGAGGCGCTTGCTGGTCGATACATCATATTTATGGGCAACAGGAGATTTATTCGTCTTGTGGTCTAGGTTTACTGGAATTTGTGGCAATTTTGTTAGTGATCAATCAAAAGTATCGAACTGTAAAAATTCGTTCATGACACACTTCTAACCTTCGGAACGCTGCTGATGAAGCAATTAAGGGGCGAACCCCTTTGGACAAGTGAGAGTGACGCTACGCGGGCACAAGAAAATGCTGTTGCCTCTGACTACAACTAATTAGATAGAGTCGCTTATTTATCCATCGTATGATTGTTATCATGAAGATGGAATCCTCGTCTTGGTGCTATGCGATTACTTGAGTGCTAGTGAAAACTGCGCTAAGATGAAGACAATGTGAGATTATGTGTCGTCAATTAGGAATGCCATTGCAAGTCGTGTTGAGCGATGCTAGTATGGCATTACCATTTGGTTGGAGACTGCGTATGGTCATCGGAGCAGCAGTGAATGCTAATGCTATCAACTACTGCGAGGTGCGACAAACGCTTTAAAAAGTGAACGCAGAAAAATGCAGTGAAGTCTAAAATCTGAATCTAAAGCCTAGAGTCCTAGACGCGGGCTCTGTCAATTTCAATCTGCATCAGTGAGTGCAACTCCTCGGTGATTCTGTCATGTGCGAGGATCGTGATTCTGTATTGTGTGAAAGTACTACAGTAAGTGCGAGTGGAACGGAAAACAGGAAAAAAAAGCGGCTGTGGAAACGGTAGTACATAAGCTAAAGCAGAAATAACGCAGCAAATAAAGTAAGCCACCACGATTCCTATAGGAATGATGGCCTTGTTGGACTTGGAGGCGACACAAAACGGTTGTATTTGTTATGTCTTTTGAAGAGATGAAACTCTACATCCACAACTTCTCCGTGATTTTGAGACAATGAGCATGAGGTAACCATCGCGCTGAAAAATACATCTCATCAAGGGTCAAGAAAAATGAGTAACTCAGCTGTCGGCAGTGCTGCAGCGAGCCCTGCGGTGGCTAGCTCTCCCGGTGGCGCTCTTGGGAGTTCGGGTCACCATGGCGGGTCTCACGGAGGAATAGATGCATTTTCGATCGCGGCCAACATCAGTGATCTCTTCAAGCTCCCTGCGGCTAGGAGGGATCCGGTTTTGTTAGACCGACTGGTGGAATCGTTAAAAGTGTTGCTCATAGCCAGATTTCGAACTCTTGAGTTGGCGTACAACGTCTTCGCAGAGAAGGGAAACCTGTCGCACACAGGCTTAGACAAAATGGCGAAAGGGTTATGACAACAGACTACAGATAAAAACAGTTCTTCTTGATAAACCTCAAGAACCTTCAACACATGACATGATGAGAGGATGACCTCGCTCCCCTCTAATAGCCGTTCGAATCAATGTGGATGCTAGGGTGATTCGTGCTGTCCACGATAGGATGCTCAATGTGGAGACGAAAAGCGTGGCGTTCTTAGACTTCCAGACAGTCTTGATGGACGTCACCTTGAGAAAACTGAAGGAACAACTGCAGACTTACACTTACGAAGATATAATTTTTAAGTGTTCTTGGAGCAGGAACAAGTTTTTTGGCAGGCTTATACTAACTTCAAAGACATCTTCAATTGATGCACCACGACTTCCAGACTCATACTCGTCAACGGAGGCGTTTTTTCTTTGTTTCTTTGGTTAAAAATGTACGCGACGACCGCAACTACCGCCTTTTAAGTACTTCAATACGCGACCCTAACTACCTCCATTTAAGTACTTCAATACGCGACTCGCCCAACTACCTCTTTTAAAACACCTTAACCACCTTCTCTCTTCCAAGTGTCTACCGACCAAGTGTAGCTAGAGTCAGCATGGTTGTCTAAATGTAAATATTACTTCAGAACGTTCAACATCGAATCTAATCCGTCTATTTCTTCCTCTGGCTTATTTTTGCGCTAAAGTCTCCGCAACCACAGAAGAGTACGTGCGAAGATTACGGGTTTCATTCGAAGTGTAGTCTTCCGCGACGACCAGACCAAGCTACAATCTGTTGGCCGTTATGGAACTTTCTTGATCTTGATGACGTTGACCCACCTTGATGTTTGATTATTTTGTGTTAGAGAAACACGACGAGCGCCGTTTTTTGAAAAGGAATACAGAAAACGTCTCTACTGAAGACTCATTATTTTTAATCTCACGTGGTCATGGCTAGGTGAACGAAAGGGCAACAAATTATGGGCGCGTCGTCAACTTCCTCTTTCGCTTTCTTCTAGATAAACCTCTAGTACATTTTGGTTACTCTTCTCCTCTAAATCCGTTTTCAATCAAAGCTAACGTTGCAATTCTCTTCGAGACTGTGGAACAGCATCCGCCGGAAAATTTCGGACTCCACAGTACTGACCCAGTCTCAATTTCTGCAACATATTCGGTCATGGAAAGCGTTCTTCCATGAATACGAGTACCATTTCTTTGAAGAAATTTACAATTAAGGCAATGATCTGTAACTGTCAGAACAACTCCTCGTGAGTAGTACAAATATTGATGAATTGGTGAAGACTTTGACTCCCTTCTTCTGCCTTCATTGGAAGTGATACAGGTACATCCGCAAATGAGGAAGCAGTACCCTAAGCGCTAGGAACACTGAAAAAGCACCAAAAACGAGTAAAGCGTGCTCAACTAGAAAAACAAGAATATTAGAAGGAGAGCTAAAGACAAAGCATCAAAAAGCTTGATCCGATCACTCATTGGGGTGCTTCGAATTCAAGGAAAGGGCTACTGGCAGTTTTTGTTTTGGGTGCTTAGTCATGGTAGGTCATTCATGATAATTGAAGACGCATAGCAATAGCTAGTTATGGTCATTCATGATAATTGAAGTCGCCTAGCACTAGCTAGTTTAAACTCTAAACTCAGCGGTTGGATCAGCGAGGTAGCAACTCCGTGAACATCTTCCAGATCATGTTGGGGTTGATCTTCCTGAGTCCAGAAACCGACAAAAAGTCAAGATTCGAGACTGTTTTTCGATTATGATGTTGAATTATGATACTTATGCCTATGCCTACTAGAAGTACCGGATTAGCTCTTAGCTTTTTTATTTAACCACTTTCAAAAAAAACAACACTTAGGAACAGCAGAGAGCTGAAAGCTTCACAACATTCCCAACAAGGTCGTTAAATCAATGCGTTGCACTCTTTGGCTTTAAAGTTATTTAACCACTTTTTGATTTTGAGTTGTCCACAAGAACTACCAGCTTTCAACCTTTTTGTTCATCACAAGGCATTTTCTCCTCCTCCTCCTCCTCATCCTCCTGTTATGATGTTTATACGCATTTACGGTGACTCCTCATTCCATCTAATCCATGTCTTTACACGCATTTACGGTGAAGACTCCTCATTCCATCTAATCCATGTCTTTATACGCATTTACGGTGACTCCTCATTCCATCTAATCCATGTTTTCGACACCGATGATGATGGTTGCCTCACCCTAGAGCAAATATGCGAATTGTTTCAGATTAGTAGGACCGTCATTCCGATTCTCGAAAACGATACGGAGACGATCACCGCGAATGCGTTCTTTCAAGATGAGCTTGGAAAACAAGAGGGTCGCAGGTGTTTTGACTTGACCCTAGACCTATATGGACGCAACCGGCACGCGTCTAGTCTATTGATTAAGGCGGGCGGCGCAGTTGTAGTAGTACATCACTAAAGATGTAGTAGCTCGTCTCTATTGTTGTTCTCCTTCTCACTAGTTGTCATTTATGATCTTCAAGAACATGATCATTTTCTTTCCTATTCAGCCACGGCTGTGGGGAGAAGACTAACCTTGTAGTCTCGCGCAACAGGAAATAATGCTTACTCATTGACGAGAACAGCATGCATGAATCATTTTTATGGTTAGGCTCAACCGACCGGGACGTCATCCTGAGTACTAGACAGGGGCCTCCTCTTCTAATTCCACCTGGCATGAACTTTGGTCGCTGTTCGAGTACTCACCGTATTTGATGAATACCCTTGTCCCGGGACTATTTCTTCTCTTATGAACGGGTGGAGAAGAAGTAATACGAAGAAGTCTTCTCTTATGAACGGATGGGGCGCTGTTCAGTTCGCCGTAAGGTGCCGCCGCGCTGACCAGGATGAGTGAATGAGTCGAGTAGTAGACTCAGATATAGCGAGTCGATCCAGGTATAGCTTAGTCTCTGATCCAGTTCCCCTGTTCTGCACGACAATCATTCCATGATCTTAATATCTCTTCTTCATCCTCACACTGGGTCCTGGGTGATTCAAAGACCGAATCAAGCATCACGACTGGCGCCACAAAAAATCCGACGAAGCAAGCAAAAGTTGTAATTCTTATTTTGATAGCAGAGTAGTTTATAGCACGCATGGTGCATGGAGTAGAATGGAGCGCATGGAGCACCTGCAGCCTGCCCACGCATGGAGTGCATGGAGTGCGTCGCCGGCGTGTTGTAACGGACGGGCACGAGTGGAGCATGCCCCGTCGGAGTTGGTTCTGATGGGCTAGACGCCCGGGGGGGCGCTTGGTGATGTGTCGGGGGGTGACGTTACTGGCGGCGCTGCAGTTGGTTTGTGGGGGGCCCTGAGCTAAGGGAACCAGCTTGCATATTTTGATAGCAGAGTAGTTTGTGCCAGTCCTTGAATGACAAAGATATAATTTTTTTTACTGTCAAAATTTATACCACGACATTCGTTGTCAACTACTTATATATGAATATTGATAATATTATGAACGGATCCTAATGTAAACGTGGCAACTATAGTTCTTTTCTAAATAATTGGATTACTTGATTCTTGTGAATTTTTGTTTCCGAGTTAGGTGTGCTCCACCGATAATATTGATGATATTATACAATGAATATGAAATCATTTTCACCTCTCCCACATGATCCACTTCGTCTCAACTTCACGTCCACGACCACCACTTCTTGATAAAAACATCAGCCTGCCCTTCCCTCAAGTGCATCTTACAAATATCAGCCCGCTCTTGCCTCAAGTGCATCGGACGGAGATTTGTGGGCCAAGGGAGTACAGCACTCTTACCGTTCTGCGCTACGAGGCGAATGGAACTACGTGCCGAAAACATTAACCCAGATCGACTCTCAAGAATATTTGACATTTATGGATGAGGCAAGCATCATGCAACGAACTAGAACGCAGTCACAACCTCCTGTTGTTAGATTCTAACCTATGGAATTCTCAAACGGGTCGAGACAACCGACTCGGCGATGAGGAAGCAGGAACGCCAGAGGCAGAAATAGAGCCAAGTAAGCCAGCGGAACCCCCTGCAACTTCAGCTGGAGGAGGATCATCGAAAGTTAAGAAGGAAAGTTGTAACTGAGTGAAACATCTCGAGGTCGATTTGCGATAGAAGTTCCGTCTTTCATAATAACTCAGTCAAAAAAAAAGGACGAATTTTCTATACGTTTTTTGGTCTATCTTCACTTAATCGACAAACAATCTATTATCTTGATGTCGGATGATTGACCCAGACCAAGAAGATTAATCTAAAAAATTCTTCCACTTGTTCTCCTGTTCCTATTCGCCATGATCTCCTCATCATCATCATCATCATCATCATCATCATCGTCGTCATGTCTAATGTACCCGCATCGTCCGCCAAAGCGAAGAAGAACCAGACTGGAGGCGAGCAAATGCTTGAGGAGTCTGCTAGTGTACCGAATCTTACATCTAAACGTTGGGGACATGAGGCGATGCTACGTTTTTCACTCTATTCCGTAGCGAGAGCGCGTAAACAGGAAGCCGAACGAGTCGAGCAGGACACGGCCACTCTGGAAAAGGCGCTTACGAATTTGATATGATCATAGTGAGGAGGCAGGTCAAACTGTGGACGGTGAATTAAATCCTATCCTATCATAGTGAATAATACCGGCGTTATTCAGTCAGTTAAACCACGAGAAGCAAAGTGAGTCAAATTTCAACGGAACTTCCGTTACGGAAGATTTATCTGTTACCCAAGGAGCACACCATGATCGTTTCCATTTGACACGTTTCCATTGATTTGACACCGTTGCCATCGGAAAGAAGCGAAGCTGATGAAATTAAATCAAATTATATGTAGAGGACGGACGACGGACAAGAAAGAAAAACCGTGCAGAGATTGTACTTTAGCAGCGTTCTAAACAGAAACACCAAAATTGTGGTTTTTATGAAAATACACTTGAAGATATCGCGTGCTACTAACGAAGCAAAAGCTGACTCGATGTATGATAGATATAAGTAATCATTCTCGTTTCTTTTATTTCAATTTACCCGAACCGGTGCCGTAGTTGCGAACACAACTTGCATAGAGAAAAGTATCAGCTATGGTATATATGCCGGATCGGACGTAGACCTAGACGTAGAGTTTGCTTGCTGTATCTGTGATTTTTCCTTAACTTTCACCATAACGACGACCTTGTCTAATGCTTTTTGTCACCTATTCTGAATGTTGACCAAATGGTCCCATCAAGTTCAGCTGAGCTACACTCTTACGGTGATGCTTTTTTTTATAACGAAAAGCTCGCGCAGGACACAGCAGCAAACCAAACCGCGTGTTCTGATAAGCCACTTCTATTGAGTAGCACAGACTGTCTGGAGCCATGGCCCCTGAAATCAAGCCAGAAATCTTCTGATTCTAAAAATACTAGTGCCAACTTGAAAACGAGTGAAAGAATTGCTCTCGGTCTGTCTAAATTTAGATCTAGATGTAATCAAGAGCCAGACGCAACAAGAACATCACGAGTGACTAATTTCTGTCACAGCATCTTCTCAACGGAAGAAATGCAACATCGGTCGTGTATCTTCTAGATCTACTGCTCTTCGGTACTATCGGTCCATCGAAATGCAAGGCAATGATCCTGGTGACCAAGAAGTTCTAGTACCCTACCTCCAACGCACCCCAACATCACCTTTCCACACAACCTGTAGTGGCTATCTTGAGTTGATAGTTGTGCATCTCTTCAGTCAGCGAAAAACAATAGAAATGATTGGAGTTGTTACGAACATTACCACCGTCATACGTGTACGAGACACGACTTGTAAGACTTCCCATATAGGTGTAGCTCTTCTAGTACTATATGATTTTCCCTGCCCTTTTCGTCTTCAGTCGATGCAAGTATTTGTATCTCATAACGTTCATGTTGTCCATATTTCTTTTGCTTAGGCGAGATGATTGACGATTTACCTAAATAGCTACAACGGCAGCCACCTTTCCTCAAACTCAAAGATTTCAGCCTCAACACAAAACTCCTAGCAGACATAGATAAACATAGTCATAGTTTTGGATCCCTTTCCTCAACAGCACGACACTCATAGTTCTTCTTCCAAAAAAATGAGGGCAGGAGGCTCGTCAACGGGTGAGCTCTTCCGCCGAGCAAGCCAACAGGTCGTGACGGATACAGATGGCCCCTCTGACATGGCAAATGATACCGTGAGCGTCCTCCGTTCGCAGTTCGGATTGAGATGTTTTGGTACTTACACATGGCTACAGGTAGTTTTGGATCGATTGTTTTGGTACTTACACATTAAATACATAGCTAAAAAAGGTAGTTTTGGATTGATCATATGTTTCGGTACAACTTGTTCAAAGTTAGTAGAAGTTCGTTGGTTTTGAACAAAATAAACACTCCAGGTCTGGACAAACACATGATGAAGCTAATGGGTCTCTGTTCCCAAGTGGATACCATCGATATGGAACTGCTGGACCAAGCCGCAGACCAACTAAAAACTCCACTGACCTATTCACGGTTAGTTATGGAACAGCAACAGAAACTATAACTACTCCATTAAGTCTATGTCTAACTATCATATTCAACTTGATAGTGATGGACCTCCACCTGGAACAAGAAGTGTACTACAACTACCTAGAAGAGTCTAGAATCTTTGAGCTGTGGCTAGGCTTCTAATGCTACTGATTCGAAAAGAAGAGATGACGAGCAAAACAATATTACTAAAAACATGCAACCGAACAAACAATTACAATTTCTTCTTCTACTCTCTCCCAGCAAATAAACAAATAGAAACTTCTAATCTTCACCTCGGAGAAAAAGCGTGGCAACTAATGGTCTGGAAGCGGCATTTCAAGATAGTGTTGCCTGACCATTTAGAGCTGAAAGACCTGAAAGAAGGGGTCGCGCCGCTGTATCTTCAACAGTTATGTCCTTCTTTTTTTTTTGAATTTTTTTTTTTCAAATTGCATCGGGGAAACAACAAGTAGACGAAGTAGACTCTGTAGTAATTCTTGATGTACTTAATTAAGTATCTTTATAATTTGAATTTTCTTTATGCAAGTCGTCCATCATCCTCTGAGGCGAGCAGGTGCCGGCGGGGCTCGTTGTGCAGGATCCATAACCTAACCTAACCTATACCCTTACCCGATGAACAAAACGCTGCCAACTTGTAGCTGTAGCTGTGCGAGTCAAATTTAAACTACTCGATAGTTCGAGTCAAGAGGATAACTACTCTAGTACAACTTTCGTCCCCCTCCCCCCGTTACAACCGTCACACATGTAATAGATACATGTAAGTAGTTTCTTCTAACGGAAGTCGCAACAGGAAAAGGTTTTGACCCTCTGTTCGGCGAACCAAAAGTGCCGGCGAGAATTCGTGCAAAAGATATAGTTTTGGGTTTCCATGAGAAATTGAAAGCGCCACCTGAAACTGTAGCAGCTGTCAAAGACGGCTCTTCTGGTGGAGGTAAGAATGGTGCAGGAGATGCTAATCATGGTAATGGAGGAGGAAATGGGTCCTCAGCCAGTAGCACAGGAGGTGCTGCTAGTGGGAAAATAAGTACTCATCAAATTTCTTGTTGTTCTTCTGCTGGGACAGTTGGATCACGAAGAAGAATTTTCCAAAGAAGACCAGCGCCGACACCTTATTTCACCATCAAGATGATTTACTTTATCCACTCCATCACTTGGCATCACATCACCTATGAACGAAGATTGTACCAAAAGGATTTCGATAATCACACCACCACAGAATCCGGCGCCGCATCAAAGGGCCCACGCACCGCCTCAAAGGGCAAGACTAAAGCAAAAAGTCAACCCGTCAACGTCAAGACTACTCTTGTCGCAGACTCTAAATCCATAGAAGATGAGACACCGGAAACTACAGAGCCGACTGGTACTGTCGTTTTCGTGTTGTTCTTGCTAGCGTCGATGATGAGAATGAAATAGTGTGCTGACAACTGTATTTTTTTTGGATCGGGCTCCCTCGGCGCGAGGACAAAAGGAAGTAATATTATTAACGTCGTTTTGTTTCTAACTAATCGAAATATTTTACCACTCATTAGGTCCTCCAGTCCCGGCTGACCCCGTTTTCCTAGAGTGGGCACCAGTCACTGAAACGCAAGCAGCGACAGTTTGGAAAATAGGCGAGGATAGTCTGCATCCTTCCGACAAGATCGTCTTTTTCAAGCCTCTAGCCCAACTGGTCTTCCGAACACCCGACGCAAGGGAGATTGTGGATAAGGAGGCCGTTTTCACGCATTTGCTCTTCGTGGAGAGCATTTTGATAGGCTGTCGCATCGAGATTGATCGGGACACAGGTCTCGTTACGCACGATAGTAGAACTGTGAAGACAGAGTTGGACATGGAGGAGGATGGAAAGTTAAGGATTTGGACTACAGTAAGTTAGTATTTCCTATCTTCCTCTGGTCTTTCTTTTTGTTTTTTCTAGTTAGGCCGGCTCCACCACAAATTCAAATAACATCTTTTTAAAGATCTCTTTTGAGAAGGTCATCGACATCGTAGAGGTAGACGCAGAAGGTGAGAAGGTTGTAGCTCATCTTCGCGCTCAGTCTGTCTCATTATGCCCTATTTCTAACCTTATCTTTCTGAATATCAAGGGGATTTCGCTTAGCCTTATCCTTGATGTCCTACCTTACTCTCTAATCTTAGTTTTGGGCAGACGTGAGAGTACGATAAGTCGAGTCCGTCGTACGTTTCATCGGGCGATCCAGCGACAAGATGATCTGAAAGCAAAGGAGGTTGCGATAGGCAAGAAAATCGATGCACGAGGTCTGCAGAAGTGGATAGAAGACTGTTTGAAGGTACTTATATTTGCGTAGAGGTGAGAAGACTGCTTGAAATTGATATAGCTTTTTCTTCTTCGCTATGCATTTTTTTTGCCTTCGTTCTTGCTAATACAAACATTCGCGTAATTATGGTTTATAACCGATAGATATGCGCAAAACGTCAACATTTCAATCTTGCTCTCTAGCCTGTGCCTGACATACTTATTCAGAACGCCATCCCCGTGAACTGGGAAGTCGGACCTGTCACTTTGAGGAGAACAGAGGACGTGAAGCGGCGCATTTTTTCGCAGCATGTCCCAACATGCACTCGAGGGCATACGCTATTCGTCCAAAGATACGATGAAGTGCATTGGAGCGCGACAAAAGAGATGCCCTGTCGTGTATGCAAAAAAATGCAAGCGTACGTTACGGCCTCAGATGATGAAGATGGACAAAGTCTAATTCGAATTTTCTATCAGATCAAGACTGCTCGCTCTTGCATCAATGTATTTACTAGCTCGCTCTCGCATCCATGTACTATAATTCACTTTCATCCCATATCAATTTTCTCTATTTTCGTCTTTCTCTACTTGTTGGAAGGATCCCTGTCCTTGGGAAGAAAATATGATCGCAGTAGATGAACTAGAAGAATGTAAAAAATAGTGAATTCTCTACTTGTTGGGAGGATCCCTGTACTTGGAGAGAAAATATGATCGCAGTAGATGAACTAGAAGAATGTAAAAAATAGTGAATATGAACGAAGTAGAACTAGAAGAATGTAAAAAATAGTGAATTCTCTACTTGTTGGGAGGATCCCTGGTGTACTTGGAGAGAAAATATGATCGCAGTAGAACCAGAATGTAAAAAATAGTGAATTATTGTCGGGCAGCTCTAACAACACCTTGGAAACGTGTAAGAGTCGTTGCGAGTTTTACGGTATCTGCCAGAATTGTGCGGCAGAATGGCAGAAAATCGACATGAGGCTCAAGGAGGAGTATCAAGCGTCGATCAAGCGTGAGAGCGCTTATTCCCGGATTGAGGTCGCTTTTCCTCTTATCGCGCCAGAACTGAACCCGCCAACTTTCATTCGGTTTCAGGTACTTCTGCTAACTGCCTAGTATCAATTTACGACACTAAAGCAGACTAGTTGACGTTAGAAGGGAAATTCTAGGCACATTGACATTCGAAAAACTCAAAATAACCGAGTCACTGACTGAAAAAAGGGAGGTAGCTTAATATCAAGGCTACTCTTCCTTCTCATCAGTATCTCGCTTATTCTGATCAGTTACTTGCTTATTTCAGTTTTTCGAATAGTTGGCCCAATGAATAGCCTTTAGGTTGACCACTAGAGCGATTACTTAAAGAACATGCTCGCTTTCCTCTGCGTCTGCCTAAAAAAACAGATCTGTTTGAATATGCCGTACGCCGATTATTTGAGGAACCCCTATGAAGTGGATACGAGGCTCATCAGCGAGATGGCTTCCTTGCTGGATGAAGGCGGCATTTCCGAACTGGGTGTCGCTTCGCAGCTAGCAGTAGTAGGATGTACCGATCACATGGGTTTACAGTCGAAACTGGATATCATTCTTTATGGCCTGAACTACGTGAACTCGCCCTGCGTATGTCGTGATAGATGTATCACCATTGCTTTTTGAAAAAAAATCTGAATTTTGTTGGTTTTGTTTTCTTAGCGTTTCAGTCAAAACTGTTCTGATTCTGAAAGGTGCGAGAGAGTGGGCCTCTCCCTACCGCCGCCATATTCAATGGCTGCACTAAGCAATAAATCAATGACTAACACATACAGCAACAACACGACCTCCTCTCGCTCTCTTCTTCTTCTAATCTCTAGCACATCCCAGATTCCGAACGCATTTAGCGAGTTCAAGGCATTTCCGACAGCCTTTTGCGAAGGATTCCGTGTCCTTGAATTGGCTACCACAGCACGAAAACCTATTTCACCTAGCTACGGTTCTACTAGATCGAGTGGAAGCGTTGCAGCAGCAGAGGAGCAAGTTATGTTTAGCGAGGTGTGAAAGTTAATACGGTTACAATTTTGATTTTCAATATTCGAAGTTAAGAATGAGATGAACTTTTAGTAGGAAAAAGATTGTCTTTATTGACTTTCGCTTGTTGTAGTTCAAATACAGTGAAAATGAGGAGGATCGTGTCCAGATGGTGTGAAACCAGACACCGAGTAGATACAGAACTGAAACTAGACAAACCTCCATCCTTTCGTTGAAAATGCTTTAAGCACTGGCATCCTTTCCGCAGCTGCCGCAAAGAGTAAGGGCCGTGAGGACATAAAAGGGAAGTATCCGCTTTTCTCTGTGTGCAGGAAACTCCTGCTACAACAAGCCGTCTGTGCGAGAAGAGGGTTTGAGGAATTGTTGTACTCATTAAGGCTTCATCTCCTACTTCATCTCTTCCAGAAGTAGCATCTCAAGGGCAAGGCTGTCCTTACTTTCTCTTCCAGAAGTAGCATCTCAAGGCTGTCCCGTAAGGGAAAGACACATCCGAGATAGAAAACAGATCCGAGATGAAAAATGGCAAGATGGATTGGGGTTCTGAGGTCTTCTAATCTCAAAGCCACCACCAGAAGGAGTAGAGCCTAAGCAAGGCAGTCCTGCAAAAGCCCCAGGATCGAAGGACGGACCGATCTGCAAAGAAGTGCCGCATACTATTCCGCGAGAGCTAGTGCCGCAGAGCCGACTAGTGTCTTGTCCTATGGTTTGCGGTATCGATGTGGTGGATACGCAATTGGCCACGCATAAGCTCAAACTCTGTAAAAAGAGGAATGCAGAGTGCGACTTGGGATGTGGGACGAAACTAGTGTACTAGTACTGTGAGGAGGACTTTCATTGTTAAGCAGAAATACTGCTCAACACGATGTGAGACCGTCACTCCTTATCGATGATCGTCACTACAAGTACTTACAAAAATTTCCTCATAGTCTCTGTCAACCTCCTAAGGTAGTTGTCATCCAAATATGGAGGAAATACAATTTCCACTTCTTCATCGCATCAGGTACGAAGAAATGGAGCAACACATGGGGCAGGAGTGTCCTAATCGTGGTGTGTGCTGCCCAATGTGCAACAACGTGATCCAGGCAAAAATGATGAAGGAACACGCTCAAACCTGTGCCTATCGACCGATGGTATGCGAACGTTGTGGATCCGAATATTAAGGCTACTCCGCTAGAGCATGTCCTTTCTAACAGAAAGAATCCATCGTCCTTGGATCTTCTTTTTCTACTTGAGAAAGTAGAACGAGAACCCTCCTCCAAAGGATACTTTCACTCTCAAAAAGGAAGATGCGAACGCGGTAGCTCTAAGATTACCCATTGTGCCGTCAGGAGGATCACAACCGGGACTGCCCTCAGCGCGAGGTCATCTGTAACTGGTGCGGGGATGTTGTGATTTTATGGCAGGATTCTTGGATCATGAAACTCATGCTAGCAGACCACCAGTGTATTGTTCGCATGGTGCATCGAGTGGCATGGAGTGCATGAACCACTTCCACGCGTGTGAAACGATAGTGAATGATAAAAATAGTCATGTGAATGGTAAAAATAGTCATGCGAATGATAAAAATGATCATGTGAATGATAAAAATAGTCATGTGAAGGATAAAGGTAATCATGTGAAGGATAAAGGTAATCTTTCTAATCCCTGCCTGCAGACTGCTCCGACCGCACAAGCGAAGGGAGTGCAGAATGCGGTACCAACTGGCGATCGAACTGAATGACGCCATCTACAGATGCAACCTAGAGGAAGTGCAACGTTTGCTAGAAGATGGTTGTCTCCCTACGACCAAATTCGACGCAGTGCAAGAGCAAGAGGATCTACTAGAACATGGAAATAACAAACTTCGTACTTCTAGTAGTCCGATTTTGGCAACACGCACGACTGCTCAGTCAACAATAAGTAGAATGTCACCACATGCACGTCACGGATCAACAGATCCAACTCTTCCAGCAGAGGTTGCTCAACATCCACCTAACATGATCAAAGGGCAACAAGATTCAGACTCTGAATTTTGTCGTTCGAACTTTGTGGGATTGTCTCTTCATGCTGCAGCGGTCGTCGACCAACTGGAGATCTGTGAACTTCTCCTAGCACGTGGCGCAGACCTCTATGCCGTCGACAAGTTCGGCCGAACAGCCTTGCATGTAGCTGCAGCATATTTAAGGCTTGTTATTCAAGATTCTTGAAGGAGAAAAGAAGAACCAAGAACAGGATGCTTTTCAAGAGCATTTCCAACTTATCAGGAATGATATAAAACAATTTATTGTGCTGCGACATAAAACACAACTTGCACCACCTCGCGCTAGGCACATTCATTCACTTATTCAAGATGAATTAAGGTAAGCTGCTCTAACATGTGGCGCGTGTGCCGTTTTGGATGCTCTTCTGGTAGCAGACGCAAAGAACGCACTAGAAGACCATCAAATCGCAAACAAGCAGAAAAAGTCTTCGTACAACAAACAAGGAGCTCCTGCTTCTCGTCCAGAACTAGCAGCAGCACGAGATGAATTCGGAAGAACTGCTCTTTTTTTATGAAAGGAGAGAGTGAGTTGTAGTACTACGTGTTGAGAACTGGCACGACTATAATTTATTAACAAACTGATAAACCTCTTTGTGTGCATATTCTTCATACTCATAGTAACTGCATCTCAATTTCTGTCAAAACGACGTAAAATCAAGATCAACTGCCAACTGGATCTGGAGGCTATCCCGCTCCCTTTCTTATTCCCTCAAGCCCTCTGGAGCACTCTCGCTCTCCCGTGTCGCATGATGCCACTAGTACAGGTAGAACTCTAATCCCTCTAGCGGGATTCCATCAGCGCAACGCCTGTGTGGATCTTTTGCATGACGTTTCTCCGTACACCCCACGAACCGAAAAGCAGTGCGATTCGCTGTTGAACATTCTGCGGTACGACGAACGAAAAGAACAGACCTTCGCGTACCTGAAAAAGTTGCCGAATAGGTGAAGGTGATCACCGGTGACTTGGTGAGGTCCTCAAGTTGAGGAGAGGACAATTATTACACCAGAGGAGGACAACTTCACTTGTTGTTTTGAAGAAGGAAGAACGATATGAACATGATAGCAACCTCAACTACTACTTCAGATGAACAAGAGGATCATTCCTAAAGATTACGATTTTTAGACTATGTATTACATCCCATGCAAAATAACTGTATAGAATTTTTGTTTTTTGGGAGACTATCAAAACTCTTCAACTCGTTTAGAACAGTATCTAATGAATAATTTCAGAAACATTTGATTTTGGAGACGCACCACGCAGGTGCATGCGTATAGTATTCGTATTTCTTTTGTATTATAAGTATTGGACTTGTTCTATCTCCATGTTTATCTGTAGTACTTATGAAAAGGACGAAGCCGAAGGATAGATTGATTATAATTTGTACGAGTCGTCTCATCTAAAACTAGTCGATTAGCATAAGAATTATTCAGAAGAAATTATAGTAAGAACAAGTTGTCAGAGCAACGTAGTGATTAATTGCATTCTTGAGAAGTCTTCATGAAAAGAGAAAATTTTTAGTGTACTATCGTAGATCTAGTAGTAGATACATCATCAATGTAAAAACTGTTGTGTTGACAAGGAAAAATGCTGAACTACTTGGTCGAAACAAACATGTTGTAATCGAATGAAGGAGATAAATTGTATATGCATAGCTTGAAGACAGCTTTTTGGAAATTTTGAAAAGTCAAAAATGCAAGATTCATCGAACTACCAAGCAACAAAACGCTACTTCTGAGGTATCTTGCCAGTGGAAGTCGTTCTGGACGACTACTTAGCAAGAAAAACGCGATTGAGATATCTACTTTGAAGTCGTGCTGGACGATCTGTGAAAAGTTTCTTGTCTCTAACCCCAACACTGTGAGCGACTACGGTGAGCGAGAGCGTCTTCGGTTCTTCATGAGTCTGCGAAAAGATTATTGGTGTCAGAAAATCATTTATCGGTCTTCAGCGAAGTGGTCCATCCAGCGAGAAAAGCTTTAATATATGGAGGCTGAGGAAGAAGTTAGAATCTACTAGAGATGATAACAAAAGCTGCTGCCGCACTCACCAAGACGGGATGATGTAGTCACATCTAAGTAACACTACCCTGTTGAACTTTTTCCTCGCCAAAGGGTGCAGCTTCAGCTACAAGCTCAAATATGATAGAATAATTTATAGAACGGATGTAGGATGGACTCGGATGGATCGGATGGACCCCCCAAAGTCTTCCGGTCCTACTTGAAATGGTGGGAGGTCCATCCGATCCATCCCATCCCGGAGCTGACACCCCTATAGATTATTCTATTGTGATTTCGGCGAGAACAGTTCTTTTTATCTACCCTGATATCGTGCTAGATCATAAGATTGTAGTTGAGGATTGATTAAGACGCTGTAGTCCTTCACGGCTGCGTGAATCCGCTCGAGTATGCAGCTAAAACTGTGGGCGGCGGACTGAATCCTAATCCTAATCGATCCCACAGGAGACCGGCGTGGTCTACTCACTCAGTGTAGTTGTCCTTGTCCTGCTCCTGCAATAAGAATAAGAGCTAGACTAGCGGGTAGAACTCGTCTGGGAAATCTTAGGCAGCTCGCCGAATAGATTCAATTCATCAAGATAGAGGACGCAGCCACGTCATGAAAAACGTGCGAATGACGACGTTGAGTCGTCGACCTCCTGGGTTCGGCACAGGGAGGACTAAGCAACGCCGACTCGCAGAGTTGGCAGCTAAATGGGGAAAGGATGACGAAAAGGAAACACGAGCTCCAACTGAACAACAGGAAGATAAACTACAAGGACGGGGAGGAGAGCGTGCTTGTTCTGAGGAAGCAGGAGGATCGCATAGTACTTCTGGGGAAACTGCGACAAGAACAGTAGATGAAGCAATAGAGCAGGTGGAACCACGACTGGGGGAGTATAATTCTGTCCTTAGAACCATAAATAAGTGGAGCCCTGATCATCGTTCTGTTCGACTTAGAACCTCCACGTCAAGAACAAGCACCAAGAGAAAGGGATACAACAAGGAGCCAAGAAAAGCACAACAAAGCGGAGAGGGTATCTTTCTGTTCTACCCAGGAGATTCTTCGGATTCGTCAGGTGAAGAAGCAGAGTTGCGACATCTCGAGAGCAGGGTATTAGAGCTGCAAAGACATAATCGATGGCGCAAAGTAGTGGCAGAACAACCGAGGAGTAGCTTTAGGATGAATCGTTTTGGAATCATTCCGTTTCCGTTCCTAATCAGGAATGATGAAGCCTCCTTGACTACTTTCTTGTGTCTAGGTAGAAGTGCTTCAACCTTTACCCTGACCCTTTGTTCGTCATGGAATCAGTAGTAGTAACTACTCTCCACCCTATAAGAGAAACAGAAAACTCGACTCACCTAGCCGGCCCGATCTTATCCTCTTTCATCTTGTCGTCTCTCCGTAGTTCAGACCCTCGATTACGGGAACCACCTGATGTGGAAGCAAGAAATATGATAGAGCGGGATCGATATAGCCTGCGTCTCACTGCAGGACGAAACTCAGCTGATAAGGCCTTGCGCGACCCAACAAATCGGGGTGCAGACAAGTATGACCTTCGAGGAGCTGCTTTTTCTACTTTACGCCAAAACTGTCGTGTAACCACTAGTAGTTTCCACCATTTATGATACGCGAATCCACGATGCAATAATTTATAGAACGGATGTAGGACGGACTTGGATGGATCGGATGGACCCCCCCGAAATCTTCCGATGGGTCCTACTTGAAATGATGGGAAGTCCATCCGATCCATCCGATCCGTCCCATCCTGGACCTGGCACGCCTATAAATTATTCGAATATGATACGACTGCCATACTATTATCGCATTATACGGTCGTGGTCACTAATAGCATTACAACTAGAGACGGCACTACTAGACATGGAGATGTGCCTGTAGTTCTCCTTTTTGTGCACCTCCTACCAACTGCGCTAATGATGAGCAGCACTTCAGCCAAGCCTCCGAGAATGGCAACATCAAGCGCGGCTCAGAGAGCTACTTCAAGTGCGGCAACGCCTAGCACTAGTTCACGTGCTCCGAACTACTTGAGACAGGCGAAATTGGAGGACAGCAGAGGTTCCGTCCAACCAGAGAAACGAACACTTGGCTCCTCGAAGCTTAGGCTTATGGTGAGGCTTGTTGATGGATTTTATTTACTTTCTTGAATCATGAACATGATGCTTATATTATCTTCTATTCGTGGTCGTGGTCTTCTCCTGAGAAGAAGACCGGTTTTGAACGTTGATATCTCCACAAAGGTTGATCACGACGAGTCTATTTTTGCTGCAACCAATAAAAATACCATTATCTTCCCCCCACACCCAGCACGCCTACACAGTTAGTAGCTCCATCATTGCCAACACCATACTCCTCTTTCATGCAACAACCATCAGTCGCTGCCACACCGACAAAGATGTTGAAGGAGACAATTGTCTTAGAAGATTCACCTACCAAGTTGTCTACTGAGGCACGAATGCGGATAGAGGATTCGCCAGGTGTTAGGGAAGAAGTTCGCTATGTATCCTCTCCAGGGCGTGCCAAAGCAACGCACTCTTCCGATGCGAAAAGGACTTAAGGCTTGATGCAGTCCTGACTCATCTTATTTATCTCCAAGTATGTAAGCATCTTGCAGGGGTCTTGGTCGTGTGAGGGGGACTGATTCATGACTACCAAGGTTTCCGCTTCGTGAGGAGAACTGGCTACTACCAAGATGCTTGTCAAGATGGGTTAGGGTGGGGTCTAAAGAACGCAGCACGCACGACAAATCTTGATGCAGGGAAGAGAAGAGGAACTAGAGGATGACAGTGGCTCAATACTAGAGGAACACTCATCGGAAGATGAAGATGATGAGGGCGATGATCACCCAGCACATTATGGCAAAAAAGGTAACCAGCATCAACGTAATCATGCTGACAGAAGACTAGAAGTACCGGGTCAACATAAAAACAAACAAAGAAGCACGAGAAGTGGTAGACACGAACAAGAACAGCAAGGGGAGGAAGAACTACGCTATCGAGGTGCTCAACAACAAACGAAACCGGGGTCCACCACTTCCACGACTTCATCAAATATCGGGCGTGGTGATAGAAGTGCTAGTGCTGTGGCAGCAGCGGACAGGAAAAGTCCATCATCCAGAGCCAGAAGTAGATTTGTTGTTGTAGACGAAGATGAGCAGGGACAAAATAAACAATTATTAATACAGGAAGAAGAACCTCGACGAGACCGAGGGCGCCGACGCCAGCCATATTTGGATGAAGGAGATGAAGTAGATGTAGAAGAAGAGCCTCAGCATGATAGCTCCTCACGAGGCTCAGGTGGATTAGAAGGCTCAACAACTACATCAAGACGGGGTGCGTATCCGCATTCGTTCGACGAAAATGGTGGAAGATCAGGAGAAAAAGGTGCGGCCACAACATCAAGCTGGAATCACCACAACCGAGACTATGACATCAATGACGACGACGATGATATTAAACGTGACCCGGTGAAGGATTGGGAGTGTGGGTCTCAATTTTCCGAGGATTATTTGCCTGAGCACACCCTAGAGGATAAGCCTGAAGTGGCCAAAGAGGAGTTGCACACTGTGACGCCAATGCGGGAAGTTTGGTCGTGTGCGGAAGCCAAGGTGGTGGATGACAGGATCAAAGCCATACGATTTCGCAAACACCAAAAGCAAAAAAGCCGAGAAGCACAGGGGGAGACGACACAAGGTATTTTGTGACTTTGGTTTTTTCATTTGATGCACAGCTGGAGCACGATAGACAGTGGCATACTAGCTTTTCAACATCTTGTCTAGTCACATGTCCTGTGAATGTGATACGTTCTTCAGAAGTGTGTGATCTTCAATATACTAACTTGTGTCCAGCAATTCGAAGCTTGATCTTGATCAACTATGCCATCCTCGTAAATCATCATGATTATTCGAATACAAACAATAGCAAATCACACTGCTGCTCAAACAACAGCTCAATGGCTCGCCCATCTGGAGCGCGATAGGGAGTGGCACAATGACGGTCCGCGATCTCCAACGCGTGAGGCTGTTCGCCGCGACGTCTCTTTGAGGCAGACGATGCAGCAAGACTATTCCCAAAAACAGGCGATTGATAGAGCGGAACAAGAAAAACGCGAATATTAAGGCTGTCGCTATAATTCATCATCTTGTTATTGATTCTATGTGCTATAATAAATAGCCAAGATCCCTCGTCAAGTATCAATGACTATGTACCAAAGGGAAGATCCCTCGAGTAGTAGCACATGTAGGTGCATATGTTGTTAACTCTATGGAGAGGGTCTTGTCCTGCCCGAGGGATGCTGGAGGCGATCCCCACAGCAGGGATCATGAACTACCTTAGCGCTAAGAGTACCTTCTAGCAAAAAGAGAACGCGAAGAGACACAGAGAAAACGAGGCTTTCTAGTAGAGCAAAGGTTAGACGAAGTTGAATCCGAGAAACGAGGAGGAGCTAGGAATCTTCTCTATGATATCAGAGCTCGCGATGAGCTACGACGTGAAAAGGAGGTGGCGAAAGAACGGATGGATGCTTTGCTTATGTTGGCTCTTGGTCTTGCAGATAGCGTTGGTCTAGTTAACACACCAGTTACTTTGAAAACTCAAAATAACCGAGTAAGTGACTGAAATATGGGAGGTAGCTTAACATCAAGGCTACTCTTCCTTCTCATCAGTATCTCGGTTATTCTCGCCTGTTGGTCTTGCAGATACTAGCGTCGTGTAGATTTTGTATTTGTTCGGATCGGTTCTTGTTCGTGAGTGTCTTCCCTGCCGTTGTACTAGTTAACACATGAGTTACTTTGACGTAGTTGCCCTTATAGTTGACTCACTGATCGAAGATCTTGTCTAATGTCGAGTTTCGCTCCGCAGAAGAGCGTGAGCGATTCAAAAGACTGCAACAAAAAGATCGAGAACGCATTTTGCGGGAAGCTGAAGAAGTACCATCAGACGATGGACGAAGGGGTGGCTCTTCTTCCTCTGACGGTGACCCTCGACGTATTAAGGCTTCTACAGTCCGCCCGTCTTCCAGGTCCAGCAAGATCTTTGTTCTTGCTTGGTCTTGTTTATTTTAGAGGAATACAACCTGCTGGGACTGGAGCAGGACTTATTGTAGTTCTAATCGCAACAAGCGAAAACGCGGGAGAGGAGGAGGAGGAGGAGGCTCCGCGTTTTCAGGTGAAAGAGCTGAGAAAAAGAAAACCGGTAGATGGAAACACTTTACCAAACGTGAAGAGGAACAGGCTTACGAGAGAGAATATGACGACGACCTGGATGGGGTGGAGGCAAAGTTCCTTATGCTCGGAAACCATCAAATGAGTCAGTCATGGTAGTCGTGTCACTCAGTGGATCTTCTGTATCTATTAGTAGTGATCAGGAATTATAGTTCTTTACTTGTAGTTGTACTTCTAGATAGCTCGTTACTTGTACTAGTTGTATCTGCTCGCCAATAGAGGAGAAGGAATAGTTCTTTACTTGTACTAGCTCGCCATCTAATCTGGAGAAGCAATATTACGGTCCAAACTGGGACAGAAACGTTAGTCGCTCTACAGCGAGATGGATGAAAGCAGGTATGGATGGACCGGACTCGAGCGATCAAGATGAACCTTATGAAACTTTCATGGAGACTTTCGCCTTGTTGTTGAGCTTAATGAATAAGCAACTTCGCTAGGTATCCGAACGCGAGGTAGTTTCCGATATCAAATCGAACCAACGACCCCGCAGTTTCTGTTTTCCAAATCTTCAAACCTACTTTATAAGCAACCACACTGTCGTGACAGGCCTTTTTTCTTCCGTCCTCTCTGTACTGGGCTCTTTTCATTTCTCCTCGTACTACAAATCGACTGGTGACCGGGAGAGGACGTCGCTGAAAACTTACCAATCTGCGGCACGCACACAAGGCTATCTCGTTCAGGTAGGGGGAAGGGCAAAGGAACGAAGAAGACGCGACGAGGGGAGCGGGATGGAGGATGAAGATTTTTAAGAAGGGTAGACCCATTGGGATTTCAACTAGAGTGGATGTCTCTGAAAAGAAAGTACTTACTGGTGACAGTGAGTATGCTTCAGAGCAGTAGTACGTAGGTGCACATGTTGATCTAGGAAAAGACTCACAGAAGCAATTAGAGATCCTACAAGAATAGAAATTTTTTGTTCAAAATCAAATAATATAGCCATTATGAACCGGATAGACTAGAGGACATTTTCTTTACCTCATCTAATCCACTATCAAGCAGAAAATGATGGACGAAGATACGCTAGACGTGTCGGATCGTGAGCGGTCACGCGTGCGTGCGGAACGCAGACGAGATGGCAGCTCCGTTTTTCTCTACGATAGTGGTATCGAGAGGTCCTATGAACAAGAAGAGAATCCTCGAAGGACGAAACATGGGAAAACGAGCTACAACCACGCTCGTGGGCAGAGTGTAGAAGAGCGATCACCGTTGAGAGGTACGGGAGTGAGTAGCCATGGAAGGCAAAGGACTACAGGTGGAAGTAGTCACAACCATAACATTGGAGGTAGAGCGATGAATTACCAAGAGCACGAGCGGGACAATACAGCAAGGCCAAGGAGAATGGAGCAGCAGCCTAGCAGAATAAGTTCACGTGTGCAAGATCAACAATATCGAAGTACTAGTAGAGCTCCAGAACAGCACCAAGTTAGAACTACTAGGGGCGCGGGCGCACGTCTGAGGGATCCTTTGTCGTCGTCATCTCGGCAGGCACCAACAGATCATCGTTCTCTACGAGATCCTTTGTCGTCGTCAACTAGGCACGCACCAACAGATCACCGTCCTCTACGAGATCCTTTGTCGTCGTCAACTAGGCACGCACCAAGTAAACAACAAGCACAACAAAGTCGAGATGATGAACGCATGCGTGGAACTGGTGTCGGTGGTCGGATGGCAAGGAGCTCCTCCACATCTAACTTTCCGAAACCAACTACTACCGGACGACCTTCAGTAGGTCGTACTCCTCAGTCCTTACGTGGTTCGTCTCCTTGTGTTCCGCTTCCGGCAAAGAAGGTCATGCCATGCGAAAGCACTTTAGGTGCAGCAGCGAAGCGGGCAGAGGTAGTATGATAGATAATTCCTCGTCACGGTAATAGGTATTTGGATCTACTTGTGGCGGGTCTACTTGTACTCATCTACGTGAAGAGGATGAATACTTAAATGTATAGAACAGGAACGGACTTGGATGGATGGATCTTCGGCTCGACTTAAAATGATGGGAAGTCCATCCGATCCATCCCCTCCTGAATCCGACAACCCTATAAGCTGTCCCATAAAAAGCAAAAGCGTGAGCTAGTCGATCGTCATAGAAGAACTCGGACTCATCCACGTCCACGATTGCAATTCGTAAAGCTAGAGCTACTGGATTGGCAGAGAGGAGCGCTGGAGGATGGAGAGGCGGCCCTGCTATTAGTAGTACTGCCTAAACCAGGGAAGGACCACGGCAGCGCGATAGGGTGGAGGCCAATTGCCTCACTGAATTTCGCCAAGGTTTTCGCGTCAGGTCGGTGCTCTTTATTAAGCCGGGGGATCGTAGGCCCGGCCGGCGCAGTCCTCTCAGAGGCGCAGGCAGGGCATAGACCGCACAGAAGGGCAGTAGGCAACCCGCTGGCCCTCAAGCTAGCGCCTCAAGCACGTGCAGCCGCGGGCAGGGCGGCGCTGGTGTGTTTTGTAGACTTAACGCAGGCGCCTCCTGACACTATCGCCACAAAATAAACTGGTCGCTAGGCCCTTTGAGGCGTACGGGATAGATACCGCAGAAGCCACGGGAAAGCCTCGGGGCTTTGTACAAGGGTCAGCGCTTTGCAGTGCGGAGGGAGACAGCTGTCAGCGAATCAAGGGAGACAACAACAGGGACGAAGCAGGGGCGCCCCCTGTCGCCGCTCATTTTCAGCATTTGCACCGGCTACGCACTAGACTGAGCGACGGGCCTGGGGGAGGGCGCCAAGCTACACAGGATCAGTCTAGTAGGCAGGGACGAGGATACCGGGGACGGGGGGGCCAACTTTGGCCATCTGCTATATGCGGACGGCGTAGCCCATCTGGCAGAGGAAGCTGAGCGCCTAAGGCTAAGAGGAGCAACACGGAGAGAGGCTAGCAAATAGAGCGCCGGGCTTCTGCTCGGCGGTAAGCCTAGCAAAGTGAAGCGACGCGCATAGAGTTCGACAGCCAAGAGGGGGCCGAAGCTGGAGGGCGTGCGCCAGAGCAGGGCGCGGGTGGTAGCTAGGACGGGCGCGGGAGTTCACACACCTCGGCAGCATACTGGTACAGAACGGCGACGGCGAGCCAGGCGCGCCGCATGCATGCATAGGATAGACCGAGCCAAGGCAGAGGAAAACTGGGGAGCTCTCAGGAGTCTCTGTGCACGCAGGACCCGGAGGGAGTTACTTAGGGCCGCGCGTGCTGCGGCCTTTTGCATTGCCAGCACTGTTCTGGGGGTGGTCGGAGACTTGGGCCCCCACCGTATTAGGAGCCAGAGCTGTGCTCGACATGTGGCGGGGCAAAGGGCTAGGGGCTTGCTGCATAGGAGCCACGAAGGCGGGCCGCCCCGCATCAAGACGGAACGCTGGCCTTCTTACTAGGGAAGAAAAAGCAAGCGCAAAAGCCCACCGCTCAGCCCCAGGATAGATCAGAACAAAGAACGAAGACGTCCCAGAAATCAATGTGGGGCGTCTGTCAGTCTAGTGCTGTGCCTTTTCCTCGGGGAGGGTGGGCGAAGGTAGCCCGAGCAGCAGAAGGAAACCACAGCAACAACAGGAGAAGAGGAGGACCGCGCGCAACCTTTGGCAGGCACGCAGCTGACTCCTGCCCTCAAGGCAGGAGAGGCACAACTGGAGCGGGCAAGAGATGGAAGCCTCTGGCCGCAGGTAGCTGAGAAAGCCAAAAGCTTGCTCGCCATTCTACATCAGCCCAGGGCCAGGACCAACAGGAACAGCCGAAAGAGCGCTGACAATTAGGCAACAAGCTAGACTAACGGGTAGAAGTTGCCCGTAAATTTTAGGCGGATCGCCATGATTGCTGAACGCATGGGTTCGCATCGTCAAAACGTGCGCTACGCCCGCTCCTACACATAATCACATCCAAATATATTACAGAGTCGGCGTCTCGCGTACTTGGCTGAGCGGGAGGAGAGGGAGCTTGCGGAGTGCACTTTCAAACCTCAAACGCGGACCACAACGGCTGCGAACGCTGGCGGCGGTGCAGTTTTGTCTTCCTCGTCCGCCAATACAATGACGCGCGCCCCTTCTGTGCAAGCCATTGCAGTACCTGGCTTTGAAAAGAGTGCTATCCGTATGCGATTAGCCCGTGTTCAACAGAAGGAGAGGGATCGGAATAAAGCCAAGCAAGTGGAGAGAACGTTTTGGGGTGAAAGGGAGCCTCCGAAAAAGGATCGTCGTGATGTCATACGTGACATCGTAAGGCATGCGTTGCTGCAAGAAAAAGAGGTGCAAGAACAAGAGACGAAGTCAGAGAGCAAACAAAGCCGTTCCACGACGACGCATCAGGGTGCTGGTGCTGGTCTGGATTCAGTTTCAGAAAACAAGGTAGATACTACTAGTAGGAGACCTTCACACGCCAGCTGCCGAGCTCCAGAAGTAGATAGTCGAAGACCTTCACACGCGAGTCGTGCACCAGATGTAGAAGACGACGACTCAGATAGAAGAAGTCGTCAAGAAAATACAGGCTCGTCTGCTGTAGACAAGCAGATGAATCTCGTCCAAAGACACGTTGAGCCATCTTCCCCACGACACCATCTTCAACAACAACCTAGTGGAAGTCGAAGTGGAAGAAGATTCACGAGGAATAGTAGACATTCCTCAACGAAGGAGGCAGATGAATTGTTACGAAGTCGTCGGCAATTAGAACAACCAAGTAAGAGTTCTCGAAGGTCTAAAGAGGCGAAACAAGAACGTTCAAGACGCGACGAAGGGGTCGAGTCTCATCGTAAACCCAACAAAGCGAAGGAGCCACGAAAACGACAGGGAGATGACGACGATACTTCCGCTGTGGTTATGGATTCTAGGTTTTTACATGCATTAAGTACTTACTGAGTTGTACGAAGATGAAATGATAAAACACACTTCTGACTCAGTGGAAGATTAACAAGATAGCAATGACCTCCTCTAATAATGCTGACGACGACATACAAAGCTCGCAGTCTTCTCCCTCTTCTCACCACGGGAATCGCCATACAAGCCATGATATTGGCAAAAAGCAAGAACAATTGGCGAAGCAAGCTCTGACGAAGGTCGCAATAGATCAAGCGGCTGAAAGAATTCTCAAAGAAGTTGATGTGGTAAAAAAGAGCAAGAAACAACTTCTAAAGGAACAAGAGTTTGCCTATGCTTCTGCTGCAAAAGCACAACAACAAAAAGAACAAAGAGGTAAAAACAAGCGAGACCAGCTTTTTTGCCATGGTGCTGATGATGAAGACATCACGTTTGAGGAGGATGGAATTTTTTTAGACCTTATGGACAGCTCCTTTTATCCATGCCGTTTTTTTATCTTTATTTTTAACATCTCGGTAGGGGTTGTACAAACGAACCTTTCGGCTCTGTATGACATACTCACAAGAAGGGAAGTATGTAAGGCTATCGAGAGAGATTTATGATATGATTATATAGAGCCTTCGGGATCATCGCATGGAAGGAGATTCCAGAAGGGGGACAATTATATAGAGCCTTCGGGATCATCGCATGGAAGGAGATTCCAGAAAAGGGGCTTAAGTCCACTCTAATCATGGTGACAACGACTTCAGCGAGGGAGACCTTTCACCACCAGGCGATGAGATAGCTCTTGAGGAACAGGATACCAGAAGAGGGATCTGGCCAGCTAGGAAGCCAGGCATTATTGCTCCGCAGGTATCAGCAGCGCGTTTGCGACAACAGTTTGTCGAAACAATTACACATCAAAGATGATGATGAACATATTTATATTTAAGGAAGATGATGAACATATTTATAACTTTAGAAGTTTTTACTGAAGATCGAAGATAAGGTTGAATGGTTCCGGTATTTGGTAACCTGAATTTCATCATAAGGGAAAACAAGAAGAGAACCCTTAGGATCAAACTCAGGCTTCCAAATACCAGAGCCATACATTTAGTTTTTACTGAAGATCGAAGATAAGGTAGTTTCAAGTTGCAGTTTTTTGTGTAAAGATGTGAGTGAACAGTACTAAAGTTTAGAAGGATGTCGGTACTTACAGATGATCGATAGTGTAAGTACAAAGTGAGAGGATGTAGATCATCATCATTTTTACAGCTACCAGTGTACGTAAACGTAGGAGCAAAAATAGAAAACATTGACCTTTTTTAGAATGCAAGAGGAAGGCAGTTACGGTAAAAACAGGCAAAAAAAGGGGCTCAACCAACCAAGACACTGTAAAATATATCACAGGCATTTTCGAACTTTCTTTCTTTCAACAAACAACAACTGTACGACAAACGAAGGTAGTACGAAATAGGCTTATTGAGTAGGTTTTTTCTGTCAAGGTTAACGACAAACGATGGTAGTACGTAGTAGGCTGCTTAAGTAGTGGGCTTTTTTTTCAAGGTTCTCTTGCTTGCGAATGGCGTGATCTCCTTCTTACAAACGATTAGACTCAACGTTTCACGACTTTCAAAGCTCAAACTTCGTTCTCGAGGTCTTTCAGTTGATAAAGTCGCTGGTGACTAGTTGTAGCGTATAGCGTCTTCACACTCTCGAGCTGTTTAAATTTTTAAAGCCACGATAGCACGATAGTCATCCCGTAGCTGTTTGTGGTAAAGAGGTAAAAGCTTCTGCTTAATTTGAACGCGTAGTTACTTTCTCAACATTTCCGATGCGTTTCGCTAATCTTGTGTGAAGTAACCTCAGTACGACGCCCTTTCCCTGAAGGCAGTCTGCACGACTTTGTACGAGATTTGTTGTATTGCATTGTAGTCACGGTATGCAACAGGTAAAAAGGAAAACCACCACACGTTTCAGACGCAGTTTTTTCTTTCTTTCGACAAACAACAACTTCAGCGGCAGTGCTAGCACAACAAAGAGAGCGACACGTGAAGTTAGTAAGTGCGCAGTACTAGGCTCTGCGCGTTTTTTTAACGATGTCGAACGCAAAGCCTGGCCTTCCAAGAACTACACGAACAGGTCATCTAGTACTTGTTTGGTTTTTTTCGTTGTCTTTCTGTCTACAAAACATCTAACTAGCTCTTCACACTTAGACTTAGGCTTTACACCGGAAAAAACTCGTCGACCTCTCAAGGTTGCTTGTGTTCCCGCTTGTTGAGTTGTTAGTGCCAGATTCTTGTTAACGTTTCGCGCTTATTACTTTCCTCACTTCCTATGGCTTCCTCACTTCGTCGCTTATTGCATTGTTTCTAGAGATTTATTGCATTGTTTCTAGACCACGAGATAGCGTTGAGACTAGGCGAAGGTTGATAGCAAAAGAACAATCTTACGCGTGGCGGTAGCGTACAACAAGGTATTAATTAGTTGTCTAGCGCAATATTAGGTACAGAGCCAATGATCATTCCAATGCCAAGATTCGTTGAACGAGCAAGTCTTTTTTGAAGCGATGCGATGCAGTGAGGAACGAAGAATTAACATTAAGAAAAGGTCTTCATTAAGCCAAATCTGTCTTTTGATGGTACCAGAGTGACCATGGCAAGAGTCCGCATGGTAATGCACATGCTTCTCCATCCGGACAGAGAGGGGGAAGATTCTTAAGTTGTCTCGACGAGGAACGGGAAAAACAGAGATGAATCTTGATCGGGGCAGACTGCTAGTCGCCGTTTCGAAATCAGCAGAACGATAGTAAGTAGTATCTTCGTCACTGTCGTGACTTTGATCAGCATTAGAGTCTAAACAATAACAACTGCAAATGATGTTCCGCTGATGCGGTCAATGAGGATCCTGATGGCAGGAAAGATGACACCAGTTCGCCTTTTTCATAGGCAGACCTTGATATGGCTAGTTCTTCGTCATCGTGGGGGTTGCTTCTTCCTATGAATATGGAATCGCGACAAGAACTGAGCGACGTGGTTGCTCTAACTCGATACGACAATGGTCGTTTGGTGAAAAGCAACTACGAGCGTTTGATCCAGCTGTGCTGATGCCGGTAAGCGAAAGAAACGCAAAAATCTTCCGGTGCTATCGACTTGATAAAAACGTGAATCCTGCGTCATCAACATGTTCCTCTTCAAGAAAAAGCCTCCGGATGCCAAGGCTAAGGCGAAAGCTCCTAGCCCTAAATCGAGATCCGGCAGTCCACCTCCAAAAGGTGCTGCAGGTGGGACAAAGAAAGCAGCTGGAAAAAAAGGCGGTGGAGCAGCTGCTAAACCTTCTGGCGGTGGTAAAAAACCTTCTGGCGCTGGTAAAAAAGGTGCAGCTGCTAGTCCAGGAGGTGTACAGCCGGTTCTTTCTGGTACTAACGCGTATTTGGCAGGAGAGGCCATTCCCTATGATGCCGGAGACTATGTTGGGGTATCTGGAGTCCAATCGATGGCGCCTCTCGGAACGAGCAATTTTGCAACCGGTTCAAGAGCAGGGGCTAGTAAACGCGCAACAGATATTAAGGCTACTACTACTTCTTCTCCTTCTAGGGGTGATTCATCTGTGATGGCGTCTCAGCCGAGGGGTAACTGGGTAGAGCACCATTCCGCTTTACTGGAACAAGGATCAGGATGCAGCTGCCGGAGGATGATTTTGAGGAAAAAGTAACACCAGACAAATTATCACCAGGCGAACTGCCTCATCTAAACAGGACAGTCCACGACCAAATCAGAGTCGGTTCGTGTCCAATGGTGGAGCTGTCAAAAGCAAGTCTGCGGAGGCTGCTCTCAACGCTTTGGCCAGTAAAGTGTCAGAAAGCAAGAGAGCAGGAATGCAATCTGTATGGAAAGGGGAGATGGAAGTAGTGAGTAGGATCTTGTTTTTCTAAACTATTGAAATAGAAAAATTAGAATAGGAACTTCTAGCGCTAGCATATGTTGATAGACATAAATCTTTAACTTATCATGTTGTACAAGTACAACTTACTAGTTTCGAGTTACTGGTGGAGGTGTTTTCACATTGCGCATAGATGAGAAAGACTATAACACTTGCTCCATCGGCATATTCCGTTGAGAGATAAAACGGAAATCATGATATGAAGAATATTTAATAGGTATTGGTATCTATAAATATTACATATCGTCGATTAGATTACAACAAGAACTTTAAACCCCGCCGCTCCCGGCGCTTCCAGGTCAGCCCAGCAACAAGACCCGCAACTGCAACAGCAGTTGTTGCAGCATCTCGTCAACGATGGCCCTGATGCCTTCTTTGCTACAGTAACGGAACAAAGAGAACTCCTCCTAGCTGCAGTCACATGTGCGGAGATATTATGGATTATCTCGGTTTCCGTAATTCACATGATTCTTGGTCACACTTGCTTGAAAGATGAAAGACGAGGAAAAGGTTGAGTAGCATGGTCACATTTGATAGAGGAAAGTGCTGGAAAAACTTGAGTAGTGTCTTTGATAGTTATGCACTGGAGGCGGGGAAAACACTCTCCGAGACGGTTCACTTGCAGACTGAATATTTTTGCTCAGATCTAAAGATCATGACGATTATCCGGCAAGAAGCTCCAGCCATGGCAGTCGAGTTTCAAAACATGGGCATTTTGGGCCCTAACTTCGAGGTACTTGTGGGCGGAGAATTAAGGGTTTGCTTTAGGTGTTCCTGTTGCCGTTTGTCAGAGGGAAAACAGTTTGGTCTCTCCGAAGGGCGAATCGCATAGCAAACGCGGAACAGAACACAGAAGCGCCAACAGACTACCTCTAAGAGGACCGGGTGCTATGGGAGCATCTGTACGATCGGGAGTATCTACAGCAAAAAAAAACCGCGCTGCCTCCAACGACCTGGCAGATATGCGAACATTTCTTGCTGCTTTACAGGAAAAAAATCGACCTAGCAACGATACCAATCAGAGGATGGCAGAGACGATCGTCAACGACAGGAGAATTTTACTGGAAGACACAGCGTTTGGCGGACAAGCGCCGACCAAGTTTGTCTTAGATCACGCGAAGAAGCTGGAGCAAGAAAAAGCCGATGCGGGGTTGAATTTGGTTAAGGCCTGGTAACGTTGTTGCTGATGCATGCTGACGAATTGATGTTACTGAACAGGTATACTATAGACAGCATCTACTCCTTCATCTTCACCTTCTCGTGGTGGAGGTCTTCATCGCAAAAGGACGAATCTAAGGAGCCGTCCTCCACTCGCTCTACTCCTACATCAGAAGGTCAGCATGACTTGAAAATCCACCAAATTTATCTTCCTTGTTCCGTCCAGTTCTACACCACCATTAGTAGTTTACAGAGCGCCTCCTTTTTCTCTCGGTCTCTCTTTCTAACCCTTGTCTCAAAAAAGTGATAGGAACTCCACCATCCTCCGAAGAGGATCCCGACCAATCGAAAGAGGCGAAGGAACGGCGCAAGCTCGAAAGGCAAGCGGCCAAGCGAAGGTTTTTGCGCCAAGAAGCGGTTAATTAAGATTTGCATGCTTGATCTTGACTAAGGAAATCCGTCACCAACCAACAACGTTGCTACCTCCAAAAGTACTTCACTTGACGATAACAAACGCTTTGAAATCCACCCCTGATGAAGGCAGAGTTTCAACGCCGCAATAAGTTTCTAGAACTGGTGCCTCTAATCTAATGTAGATGAGTATGGAGTTTCTAGTACTGGTGCCTCTAATCTAATGTAGATGAGTTTCATCTAATACATAAGTCACGGTCACCAGATCTAGTCACTGCATCTAATCTCCAGAATTTCGACGTGGCAATGACGCAATGTACGATCTGTATGGGAATATCGGCAATGAGGAGAAAGAAATCTATCAGGAGTTGGGTGACGATGGAGTGATGGTTCAAAAAGAACGGCAGAAGGACAGAGGTATGATTTAGATTTAGATGAAGTGCGTGCTAGTGACTGACTAGGTTGACTTTTAATTACCAGCCGCGGCGCGATGATGGCTTCAGATTCAGTGCGCTTCTCTTCTTCTGTATCATTCTACGACGCATTCACATTCAATAAACCAACACCAGATATCTACTTCATAAAACCACGCGTCCACAATTACGTACCCATTTTACAACTTCAGACGCCGAAGACGTAGCGCGCGAAAAAGCTTTGGTCGCGGCCGCGGAGAAACAGCGCAAATTCGAAGAGAAGATCAAGGAAGCGGTGTTGCATCCCGAACGGTTCGCTGACAAGGCACACGAAAGAGAGTTGCTAAACGACCCGAAGTTGATTCAAACGATTGACGAGTATCGTAGGAAGCTCCATTTTTAAGGGAATCCAAGCGTGATGCTTTAGCTTGTTCGTCAATCAAAAGTGAAGATCATGAGCTTCGCCTCCTTTTCAAGGTAGAAGTGCCCAAGAACAGGGATACGCATGTTTCTCTCTCGTCAAGGGACAAGATGCGGAAGATGCGCATGCGCACACGGTAAATCTTCTAACATTTTGCGCACATAGAGGAGAAGAAGAAGGAACGGCGGTCGCAGTTGCGTAGGAAGTCGTCGCATGAAGGCGTGATCACTGCTGCTGTTGACGAAAAACACTACCGGGAAAAAGAGAAACGAGCAATGAAGTTGCAAGGAGTGAAGATATGAGCAGTAGTACTCGAAACTACTAACACTCAAGCGCCGCCAGCATTTTTATAAGCATACATAGAACTAGAAGTTAGCGTTCTTCGGGTGTACTATCTGCTTTTTAGTGTTATGAGTTAGGAATCTAAGACAGATTGACTAATCCACTATCGTCTAGGAAAACTGCACATACATAGATTGAAGTTTCCTGCTAGTACCTAGATACCAACGTTTACTCTCTCAGCTATGTCTTGTTGTACAATAGCTACTTGTTTTATTCTAAGCTTCTACATGATGAGAATCCAACCTTCCTGTCAGCCACATCTCCTTATACATGGGCACATAGAATACGCCCTCTGGGAGGAGTGGCCCGAGTCGTAATTCTAATCTCCAAAGGCGACGAAGCAGCGAAGGGAATGATAGACACTTTTTTTCAGCCGTCTGGTAAAGCCCTGAGCGAAAGGCGAAAGTTATTCCAGAAGCTAAATCCAGAATTCGAACAGGTTCGAAATAATCTCCAGAGGAGGCTTCAGCATCTTATGGATAGATCTACGCACGACCCACAAAAAAAGATAAAAAGAATGTGGACGGCGCTGCAGTTGAGTCGGTGCACTGCACAAGATACAAAAAATATTTTCATTGTTTTATAGAAGAATCGTTTCTTGAATTCTAGTAATGCCAATGAGATTATTTTTAACATAAACATTTTCGTTTGATTATGATTTCTTCTTGTTGTCGTGGTAATTTGTGCTTGTTTTACAACAACTTCTCCATGATCTGGTACTACTTCATCTGCTTTCTTCTACTTGTTCTTTCGTCGGAAGCAGTACAACTAGCAACGATGATTCCCTTTCACATTCATAGTCCAACGCGAGGAAAATATGCAGACAGTCCCTATTCCGACACCTACGCAGCTACAAGCGTGGCCATGGGAACATTATGAGCCGAGATGGGAGATGCTACGAATGCGACTGAAAAGAAGAGGCGTGGATCTCTATCGCTACGGGTCTGTCCGACAATGGAAGAGACAATGGGCACAGAGGAAACAGTCTTTGTAAGGCAGGGTCACAGAGGAAAGAGTCCACTTGATTTAAAAATGAACAGAGGCTGACTTTATTGATTCATCATGATCACAATCAAGGTTTTGGTTTTCGTCCTTCAGATTTCTTCATTAGTTAAGAGAAGTACTAGAAGAATTTATACTCTCGTGAGCGCTAATTTCTGTTGGACGTTTTTCTGAAGGAACGCCTACACCCAGATGCTCTGCGAATCATGCCACCAACGAACCACGTTTTCAGCGATGAAGATAGCGAGCCCAAGGATGGGAAGAAAAGAATTACGTCGATAGTTTGGATAGCTCAGTAGACGTACGTAGAGAAGCTCAGGAGCACTAGCTAGTATTTTGTGACATGATGAGGGTGTGGGTGAGCATGAAGGAACGCCTAAAAAAATCACGTCGAATGTTTTTGGAAAATTGTTGAATATTCTTGCGGGTAAACTATTAGGCTGAGAGCCCTCGCCGGTCATTTTTTGCTCTCGAAGTATTACTATCTGAGCTGTTGACGTCGGCCCCTACTTCTTTAGATGACCCTGCGCCCTGTCCTTCTTCATATACTAGAAAAAGCGACCCGTGGTTTATCTTCCGGAACAGGGCTTGCCCAGTGCGTTTGCACGGCAAATCGCTGGGTTCCGATTCACTCCTGATGAAGCAGCTAGAGTTATCATATGGCAGGCTGAACGTGAACTTGAACATTGAAATTGTGAAAGTAGTCGAAAACTGAAAATGAGCGAGTAACAAATACAATTATCGAGTAGTTGTTATTATTACTTCGGCTAATCGGGTATTTCAGTTTATCGAATATACAATATACGCCTAACATCAGATGAGGTACTCAAATTGATGAACACTGCGGAAGAGATTTGTGCTCCTGCTCCGTAGCCATATACATTGTAGGGCACACCACTACACCTGGCAAAGCGTTTCTACACGACAACAAGCACCAAAAAATTGTTGAATAGCAGATTCGAATAGACTATCCATGATCATGAAAACTTTACGTTTACAACAAGGAGCGTTATAATTGTAGAGACGCATCTGATGAAACTTCTAATCCACCAAAAAAAGTGGCGAATATCGCGGAATGCGAGGAGTATTCGGAACTTCGTGAGGAGTATGCGTGACAAATGCCTCAAAGTACGCTCTGACGACAGTGACACGACTGAAGCGACAGAATCTACCGATTCAGAGGCAGAGAAAAAAGATGACAAGGTAATAACGCATCAACTTCATCAGCTCATATTTCGTGTAATAGGTGTTGTTGTGATCATGGAGGTGCCAGTTTTTCGCTGTCGTGTACAGTACAGAGATTTTGGTTCTTGTTGATACGAATTCAAGAATTCAAATGATGTAGCTACAAAAGGTCGCCTTCAGTGCCGCCGAAGAGGCTGCGCGGGCTGAAAGAAAAGAAGCTCGAGAAGCACGTCGACGAGCGAGGAAAGCAGAGAAAGTGCATAGCGGCAATAAGATGCGCTTGATGGAAATAACTCCTGTTAAGGCTACAACTACGCATCCTCAACAGGAGCAGCGTCCTTGGACTGTTTCTATGGTGAACACGAACGATTGTACCACAGAGGCACACAGAGACAGATAGATACCAATCTTACTGTCCTGCTGATAGATGCTGTAGCTGTTGATAGATACCTTACTACGCATCCGCAACGGGAACAGCAACATGCTTAGTGCCTATTTTCTCAGTGAAAACGAAGCCACCAACATCAGGGGTCCTCGTCTTGAGGATGCGAAGGCGGTAGGTCTAAGTCTGAGATGCATGCCATGTTGGAGATCGTGCCGCGTTGTCCTATGCCTTTCAAATGGCGCGACTGGGAACCAGATTATCCGAAATTGCGTGCTTTCCTACGCTTAGCTGGCATTCATATCAAGCGGGATGCCGAATTCAACAGGGTAGTATTGCAGAGGAAAGACGCGAGGCTGGTTAAAATTGGAAAAAAACGAGCATTGGATGAGACCAGGTATCTGAAAGCGCACTTGATGGGGTTATGAGCAGGATGGCTGGTTTTATTGACCGTCGTGCAACACTTGTTTATTTTCTTTTCATAGCATATAAATGAAAGACATTGGGCCGCTGGATTTGATGGGGTTAATATGAAGGATGGACGACTATGACGCATCTCTGCTAATTTTGAAGGCGCGGACTTTTACAGGAGAGGCTTGTTCTAGGAGATGATGTACAATCTTTCTTAATGTCTAAGAAGATGCACAATCTTTCTAGAACAAGCCTTGTAGATCCTTGTAGAGTCTAAACAATCTTGCACGATCTTTCTTAAGAGGCTTGTTCTAGTAGATGTACAAGTAACCCACGACAGTTACTCGATAACAATAACATCGATATCTAGATAGACAAATTTTGGAAGATACTTCATTCGTGGACTTCTTCATCCCTCGGACACGCGAAGAACCGAGGCGAACGTATAGGCATGGAAGGCATGGGTAAGGGGATGGGCAAGGTAGACCAAGCTGGAAATTGGATAGGTGACCGCAACGGTGATGAAGTCGACTCACTGGCTAGCGGATCGGCTCATTCGTGGTTGAATGATGACCCGATGGCAGGAGTAGGCGTTATGGATCAACGCTTACTAGAAGTGTTTTTAGATGAAATCAGGAAATCCAAGAACGCCTTAATACAAAAGTCACAAATAAAAAAGACTCTGTAGCTCTACTTGCTTTGATACAATACTGCAACTAATCGACTTCTACGCCCTACAACTAGTTGTACCAGAGATTTGCTTTCTTCATGTTAGTACTTTGTGGTCGGCTTGCTCGCAACTTCGCTTCCATCTTGCGCCTCTGCGCAATCAACTGCTCGGACACTAGCAGACCGGACACTAGGAGATCTTCTCAGTTTCACTGCGACACTATACAATTCGTAGGTTCTGATATTTTGATGAGAGTCGTTGTGTTTCTTCTAATCAACCTGCGAGTGATGCCTCGTTGAGTTCACGAGAGGACAGCGACCTGCGTGGCGGCAAGGGGAAACGACCTCGCGGACAAGACCAAGATAATCTTGATGCTGTACAAGGAAATTTGTTAAGATTTGGATTAAAACGGAGGTGCTGGAGTTGGTGTTATAATTGATTGTAGTTCTTGCACATCCATAGCTACTAACTCTAACTGGGCTCTGTCCTACTTGTCCTTCTAGTTCTAGGACAAGAACGACTTCATGCACATGAACACGTTCTTCTACCTGTAGTATCATTTTTTCATTCAAGAGTTACGAGAGTGAGTGTTGAGTGATGCTACTTCGGTGTCTGCTTGAACAACCTGCTCAACAAGACAAGATCATGGGGTTGGGAATAACAGCGTTTCTTTCATATATTCAAGAGTCTTTCACCTTCATCTCTCTAAACTCCGGACAGTCTCTTGTGCGCAAGCTGATCTTAGGCGGAAATAATCCTGATGCTTTTTATGCTGCCGCTCGCGAGAAGATGAAGCAGGAAGAAGCGGCGCCGCCAAGTGCTATGCCTATGGTCGTGACCGATAACGTGGTGAAAGTAAATACTCAGTTATGTGGAAGGTCGTGATGGAGTTGACGTTATGGAGTAACACTATGCCGAAAGCGAGGAACATAGAAGAGTGGTTTTTTAGCCAAAGCGCGCACATATAAATATAAAGTTCAGGGATCAGCTGGGCACTATTCCTCTCAAAGTGAAAAACTTCCATTCTGTGACGAATAACGTACAAAAAAGCGCTTTTTTTGCGGCATAGTGTTACTCCATAGTTAACGTGTTAGGTTGTACTTATCGAAGATTTTTCGTATATGACGACGACCGACTGACATAAAAGTTATTCTTATCGTTACAAGACGATAACTACTAAGTAGGGTTAAATAATGCTTCTGAATGCTCTAGATCTACTGCATACATTTAGACATTTGATGACTTTTGTCCTAAAAATGCGTCTGATATTTCCATCAGACGATTTGGAGAACTTCGAATAGAAGAGAATTCTATCGTAGAAAAGAACTGACCTGTTACTGATACTGTTTGAGGGAACCTGACGAAGGGGGGGATCTTCAATCGTCCCCATCCTGTTGTTCTAAATCTTGGCGGGACAGCTAGTAGCGACGAAGACGATTCCTCCTCAGACGACGATGATATCCTAGGCATCCACCAAAGTGGTGTGCGCGAAGAGGAAGAGAGGCTGAAGCGAGAAGCAGCTGCGGCAGGAGGAAAAAAGCAAGGGCAAGTCACCAAGGGAGGAGGAGGTTTGTTTGCGGCAAATCCCGGAGGAGCGTCTGCGGACAAAATGAAAGGAGGAGCAAAGGGGAAGAAAGTCGGTGGAGGAGGTGGAGGTGGAGAGAAAATAAAGGGAGGCCCAGCTAAGGTAGGAGCAGGTCCTGCAGGCAAGATAGAAGGTGGAGGCAAAAAAGGACTTTATTATCCAGAAGAAGATCATGATGAAGATGATCTTGATGATGAACAAAGCGATGAAGAGAAAGGGGATACACATGATCATGGTCGTTATTTTGGTCAAGACGGGGAAGATGAAGATCATGATAGAGAGCGAGATCAAGAAAATTATTTTGTGGAACAAGATCAACAAGATCTTTACAATAGTGGCAGCGGCAGCACCACAACAATTCTAGTGGGTACATCTCCGGCTGCTTCGAGCTCCAAGAAGGAGATAGTGCTGAAAGAGCCTTGTATCAAAAAAGTGGAACACGTGAAGAAGCAGTTGAAGAGTCAGAAAATCTTCATGTTTTACGGCGAAGACGAGGAAGAGGGTGGACGAGATTCGAGCTCACGTCCACCTGCACCTGCTCCATTGAAAAACAAAAGGACTAGTTCTTGTAATACGGATCAAGATCATTCTGATTCACCCCCTCCTGGTCCGAAGAACATAAGGACTAGGAATAAGACTTCAGAGCTTTCTTCTTCAAGAACATTCACCAAATTCCTCTTCGCTCCAGAAGGGGTTCCATTAGATGCCAATGGAGAACCTATTACGCTAGCAGCAATTACCGAAAGGATCGCACTTCTACAACAAGAAGGAGCTGTGTGCCAAGAGGAGTACAACATTAAGGCTTTGATGTTGGAAATTTGAAGGAAGATGCTACACTCAAGCTTACCGCGCTGACCGGGGCTTTCATGGGCAACATCACAGATGCGAATACATTGCACCCCATTGAATTTGAACCTCCGGCTTCCAGTATCTTCCTTTCCGCCTACTTGAAAACACAATTATTGCATTTGCACGACCACCACCGCCTCTAGACCCCTCTAACATTAACGTCGTGTCCCAAGTGCAACAGCTGGAAGCCTTAGGCGGCAATCTCACACATGATCAGGCCATGCTAGGAGAGCAGTTAGTCCAGAGAGGCCAGCAGTTGGAACAGCATATGGGGCTTTTACTCCAGGAAATCACCAACATGGAACAACTAGCTGGGAAACTTCAGCAACCAGAAGTGCAAGCTGGCGCTAAAGGCAAAGCCGCGGAAGGTAATGCGGCACCTCTAGGCTCGGCAGGTCTGGGAGGTCCGGTGGGAGGAGGGAAAAATTATGAACTTTCAAATTGAAGTTACTAGTCTTGCACATAGATAATATTTGCAGTACTTCTGTTGTTCTTGTTCTAAAGTTCAGGAGTGGCCACAAAGGGTAAGGGAGCAGGAGGAAAAGCTAAGGGACCAAAAGACGATGCGAAGGGCACGAAGGCATCTTTAGAGAAGGGTGGCAAGAAAGAGGATACCCCACCACAAAAAGCGAAAGCCAAGAAGAAAAGTTATGTTTGTTGAATCTTGTTTATGAACGAAGGAATAGTGTGAAAAATGGACCACTTGTTATTCTCATACCTTGTTTAACGCTAATCCCTCGACAAAGGCAAAGGCAAAAAACAACCTCCTGGGGAATTCGCGGATTTGCCAGCGGATGCGTTTACTGTTCGGGAGATGGGCGACGCCTTGCTTTACTGGGGCACTCCTATACAAGTGACGAGATATGCTAGAGCACGAGAAATCCTAGAACCAGACGAGATGGTCGAAGTACAGGTACTAGTACAGGAGAAGGGCGGTAAAAAAGGGAATAAAACGATTCACCGATTAAGTTAAGGCTCATATCAATAATTCATCTAATAGCGATTCACCGATTAAGTTAAGGCTCATATCAATAATTCATCTATTTAATTACATCGATCTCCACAAACACGAACAGAGACTTTGTGTCTCAGTCTCCTTCGTTCTTGGGTTCTGCGCCTATCATGAAAGTAGGGCATGAATTGTTGCGACTGCGACCTCTAATTAGGAGATTGGGGCATAAGAGGTCCTCTGATTTTACCCCTCGCGCCGGATGGCATACCAACGTTTCCCTATGGGCGCGTAGAGGGTAGTGACCGCGTATCATTATTCAAGAACTTCGATTTCGCTAGTGGGTTGCCAATTTTGCCTCTAGACGAAGAAGGCAAACGCCCTATTGTTCCAGTCGACCCCTCGACCGGAGCACCTCTGCTTCGGTGCTATTAAGGCCACTTCTTGACGCACTCAGGGATACCATTTTCAAGTGGAAGATGAGGACAATTTTCAGCTGAAGATGCCTATGCGGTAGCTGCTCTAATCTTACCCTCAGAATGGATGGCCGTTGTTATTACCGTGTCCGGAACTGAATGCATTGATTCTGCCAGTAAGCGTTGCTGGTTTCCCACTCTTCGAACTGGACGAGGCAGCCGCAGCAGCAGGTGCAATGGTGCTGAAATTTAGTTATGGTGAACCACATGAAGAATAGAAAGTACACCCAGTACAGTTCTCGAGCAAGGCCTTGTTACTTTCTTGCTGGACACCATTAGCTTTAATAGCACGATTACATGACTCCTCTGACTCCCTTTGTTCCCCTTCACAACTACTGTACCTGACTCCTCTAACTTCCTTTCCCCGTGACTCAACATGCTGAAACAGGTGGAACTGTGCCTGTTCTCCCCAGATACTGCTTGCAAGATCCGCTTGTACCGGAGAAAGGATTCAAGGCCCCTTTGAAATTGGATGACTTTTTCTCCGATGGGCATTTGGCCAAGCTCGTGGCGGCTGAGGAAGAACACGTAATACAAGATTTGAACGAGGCTGAAGACCAAAGACAAGAAATTCTCTTGCAACAAGGTGAGGAGGATTTTCGACACATACAGGACAAAGAGCAAGACTTTGCAGCGGTGGCTGCTAAGAAGGGAGGTACTTCGACTTAAGTACTATTTCTCTTGAACTTGAATCTGGAAGCTAAGAAGTTGTTCAGTGCTAATTTCGTAGTTTGAAAACATCTCAATATTGAGTAGTAGCTGGCAGTTCTGGGACGCTAAACAGCAACGTTTCTCCATGTTTAATGTCTCGATGATTTAGTTACATGATGTAATTTAATTGCATGGTGCCCAAACATTGTCTATCGGACGGCTAGTCCTAGTACTTGTTCTAGTAAAAAGACCACAACCCTCCACGACCCACACACCACATCAGGCGCCGAAGAAGAGCTTCTTTACCGTGAAGAAAAACTCGATTTCTATCTCTTGGATGACGACGAGGTGGCCCGTGCTTTGTACTCCAACAATGTGGATGTCGCGTCTCTAGGAATTTTTCCGAGTCCTTACGAGCGTGCCGTAGGCGAACACGCACCGAAAGAGGAGGACGTCGTAAGGTTCACTCCCGATGGGAATTATGGCCACCTCTCAGTATGTAAGTAGTTGATAACCGGAAAAATTTCCATGATCTCTCTCAGTTGTATGTTGATACTCTACACCGACTCTCTTCCCGAAGTCAAAGCACTCGCTAAGGGAAGCTAGTAGAACTTCTGGGGGAAGAAGGACTGGAGGAGTATGAAAAGACCGGAGACGACACAGCGTGGTTCAAAAACGGATGGGGACATCAACTCGCGAAAATAGAAGCCAAAAAGCTAAACAAAACTGGTGGCAAAGAAAAACATGCTGATAGTAAAATTAAGGTTCTTCCACCTCTATTAATCCATCTTGTTTGGAATAGAAATCCTCAAGAGGCTTTCCATTTCCAAAGGGAAAAAACACTTAAGACGCCTCTCGAGATGGATTGCGGGAAGCTCTAAGAAAAGCACCATGGTGGGCCTCAGGCTACCTGGTCCCCGTATCTCCTACGCCTACATGCTAGATTTGAGTAAGCCTGTATTACGTCTGGACTTGGCACTGAGACCGGGGCCCTTCTTGTTAAGGCTCCTCCCTGTAGATGATTCTTGTGATTCACCTTGCGTCATCGACGCATGATCCCGGAAATACTTAGAGGATCGTAGCTCTAATTTTGCGTCGGAGGATGCCGAACTTGCCTAAAAGCGTTGTCAGAGAGTTGAATACAGTAGTAAGACGAGACTCCAGATTGGACGGACCGACAGTTAAGGCTTTCTACAACTATTATGTGTATATACTTACTGTAGATAAAGTATATACTTACTGTATATACTTAAGTTACATCGATCATACTAATGATGGGGAAGTCCTCTGAGTCAGAGTCTGAGCATATGAATAACGAAATAACTGGTCCTCGTTACTCTTCTCTCGTCTTGGGCTATTATAAAAATATCTGTAAGCTTCAAGAACCAAAAATATCATCAATATAGAGCAAAAGTCCTCTCAACGTGAACGTCGACAACATCGTTCATGCACAACGAAAATCGAAATTTCTCAGCTCCTCTAAAATATGCGAATTCGACTGGCGTCGATTTGAAATCCACTTCAAGAAGCTGAGCCGCATAATGCGTCGGCTAGGACTGAACGTTTTCCTCGATGAAGAAGGCTTGCCGCTTGAAAAACTGCAGATGCGGGTAGTGCAGAAGGCGAAAAAAGTAACAGATCCAGAAACAGGTCAGGAAAAAGACGAGATTGAAACTCTCAATATCGGGCCTCCTGACGATGACTTCTTTTTGCGAAAAGAAAAACAAACACCCGATCTTGTTGCGAAATGGTTGTACCGGCATGGAGTGGAAGCTTATGTTCGCTGGGTGCTTGATGGTGATTTACTTACTTAGTATTAAAAAGTAGTACAACTCTAACTCTTTTTACCTACGAACTAAAACTGTACACTGCTCTGCTGGCAACGACGAAGTAAAAGTGAATCCTTTGATTTAGAAGATGATTTTGAATCAACCGTCGCCTGAAATGGAAACAAATGGTGCTAAAATGGAAAGACCACAGTGCTGCCCGTGCAGTCCTCCAATCTACTCTAACGAGGAGAAGATCTAAACCTTTGGCCTCCGCTACAAACTGCAGAAGACTCTGCTGCCCTGCGAGGGGAATTAGCAGAGAAAGCCAAATCTGGAGGTGCAGTCAACAGCAGCCTTTTCGACCGTGTCCTGTCAGCGCATAATGAAACAGAACTGCGACTAGACCATGTGTGGAGGGATCCATTTGCCGGCCACAACAATAACGCGGGAGGCATCAAGAATCGTAACCCCAATACTAATACCTCCTCTGGAGACAACATCTTGCCGACATGGCTTGGAGGTGGTCTGCTGAATGCAGTATTTGGAGGAGATGGGCAGGAGAATAAGGAGCTAGGTACGGGAGTTGCGAGTGCTTTTGCACTTGCACGCAACGAACAACAGGAGGAAAAGGGCGGCGAAACGAAAGACGGCTCTCTTGCACCAGATATTACGCTTAAGGCAGCTTCTAGAAGTCGACGTAGTACCAGTACGTACTGTCTTTCAAAATTGCAGTCGTTCTTGTAGTTGTACATGTTATAGAATAATCTATAGAACGGATGTAGGATCGATCATGGACTTGGATGGATCGGATGGACCCAGTACCTAAACCCTCGGGTCCTACTTGAAATGCTTAGCCGAGCTGGGAAGTCCATCCGATCCATCCCATCGTGAATCGGGCACCCCTATGGATTACTCTTAGAGAAGGCACTGAAAGTACAGCTACAGTCAGTGTCAGAGTTGTTCTTCGTGAACATCTTTCTACACCCATCTTCCTCTTCTAACCTCTCCGCCCAACACATTAGCCTTTCCGATCCTTATTGCCCCCCTGAAGTTCGTCAGGTGCTACGGCCACGTCGAGACTGGAGTTTCCTACTGCCTGACGACATCCGACAAGTGTTGCGTCTTCGCGGTTTGCCAAATTATCCAGGACCATTTTTGCAAAGGCGACGGCGTCAAGTGGATCTAGCAGCAGTAAAGCTTCAAGCGGCTGCGAGAGGAAGACTTTATGGTCGCGTATAGTACAATTTTTATTGGCATAATCTATCAAGATCAAGAAGAACAATCTATCACAAGAATTTTTATCTCTGTTATCTTTTCGTAAATTTTTTAGGATTTTATCCGCTCTAACTCTCCCTCCGTCTCCGACTTGCTGAGATTCCCGAATATGACGCCAAGTTCGCAGCAGCAGCGGCAGAAACCGAGGCCGCATTTCATCAGGTCGAAGAGATGGGCGGTTTTTTCGATGACGGCGTTTTAGACCCCGCGAAAGCGGCTGCAGAAGCAGAAGCATTGGCAAAAGCGGAAGAGGATAGGCAAGCTGCGGAAAGGAATCAAAACGATAACTCTGTTAAGGCGGTTGGACTTTGTTTTGGTGTTCTTTCTGTTACTGCTAAGAAAGTACTCAGTAGTTACTGCTTTATTTAGTGAGTTTTGCCTGTCTTAAAAGCTACAACAAGTACACGGGAGAGGACGAGAATAACAATATAATTAACTAGAAACGAGCATGAACTAAAAACCTAACACCAAAACCTCTTCTACGACCGCTAACTTTGCGTCAGGCGCCTTCGGATCATCATTGGGTACAGCAGGTAAAGGGACATCCACAGGACTAGCAGATGGACCCTTTGGCCAAGTTGGTGGTCAGATTTTTGCTGCTTTTAACAAGGTTTTTGATTTGGAAAACGAGGTGGGAGGAGAAGGGAAAACTACAAGTAGTGGACGACTTGCACTTGCGCTTAATCTTAAGACTGCACTTAAGCCTTCTGGAGATAATTCAAATTCATCTTTGAGGATTGCAAATTTTCCTTTTGGAGTTTGTCCTGCTTATTTTCATTGCAAAGTAATTTAGCGCTGCGCTTCGTGGCTTCGTGTTATTTGAGGCTGCGGGGTGTCATCGTATAGTCTAGGGGTTGGCATGCTAGCCAATGATAGACTTCATGGAATGGAGTGCATCCGTGCAACAAGGTATGGGCGAGTATTCTCGTTATAGATAGTCTGAATGGTTCTGGTATTTTTGGTATAGCCTGAATTTGATCCTAAGGGAAAACAAGATGAGAACCCTTAGGATCAAATTCAGGCTATACCAAAAATACCAGAACCATACATAGAAGTCTCTATCTTTCAAGGTGGAGGATGAATAGTTGCGGAGTGTAGTTGCGGAGTGTTGTTGATCTAATGCGACAGGCGCCAAGACCGGCAAGACAGCAGGAGGACGTCGAGCTGCAGAAGTTGTTGACCTTTTTCCTGAGACCATAGTGGAAAAATACGCAAAGAAGGAGGTTGGCGATGGAGCACCATTAGAGTTAAGGCTCGTCTCCCTAATCTATCTCTTCTCGTCTCGCTAATCTATCTCCTCTATGTATGTGGTTTGTCCGACCTTCAATTTCAAGCACTTATGTAAGTAGGATAGAGGTTTAGAAGAATGAGGGAAAGAGCGCATCCACATGCTGGATTGTTATTGTTATACAGTACGAGTACAGGCTCAGGCCGCATTTTTATAGTCATACCGTATGGATTAGCAGGAGGACGAGGAGTTCTAATATAGGCGTGGGATGCGGCTGAGTTTGATTTCTCCGCTTACGCCATCGATTTCGAAAAGATTAGAGCTGTTTTATTTCAACTTGGCGGAGCTTGTAAACGGGTGTCAAATTACGGGCTTCACCTATATATAATGATAATTATCTTTGAGTGTGGAATTTTAATATAGGATTAAGTAGTCTCTCTCACGACGTCATACATACATCTTTGAGGCTTCAACAACTGATAATGATTCAATAATTGAGGCTATCCATCTTCAGAGAACAAGTCATCCGAGAAGAGAGGCTTTTCAAGGAAGTGGAATAAGAGGCACCTCAGACGTATCTCGAATCGGCTTAGGGCGGGCTCTAATGAAACTTCAAACTTGAGAAAATGGCGCCACAGACGTTGAAGAAAACGCTGTATTTATCTCGTGTGGATGCTGAGAGTATGAAGATATTTCCGAAATCCGATTCATCGTGGCTTACCGGTGGAGGTGACGACTTGCCTAGTTTGATTGCAGACGAGTCGGCACAAAAACCGGTTTGGCGCTTCCGAAACCTCCCATTACCGTCGCCTTTCTTCAAGGCGACAAAGAAACCAAGGGGCGATGGAGGTGGAGGGCGAGTTATGTTGATTTGTAGTTGGTGCACTTCCAGATCTAGAGACTTGTACTCTGTGATAGTCGTCTTGAGCTTGAGTTATATCATTCATCAAATGACTAGTAAAGTAAGTGTAAGAACAAGAGTTAGAGAAGTGTGATGTACTTATTAATTTGAATCGTGGTTCCTACAGATGACTTGGCCAGGGAGTGCTGTTAGACACGAAACACTTCTTGACCATGACCAACAGGCAGGATCGTTTTTTCCTACTTTTCAATATTCTTCTTCTAACAAATACAAAAGTAATGCCAGAGGTGGAGGTGGTAATTCCAATCGTGGCGCTGTGTCCGGGGAAGCGATCCTGCGACCTCAAGCAGAGGTTGCGGAGGATATTGCGATCGCAATGCAAAATGTTGGGTGATTGATTCCAAGAAAAATTGTATGCAAGTTTGGGTACTACCATTTTTTTTAGTTGATTCAACTACAACATGAGTAGCTCTTTCTAGCAGCACCAGCTGCATGATCCGTTGGTAATATGTCTGGAGATTAAGATGAAACAGCAGATTATGGTCGTTATGAGTATGAATATCGTTCAAAAACAACTTTTAACGGCAACGCCAGGAGCATGTTGTACTTACTTCATTTGGTATCTTCCCTTCTAGTAAATATGTGCATGTAGATGTACCTGCCCAAATTAGATTTTAGTTTCGTTTAGCTTTTTGTTTTTCTGTCGTCTGAAATTAAATAGAGTATAGAATGTGATGGGTGTCGCGATGTGATGTTTTGCGAATAATGTGAGGTGGTGCGAATACGCATCATCTGTAGGTGGAGGAACATATTCTACAATTTCACCCTTAGAATTACGGGCACGAAATTAAAGCAGTGTCAACACTTTCTTCGGGAGGGTCTAGCAAGTAAGTACATCAGTCTGAGAAGTAGAGAGAACAAGAAAATGTAGCTGTGGAGAGTGGTACCACGAGAGCAAGGATCGTGCTGTCTTATTGCGTTCGATTCCTGACACCTAAAAGACGATGGTCCAACGCGTTGTTAATAACACGTCCAGCCGCGTGTCGGCGACTCCCGTTTCACCACCTTTTTGAAGGAGCACAAGAAACTAAGCGTGATGGGAGGCTTGATCAGTGTCGGACAGGTCAAAACCGCGCTTGATTTTTCTTGTGTTCATTCATATTGGTCACATAACTGGGACTCCATGAGCTGAGGTACTACGAGGGATTCATCTGCGAAGACTCTAACTGGATGGATGTCTGTAAAAATTTGTTAAAATTTTAGCAAAGAAAAGTAAGGAGAAAATTGTGGGCATAGAGATGAACTCGTCTCTTGTTGTAATACTAGATGATGGCGAGGTTCTCAATGACGAGGTTCTCGTATAAGTAGATCTTGAGATAAAAAACTCAAGCCAAAGTTGTGCTTGGGGACTTGTTTGTTAGCACAAATTGTTGTCAAATCAAAATCGGACCACTGTAAAGAAGTTTGCAATTTCATTCATGTGGCATGGTGGTCAACACCGAACTTCACAACAAGACATTATCATGATAAGCACATTCACGACTTTAACAACCACGACAAGTTGTCACTGTACCATCGTTCATGATTCAACACATTGATCATTCCATCTAGTTAAGTACACAGTTATAACTTGTAAGGTCCTCTAAGAAAGATGTTGTCGGAGAAAGTGATCGTTTCACCCGCAGTAGCTGCTGGTCCTCGTGGTCCTGATGTTCTTCATATTAGTAGCACGACCAGGGCAAGCACAAGGGAAAAGCCATCGAATCTACGGCAGCCGTCCTATCAGCGTAGTTCTCGTAGGACTAGTGGAAGTCGACCATCGACGTCAGGTGATCCTGTTCTTGCTGGCCAACATAATCGACAGAACCCCCAACGAGACAGTCTGACACTATCTCTCTCAACCGCTACTTCGTGTGAGGAGCGGGAAACGGAGGGAGAATTTTTAGAAAGAGCAGAGGAGGCAATTGATTATGGGTTGAAAGTTGACATATCTATGAGCATCTCTATGGTAATGGTTTCTTCAAGTACTTAGGAAAGCCATAGATATGCGACCTACTAGATGGGGGCCAGCAACTTTCAACCCCTAAATTGATATTGGTACAGGTTGTACATCAACAGTAGTTGCTAGTGGAATTACCACGTCTTCGACGTCTATTAGAAGAACATCCGACGCACCTCGATTTCAACGGGAACTTCGACAGACAATTCTTATGACTTCTGGAAATCTCCCATTTCGATTAGCATCTTGGAACTCCGTGTGAGGGAGAAAGGGGTTCTCCGAGATGCTTTTCAAAATCAATGGGAGATTCCCGGAAGGTCTAACTCTAACATTCACGACGTTGCGACCACAGGAGTAGAGGACACAGCAGATGACAAGATCAATAGTTCTGAGGTTCTCCTACCTCCAAGAGCTTCGGTACAGGCATTTGCAGGTACAAGGATACGCCACTCGGATGCACCTTGGTCTCAGAGATCGTCAGAAGTTGGTGTAGGTGGAGCTGGTGCAGGATCCTATGGAGTAGTTGTAGGAGAGCAGGTGAAGACTACTAAGCGACGCCTATCACCGAATTTCTTTACTGAAGGCAACGGGTTCGACGAAGGCGAAATCATCATTAATGAAAACTTTATGCATGGTGGATCGGCAATGAATGTCAAGATGTTGAACAATAATAAAGTATAACAACTGATGCTTCTGGTTTTATAATTTTCCGTATACAACCAGTGTTCGTGTTGTGAGTGTCTAATTTTCTACTCATGCCTGTTAGATCGGTTTCCTGGCTCTGCTCGAGCCTGTTTCGTCCCGGACAACGCGGCCTGGCCGCAGAGCCGCGGACCTTCAACCTTGAACCTTGAACCTAATTTGCTTACTACCTTCATCAATTTCAAAGCAACGCCAAAAATTCAAGATTTAAAGCATGCTCTCGACTCAAATGTAATGAGCGAGCGCCAGAAGTAAGTTGCATATGCATTCCCCATTCCCAGAAATTTTCCCCATTCCCAATTTTCCCATATTCATATCTCCAACAACGCCGGTTTTCAATCTAGATGAAGATCCATTGGCGCGGACATCTGGGTCTGGACCGCGACAACTGGAGCTTGATGTGAAAGCAGAAGAGGAAGACGAAAGCGATGACGAGGAGCGTCAGCGACGTGCACAGATCATCGAAGAAATCGAAAATTCCTATGCCCAGCATTGCAAACGAGAGCAAGTGGTAGCAGAGCACTCAGATACGGAGGAGCAAGAGGGAGTTGTAAGAGAAACGCAGCTACAAAACACAGATGAACTACTGCTGAAGGCACCGTTGCCACAAGATCAACTTGAACTACATGCGAATGCTAATCATCTTGATTCTGCTTCTGGTAGTAGACCTAATTATATGCCTGACGCGCACGAACAACAACCGCAATCATCTGCTTCTTGCGTTCTCGTCCAACATCAAGATCAAGTAGAACACGAAAACGAGCACAAGAACATAATAAAAGATGCAGACCGTCCTCCTCTCGATATCGCGGAACTAGAGGCAAACAGTACGGTAGACGAATTGTGGACTCTATTGCTAAGGCCACTGCTGAAGCATGTCCTTAACACCAATGGTTTCCCTTGGTTTCTCTTTTTCAAGGGGAAAAAGAAGAACTACCCAAGGATATTATCATGGCTCTCGTCAAAGAGGCAGATGCAGCGACCACGTGGAGGTAGCTCTAACATTCTTTCAAAATTATGCTTGGATTCGTCGAGTACGGGAATCTTTGCGTAAAAGTACGAAAGGCGCAGAAAAACTACGTCTAGAACTAGAGTATCTTAGCAATAAAGCCGAATTTGACGAGCGATCAGCAGCCTTGGCGGCCAGATTGAGTGGCGTCAATGTTGATCTTCGCGGAACTGGTATTAAGCGCAGGTGGCTAAAGGTGTTCCTGTTGCCGTTTGTTTTGCCTTTGTCGAGGGGGAAACAAAGGCATAGCGAACGGGGTAAGCGAACACCAAAGCCCTACCTCTAATGGTAGCGTGAATGGAGGAGATGCGTCGTGCTCAGTGCTTCTAGACAATATTTTCCCTCAACATGATGGAGAAAGACTGTCAAGCATTTTTGGTGGTAGTCCTATATCTACACGCAGAGATCAAGATCATGTTGACGGGGATACGAGTACATTGATGCTGTCAACAGGTACTGGAAGTCCTCGACACCATCACCACGTGAACTTCTCGTCGAGCACGGGCTCATCTTCACGTCACCGATCACGGTCTCAAACGGTCGGAAACAAAGGGCGCAGCGGAAGTTCTTCAGCACGTAAACGGAACAACTCAGCGAGTGCTTTCCGGATTATGGCATGTCTTCTTACTGCAGTTGTAAGTGGTTGTTTTTATAATAGATTCGGTTTCCATAACCTAGCCTATGTGCAGGATCATAACCTTTTCCGTTGCATCTTCTTTTCATCATTTACATCCTAAATGTAATATGTATTGTTTGAGTGCTTTTAAGGATAAGTACTTAATCTTAAACACCTCCTCGTAATAAATCTTGTTTTCTAATGTTTGCAGTATGTTAGACGCCCATGGCCTACAGAAGACTGGCGCAGATGTAAACCTCATGAGCCGAAACGCAAGTAGTGCAAGTGCTGCATCTTCTAGGAGGAGTGGGTCAAGGAGTCGAGTTTGTAGCCTTACTAGGACTCCGAAGACGACTCAACGACGCGTATGCGTAGACGTAGACCATGACCACTCAGAGACGGAGACAGAGAAAGAGAACATGATGACCCACAACTATAGCTCATCATCTTCTGGCTCTGCAGAGCACGTTGCAAAAGTTGTAAACCGATTGTACAATGGCGGACGTACTGCAACTTCTACGACATCTAAAACTGCTTCCAGCAAAACAACTCCCAACAGCAAAACTACGCACAACTTCTTGAAAAGTAGGTCACCTAGTAAAAGTTCTATCAACTACATGGGGTCGTTGGGGATGAACACTTCTTTTTCTAGTAATATGGCATCATCTTCAACCATCATGAACACGTCTGCACCAGCCAGCGCCTCCACCGCCAAACTAGCAGAGATGCGCTGTCGCCTTACTGGTTTTCTGGAGACCTTAGAGAAGCAGCAAACCATCCTGGAGATGGATCTGAGCAAGATCCAAGAGGACACCGTTCAAATTGAACTGCTGGTAGCGAAGAAGCGCAAAGTAGAAGAACCAGATGACGGACGAGCTTCAATTTTGTGTGTTGACTCTGCCACCAGAGAAGACACTTCTAAACCCTCTACCACAAATGCAGTGTTGGAGTTCCAAGAAGGACACCTACTACAACCACAACAGCTTCGAGCTCCTCTTGGAACCGGAATGGGAGTGATCGGCAACATGCTTCCATATTCCTCAACATCTTCATCTCAGCAGTGGACGAGAGCTCAAGACCGCGATCTCGATGCTTCGTTCAACCTCCGAAGCACCTATACAGGAGCAAACGAAGCTTCTGCTAAGTCGCCCAGCTCTACTCCTTCTGCAGGTGATGATTATTTCTGATATGGTTCTTCGTGGATCATAGTTGTACTCGTTGTGGGTTTAGTTAGTGTTAAGCATTCTGTATTAGTATTTCAAGTGTTTCATGTTTTCGGTTTGCATGTATGCTACAAATTGATGTAGTTTTTTTTTTGACTTTCCGTCCGTGATAAGATCAAAGAAATAACCACATCAGGTATCAAACTCGCGTCAGACTTGGGAACTAAGATGCATGGGCTCATTTCTGGTGCTGTCAGTCGCGAAATAGTACGATTGTCGAGAGAAGAGGAACGTTATCCTTCTCGTGCTCCTGCTATCCCAAGTAGACCACGTCGTAACAGTACAGAGCGGCTCTTTGATGGCGTGCAGGCGTATAAGAAAGACAAAAATAGTGGTGCTAGTCGCGTGGTGGACTTGGTGCAGCAGGAGGAGATGTCTCCTAAACCTAATTCCATGACGGTCTCCAGAACATCGACGTCTGGTGTTCAGCATGACAATAGCAGCATTGGCCCACCTGCGCCAACGAGTTCTAGTAGTAGTCGTGTTTTCTCTCGGTCGCCTGACGCTGTTCTTCGACGTGGATTCAAGTTTGAAGGTCGAAATTCGAATTTCTGTCCCCCTAAAGCGCCTGCTTTAGCATTGCGTGGCCAGGCACCGTCACGGAATACAAGGGATGTGCACCAGGAATCAGAAGAAATGAAGCCGCAAGGAGGGCGTGGTGCTAAGCCTGAATGTACGGACCCATCTATCTCGTCAAGGTCAACTCCTGTTGGTTATAGTACCACCTTCAATTCGAACACCAACATGGCCAACACCAACAGCAATGCAAACACATCCTCCGCAAACAACATTAGCAGTATGAAAAAAGCGTACAAGGTACAACTCGTTAATAGGCCTGGCAGTAGTCGGAGTCGCAGCCGAAGTGCAATGACGAAAGCCGTTGCTACGCCTACGGCCAATCAATCCCACGTTGTAGTAAGCCCCCACTACATCACTGCCACAACAACAACTTCGCCGTCTACATTTTCCTACCACGCGCCACTTCGATCTTCTTCGTGTAAGAACCTCACTTCTTCTACTAGAACGGTGCGAGCTGTAGCTGGAGGAAGCGGCCCAATGACCGGTTGTAGTACTGTTTATGCATCTCCACCTTCTGGCTCTATTTCGGCATACGCTGGTTCTAGTATGAAGAGCGGCTCACTCTCGACAGCTTCAACTAGAATGAAGAGCCCTACTTCTTCAGCTTTACAACAGCAGCTTTTCGCTAGCAGTCGACCACCTGCTCCCCAGCTTCCTTCACCATCGGATATCGTTGTAGGATCAACTCAAGGTCAACAGCTCCAAGGACCGACAAACAGTGCCGTAATTAGTCCCCTGGAGGCAAAGCAGCTGATTTTCACTTCCACCCCAGTAGATGAGAGCAGTGCTGCGGCCACCGTCACTGGTGTTAATACAGATGCAAGAAACTATAATAGTTTTAGACCAAGAACTTCTAGCGCGATGCCTGCTACCTCTAGTGCTGCTGTGAGAAGAGCTTTAAGCCAAACTCCACCTTGTGCGACGTCCTCTTTTAGGACTCTTGCCACGCATCAGTTGTCTTCGCCCATAAGAGTTCCTGGTTTGCAGCTGCAACTTCCTGCTTCGCCTTTGGTCCTCCATCTTCTCGGTCCTAGCCCTAACACGGCTAGTTTCACGACGCAGCAAGAACCTCCTGCTCATCCTCAACAACTACAACTGCCTTCTCAGAAGACCTTGATGACATCACCTCAACAGCCTCATGCTCATCAACAACGAGTAATTATGTCGTCGTCCAGCGCAGACTCAGTTCCTACCGGTCGGTCTACTCCAACAAATAGTGCTGTTGAAAAGGTTTTTCTACCGATACCACGCTTATCACCAGATCTATTTCGTCTACAGACGTCTGCTAAGCCTTTCCGCTCTGCTAGTCTTGGGCCTCCTCGCTCGAGAACCGACAGCAGAGAGCAGCGTGGAAGAGTTTTTAAGTTCGAACGAAAAACTCATTCTCACTTTGTTTATTTTGTAAATACTTACTGCTCAATTCAATCCATCTTGATCGTCTTTGTCTTCGTACCGCGAGCTAGTCGCGATAAATCGAAGCGTACTTCTTTCCGCGTAGCTCCCGGCCGTGGGGGGAGCTCAATTACATGCGGCCTCTACCGCTTTTATTGTTGTATTTGTGTGGTGATTTCTTCTAATCCCGATCCTGGTGCAGCAGCTCATGTGCGATTCGCGGACGAACAACCCAATACCATTAAAATGGTCGAACCCAGACCCACCACTGAGGATGCTCCTGGAATCTCATCACGAGCTCGAAGCCAAGATCGTAGTTGTACTGCGCTGCAGCTTAACCAACCTAGAGGTGATGTAGTAAGCGCTACAAGTTCTAGTGTTGCTCTTCTTGGTAATCGTCCACGAAGCAGAGTAGCTTCACGCACTAGAGGAGCTTCATCATCTACATCCTCCACTGTGGTTACAACTGGTAGTACAAATACAGCAACAGCTTCATCATCTTCGATGAATACGAATAGATTAGAGGGAAACAACATTAACATTAAGACTTGCTCTTGCCGTAATTCATCTACTTAAGAGGCATCTTTGGACACGATTCAAGGGCAATCCACCTCAAAGATGCACTTTAAGATGAATATCGGTAAATTCTAAAAATAAGGGAAGAGGCAGACTCGAAGGGCGTCCGCCTAGACCCAATAAGCCTAGGAAAAGCCTGACAAGACAAGAGCGCAGCCAAAAATTGACGCTTGCTAAAGATGTTTTGGGAAAATCACGATAAGCCTACTTCTAAGTAACTACAACTACTTGGATGATGATGAAAATATATTATACTCTCGTCCTTGGCCAAAGTGCCAGTGCCATGAAGGTTGTTATTTTTTTTCGAATCTATGAATAAGGATATTCGTGCTTCGTCCAAATCATTTGGATAGATATTTTAAATCCACTTGTCGTTAAATTCACATGTCTTTCCAGTTAAAGTCGTTTATTTCCAGGAAAACAACGTTAAGATTTTTTTCACACTTTTATTTTGCGCATCACTGTAAGTCTAAGTTATCTTCATATGGGGAGATGAGCGTATAAGGGGGTCGGAAATAAACTGAAGATGATATCAAACATTTTCTGCGATCATCAACTTGATATCATGAACTCCGCAATACATCAAGTAAAGCTCTTGACTGATCCCAAATCACAACAGCTCTTGTCGTATCTTCGAGGGCAGTTTTCCATATCAACTAAAAGATTCAAAGATGATTTGTTTACGTCTTTTGGTGATACCCTTACCCGCAGGACGTGGTCAAAGATGAGCAGCTGCTCGTACCAGCAAATATGATGCTCGAACCAGCAAATATGAGCTTACTGGGAAGAGGCGCGTTGCCCATCGAGGGTCCTGACGTTGTTTTGCAAAACGAACTAAGATCTTGTGTGTTTTTGGAGTTGCTGGACTGCGAAGAAATATCTCTACGACTAGCGACAAGAGCGAGTTGTACTTGTAGAGAAAACTAGTATTTAAGTAGCCATCACAGGAGTTGTACTCGAATTTTTGTCTAATGGACCCTCAAGCTCAACATGTAATAATTCCCAAGAAATACAGCACCAAAACCAAATCTTCAGAAAGATGGCGAAGGTCTCAGCATCCTCCCCAAAGCCTTCCCGTGACAACACGCAAGAGCCACCTCAAACGTCACCGCGAAGTCGCTTGCGAGGACTTCCCCCAGAACTAGATGTAAGGCTGCTACTGCGGTATTTCACTCACAGAACCAGTTGCTCAACAACAAGGACGCGATCTGTATATTGCTACAAGCTTCCATAAAGGCACCAGACAAAGGAGTACTAGATGCAGGCAGTTGATACAGGCACACCTTGCTACCTGACGACCCTACTTCCTATTTAGATCTCAATTCCGACGCGATCTTGTAACTACACGATCTTCTTTTTATTCCGACGCGATTTTCTAACACGGACTTTGGGTGTAACCTATTTTCCTCTTATTTTTATAGTCTAATGTCAGTCGTGGAGCCTTCGTCCGACGATGATGCGAAGACGCAGCTTTTGGAGGAAGAGAAGCGTGACAGAAAGAATATAGAAAAGAGCCATACGATTAAGGCTAGAGATAATTCATCTTTTAGAGCATTCCGGAAAAGTGTGACTGAGTATTTTGATCGTGATACGGTTCCAGGATGCACATGAAAGACGAATACTGGACAGCCCTAATACAAAGCAGCACTCCTCTGCTAGTACAACTGCAAACGCCCAACTGGCTGGAGATCAACAAGCGCACAAGACTTGTGGTTGGCGTTGCTTGCTTCTGGTGTCGCTGATTTGTTTGTCTCTTTTCGTTAAGGCTACTAACCTCTAGTGCTAGTATCATCCATCTTCCGTGGTCTCCGTCGCGGTGTCGTGAGGTATTTGTACACTGTCGAGTAGAACCTTTCTTGTGATTTTTTCAAGAGGAACTACTCAATGGGGCCGGCACTTCTCAAGGAAACCCGAACTACCACATACCAGCCACAAACATGATCTTAACGACAGAAGGAAGAATAGAAATACTTCTATCTCTAACTCTGGTGCCATCTTCTCTTGCTATTCCAATGACGTCAACATGCTCTTGCAGGACCTTGGTCCGCGGTTCAGTGCTCTTTGGAAAGCAGAGAACGCTCTTCATTTTGTTACGGGCTATGTATTTTGAAATTGAGTGACAGTATCCATCTTTAGACTCAGATGCAATAGATTGATAAGCCTTGTACTAGGTCACCTAGTCATCTAGGTGGTAGAACAAGTACACCTCGATTTGTTTCTTAGGCTGATGATTGAAAAAAGAGAGCTTTCTGAAAAACGACAGAGGACGACGGTCGTGGCTCCTCTGAATCGGAATCCATCCGTCAAGCTCATCTAAGATCAAAAATGCGCAACGCGTTGCGGAGGTTCCCCAGGAGTCATTTGTGCAAAGAGAAGCGGAAGCTCTGGATGCGGCACCGCCACAGCCGGACGTTGGGGAGCAAGACGTAAGAATAGACGACGCCCTGGACTTTTTTGAGACCTTTCTGATCACAGACGACGGAGAGCTAGCAAAGAACCTGCAGAGTGTCGTCCTCACTCCTGAGGAGGTTGTTTCGTTTTTCGACAGCGAAGAATCTTCAGAGGCTGCTGTTGCTGCTGACCCAAACACCCGCCAATGGACGGCTTTATGGCTACTAATAAGCCTAGTTCCACTTTAGCGAACGCAGAAACGTGAATAGAATTTTTTTGGAATCAAATGATGATATCAATCAACATCAAAGAACTAAATCAACTTTTACTAGAAGCAAATCGTTACTATAGACCCTCGTCTGACCACGTTATTCGTTCCGCCACCTCCGCTTCCTCCTCCTCCTCCTCCTCTACCTTGCGTGAGGTCATAACTATTGAGGAGAAGGACGCGCTCTAATGTCCAAGCAAGCGGGCCGTGCAAGGAAGATGCTCAGGCGAAAACAAGAAATGCTTCTTGTGTTAGGGCTTTAAGTTTGAACTATTTGAACTCAGACTCGGAGGATGGATTTAGATTCTATTTCTTTGGAACAATTTCAACTTAATTCCCTAGGGTCTGGTCTCAAGGTTGATTTGGCAGGTCAAATCGGAGACAAATGACATGACAAATACCAACGAATAGCTGTTCTAAGCATGTCCGTTATCGCAAAAATGTTAGTATTTATAGGGTAAACAACTTTTCTCAAATCCCTAAGTGCCTTCCTTAAGGAAATCAATTTCCTTAGAGAATTTCTATTACAAAAACTGGATATAACTTCCCTTAAGGCGAAAGATTCCCCTTAAGAAGGCTCCTTAAGGAAAATCTGTTATAAGCTTAGGCTAATGATATTGATAGACTCTGCCTCAAGGGCCGCCGCCACCTCGCAAGGGCCTTAGCTTGCTACCTTAGCCATGGCCAGCTTGCTAGCTGCTTAGCCCTAGGTAGCTAGCTTGCTTGGTTACCCCCTACCCGTAGCTACCTGGCTAGGTTAGCCGTAGCTAGCCTGCTAGCTGCATATCCATAGCTTGCCTGTTAGCTGCTTAGCCATAGGTAGCTTCCTGGCTGCTTCGGCATAGCTAGCTTGCTACGCTAGCTGCTGCGCCATGGCTAGGGAGCTTACTCGGTAGCTGCTCGGCCCTATTTAGCTAGCAAGCTAGCTTCTTGGCCATGATAGCTAGTTTGCTCCTAGCTGCTTGGCCATGGCTAGCTTGTTAGCTGCTTCCTTTGCAAGACCTAGCTCAGCAGCTGCTTTCTTAGCCATAGCCACCTTGCTGGCTAGCTTGGCCATGGCCACCCTGCTAGCTTAGCCCGGCAGCCAGAGCCAGCCGCTTAGCGTAATCTTGGCCAGCTTGCTAGCTGCGCCATATCTAGCGCGCTAGCTTTGCCATGCCATGGCCACTCCAGCTCGCTAGCTTAGCCACAGCCAGCTTGCTACCTTAGCCACAACACAGCAACAGCCAGCGCGCTTGTTTAGCCATGAGATGAGGGGCGTCCAGGATAGTCCACTCTGAACCGGCTGCGCGTCGCTAGCTTGGTGACTTAGGGGCTTGCGTCGTAGTCTTATCTGTCTAGTTGCTAAGCTATGCCCAGCGCAGCGGGTCCTTGATGTGCCCGCTTTCTGGGCATGTACAAATAGCAACCACAGCACCAATTTCATGTGCAGGCGTACTTTTACTCGACTCCTTTTAGACTATCACTAGAGAAATCATCGGTAAAACTTATGCGATTTTCCTTCCTCCACCAAGGGACCCAGTGATTTGCAGAAATTTCTCACCCCAACTACACCTCTAATCAGTACTGGAACCGGACTGAAGGCGGACTCTGCTCCTATGACCACTGATGACGCATCTAGACTTTGAAATCAAAAGCATCTAATTGATATTGAAGCGCTCTATTTATATCATAAGGGGAAAAGGAAAACATTAGTGTATTACTGAGATGCCTTGTAACCCTATAAGAATTTTATCATGTTGATGCAACACCAGATTTAGAATGATGAGCGTATGCAGCAGCAGCTCTAATGTTTTCCTATACGAGCAACCACTGGGCTCTGGCTTGATCAAGGTCAAGAACCTCTTTGCATATTGGGACAGGTTTTACCCTGGCAATCGTGTATCTGTAGTATCGGAACCTGAGGACCACAAGGTCAAGGTAGAGGTAGCCTTAAGACTGGTGGTCAAAGTATTCACAAATGTTGTGCGCCTATGCGTCATTAATTTATCAATAGAAGTTGGGGGACCCAGGCAAGCGGCCGAGTAGATTCGAATCATTAGCAGAAGTCGCGCCACTTGCGTATCTTGATTTTTCTGTGATGCCCTTTCATCTAGGTACTCTCTTGAAGAGTTCAAGTTTCTCACTACATATATTATAAGTGTAACTTTCTTATCCGTACATAAATACAAACAACAACCACAACACCATTAATATTATATGATTCTAACCACGTTTTGCTATCAGAACTTCTAAGTGACTATCGCGCTGCTTTTTTGGACGAGAACAAAAAGGCGGACTTCTACGCTACTATTGGAAATATGCAGAGTTAAGGCTTGTTCACTGATAGATTTATGTTTCTTAGACCGAAACGTCGCACCTTCCACGTCTGTACATGATATAGCCCGCCTAGAACCCAACCTCTGACCTAAGTACCCTTGTAGATCGACGACGGAGCAAAGGTATCTATCCGCATCGATCTGCTGTAATTAATATCTGCGGAGCAGGGGGCCTCTTGCTGGACCAGTGTGAAGACGAGAAAACTAAGAAGTAGAACGATCTCAATTGCCCTTTTTGTCAGGAAAAGACCTGACTTATACATAGCTCTTCTAAGTAAGATCATAGAGTTAAGATCCTTATCTTGAAGATCATCTACTTCCAAGGTACTAGTCCTCGTATTCGTAATAAAGTTTCTTATAGATAAGCTCGACTAAGCTACGCTAGCGGAGAAACTGGAGTTGCAGCCGGTGCCCGAGATTGATATGAAGCAAGAGGAGCCACAGTCTGTGATCGTAACTGATATCGAGGGCAGCTACCACTATTTCTGTCTGTGGATTGCGATGACGCCTGGCGTATCGCTCCAGAATAAGGTTTGCGCGGTGGAAGCGGGCTCCACAGATTATGTCTCATCGTGAGAATGAGTACGCAGTTGAGAAGATAGGAAATGCAGTAGCCTCATCCGCGACGGAGGTGCTCTGTCATAGTAGTTATTTTGATATTGATCGCCGTGTCTAGTACTAACTAGTACGCCAGTCGGACTCGCTTATCGTGGCATTTATCTAAGATCTAAATGTGCCTCTGCTCCTCCTTAATCTTATGGATCTTTGTGGTAAGTGCTTAGTTTTACCTCTCTCTACATCGTAGGGTCGTGCTGTTTTGGCATTGGAATGGTGCTAGTCGTGGTGATTCAGGTAAGTAGACACCGGTAAGGCGCCGAGGAGGACCCCACCGTGCACGTTGATAGTTCGGCCAAGTAAGTTTCTAGGGTAGGCTCTGTTAATTTCGGAGTGGGGCGTTTATTGCGATAATACGAGTGACTAGTACTCCAGTCGGACTCGCTTATCGTGGAAGCTTTTCAAGTTTTTTAGTTTCTATGTTACTGGTCGTGGGCAAAAGCAAAACTAACTTTTATTATATGTTCCAGGGCGCGGGCGACGGCTCCCCCCCCTAGCGGGGGGGAGGGCCGGGCGCCCTGGACCCCTTTTTTGAGGCCTCTGCCGGGGGGGGGAGGGCTCAAAAGGCGCCCCCACCCCCCCTGTCCCCTTCCAGGTGCTCGGGGTCCCCAAGAGGCCGCGGACGTAGGTGGAAGGCCTCAAGAGGTCCCCAAGGGGGGCCGCCTCCGCTTCCTCCCAGCTGCTTGGCTGTCCCGCAGAGGCCTCCGACGTCGGGGGAAGGCCTCAAGGGGGGCCAAGGGGCTCGCTGCCTCCTTCTCTCATTTGCATGTACCTTACAGACTTGAGGGGCTAGATGGCAGCAGTGCACCGGCAGCGGAAGGCCTCCGAAGACGCCAAAAGGCGAAGGGCTGGACCCGCTGAGCCGTGCCGCTTGAACCCTCCGGGCCCTTGGTCATCGGCTTGCCTGCGACCGCGGCCCTCAGGAACACGCTGAGAGGCCCAAGGGGAGGAAGGCGCCAAGTTTTGAGGCCTTCCACCACTAGAATCCGCGAAAAATCCGCGCGGAAAGGCGCGCGGGCGCGCCAACACAGACCAGACCACAGGGAGGGAGGGGGGGCCGTGTGGCCCGGAGTCATATGGTAAATGGTAATAGTTACTATTACCATGCGCCAGCTCGTATTATAAGTACCATCTACCATTTACTAAGTGACTTCTCTAACGAAAACGAATCGAAACCCGTCTGCGAACGTGTTGCCTCAACGACATCCCGGTTTCTTCGTGCGAAAATCCTAACGACCACCAGTCTGATTGTGCGCGATATCCCATCTTGCACCTACAAGACCACACAACGCTGGTAAACCTGGGAGACAACTGTGACCACGTTATGCTAAGTTCTTAAGTGGATTTGGGATTGATATATATTCTTCATCCTATCGGCTTGGTCGAAGTGTAGTGCATGCGCGAGAAAAGATCTGAGAGATGGTCCACTGCTGGATCATCACGCAAACGCTCCTGCTGCTCTCCTGCAACACGTGGGTCTCCTCCATCATCACTTCTCGGCGCTGTATCATTCCTCGGTCTTTGTATAGTACCCACAACGTCTTCGGTCTGGACTGTCGTGACTTTATCGTGTTTCGTTCGTCGACGCCCACGAAGAGTTCTCTTGCTAGCACTCGCTTCTCCTTCTCCTTTCTCAGACGCATCAACGAACTTCTGCTTTCTAGAGTAGGTCTTTCTTTCGCGAAAGCGAGCTACAGCTTGCTAGGGTTGGGATCCATGAAAATGAATGAACGAGGACTCAGTCTGTTACCTGGTTCTGGTTCTCGGTCCCCTGCTCTAAGAATAGCCCCGGTTGCATTCGCGTGCAGCAATCTTTCGGTCGAGCCATGAGGGAGTACAACACAGACGTGGATGCACCTCAGCGAGTGTACGTTTTATTGGGAGACCGGGATGTGCAGCACCTGAAGATTATGTCGGAGGCTGGGAGTTGGGCGCCGTCCTACGACCTATACATCGAAGAGCTGAAACTAGCTGGTGCGTCAAATAAGTTAAGTTGCTGTTCTTGCATTGAAACAAGGTAGCTACGTTCTGGAGAAGAAGGAAGCGCTGAAGATGGAGAAGAAGATCTTCCTTGTAGAGATGCAATATAAGTACATCGTAAAAACAGGGAAGAAATCGCCGGGGAAATCTTAGGCAGATTGCCGAATAGGTTTAGACTCGCGTCATCAAATAAAGCAACGCGAGCCTGCTCGCGAAAAAATTGCATTCAGCCGCTCTAACGTATCCCTCGAGAACGATTACTGAATACATCAAATGGTTTCTGATAGCTCTCTCAGGATACGAGCTTGGGGATCGCCACTGGATGGACAGGAAGGAAGAGCTTGCAATTCTCTTCGATTAAGGCCGCTAAGGCTATTGAATATATTTATGTTGTCTAGCTGTGTCGGCGGAGCTCGATGTGCAGGATCCATGACCTAAGCCAACCTAGCTGCGCTGCTTCTGCTCGTTAGAAGATTCAGATGACGACAATGAGAATGCTATATTTTTTGTTCTTCATCATTTTGAGCTTTTGATACCTCTGCTAGCACTCGTCATGAGGAGAACTGCTCGCAATGGTAGTTTTGTCGGTTACAGGAGAGTGAACTTGCATACATCGTATTTGATGTGATCAACATGGGCACTTTTATCGAGGATTATGGGTACTTTTTTTCACTTTGAACTTGTACTCATCTTGTATTTGTAATTCGTTGCTCACTGCATTTCTGGTTTCTAAATTGCCAAAGAGCAGGAGTATGTTTCGGATGCTGCTGCCGCTGCTAGTTTTGTTTATGCCCGTCTCTCGTGCAGTTTTTGACTAGTGTAGTTTAGACTCTAGTGTATATGATTATCCATCCGGGTCTCTACGCACAAATCACCATGCGAAAGATGAACTTTGATAAATGACGAATCTATCTAACTACTTACTTAATTTGATCGAGGTCGTGTATTTGTTCATTCAAAATTTCTTAGTCCTCTAAGACTAAGTAGAATCTTAGATGAAGGAGATCAGTTCTCTAGTGAACTCACGGGCCATGCTTGTCTTGGTTGGCCTTCATAGACATAAAGCCAAGACACGATCGAGGTACTTAAAAAGACGAGCAGAGTTGTACTATCAGCCAACACGACCTTCCCGTCCTAGACATAAAGCCAACACCTTCCCGTCCACCACGATAATTGTACTATCAGCTGCAAAGCCTATTTTTATACCACCAGCAATGCTCGCAACTTGCAATTTCCCAGTCAATGAGTGACCTACTCAGTTACGATTCCTCTACTAGAAACGATCTACCAGAGACGATCTACTGTAGCTGTATTCGTTGTACTACAAGTGGCGCGTTCATTTTTTCGTACTGGCTGCTCCGAAGAAGAGGGCATCTTCTTCCGACGAGACGGGGTTCGTGAGGTTGGAGTGCAAAGATCCCAAGGGAGTCGAGGGAGAGAAGAGCCAGCTTCTGATGACGCATATGCACGCCGAGCAAGTGGATGGCACGTCGACGCCGCAGAATCTCGTACCCGGTCATGTTATCGAATTTGACAAAATTATGAGTCGAAAATCATGTTTACTCGTCTTTTTGTTTTTACTCAAGAAATACTATGTGCCGGTCCGTCGTCGAGGCAGGTAGATATAAGCGGAAATAAAGTGAAAATGTTACCTCGACGCACTATTCCGAACTTCATCTTGTTGAGTAAGTATCAAGAAATGACAATGAGTAAACTTGTTCCTGTCATAGAAATGACTGCGGGCGAGTGCAATGGGCTGATCGCGTTGCACGGTGTGGCGTACGAGATCTACGAGCGTGGCGCTTTGGCTGCATTGGTTATGACTTACTTATTTTTGAAGATTGCATTTGCATTTGGTGTCATCATGTGCTTCACAGTGTCTCGCCGTGGTAAGCACGTACTTGCTTGAGCAGCTTGCTTGAGCAGTATGTAACAAGTGAAAAATTGAAATATACATCGATCAAGTTCAAGGTCAAACAGACACTCTAGTGCCCTATCTTATCATACGACATATCCTAGACCTCGGACCTTAGTAAGTGATAATCTCAAGGACTACAACACGACGACTACACTAGGCAACTAGACTGCCCTTGGTGGTGGATTGTGCGTTACTACTACGCAACTGTCCAATTATAACACAAGAAGGTATAGAAGGAAAACCATTACTCACACTCAAAAACCAAGCACAGAATATATAACTTCTACCTCCTCCTGTTAAACTCCATAGTTCACTAGATAGCTTAAATTAGATAGTTGGAGTTGTCTGCAGCGGTCCGGATGTGGTTCAGCTTCGAGGGAATGCGAGACTTTTTACAAAACCTGTAGACGCGCGTCATTAATACCGACAGGTGGTAGAGGAGGGCTCGAAATTGCAGGGACCTTTCAAGGCAACGCCCCTCATACATTATGACGCAAATGTCCAATTATGACACAAGAAGGGATCGTCTAATTATGACGAGAATGCGGCAGCACTGTATACGCATTCTGGACCGTTTGGGCAGCTGGATCCTTTCGCAGACGTGCACGCCGCGTACGCAGCAGCGGGAACGCACTGCGAAAGTGGAGGTCAAGTTAAAGCGTCTGCCAAGATTAAGGCTCATGTGCTTCATTTACAACTACTAGATTGATTTGAAGATTATTTCTTGAACAAACGCTTTATCAAATTTTTGTTCACAGAAGAAAACAAAAACGCTCTGGATTTTTTTACTCGATATTTTGAGAGAGGTAGGTTCCGATACGATATTTGGAATATCTTCACCACAACTAGAACTACCATCACAACTACTACATGCAGCTTACAGAATGAGGTAGTATGATTCTACTCCTCAGGCGGCTTTGGCCTTCTAGGAACCGCCATTATGTGGCGCGTATGCGATGAGTTTTTATGCCTCAACTCTTTCCAACATGCGGCAAAGAGGTTATTATCATAGCGACTACTTATACCTAGCAGTCAGTAATATATTTTATTTCTAAGTAGAAATAGAATTTGAAAGTAGTAGATTAACTAAATCAACATAGTTTGTTAATACAAGTACTACTTAGCTAGGCCGCTTAGATTGGAGTCATAGTTGTGGTTTTCTAAAACCTAGGAGGACTCGCAGAGAGTGATGTCCATGATCGGATACGTGCCGGGAGATGGCGACGTCTCTTCAGATTTCTGGGATGAAGAGTCGCCAAAAAAGGATTATGAGCGACTGTGTCGTGCATTCGGGAAAGCCATGAAAGATGGACACGATCCTGAAAAAATGAAATTAAGAGCACTTCTGGATTTTATTTATCTTCTACTACTGCTTCTTGATCTTTTTTTCTTCGAGCTTCATGCGTTTGGTTTATCCTTACCCCTGTAGAAGTTGTTGCGTTTTGCTTTGGGACCACTACGTGCGAGTTGTAAAAAAAAACTGCCTAACACGCGATAATAATGACTGGAACTACAACCTCACGAAGATAAGATGAATGTGGTCACCGTTTTTTGATAGCTTCTTGTTGACAAGTAAAATATTTACATATGTTCCAGGGCTCAGGGCGGGAGGCCCCCCCCCCGATCTAACTTTTTGAAGGGGGGGGGGCCTCCCCGCCCCGGCCCCTCTTTTCGAGGGGCTGCCGGGGGGGAAGGCCTCAAAGCGCCCACTTCTGACCCCTTCCCGCTTCTTGCATGTACGCTACAGACCTGGCAAAGGTGGCAAAGGCTGGGCCCTCTTGTCGTGTTGCGTGTGCCCAACCCTACGCCAAGGGGGTGGGTTCCCGCCTTTGCCCCCTTTGCCAGGTCTGTAGGGTACATGCAACAAGGCAGCGGGGCCCTGCCTTGGCCACCTTTGCCAGGTCTGTAGGGTACACGCAACAAGGCAGCGGGGCCCTGCCTTTGCCCCCTTTGCCAGGTCTGTAGGGTACACGCAACAAGGCAGCGGGGCCCTGCCTTTGCCCCCTTTGCCGGGTCGGTGGATACATGCAACAAGGCAGCGGGGCCCGGCCTTTGCCACCTTTGCCAGGTCTGTCGGGTACATGCAACAAGCCAGCGGGGCCCTGCCTTTGCCAGGTCTGTAGGGTACATGCAAGAAGCGGGAAGGGGTCAGAAGTGGGCGCTTTGAGGCCTTCCCGCCCGGCAGCCCCTCGACAGGCCTGGCCAATAAGGTGGCAAGGCTGGACCCCTCTGGCGTGGTCCACCCCAGATCCATCCACAGGGGGGGGGGGGGCCTCCCTCCCTGGTACATATATGTATTGCTATTAAGTAATCTCTTCTATATCTTATGGCACATAAGATAGCATCTCGTATAAGTAGCTAGAATGAAAGTCGACGCTCGTCATTTTTTTGTCTTGCGCTACGGTATACCGTATCTTTTTCCTTCATATCTTGGCCCAAAGATGGGCCGAGACGGAGAGACTTGCGAGGCTTCGACAAAGGTAAAAGACAAAGAAGAGAGACAAAGGGAGGCGACGATGGGCCAGGCGTTACGAAGTCAGACTATCTGCGGCCCGTTTCTGTCTTTGTCTCTACGCCATCAAGCCCCTCAGCGCTTTTTTTGATCATAAACGCAACAAAGAGACATACGCAGACCACCACAAGACTGACGCAGCAGCGGAGTTATTGCTTTTCGCTTCACGACTGAGAAAGGCCGGCGCCCATTCTCTTGCTGAAGATGGCTCGCTTACTTTGATGGGCACGGCTTTCCGAGATGGCATCGGCGCACTTCTTAAATTGCCAGAAGATGGCACAAATTTCCTAGACGTATGACGACACTGGCCAGCCTCAGACCCCACGAATCTTGTGAATGCCTTGAAGCAATACACTGCCGAAATGTTTGCCATAGCGTAGGCCATCTTTCTATAAAATCGAGCACGGGACTACCCTCAGGCCCAGACTTTAAAAAAGTTAGACTTTAACCTTTTAAAAGTCTGAGCGTGAGCGTGGTTTTTCGCTCGATATCTATTTGCGTTGTGTTCTGAGTCTTCAACTGTGGCCCACCGAGATCATAACCAGAAGAGCCCCGGGCTTCCATGAAATAAATGCAGCAGCACTGACGTCGTTTCTTTTTTTTGGATGTCATTCATTGGCGAAGTTTCACCCACTAACCGACGCCACCCCTTGACCTAATAACTTGGCAAAGCGCTTAGCCCTCTCCCTGCTTTCTCTTATCAGTGTCCAACTTTTCTAAAATGACGCAGAGCGCGTAGTCTTTCGCTGCTCTTTTTTCACAGTCGTCACCCAGCCACTCTCTGAGGCAGCTTCGCTCTGACTCTAAGTCTGCGCACTCTTTAGCTTATTAAGTTACTGAGCCTCTAGCTTTGCTCTAGTGCTGACAGTCAACAACCCGAAACGTGTCGGCTATGAGTTACAGAATAAGCAGCAAAGGCGCCACCTTCGCGCATTTAGGCGCTTCGTCTGCTGTCTTTGCAGAGCATTGCCAAACCGCAAAGGGTGCGAATGTGGAACCGTGGCTCAACTGGCTAAAGAGTTTCTTTCAAAGACATTGCGTTGATTTCGTGCGGCTACTCCTCGCCATTATGTGAGAGAGCAGCTCTTTTAATAACTTCCTCCCATACGCTCAAGCCCATTAGTTCCTCGCCAATCAATCCGGCAGAGGTATTAACCGCAACGGCTAGAAATGCAAACTGCTCGCGAAATCGACGCAATTGCATCGACATAGTTGGCCTCTGGTTTTCTTCACAATCTGCGAGATATGGCAGGCGACAGAGCTAACCGCTGGCGCCGGAAGTTGTTCTTACTGTGCACGCATGAAGCTCAAAGGAGGAAGGCTAGCACTAAAGCCAGAACAGTTTGGTGATGCAGCTACAGCAGCATCGACGCCCCTCAGCAAAGCGCGACTGTGGAATGCCGTTGCACAGCTGGCGCGTTTGTTCGGGGCTCATCAAGCTGATGCGTTTGCGACTGACTTGGCGGCGCAGGCGTTTGGTAACTGCTGCGGCGTCTACTCCAACAGCTGACGAAGGAAAAGGATTCGCCTCGCAGTGTTTGAAGTGGGTACATCAGCGCACTGTCGCAACATGAAGAAAATGCCTCGCGTCGCTTTCTCCGAAACATCGAAAGCGGGCGCCCGGCGAACAATGTCAAGCGCGACAGGATCAGCAAAATCGTAGAAAAAACCCCGCCCCGCTGCAAAAAGTTAAAAGCCCGAGCACCAAAGACAGAGCTTCAGGCACAAAGAAAAACGCGGCGCATGATAGTGCGCGCGAAGCATATCTCTCGCAAGATTGCGGCCTTTCTAAGGCGCAAGCGAAACCAAGCAGATTGCGTAAAAGATGTGCCTTCGTAGTAGGTACGTGGGACAAGACGCCGACGGTGCTTCGTGGAAGCGGTACCGGTCGCGCCAGTTTTCAAAGGCGGGCGCCTCGAACGCTCTCCAACGTCATCCAAGGCTGTCGGCTGGATTTTAACACCTTACCAGGCCGCGCTGCTGATGGGTTTTGGGCTGGAGAAGCTGAAAAAGCAACGAGTAAGCTATTAGAGGTCTTTAACAGTCGTGGCGAGTCTTAGAAAGAATCGGCGAAGCTCTTTGGTACTAACTTCAGAACTAGCAGCCTCTCCCTGGTAGGTTTCCACTATTTTGCGCGCAAAGCTCTGTAATATCTTCGGCTTTGCAGGTCTAAGAATTCTGATGCTTCTAGTCCACATTCTGAAGAACGCACAGGCCCGAACTCGAACGATGGCGCTGAGTCAAGTGGCTGAGATTCTTTCTGTGATGTTTGCAACATCTTCAGACCGCACCAGATTCGTCGACAATGGCGACCACCGTAAAGCATAGCAGGGCGACGAGTGTGACTGCTTGCCATGCGCTCGATTTCCTTCATGTTCAGCGGTGCCCGCGCCGTCCGTAGTGAGTTGGTCCATGTCAAGTGATGCGCTCGCTTTTGCTAAGAAGTAGCCTGCTTTGAGCGTCGTGCGATAGGTTTTCGCTAAACAGCTTCGGCGTGAGTCAGACAATAACCGCAAAAGCGACGCGCACTCGCTAGAAAAAAAGCGGGGGTGGCTCTCACTCTATCGCTTCAGTTTCGTAATCATCTTCGGGCGTCTTCTGTTACAGCTCGAAACTATTCGGAAAGCGTTAAGCAGCTAGAAAAAAACGCGCACCGCTGTGGTTTTTCTTATCGGCGCCCCGTTATCGTTTTGCCACATGGTGCGGCGCAGACGTCTGCCAATCTCTATCGCCTTCCGCTTGGCTGCAGTGAAGACGCACTGTGTAAAAATGGCGCGCATTTTTCTCGAACTATCGGGCTCAGCTATGGGCAGCGTCGCACTTTTTCCACAGTTCTTTTCTCAATGCTCTGCTAAGGTATGCAGCATAGTCGGTTTTCCGTTCTACCTCTTTCCTCTACTCTCTAGCGTACCCCCTCGGTCTAATAGTTCTCCACTCTCATCATATTTTTTCGATTCTTTCACCTTATACGAGACAAACCGACCGCACTTAATAAACTTAACAGCAGCGCAGGGATGTCGTCATCCCTGCGCTAGCCTGTGACACTTAACTAGAAGAATACTCAGAAGCGTTTGAAGAGCAAGTCCACACATTCTAATGGTTATCGAGAACATTCGAGACTGGGTGAAGAGGCTTGAAAAGTGGAAAATCAAGCAGCTTGACGCATATCGTCGATGCCCATTTTACCCATCGTCCGTGGGTCATCCCCAATTACCTCCTGGGGCCGATGTCGGTACTGGTGCAGGCGCTGGTGGCAATGCCGTTGGAAGTGGTGGAGTCCAGATAATACGAGGCGAAGCGTCAACACCCTGTGTTACGTGCGTGGGTAGCCTTCTTGGGGATGGAGAACGCTCACTCCTCCAGGTTTCCGCTTAAGCATATCACATTTTTTATCTGCTGACAAACAAACTCTTGTAGCTTGCCATGCATTTTCAAAAAAGAAACGGACAAACCAACGAGAGTATTAATTATACTAGGAATAAGTGGAGACCTCTAAGCATACGAACGTGCCACAACTGCAGCATGCAGGGCAGTGTCCAGCGTCGAGGAGTGGAAATCTGGAGCCAAGGTCTTTCGCACAGCCTTGGTTCCGGTGACGAAGAAGTGGACGAAAGAGAAGGAGGAGGCGGAGCAAAATCATTTGATTAAGACTTTCACCGGTCCCGGCCGTCCCCGTCGTGCACCCTCTCTCCACAACATCCGGGTCCCGTTTTTCAAAGGACAACGGGAGCCAGGGGACTTTGCGCGTTAGATCATTTCTGGAACCAGTTCTGCACCCGTTCTAACTTATACGTCCCGAAGCAGCCGGTGATTGCTCCTCAGGGCAAACAAGGCGACGCGTCCTTGGCCTTTGGATTGAGTGGGCTGAAATTCGATGACTGGACCGGAGCTGTTGCGCCTGAAGAGAGATGGTTTTTCCGACGCGGTGGCATGGGCTTGATCGCTCTCTGTTCGCCGTATTCGAGGTTCCCTAGCATGTGCTACAACTTATGGCCGCTTGGGTAGAAGGTCCAGTGGAGAGTTAAGTGTGCCTCGTAGAGACTGAGGCGTGGCGATGAAGAAGGTCATAATAACGAGTTCGACAAGGGCAAGTCGATTATAATCTAAGCAGTATTTGTACTAGTGGCTACGACTACTGTGAGTACTACCTACATTATATTTATTGTCGAACAGAACACCTAAGGCAGTTCAATTTTGATCATGAGTGTAACAATGCTGGACACATGACAAAGTACGAACTTCGTAGATGATATCAGTCAAGAAAGATGGCCCGAGACCAAGATGAATTTTGAGAAGACCCAAACGAACCTATTCTAAGATATGATCACACCGCGGAGACTTACCGATGGTCAGAGCCAGCGTGTGCGGTTGCTCAGGGAACCGAAGGAAAGATCACCAACTTTTTGAAAGGTCACACTCCGAGCGGCATCGCTCCGATATTAAGCGTGAAACCGTGTGGGAAAGATGTTCTTATGACTCTGATGAAATGCTATTTTGTCTTGTTCTTGTAGGTACTTCTAATGAGAAGAAGCTAAGTACAGCATCTATCTCAGTATCCGTGTGTAAAATCATCTTCTTCTTCTGGAAGTTAATCATCAGATATCGGAGAAGAAGACCCGCGCCAATGTCTCAAATAGAGAGGCTGGCCGATCCTTGTCCTTTCAGTAGCTCGATTCTAGAACTGCTAGTAGTTTTCGTCTACTGTACCGCGCGCTTTTAGCTGCTAAGGTCTCCGAGTATTAATAATTGGTATTTTTCAACTACATAGTACGTACTGGAACTAGTAATGCAAGAAAATAGTTGTAATAGAGCTGCGGCTGAAGATCAAGTACAACACTTCTGATCGCACACTGAGTGGCATTTCTATTCGATTCCGTAAGGTTGCTCTGACCAAGCAGGACCCTTTTACAGCAAGAGTCTCGTCTGGCCAGATATTCTGGCACTAGATTTTTACCTCTTTTACTGGTACGTCTACCAAGCACAAGAACACGTAGGAGGAACATACACATTTTTAATAGGTGATTCTTACATGTTAGATTGATTGATACTTCTTTTTCGATTTGACTATGATCACTATGTTTGTTATGTGAGTAAAAAAATGTAGGTTGATGTCCTTTCATGATCCCAGGAGAGCATCGCGTGACATTGATGGAATTGGATACCTCATATTCGGCAGACACAATGCTTACGCTTAGTGAAGCGACTGTCGGCGGAGAGGGTACCAAGACCAATTTAGTAGAGTTGCTCAGACGCCGACTATTTGTTCCCAGTCAGGGTAATATTGTGAAGGAGAGCGACAAGCGTGGCTATGGGATGGGAGCTACCACTGCGATACCGCACCTCCAATCTTATGACAGATGAAAGAGCTTTTTCAGAAAAATTTATTCTTATTTTCTTCAATGAAGATGCTTGCGCGAAAACCTATTGTGAGAAACCATGCTATACTATCGCCGTATCTCTACAGCACCATCCTCTCTCATGCTCCTCCGCGCCCACTTTCGAGCGCCCTTTTTTTTTCAGTGTAAGAACTGTCAGTCACTTGAGGTGGTAGGCAATGCTACTAGTACAGGGAACTATCTGGTTGGTATTTATGCACTGGAGGAGCTTGCGGGGGAAGTGGTTATACAATACTAACTGGTGAGTTAACTTAGGTGAGAGAAGAGACGCGCTCTCTGGAAGGTTCCTCGACGACAGTCGACAAAAAATGTCGGCTGAGGGACCAACTAGGGAGAGGGTTGGGGGCAACGGGCCCCGCGAGCCCCGTCGTGTGCGGTGCAAAAAATGCACTCACGCGCGACGCCGCTGGTCGATGCAATGGCGCACCCCGGCGAGGGTGAACCTCGGTCCGCGCCTCCACAGGAGGCTCGGGCGCGGTCGGGTGAGAGCGTTAAGGCTACACCCACGGGGCGGAGTTCACATGCAGAGCGGAGCGGAGCGGAGCGGGCTGCCGGCGCACGGGCCAAAGCGCTCGCGCGTAGGCCGCGGGAGGGCCAACGCGCCCTCCGGCGGTGCGGTGGGCAGGCGCGTGGCGCCCGGTGGGGGGTGCTGGGGAGCTCGTAAAAATCGAGTTCCGCCGCGCGCGCGGCGCGCCATCCCCTCGCGGGGCAAAAATCGCCGCGGGGGTTTGGCGCTTGTGGCGGCGCATTTTCGTAACCTCAAGCGGAAATCTAGCTTGGGCAGGTTTAAAAGTCTTTCTTTTTCCCAAAAATCCAGGGACTTTCTGTGCGCGTATAGTCGCAATCTAGAAACTAGTAACTAGCAGTGCCCCCGCACTCTGGTGCTTACAAAAACAAAAAACAAAATGACCTCCCCAAAAAGCGTCGGAGACCTCGCCATCCACACAGGCAAAAACCCTGTGGGGAGCGAGGACGTCGACGAGAAGGGCAGAGCCCTTCTGAAACTGATCGACGGATCACTGATTCGCCCCTCCATGGCGGAGGCCATGGAGGCGCTGCAAAAGCAGCTGGAGGAGAAGACGCAGTATGAGGATAAACTCATACTCTGCGCAAACGTCCAGGACTGGACTGCGGCACTCCGACAGATGGTCGGTGAACTTTCGGAAACGGAATTCATCGACACGGTCAAAAAAGACCTGGAGGGCCCGCGCTTCGTGGGGGAAGGTGGAACCCTAACCGAACAGGGCACCACCTTGATGCGGTTCCACTTGTGGTTGGGCGCATACCGCGAGGAACTAACGGCGGAACCCTGGGCCTCGAAGTCTCTGATTAAAAAAGAGACTTTTGAAGCCGGCGCGAAGCTCGCCGAAAAACGAAAGTGCCGGGAGGATAGCCCGGCCGCAGCTGAACCTGGCGGAAGTGCCGGCGCAGACCGCCAAAAAGGAGGCGATCGCCCGCTACCTGATCGAGCGCACCAGCAAAGAGGTGCTCAACGACTGGGACGCGAAGCCGGCCAAAACGCCGTGCACGTCGGTCCGCAACCAAGGCGCACGAGGAGGAGGGCCGAAAGCTCCTCGAAGAAGAGGAGAAGCAGCGCAAGGCGGATCTCGACGCCAAAAAGAAAGAGGAGGAGGACTCCGTAGACTCCGCCGACAAAAGCGAAGAGTCCTCAGAGGAGCCGCCGGAGACGGCGGCCCTGTTCAAAACGTTCGCGAAGAAGACCGCGAAGGCCATCGCGACGGCTTTGAACAGCAGCGGAGAGGACAAAGCCCTCTCCTATGGCGACACGCGCCCGGCTAGCGAAGGAGAAAAGTTCTTCGTCTACCGACGCGTAAACGGCGTCGAGAAGAAGACGGAGGTGGAAGTCGTCTGGCCTTCCGTCTTAACACCAGGCGAAGAAGTCGCAGACGCACAGGAGCAATGTAAAAGCTGCTTCTTCACGAACGGAGAAAAAGCCTCGAAGCAGGCGAGCCACGTGCTTGCCGCGTTATTAAAACACGTGGAAAAGCACGGCCTCCGCTCTGTTTTCGACGTGGGCGAAAGCAGCGTCCTGAACACGACGGCAGGCCAACGCCTCAACCAAAAGGCGCTGGCGCTGCTCTTCGGAGCGTACGCGGCCGCAGGCATCTGGGGCGAAGCCCAGGTGGGAAAAAACCAACCCAAGGCCTCAAACTGCGCCATCGCAGGTTTCAACGGAGACAACCTGCAGCGCACAAACAGCGCGTTCCAGAACTTGGCCCGGAAACAGGTCGTCGCCAGCGTCCCGGCTGACTACTGGGACAGATGCAACCTGGGCCAGTGCTGGGAGACGCTGCGCCGCGTGGAGAGCGCCATCAACGGCGCCACCGACCTGCAGCCCTTCGACTTCATGACCGAGCTCAGCGAGAACTTCCCAGAAATCGCCATCAAAAAAGTGATGGCTTTCTTGGGATTCATGGAGGAAGGCTCCGCCCGCAGCCTCGACGCGCTCCAGCAGAAGACGAAGCGCTGGGAGACCGGGCTGGTGAACAGATACATGCTCAACCTGCTGGCCCGGTGCAACCATTTCGGTCTCCACCTCATCGACGAGGCGCGCTACACGGACGAGGAAGACGGGGGAAAAATCAAACCGCCTGCCCAAAAAGCGTTCTTCAAGGAGAACATGGAGGAAATCAAAAATGAAATGTTCTCCATGCGAGACGCAGAGGCGAGCTTAGGCAAGCCGAGAGGCGAACGTGTGACAGTCACACTGCGCTCTCGCAGCCACAGCCGCCGCCGTAGCGAATCGCGAGAGCGATCGGCGAGCGAAGGCCCGCAAAACCCGTTCGGCAGCGACGCCGACAGCGGCGGGGGCGACGACATGGGGACAACCATGCCGAGCGACACTTGGTTGGAGGGGTTGGATCTGGAAAAAACAGACTTCAGCCCGGCCATGGACCCAGTCCACAGCCGCCGCCTCGACAAACGTGTCGACGTGGTGCTAGCCGAGCGCCGAAACGCGAAGGGAGGAACACGCGCCACGTGCTACGTGTTACGTGTACTTCCCTCGAACCGGTTTAGTGGGGCCGTCTGCATTGAAGTCCCTGAAAAGTATGGGGCTCATGCTTCCGCCGGCGGTATGCCACTGACTGGTTCCACGCGCACAAAGCGCACGCGGTGCAGTCAGGCTGTCGCAACGACGCTCAACGCCTGGAATGCACACGCCGCCACCTTATCCATCGGCCGCAACCGTCCTCCCCCAGACATCACTATCGCCAAGAGAACGTGGGCAGAAGTGACCCGCTCGCAAAAAGAGCTGGCTGAAGTCCTCTTCTCGGCCCGGCTGGCAGGGCGGAACATCAACCAGCAGCCAACCGGCACAGCGGCAAAACGAGCGGCAGCGAAGGACAGAGAAGCAATCCGCCACCCGAGAGACTTCGTAAAACCGAAAGTCCAGCCGATGAAGGCGATGAAGGCCAAAAACGGCCGATCACGCCGCCAACCGAAAGGACCCCAGCGAAGCGACGCAAACGCGATTCCGCTGGGACACCGGCACCGCAACGACAGTCGCGACGACGACAATCGTGGTGGCCGTAACAAATCGAAGCGGTCGAACGAGCGCAAAAACAGCCGCTCACGCGATCGACGCCGATAAGTCGATAGTGGTGGCGGGGAAAATCCTCCGGGGGAAAGACGTGAGGGAGCTCGCCGGGAGCAAGCGCTCCTTCGCGGTGTGGTGGAAGGAGCCACGCACAAGCTAGAACGCGACTAGCTGGAAGAAAAAGGCTACCGGCCTCGAGGACAACAAAACCTCGAAAAACAGAATGCAAAAGCATTCGCCATAAGCCCCCTGGTCAAATTATAAGTTGGGTGACACTACTGCTGAGCATCAGGCAGTGCCTTGGCTTGCGTGCGGGTCTTGGCTTTTCTTTCTATAGCGACAGACGGATAGGCACTACTGCTGAGTATCAGGCAGCGCTATTAGTCTTCGGGCTGTAGCTGTTGGCAAAAAAAATGGATAGGCGCTACTGCTGAGTATCAGGCAGTTCTGAGAAGCCCTAGGCCATAGTAAGCATCTGACTCCCTCCGGGTGGACGGGGTGCGGCCTTTGGTCTTGTTTGGTTCGCTTTGGTGTCACTGTTTCAGGGCCCTCGTGCCTGCCTTCTTGACTGTAGTGGTGGATCGACTACGTTTTTCAAATTACCAGGGGCGCCGGACCATTATTCATTTAGTGGCGGAGCAATAGCTTCTTCCTTTTTGACAGAGTAAAAAGCGCTACAGTTGAGAGGGAGGAAACAAATCAAACCACCAGGGACGACTGGTGGCCGAAAGCGAAAACACGGCGGCGGCAGCGCAGTGCTCGAGGGGGCGACGAGCTACATCTCGTCAAGCTAAAGAGAGGGAAAACAGAGAGGGAAGAGGTTGCGAGTAAGTAAAAGATCTAGCGCTGGGGAGACCACTTCATGAGATACGGCAGGAGGCCAAGGTCCATGGTGGAGGTTCGCCTAAGCAGCCGCACGGACCAGCCTAGATAACGAAGTAAGTAAAGACGAGAGAACAAACTAACTAGATATATAAAAAGAACGCTAGAAGGAGCAACAGCGAGAGATAATTAAAAAAATAACATAGAACAAATGCCGAAACGGGCGGACGCATTGCGCAAAGAAAGCCGCCGATCTAAACGA